TCGAAAAAAATTAGGAGTAAAAATGCATCGAGTGTTTTGGTGCCATATGTTCGTAGAAAAAAATCATAAAATTCGTGAAAACCAACTAGAAATTTGGTGTAGAATTGCCACGAAGAACAATGAAAAAGTTACTTGGGAATCGAATATCTGTTCGGTCTTCCGATGATTCGAATTACACCAAAAAAAAAGAGATTATATTTCTAATGATTTGTTTCGATGTTCTAAAATTAAAAAAAAAATTATCTGATTGGAGAAGAAAGTGAAGAAACGTCGAGGAATCGCCAATTGTTCGAGCAATGCCAAAACTATTTTAACAACGAAATAATGTTTTTTTTTTTCAAATAAGAGTTCATTGTGAGTTTCAGTTGATTTTTTCACCAAAATTTTTTTTGGCTGATGTCTTAAATGTCTCGAAAATGTTTTTTTAGATGTTCAAATGTTACATTTTTAGTATTTTTGAGAGTGAGATTAGAAGCGTTTTTATTGAGTAACCTACGAAGAAACTATGAAAATGACGAAAATGTTTATGTGGGAAAGAATAACTCAGGAAAGGCAAAATAAATGGAATTTACTGAAAACAAAAGAAACATAAAGACATTTTCGAGCTTCCTTTCTTCTCAAAAAAATGACTGATCATAAATTGAATTTGGTATCAAGTTTACTTAAAGAAAAGAGAAACGAAATCTTCGTTGTTTATTCAATTCCGATATTTTGACTATAAATATTATATGAAAATTGTGGTGCAAAAGTATTCGAAAACAAAAAATTAGTGAAAACGATAGCAATAAAAAATCTCAAAAAGAAACGGTTATTTATAGAATAAAAACGTTTGATGACGCATTTTGAGTACGATACGCCTCATTACGTTCGTATGAAGAAATGAATAATTCGAAACGTAAAATATCATCAAAAAATATATAAATATCAAGGAATTAATGAGGAAAATCGAAAATTTTTCAATTTCACTCAGTTCAATAGTTTGAACGTCTCAACATTTTCAGAAAGTAAGAAAAAATATTGGAAAATCTGAAAATGGAACACTATTTTGTTTTGAACTGATTGATTCAAACCATGTGGTCAGAACATCTCCCCAAATTGCATAATTCCCCTATAAGAAGCCATGAGAATACTTAAATTGGTATTTTCTTTTAACTTTTTTAATGAGGCTGTAAAAAAATAAGTATTGAGAATGCATTTATTTTTTTTTAATTTCAATTCCTCGTTTCCAATCGACAATCTAACTGAATCGACTTGAATTTCTAACAACCAACATTCTTGTTCGCCGTCAATCAATCAGATTTTTCAACTGTTCCTGAAATTCAATCCGGAGACGCTCGTTCAATAAACGGACTTGTTAGAAATGTATGTCTGTGTGCATACATGTGTCGAGGTTAATGGTGTGGCGGTGAAATGCAACACCATAGTAACTAGTGGATGTGAGAGGCAAAAAAACGTGTGAAAGCCCCCACCCCGATTAATACATATTCATCGTTGGTTTGGTATGTCGCCACAAGAGCTCCTCCTCCGCTTCCTCCGTTTGGAGCAGCATGACGCGGAAAAAATTGGCGGCGAGATCGCAAAATTCAGAGGGTGCAGGGTGGCTCGCGTGGTGGAATGAATGAATGAAAAAAAACGGAAATTTGGTGAAAGAAGCGACAAGATTCGAGTATTTTTGGAATTCAATTCCATCCGTTTTCGTTTTCATCAAAAATTCTCATTATGAAATCTCACAACATTTCCCATATTCAAAGTTTCCAAATGATGAAAACTCTTAAAACTCACATCAGGGAAATTTTTTTTTCCGCAAATAATATAAAAAATGAATTACTTAATAAAGTAAATCAAATCAATTCGAATAGAAGCATTGTCTATATACGAATTCTTTCAAGAATATGAACTTTTCAGGTTCAAAAATGTACAGATTGAAAATTCGAAGTTTTGTATGAAATAAGATTAGAAGAATTGAGGCTAATCCGCACGGATTTGAATAGGAAAAATAATAAGGACAACAATCAGTTTGAGAAAAAAAACACTTATTTAAAAATTGAGACTGAACGAGAAAAATTGGCGATCTAACAAAATTTGTTTGGCAATTTCTAATACACAAAATCGGCTAACTTCAATATCGAGTTAACACGGAAAAAAAGTCAAACAAAAAATGAATTAGATTTTCAATATATTGATGTTTCATGGAATGTCGACGATAAGAAACTCAATAAGAAAGAATTGAATTGACATAACTAACTAAAAAATATTCACATTGAAGGTGCATAAAACAAAAAGAGAAGAAAATGAGTAAAAAGAGTCGAATAGTAGCATGCGTTGAATCAGCATTTGCTTTTAAAAAATGGCATTTCTCGAACAGGAAATCACATTTTTTTATCGGCCTTCTCAGGTTTTCCAAGTTTGCCAAAAAGCACGATCAATGGGTATGATTCCCAAAGGAACGCACACTATATAGGCTATTTCGGCAAAAAAAAAAACAACAAGACACACACAAAATGTCAAATTTCAAAGGGAAATATAACATTTTTTGGAATATTCGTATTAATTGCCATATTTTTTTTAAACATAAAAAACTTAACATAATTTATTATTAAATTTCAACTAAGAGAAAATAATGTGCAATGATTTATTTATAACCTTTAGACATAATGTTTTATTCTCTGATTTCTTAGATGCGAAATTATTTTGAATGCAAATTATGTCAATCAATTCTTGACGTTTCGACGTAAATTGAATGCAAAAAAAACGTTGCGCTTTTTTTCCCCGTTTGGGTTTCGATTTTTGAATGAGATACGTGGGAATATGTATATACGTAAAAGATTTTGCATTTGACATGCGGCAACTCAATTCAAATGATGAAATAATGAGAAATCTCGAAAAGTGGATTAACTGAGAAAAATTGAGACTTTGAGATTAATAATAAATCTTTAGTTTTTGGCACTTTTTCGCCGCCACCAACATTTCCTATCGATTTTGTTAACAGAAAAAAATGGTTTGAAATAATAAGAGTCAAAAAAGGAAATTTTGATACCAAAAATGAAAGCAAACACCGTGCAAAAATAATTTTTGAATTCTGTTTTTTTTTTCATTTCTTCTGTGCAACTTGTTTTCCCTTTTAATTGCTTAAATATTCATATAAACATATTCACCGTTTAATTATTGTAAGACAGAATAATTAAATATTTTTATAGTAAATCATATTGAACAACAAATTTGTGGCGAAGCCATAAACTCTAGCAAATCTACCTACGAACAAAATGCATTGGAATATATGAAATTCTGTATTTTAGTGAAATGACGCTTGCAAAAAACAGTTTGTAGTTTTAGGAATAGTCGAAAGAAAAACGAACGATTATCGAAAAAAACTCGAAAAAACGAAAGCGAGCGTAGAAATCGATGTTTTTTTTTTTTTAAATTGTTTTGCAATTGAAATGACAGGTTTGTAGATCAGAAATCTTGAAAAAAAAGGCGCGACGAATATAAAACTGACTGACACAATTGAATGCAACAAAAGTAAAAATGGGGTCCGCTAGCCAGCCGTATATGATGTTGCTCTCCGTTTTTTTTTCGCCTCGTTTTTCCTTTTTTCCCTCTTTTTTCTTTTTGTTGTTGTTGTTGTGATGCGTGTTAGGCAACAAGTCGAAAATGTGGAAGAATCGAGACGTAATTGAAATGAAAAATACATACGATAAGGAAGAAGGGGCGAGCAAAACCGAAAATGAAATTGACGAAATATAACACTAATCCACAATGAAGTATAATTGCAGAAAAATGGGTGAAATTTGATATTTCGAGTTGAAAATGGAAGGAATTTTCGAGGACTTGCATGACTGGAAGCAATCTTCAATATTACTTACTTCGAATTCTTTGAATTCTAGCGGCTGCAGCTGCGGACAAAAACAATCCCTGTGGTACGGTCTCGAGCCATTGCGGACCAGGTCTTCTTGGCGAGGAGGACTCTTCGTCTTCCACTTTCAGCCACATTGTGATGCTTGTTTGATTGACAAACTTTCTTAGGGCTTCATTGATGTCGTCGAACCACCTCGCCGTGTTTTAGACTCTTAATAAAACTGTTCGGATCACAAAACCGAACATTTTCAGAAAAATCGCTGGCAGGTATGATATTCCAGTTTTGTGAGTCAACGATAAATTAAAATAATTTAAAATGGATTTGATTACCAGGCAGCACGCAAAGTCTGACCCCCCCCCTCGTTTTTCTTTCTAATGTTTCACGTTATCAGCCGAATTTGGTGAAATGCGGGCGAACGGTGGGCGGGTGGCGGTCAACCTCTTGGAGCGGTGAATCGATTATTCGAGACTATTCAAGAAACTTGAGGTCTCGAAAAAAAAAAGAAATAAAAAGAAACGCGAGAGCATGTGAAAAAAAAAATGGACGGAAAAGCAAAATACAATAATTTTTAGCCTCCTCTGCGATTTGAAAAAAATTATTCCATCTTTAACAAAATTGCGTACGGCTTATGTTGGTTTGTGTTGAATATCTGATCGTCATTGTACATAGTTGATAATCAATTGCTAATTACAAATGCCAGATTCGTTGAAAACAAGTTGATTAGCTTCTATTATCGGTGCGATCCAGAATTGTTTTTTCAATAATAATCCAGAATGTCCAAGTGTTCACGTATTCGGAACAGGTCTAATTTGCGAGTTTCTTCTATAAAATACATCAATTTCAACAAATAATTCATGTTTTTTTTTTCATTATCCGATCCACATTAATTGTGGTTTCATTGTCGATAGGAGCGTCCGGTTCAAATCATATCGGATTGAGAACACCAGCGAAATTTCTTCTCATTCCTCCAATTGAATCATCCCGATTAATGTTTCGTTCGATATTTCTTGTTATACTGTTTATTTTCATTTATTCTACCCATTCCCAAAATATTGATTTAATTATTCCACCACAAGAAAGGTAAAAAAATGATAAGCTGCTTAAAATTTGAATAACCCAATTAAGGTTTTTCTATGGTTTGGAAATGTTCATTCCGGTAGTGAAACAGGAATTAGAATTTGCGGTCCTTCCGAGACTCACCGATGAACAAGCTTATGAACAATGCAAAACATTTCTGCCGACTTTAAGACTCAAAATTCAAGATTTGAGAAATGTAGGTGATGATTATTAATCTATCAAGTGTGATTCATTTTAAGATGGGAGTTTTGGCGATTGAAAAACAAAAAGATGACAAGCAGGCAGAGAAAGTCGGCGTTTGTCGCAAATACAATCACTTCTACCACATGAAACTTCAGCACATTATTCAAAATACTATTAAGGATTTAAAGAACGACACGTTTACAGCTCAGGTTAGAATCGGAACGATTGCTTTAGACATTCTATGAGTTGCAGAGCAATAAGATATTCTTCACCAATGTTCATCAAGCTCTTTTGGATTGGAAGAAATACTCAAAATCGCCATGTACTAAACCAACAAAAAATTGAAAATTTATTTATTTTTACTAATAAAGCGTTGTGCAATATAAGAAATGATGGTAAACTACTTGAGGCAAATTGATGCATGAAGGGCAACTGGCTTATGAGGTCCGACATATTTGTTTTCGGCGACCAAGCCGTAATAAAGACCGGATGCACAGAACGAATCCTAAGACATCATTATGTATGTTTGTACACTATCAATTAGAAGACTTACATGTCTAAATAAATCATTCATTCTCTCATTATACAAAATACGATCGGACCATGCGGGACACAAAGTCCTTTGAAACTCCTCGACGCCTTCTGAGTTCAACTCATAATGACGTGATGGCTTAAAATTGATCGATTGATTTTGTGATATTTCATTATTTCAATATACCTGGAAAAATACGCTTTCCTCTAAAAGACGTCCTTTCATGGCAACAATTGCAAGTTCGCCATTGTAACTGAAATAAAGTGGCTTATTCTGATACTAAAGTCTAATATTCGATACCGTTTGACCATTTGACCTCTTCCAAGTCGGAAGAACCAATCATGAATCGAATGCAGATCAAAGCGAGTTCTTTCAACGGTCGTTGTGTGCTGAAATATTTCACATTTCGTTTTTTTTTTTTAATTTTTTCTATTCAACTCTTCCATGTCGATCAATATGCTCTATTGCAGCGATATTTCCATGGTCATCTTTTTTCGCGACGGTCTGAACTAATTGAGTTCGAGCCAAATAATTCAAAAGTTCGGTTTCATGTAGTTGCGAGTTGAACGAACCCGCGACAATAATCGCGTCATTTTTCAAGCCCTCAGCATCTAATCTGCAAATATAAAACAATTGAAGAAACAAACAAAATAAATATTACTCGTTGAGAAGCATACTAATCTGCTCTTCGCGTTTCTGCGCCGCCTTGGTGATCGAAGATTGAGTCGTTGCTATTTCATTCACATCCTAAAAAAAATTTTTTTTGAATTCATTTGATTTTAATTTATCAAATGATACCTCAAAAGGAACTGAATGAAGATTTAGATTGACGAACGTCAATTCTTCTCCGAATATTCGGAACCTACAAAAACCGGTTGTTATTTTTTCTGATAATTCGAAAATTTCCAAACCTGCACAGCAAAAATCCAGTTCGTTGGTTTGCCATGTCTCGAATACCATCGTCATTCTGAAAAAAGTATATATAAATGTTCTTAAACGCGTTTTTATGAAAATTCGATTAACATACATAAAAGTCCCTTCGGAATGTATAAGTTTGATTAAAAGTGTTCTGAATAAATCCATCACATTCATTGACACCTATAAAATTCGAATGAGATCGGCCACTTGATGATTTCATTAACCAATTACGTGCCGATGACCTTGCCTTATTTGGACATAGCCGGTGTTCGAAAATCGATCATAATATTGTACATATTCGTGATCCTTGAACATATACAAGTTTCCGAGTCCCTATTCAAAATGCGATGATTAACGAACGAATCTCAAAAAATTTTGTTACTGTCAGCTTTGTGTCGAAAAACGCATAGGAGCTGTCGAATGCTCGATAAATGTCCGGGTTGTCGGTGATACTAAAAAATTAAATTAAAAGTTGAATATTAAAATTTCAAAAATAAATGACTACCATCCGCAAATCACTCTCGCCACATAATCGGGATCTTCAGCCGAATGAAGGCCTTGCACATGGACAACGGCAAACGCACATTTTTGCTCAGCGATCTCTTTTGAAACTTCAGAGCACCACGCACGAATCAAATTGTCCTGTAATACTTATTGAGTAGCAATACGGGGCCGACGTTTTTCTAGTTACATCAGTGCCGATTCTTGAAATATCACCGGTCACAGTCACTTGTTTAATGTATTCTGGCATTTCTGAAAAATGAGAATCGCGAGTTTTTCACACTTTAAATGTTCCTATAAACGATATTTATGATCATTGAACATTGAAAAAAAATCGATTTCGTGTTGCGATTTTAAAAGAAAATTCAAAAAAAAAACAAATTGGGAATTTCAAAAAAAAAAACTGGGTTGTTATCTACAGATAGTTTTTAGTTCAAAATTCGGATTCGAAAAATAAATGTTCGAGATATTCGAGAAAAGTAGGTAAAAATGAGCAATTTCGAGACTGTCGGATTGAGCGGATCGGAAGAGTTTTGAAACAATGGCCGAGTAGGCGAGGGTTAGAGGTGTGCGCAGTCACACCCACCGAATTTTCCTGTTTGCAGAACGACTTCCCGTCCGTTTTTTGTACTTGGGTTTCTGGTGGGCGTCGCCCTCGCCCTCGTGTTTGCGCATCTTCTTCGTTTACGCTATTCTATGCGCTACGTTTTTTCATTTTTTTTCCTTCATCATTTCGGAACACATGAGTCATAAAGGAATGAATTGTAGAAAAATTTCGAGTTAATTATTCATTGGAAATGGCCCATTTTCTCGAATGGTCTCATTACAGTACTTAATTGTAATGTTCGGTTTTGGCAATGAAATTGGAAAACTGGAATATTGAAAAACCTTTTGAACACTGGGGGTGTTTACGAAATCCAGAATCAACTGATGATCTAAAAAAAAGTTTTTAATTTTTTCGAGTTTTCGCCAACAATTGTAGCATTTGCAACTATAATACGGAATAAATTGGATTCCAATTCCACTTTTTATAGAGCCATTTTGATGGAATTTCCAATTTCTCATTTTTTTTTCTCAAAATTTGATTGAATAGAAAAAATGAAAACCAGTTCCATTTACAAAACAAACAACACGAAAATCGTAAAAAAAGACAAATTTATGAGCCTTTGTAATCCAGGAAACAAAAAATGAGAACCCATTGATAACAACGCATAACAACAAAGTATGTCAATCAACAATGAAAACACGCCTAAACTAATTATGATAATAATCAAATGATTAATACTTGCGGATTCGATTAATCGCGCCGCAGACAAGACTGTAACTGGCAATGTCTTTTCTCACTTGATTCACTAATTTCGACGGCACCACTGGTTTCGTAGAAACGATCTTTTGACAAATGATGACCTGAACGAGAAGTGATTTTGAAGGATAATAAACGGATATCAAATTCATCTCCCTCCCTCATCGCTTACGATAACAGAAACAACATCATTTGATTAAAATGACCTTGAATAATCGAAAAACACGATTAATTGATCAATAAAAATTCTCGATTGTTCTAACCAAATATTCGTTGGATCATCTCAGAAAATCGTACAGTAGAAACGGAGATGAATAGATTTCGGTGAAACCTACGCAAAGAGACTGTGAGATTTGGAGAGACGGAGACATTTGTTTTCGCCTCCGTTTCACCAAATATCACGTTTGTGGGACACGATTTGCTAAGTTGACACGAACTTCATTTTAATTTTGAAACTTCAGTATGAAACTTGTAGAAAAATTGATTACCTCATTGACATCCTCACTGGAAAATATAGTGTAGATTGCTCCAAAATGCTTCGCAACTTTTTCTTTCGTCTCCTGAGCAACTCTATCATCTCTTGTCACAAGATTCATCAAAGCAATTCCATCTTCTTTCAGACTGTTGGTCAGGTTACACAGCGCTTCTTCGGTGAGGAAGGATGGAGGAGGACAAGACAATGCAGCATCTTGATTTCCGGAAACGTCGATGAAAATTGCGTCATATTTGTCCTTGCCATCAGCAATATTTTTGAGGAACACGAGGGCGTCTTCGCATTTGATGTCGACACGTGAATCCGAATGGGGGAACGAGAAATAATCATTGGCGATGCGAATAATGGTAGGATCAAGCTCTACACCCGTCACCATGCTTTTTTTAAATTGTCGAAGCAAGTATGCTGTCAAAAGACCTCCTCCAAGACCAAGAACCGCAATCTAAATTTTCAAGAATAAATATTGAACAAAGAACTCGAAACCTTCATGGGCACATCGTTTTTCATCAATGCTTGAGTAGGTGAAAGAGAGAGTCCAGCAATCATCATCGTATGGAATTCACATGCCAAATTGTCGAGATCCACAACTTTTTTTCCTTTCTTTCCACCTAAAAGACAATTTAGAAATATATTTTAAAGTTTAAATTTTACTTTTAATAATGGCTTCCGATTGAACCAAATTCATTGTGTTGATGAAAACTAAACGTCTCGTGATTTTACCATCAATTGGTACTTCTTCAACGGACCATTCTCCATTGATCTATAAAAACACGTTTGTTTCAAATCGTAGCAAATCTAATAGAACAAACCTCCGATCTTCCGTTAGCCACAGGTTTCTTCACATCAATTCCACCGACAGAGAGAATATCGAACTGGAGATAATACGCAATGAAAAATTAGATATAATTTACTAACCACCCCGGCGTCTTCTTCTGATCTTATATCGAGTAAGCTGACAAAATGTCCGATTTCTCCTTTTACGACTTCAATGTTTCCGTAGGAATGCTGACGACTGAGGAACACAGTAACAAGGCGATCATGACCGCATTGAGCTCGCAATGCTTGACGACCTTTGGGAGTGGCGAACATCCATTCAGCATCCCTTAACACTAACACATTGCAAATTTTACGAGATATCGAATAAGAACCTTCCGATTGGTACAATAAATGTTGCGAATTTCTTAAAAACGGTTACATCCGGGTTGTCAATGACACAGATTCGATAACGGGGTCCTGTGGTTGGGTCGTCACCCTGGAAGTCGATTGAAACCTCGCTTTTCAATTTCTTCGAGCACAAATGAATAAATTGAGCAATTTCTTGTTCAGCGAGAATTGTTGCTTTGAGATCAAACATGTTCGAGATACGTTCTGCTTTTTCAGAACTGGTTCTCCAAACTTCCAATGGCTGCAAAAAAATATTTTTTTATTATTAAGAGGATTTTAGCTAACCAAATTAGTAGGCATTGCACATCGCATTTTTGTGGCAATGAGCACAAAAACTGGCATTGGAAATCCACCTGCTTTGTTTTCGACTTTTTGCACACGAAGTATATATTGTTTTCTAAACATTTTTTTTTAATTCGTGTCAATTCAAAATAAATTCACGTTTCAACGAAGAATGCTAACCAGAAATCAATTAAATGCGGTTGTGCCAAAGTCACAATCAGATACCGTCCCCCGGATAGAAGAACGCGATGAACTTCGCTGAACATCTTTAACACAATCGCTTTTTGGTCATCATTTGGATTTGGTGGTAGTAAAGCATCCAGTGTTCCTTTATCAAGAACAACAGCATACGATTCATTAGCAAATTCTAACTAAAAAAATTATCTAATTCAAAGTATTTTCGAATATTCTTACATTCGTTGCATCACCTTCTGCAAATGATAAATCAGGTCGTTCCTTATTACGGCGTTTCTGATCGGCAATAACCGATGGTTCGACATCAATACTATGAATTGATCTGTACCCATTGTCATAAAGCTATAATGCGATATCTAATATGAGCTTTATTGAAACAATTTAATACTTGAGAGGCAAGTTCAGAGCTACCACAACCAATTTGTAGAACATTGTTTAGCGGTTTAATATATTTTTCGAGAACCGGGGATAGCGAATTATAATCACCGTACCTGAAAATGACAATAAAGGTTTCTTTTTAATGTCCTAATAAATTCAATAAACTCACCATTCGAACGGAGTCTTTCGTTGAGCAAAAAAATTTTTCCAGTATAATGGATCAGTAAACGCCGTCGCGGTTTTCGGCAAAACACTCGGACCCATTCTTAATTCGATATTTTAAAAAATCTACCATTTCTAAAATACTTTAGGAACTTCACACCAACAAAAGAAATAAACAAACATCTAAATTTAAAAAAAATCTGTTTTATTTTGTTTAATTATTATGAATTATCATGGGTATGTTATATCACATATCAATCATAAGTGACTGTTTAAAAGCTAATTTAACCGACTAGAAATACAAATTTGATATTGTTAACACCTGTATCACAACAAAATATAATTATATGTCGTCGTCTGACATTTCATCGAGTAATCCTGACATAGAAACTGTATTAGTCGGCACGGAAGCATTCCGTCTTTGTGGTAAACCGGATTCGACATCCTCATCATCTTCGTCTTCTAATCGGAAACCTCTGTTGATTTGATCGTCAAGAGGACGATAACCATGAGAATGTTCAGATCTTCCCCAATTCGGATCATTCTTCATCACAGTGTGTCGGCATCCATAGATCAAGAATAGTATCACAATGCACATTGAAGGAACGAGAATGAATAGAAAACTCATCGAGTCCTGTAACTCCCATTTATATTTAATTTAAAAACTATAACATTACCACGATCCCAATGAACATATAACCATGAATCGGTGATAGATAACGATTCTCACGAAGCGCACGTTTCACAATTCCCATACTTCCGTCGTTTTCAGAAGGAGTGATATTGAGCACATGACACATTAAACCATATAAGTCAATGTTTTCGGGAATATCAGCAATCTAAAATTAAAATAAATGTATATTGTGAGAACAATTCAATTACGGTGAAGTTTTCGGAAAACGCAGGGCCGTTCATTATCAAAAATGCGCGCATTTCTGGTCTATCCGGATCCATTCCATGGGTTGATGAATTGAATTTTGTTGTCCCATTTATTCCGTAATCTCTGAACATTTTTCTTCCGATTCTGTCAAATAATGATACTCACGCTTCTAATTGTTCTTTTCGACAGCTAAATGAGATGGCAGATCCAATTCTCGGCTCAAATACAATTTCGCCAATTCTTGTGCTATTCTGGTAATGAAATCGCGTTGGAACATCTTTCTTCCAATGTACATCCACTTCAAATTGGTTCTTTTTAACAGCTTCCGTCAAATTGTGGAAAATTGCTTCAGCGATTTCTTTCGAATGAGGATAAATCATATGATCACCCATTTCAAAACCATTCGCACTGACGTAATCATGAATACACATAACGTGTTTCTCATCTTTGATTTCCGCATGTCCATGATCAGCAGTTAAGATTATGTTAATTTGTGAGCTCAGATTATTCGCCTCGATCCTAAAATTTTGGATATTGTCGAAGACGGATTGGACAAATTTGAATGGATCAAACGCGTTAGCGTTATCTTAGCGAAGAAATCAAAAAAATTTCGCACGCGCCTTTAATATCTACCGTAATTTTCAATGTATTTCATAATAGATCAAATCGAAAATAATTATTAGGCCATGGCGCCAAAATTTGAATAATAAACAACACATTTTTTAACATTAAACAAAAACAAGTATGTATTACCTCTCAATGAAATATCGAAAAAGCTTGTCGAGCTCTGTTAATTTCTTCTTCAGTTCGCCATTGTGAAATCCGTTAGTGTGAAGGACATGGTCAGGTTCGGCGATATACCTGAAACCAACTTACATCAAACCGAAGTCAACATTTTTCTACAAACCAAGCAACAAAATTCATAGGATCTTTTTCTCTCATGAATAATTCAATAACTTCATCAGCATCTTTCATCCAAGTATTTAAATTTCCGTAGGTCTTCCACGACTTGGAATACTTTGGTTTATGAGGAATGTAAGGAAACGGAGAGTCTCCGTTCGGCCAATATAAGGCTGCAGATCTTCGCGTTGTTTCCCATCTGAAGATTAAAAGTAATCGGGAAACAAGCTCAAGACCGTACCGTTCATTTGTTAACCAAATAGGATCTCCTTGATACCAGAATTCCTCTTGAGATGCATTAACGACACCAGGTCTTCCAGTCATGTTGAAATAATCAAATCTAAACAATACATCGAAACAAGGTTACACTATTGTGAACAAACGATTTTTTCGTGTATTCATCGAAGAAATAATTGGCAACAATTCCATGGTTTTCCTCATACAATCCAGTACTGATACTCATATGATTTGGGGCAGTGTATGTTAAATATTGCGATTTTACCCCTGATGTAAACCATGTACTTTTTGTTGCAAATTTGTATATATTAGGAACCTGAATTTGAAAATCTAAAACCTCAAAATCTTTTTTTTTTAATTCTTACCAACTCTTCATTAAGTAAATCATTGCGAAATCCGTCAAACGATATCAGCAATAATTTAGGATGATTGGACAAGCCAGCTGTTATTGTTATCCATGTTAGTATCAAGGCAATTTGCATACTTCCATAAGCTTTAAGATTACAGAAAGTATAGCAGCTGCCTAAAAATGAAAATCTTGAGAAACATCTTGGATAAAAAAACATAATTATTGCTGTCTCACAATGGAAATTTGATTAAATGCGCACTATGGAAAAATGAAAAAGCAATGCTCGAATGAACTATGTTTAAGAAAAAATCGAAATTAATTTTTAAAAAATGGAAAAAATAAACGGTTCGTTCTTATCTTATACGAACAACAATTAAATAATTAAAAAATATTTTATATAAAATAATTAAAAACAACTTGGAAGAAAACGGGGAATAATTTTAAAAAAATCTAATACTATGAACATCGTGTAACCAAAAACAAATACAGTAATGGCCGTGAAAATTTTTGTCCACGGCCGCCATTTTTAAAACATTCGAATAAGAAAAATTAGTCCATGGACCAAGGTGCTAATAAGACATACCTTTTTAGATAATGAGACGAAAAGGGTGAATTGAGAAATTAAGTAACTTTCACAACAAACAAGATACATTAACATAGTCAAATGAAAGGCTAAAGGGGAACGAAATAACAATGTGGCCAAAATGACAAATCGGTCCAACTACAGATTTAAATTACCATCATAATATGAAAGAAAAAGTAATCTAAATTTAATTTCGAAAGATATCGTTTAAATAATTCTTTTGTGAGATCCCATTGGGTATTACCCTAATTATCTTTACAAGAAATGGAAATCGAACTGAAAAATTTAAGGAAAAAGTAAAAGAGAATATAAAATGATAACAGATCCACTAAATTCAATTTTCCACGCCGTAATTATTTTTTTAAACTGGAACCATTTCAGGACTGGTTTCTGCCTAATTGTATGGTTTGACTAAATATACCACCTTCAGGTTAAATTTTCGTTCAGTTTCAATCATAGAAATTAATATTTAGCATTTCAAATCCAGGTTGATCTTTTGTTTTTTTTTTTTGCAATATTTAATTCACATAAATACTTATGTACTTCCATTTTTTGTTCCAAAACAAATCATAACAATGGACTTTTTTCTGCATTATTGTTGTTTGTTGTTGTTGTTGTTGCTACTGCCAGTATGCGCCATTTTCACCCTTTTTTCCAGTTGACTCACGTCACATCCGGTGCTAAAAGAAGGTGGAGTCGATGAAGAAGCACACGAAAATAATGCGCAAAAGGAAAATCCAGCAAAAACTTTGATGCCGTTTTATTCTTTTCGCACTACTTTCTTTTCTTCTTTCCGTTTCGTTTTTTGGCTATTTAAAATTCGCACTATACGTCGTTATTTTATTTATGCTAGGAATGGGTTGCGGCTCATCTTCACCAGAAGTTGCTCCGGAACCCGTTGAAGAAACATCTCCATCATCGGAAGTTCCATCTGATCCAAAAGTCTCTCACAGCTATCGCCCTTCCATTATTAGTTTGCAAATACCGAATGATTTTGGCGACGATGTCAGTTCGGATGCGCTAAGGTATGAAGTACCAATTTATTGTGCTGATCTGGTCGTACTCGAACTGCACTTTTTCATAATTTCTGAAGACTAATGAAAAAAAAAACCAATGATTTTGATCTGATAGTGCGTTTAATGGTTTTTTTTAAATTTTAAGTGACCGGTCTGAAGGTCATGAAGAAAATAAAGACTACCTCTTCTCAACCGACGTCACACTTCAATGGCTTTTGCAACGAATCTCCGACAAACTCAAAAAGGAAATCCCCGAAGAGCCCCAATGGATCGTTGAGCGTTTGAATAGGCCAAGTTGGGATGTCGACTATGCCACTTCGTCGGTGGTCCGTGTCACATTTGGTTGGGACGATGACGATTTGCCAAAAAGTGTTGTGCTCAAAACACCGGTTGCAAAAGACCAAAGAGAAGACGAAGAGGGAAAATACCATTACATTATGTTCAAAAGGTTGGAGAAATGGCCAATCTAAACATACATATATTCAAAGCTTTTTCATTAGAGAATGCAATGTCTACGAATGGACGCAAAAGTTTCCTAAGCTTATTGCGCCGAATATAATTCACATCAAGAAACATTCAAAAGAAGGCAGCGGAGTCGTAGTAATGGAAGATGTCAGTGAGAAAGGGGTGGAGCAAGATCCCGTGAAAGGGCTCTCGCTGGAAGTTGTTAGAGACCTACTCAAACAAATTGCATACCTTCATGCCACCTCTCTTAAGCACACTTCTTGGAGCACCTTGGTTAGAAATAAAAAAATCGACTCTTCGAAATTTTCAAATCTAGGTTGCTGATCTTCCTCCTTCGTACTATGCGCACATCATTGGAAATTTCGACGATACCATGACATTCTTTGAACGTCAAGATGTTGATCATTCACGATTTGTGGTAAAAATGTTCAGTACAAATTTTATAAACGTTTTTATTCAAATAAGCACCTTGCCAAATTTTTCTCTGCCGAATATCTTCATACAACTGCAACAGAAAGTACAGATGAGCTTGGAATGCCTAAAGTTTTGGTTCACGGTGAGCCATACGCAAGCAATGTTTTTACGAAAATGGAAGGAAAAGAAGAAAGAGTGATGGCTTTGATTGATTTTACAGGTGAGCTATTCCAAAAAAATACTATTTTTGGTAGAAAAAGGGAAAAATGATTTTAAGAAAGTCATTCCGGCTGCTTTGCTGAAGATGTTGCCAAAATAATCTCCTGGAATTTGAATGCAAAAGAGAGAACAAACAACACTGGAAGTCTTCTAGAAGGATATCATTTCCATCTAGCCCGATATTACGACGGTGATTGTCCGTTCACTGTGGACCTCATTCAGAAGGCATATGAGATGTTTGTCCCTTTCGCAATGGTGTCTTTATGTGGAAAGGTGAATCATTAAAGTTGTTCCGACCTCTTAAATACAAATATTTGCTTGAAATATAATATTTTGAATGGTTTCAGGTGATGAGTATAAAGAATAAAGGCGATAAGGAACCTCTGATTGAGCGAGCTAAAAGCCTGATACAGCAATGCTACACAATGGAACGGCTGAACGAATGATCCAATTCAAAATTAACCCGTTTGTTATTATTTTATTTACATTTACTGTCTTTCAGTTATTAATATTAGTTGAATGCATGATTTAATAATAAATACACATAATGTGCTGATAAATTTACGTGAACACTACTTTCCATAAACGTTTTATTCTCGAAGGAGATCGATTAATATTCGGTAACTTCTTGCCTTATCTTCATTTCTTTTTTTGATTCGGCTGCGTTTTGCAGAAGCCACTGAAAAAGTCGAAAAATGACCCATTTGAATTATGAGACGAAAATGCCGCTTGGCACGGCGGTCATTGATCAGTTTTTGGGTCTCAAACCACACCCAACCAAAATCCAGGCGACGTATGTTTGGATTGACGGAACAGGAGAGAATCTGCGATCAAAGACGAGAACATTTGACAAGTTGCCGAAGAGAATCGAAGAATACCCGATCTGGAATTACGATGGATCTTCAACGGGACAAGCCAAAGGAAGGGATTCAGATCGTTATTTGAGACCAGTGGCATCATATCTTGACCCATTTCTCGGCGGGAACAATCGACTGATTCTATGCGACACTTTGGACCATGAAATGCGTCCTACAGGTATGCCTAAATGACAAAACCATGCAACTTACGGCTCGATTCAGCAACAAATCATCGCCAAATGTGTGCCGAAATCATGCACGAGATTCGCGATGCAAAACCATGGTTTGGAATGGAACAGGAGTATTTGATCATTGATCGCGACGAGCATCCACTCGGATGGCCAAAACATGGATTCCCAGCACCACAGGGAAAGTATTACTGTAGTGTTGGAGCGGATCGTGCATTCGGTCGCGAAGTCGTCGAAACTCATTATCGCGCTTGCCTTCACGCGGGTCTTAATATCTTTGGAACAAATGCTGAAGTTACTCCAGGACAGTGGGAGTTTCAGATTGGAACATGCGAAGGAATCGAGATGGGTGATCAACTATGGATGGCCAGATACATCCTTCACAGGTAATTCATCAAGTCGTTGAGGTTACATACACAAATCAGAGTTGCGGAACAATTTGGAGTATGTGTAACTCTTGATCCAAAACCAAAGATTACTATGGGTGATTGGAACGGTGCCGGATGCCATACAAATTTCTCAACGGCGGAGATGAGAGCCCCTGGAGGAATTTCTGCAATAGAGGCAGCAATGGAAGGCCTCCGTAAGACCCATCATGAGGCAATGAAGGTCTATGACCCAAATGGAGGTCGTGACAACCTTCGTCGTCTTACTGGTCGCCATGAGACCAGTTCGGCCGATGAGTTCTCGTGGGGAATCGCCAATCGTGGCTGCTCTATTCGAATTCCTCGACAAGTGGCTGCCGAAAAGAGGGTTCGAGTTTCCTTCGTTACTTTTCATTTGATGCAATATTTAGGGATACTTGGAAGATCGTCGCCCATCATCTAACTGCGATCCGTATCTTGTGACTGCAATGGTCGCTCAGAGCATTCTTCTTCAAAATGAATAAACGGATGAATTATTAAAAAACTTCACAGGGAATTAATATAAAAATAGCAGACAATATAGAAATTTGCATTATTAGTTTTAGAGTTTGAAGAGTATAGCCTGCTTTGGTGGAACAATAAGTTTGTTGCTGGTTAGATCGACCTTCTGTCGAGAGGAATAGCGTGTGACATTCATGGTAGTGACAGAAATCTGAAAAAGAAACGTTTCGAGAATTTAAAAATTTAATTAAAAAAATACCTCGGCGTTATTGACTTGCTTATTTGGCGGAATTAAACGATTCGATGGAGCATTGGCGAAATCAATCCCTTGTTCAATGTCTCCGAAGTTCAAAGCCACCACATAGACGGCTCCAGCGGCGGTTTTATTTTTTCCTTCCACAAATCGTGAAAAGAGAATAACCTCGTTGAGCATCTCATCTCGTACAGTTTCACCGACAATCAAAGCTTCATCTCGCTGACGAAGCTTAGCCAATTTGCGGTATGTTTTCAATGGAGAAGTCTCAAGTCCAAATTGTGTCTGAATCGTTTCAATTTTCGTTTTAATATTATGAAAATCTTTACCTCGAAATTGTCTTGTCCTGACAATTCGTTGGTTTCAGCAAAAAACAAATCCCCGCCACTGAAACTACTGAATCCATGATGATCTTCAGTTGTTGGAGTCCATTGCATTATTCCGCGCTGTCCGTCAGTTCCTAATTTATTTACTCCATCCTTTAACCCAAGTTCTTGTCCATAGTAAATTGAAAGAGCTCCAGGGAGAGTCAATTGCAAGAAATTGAGGAGCTGACTCGTTTGCGAATCAAATCGACTGGCAAGTCGAGAAGAGTCGGAATTCGAGAATTGCCAATGCGGTACATATTGCTTATTCTGAAAATATTTTTCTAAAATAATTTTCCTAGAATTAATTTGGAAACGAGAAAATAATAGGTTGTCGACCAGGCATATCCATTCTAGTGGAATCTAATAAACAACACGAAAACATAAATGCAAAGAGAATAAAAAACTACATTGATCTACATTTATAAACTTACATGTTTTTGGATTATGTACTTTTCCACCTAAACCCCAATTATTACAAACTATATATTTACTGTCGTTTTTCCCACAAATAAAAAAGCTGGGATGAATAATTTTGAATACGCAGATTATTTCTTGACGCAATTAACAAACCACTTAATTTTCTTCAATAAAGCGTTAAAAAATTACACGCAATTTAAATTTTTCTCATTTGTGAGAAACGACAATACATATATGATTCCTATATATGTATATGTATATATATATATATTTCAAAATTTAACCTCATGACGTTGGTAAGCAGTATCGAGTGCATTATGGACACATTTGGCAATTGATGGTTCACATTTGGCTTGTGTAAGAGTTGTAAATGAATTATCAATAACATATTGCAAATCTCCAGTTTGGCGAGCAACGGTATGAAGGGATTCGATATCTCGAAGCGAAGAGAACAATACACTAAAATTAAATAATGTTTTTTTTACAATTTAGTGTCAGTATACATATTCTTCTCTCTTAAATCAGCATGTCCTTTAATGAAATCCCGAATAGATGTAGTAATCTCTTTGAGATTTTCAATAGCTTGATTGTGCTGAAATGATAATATTTCCACAATTTTCAAAATTTAGAAGGAAGCTAAATTGCGGATGTATTCATGCAATATAAATTTATTTTTTCTTAAGTACCTCGAAAATGTTGGCAGGATATCGTAATTTTCCAAAATTGTGGCTGAATTTTTTCGAAACGTTTATTTAAAATAAAATAGATTGTTTTTTAAATGTTTTTATTGCACCAAGAGGTCCCAACTTACATCGGGTTTTCCGTTGCTATCAAATGCCAGCTGGCTAACATGGTCAATGTGAAATCCGTCAACACCAAGGAGAAGGAATTTCTTTATAGCCTCACTAATTGTTTCTTTAACTTTTATGTTGTTCCAATTGAGAACAGGATTCTCGCTGGTTGGATATCCCAGGTATCTGAAACAATAATTAGATATTCTCATTTTTCGCATTATTACTTCAGCGTATTTGATCCATGGAACGGATAATAGTTAGACAAATTGAATGCTGGTGTCCCAGGTTTAGCAGTCACGAAATGGTCTTGAAGACGGTCGACAAACCAAGGATGCTCTACAGAGACGGAACTAACCGGAAGATCCATAACAATGTACATATCTGAAAATACAAAATAAATAGATATGCAGAATTTGTTTACAAACCTCTGTTATGAACTGTCTCAATAAGCTCTTTGAAATGTTCTTCTTTTCCGAAACGAGGATCAACTTGCATATGATCGATGACATCATAAGGATTGAAGTAATTATCCTAATTTTATGATTATTGATTGTATTCAAGAATACATTTTTATACCTTTTGAACCTGGATTACAGGTGTCGGGTAGATAGTTGTCACCCCAATTTTACGCAAAAAGTCGATCTTCTCGGTTATACCGGCAAAATCTCCAACACCATCTTCGTCCGAATCGCGGAATGTTGCAGTGAGCATCTAAAATGTTAAAAATTGGAAAAACATATATATATATATATATATATGTACAGTACTGGCCATAATGATGTTCGCCTAGTGTTTTTTGAGCATAACTTGGCTCAAACGCAGCCGATCGGGCTGAAATTTTTACTGTAAACGCTAAACACAGTTTCGCAACCTTGGAAACGACAAAATTGCATCATCTTGAAAAATTAATTTTTTTTTCAATTTTTTTGTTTTTTTTCGATTTTACCAATTTTTCATTTTTTTCAAACTTTGTCCATAAAAATTTTTTTATTTGAAATTTGAATTTGAAACATGTTTTTTGTAATTTTTCAACCTTCTGGAAAGAAAAATTTCACGGCGGACGTCCAAAAAGCGATCGTCAACGGTCATAAGACTGGGTCGTCCAGAAGCTCTCTGGCTCAGCAATTCCTGTGCTTCGGAAGAGGAATCCAAAAAGTTTTGCAACGATTAAGACAAAATGTACAATTTTTTAATCATTCTGGACTGTTTCTAATCTCTTGGGCTGCATTTTTGTTAAGAAATCACATGGTAGACATTGCAAAACTACTAGGCTCCAAGATCGGAACATCTGTCGGGCTTCAAGAGAAGATCCTAGACGGACTTCAGCAGATATCCAGATGCTTATGGCAACGCCAAATGCTTCAACACCATCCAGAAGAACAATTAGACGTCGTTTGAGGGATAATGGACTTCATGGAAGACGCCTGGTGAAGAAACCATTGATCAGTGAGAAGAATCAAAAGACGAGGGTGGCATGGTGCAAGGATCATCTGAACTGGGACGATGTGAATGGGCCAAACACATCTAGAGCGATGAATCGAAGTTCAACTTGTTCGGAACTGATGAAATCAAGAGGATTCGTCGACCTATCGGAGCCAGATTCATGCCAAAGTACCACCTCCGAACGGTGAAGCATCTTGCAGGGTCTGGAGCTGCTTCTCCGACACCGCCATGGGACCGCTCCGACGTGTAAATGGAATTATGAATCGGTACCAGTACAAGGATGTCCTGGAAACCACAATGAGGCCTTGGGCATTGGCAAACGTCGGACGTGCATTCGTTCTCCAGCAAGACAACGAGTATGAGCACACGTCTGTACATGTAAAGAATTGGTTCCAACGTCACCGAGTTGATGTTCTTGCATGGCCATCGCAAATTCCGGACCATAATCCGATCGAACACCTCTGGGAAGAACTGGTACACATGGTTAGAGGGCTCCGAGCATCAGTCACCGACGAGAAGTTCGCTCAACTCGAAGCCGCATGGAGTGCCATTCCGATGCAGTGATCCGCACCCTCTTGGACTCGATTCCTCGCAAATGCCAAGCGGTTATTAATGCCAAGGGATACGCAACAAAGTATTGATGATTTAAAAACCGGTTTTCTACACATTTGTAACGTTTTCGGGTTTCTGAGACTTTCAAATCACATTGTGTCATTTTTTCCATTTTCTGCATTTTTATGAAATTTGTGATTTTTCGAAAAAAAAACTTTCCTGCGGTATGCGATATCATTCAAACGCATTTTCAACGCGTTTTAAAGATATGGTAAAAATTTCAGCTCGATCGGCCGCGTTTGAGCCAAGTTATGCTCTGCTCAACTCAAAAAACACTAGGCGAACATCATTATGACCAGTACTGTGTATATATATATATATATATATATATATATATATATATATATATATATATATATATATATATGGACATAATGTCCAAACATTTCATTATTTAATCATATTTTCAATGTTTTCGAGATCCTAAAATTAACTATGCGCAATTGTCCGAGTGCGTAGAAGTACTACATCAATTAGACATTCATTGTTACCCGTGCCGCTTTAAACATTATCTGCGCGCATCACTCAACTATCCACGACACCCATTTTGCATAATTGTTACACTCGTCTATATTATGCATCAATCCCGATGGGAGCGCGAACCGATTAATCAATCAGATAATAATAATGCGCGACGGGAATACAAATTCCTGATGAAAATCGAAAATCGCCATCGTACCTGATACGAAACTTTCGTTTGCCACCAATGTGGTTTTTGCTTTTCAGCACATTTCGGTGAGAGCACAACAATTGCGATAGCTCCTCCAAACATTGCGATCCATGCGAGCCAGAACAAGGCGAAGAGGATGTTTCTGAAAAATAAAACCTTACTCTCCAGATGGGACAATTAATTAGCACAAACCTAACTGGCTTCCAGAAAGGATCATTGCGGTATTTTTCAAGTTGCTCTTTTGTCAATCCGACAGCCTTCGGCTCAAGCTCGAAATTGACACGTTCGGTAGTCTGAAAACGACAAATTGTAAAAACAAAATTGTCTCTAAAATTCATTTCGTTCAGTGCGGAAAGGTTTTTTTCAATGGGAAGTATTGAAGTTATGTGAAACTCGAGAGGTTTTTGTTAATACCTTTTCAAACGTCGCAACATCTCCTGTGTTGTTTCCTTCCTCCGCAATGAGGGCATCGTTTGTCGACATCCTGAAAAGAAGGTGGAAGATTTTTGAATGAAGTTGAATATATGTCTATTTGACGGTTTGCTTTGCAAACAAAACTATTTAATTAATATTGGTACGAAAGATTAGAAAAAGAATAGAGGCAATTTTTGAATGGTGCATCGAAAGGAGAAGGAGGAGGAGATTGAGGAAGACGAATCGGAAAAAGGCGGGCACGAATGTGCGTAAAGGAAAGAATGAGAGAAATGAGGCGGCGAGGGTTCACACTCTGCATCGCCACATTTTATTGCGCTGGCGATAGAGGCGAAATGAAAACGAAAATCGTACAATACCCGGACATCCCACTAACGGTTTTGAAAAAAAAAAACATAATCAATAAAAATATTTTAAAATAGAGAAAATCTAAAATACGTTAACGAATGAAATAAATGGTTTTTGAACCCTTTTGAGACAGCATACAAATGTGGACTGACATTTAGTGTAGAATAACTTGAAATTAAAGACAAAAATTACCTTGAGCATACAATCAAAGTTTAAAATTACAAAATATTTAACTATTAATTATTAACTACTTCAAAATTGGGAGAAATTAGAAAATTTCGCTTAAGTAATCACTTTTCAATACTTATGGAAGCAACTTGTACCCTATATAATTAAATTTTCCAATTGAAATGAGCTGCAACATTAAATTGAATCCGAATCCACTTGAAATGAAGCGAATAATTGCAACAGCAAAACGAAATGAGCTCGGCTTTGGTGTGGCTTCGAAGGGTATTTTTTCAACCTGCGTCTCGGGGTTTAAAACGTTTCGTAGCTTGAGGGGTTTAAAGTACAAAGTAAAAAAAACGAAATGATTCTACTGTGAATGTTGAGTTATTAACAGTCATGATGCAAATAAAATGTTTTATAATATGCATTCTTATATTATTATAATTGATTTGAAACATTTTTGACAGAAAACTAGAATTTCCGGTGATTTGGAAATGCAATAAAAAATCGGCAAATCGAATAAAATTTGAGATACACATTCTGGATACACAATATTTATTATGTATTCAACTATGCAACTCTGGTATTTCCTTTCAAATCGAATACGACAAGTTTCGGCTCCGAAAGTTGCCGGTTTCAGATCAAAATACGTCGAATTCGATTGCGAAATTATCGTTTTCTTTGAAATTCGATTCGAATGCACTCGTATTAGTTTCGAACATTTTTCTATTTGATTCGGATGAAATCGTGGGGGAGGGGGCTAATTATTCGCCTGAGTGATAGCTGACGGAAGTACGGACCACCAATTACCACTTGGCTAAACCCTTTACGCAGATTACTACAAATAATCCACGCTTGGGAAATGAGCAACAATTATTTATACAAATGTAAATACATATAACCGAATGCACTGCGCGAAAAGGTGAGCTAATCTGGGAATCAGGCCAGCGCACCCGTCGGGCTGCACACGAACACATATATACGAATTGGGCTCTGTGCAGCCATATGAGTTTAATGTGCTAACATTGAAAACAAATATTGGTTTCGAGTCAAGATGGTTTCGGTTGACGGTCAAGTATTGTGCGCGCAGCTCTTTGAGGAACGCGCACTCGAATTACCAGTTAGTTGAGGACTTAATCGTTGCCATATTTGAGTAATCGAACACCCTTTGCCTTGGTTTTTGATTGCAGTAAGATTGGAAGTGAAATTGAAAAATCAACAACATATTTGCAGTTCAGCACTTTTTGACAAACAATACACGTCATTTGCACTGCTCAAATTAAAACAGACCATACATAAAAATTGTAAAATGAAGAATTCCACAATATAACGAAATAGGAAACTAGGAAATTTCCAATTTCGAGAAAAATTTCATATGAAACGCGCATGTTATCATGCAATTGGTGCAAACACGCTACACATACCTCACACTACCGTAACAGTAACTTAAAATGTTATGCACATTTTTAATCCAATGAATCCAAAATAAATTATGATACCAATAACGAGAATCATTATGAATGAAGTTCTAAAAAAGTATCTGATAAACGTTTCGTCATTTTCTGCAAGAGCAAACATTCAGCCGTTCATTGTAAGATTCACAAAAAAAATTAATTAGAATTGATAAACGCTCAATCTTGTCTAATATTTCATAATTTCCAAAATTAGGATATTTAATTGGCACTTATTTTCATTTCCCCTTTTCTTTTGAATCTGTAATATAAGTTGACTTAATTACTGTCAATTCTAACAGTTTTACTCTCTTGTTAGAAATTATATCAAGTACAAACAAAGCTTTTAATGACCACAAATCGTCGCCCAAAATTGGGTTGATAACCCTTGGAATGGCTCGCGATTAGCGTGTCACTACGTACCAGCTGCTACCAATTTTCACGTTCTTCATTGATAGACATTATTAGAAAGCTTTATTTTATAAACCGTTTGGTAATTTTTATTTTTCGGCGGCGACAGGCAACCTCTAATATATAAAAACTAGAATCGTCTACTTATTTATCAGTAATAAATATATGGTCTTTATTATTTTTAGATATATGAACGTGAAAATTTGAATATTTAAGAAAAATTTAGTGCTTTTCAAATTAAAAAAGCAAAACAATGAGGTTTTGCCAATATTTATTTGTATTAACCAGGTTTGTTGTATTGGAGTCTATCCATGCCGGATCGAAACCGAATTAACCCAATTGTTGATAAAAAATTTTCTTGAAACGAGTGTAATTGAATAGTTTGTATATGGAAAGTGTTTATATTTGATCAAACTTGATAATTTCGGTTTCCTCGGCTAATTATGAGAAAAATCCATAGGCCCAACATTCCGGTTGAAATGAGAAGCTGGTATTAATTAGGAAATTTCGCACTTATAGTACAAGGAACAGATAAAGAAAAATTTTTTTGTTTTGACCGAAAAATGTTGTTCAGACGATACTAATTTCAAATGTGTGCTAGATAGTGCACGATTCGAGAGATGACCTCTTTGCCCTTTATCACTACTACATATATATATAAGGTTAGTAAGTTGATTATTGATAAAGGAGCTGGCTATCTCAAAGGGGTCGTGGTCATTTTATTATCACAGTGTATACCTACTACCAATCGCTATTATTTCCTAGTTGCTTACAATTTATTGCTCTTCTATTATAGTTGCTCGTTGATAAATATTAAGGTAAGCTGAAAATAACAATAACAAAATTTTGTGTGAGATACGAAAAGAAACAAGTGTGTCATTTTTCTATTATAAATATTAAATGTTTTTTCTAAATATTAAACTTTTAAAAAATTGTAATAGAAAAGATTTTGAAAATAAAAATCAGATTTTTCGTACATTGGTATGTATACGTGCTAGAATTGAGAACAGTGTTTTTTTTTTTTCAAATGTATTCCTGCTCTCAAATTTGAATCAAAAAATCGTAAAATATCTTAAGTTGGATAGACTTTTATTAAGAAAATTTTTCTACTGTCGTTTTAAGTCATTTCATTTTTATCAATACAGTAGTCTGTTATTGCAAGCTGTTTACTCATTTTTTCAGTTTTCAATCAGTTTTTGGTCGAGTCCCAACTCTAATAAAAACGACGATAAACAAGTGAAATTCTATTTTTGCTGACTTTGTTAATTGTTATCAACACACTATTCATACCGGTAGCTCCTCTTTCGCCTTGTTTTTTTTAATATAGCAAAGACGGAAATTAATGAAGGATTTTAGTTTTTTTTTTTTAATTTTTCAGAAGCAATCCAAATGGCTCACGAACCAGCACACCCGCACGTCTTCGAGGCTTCCGACTTGGCAACTAAATCCGTTATCGTGTACTGTGACCGCGCTGAAGTCAAGCGGCTCGTGCAGGTCGAGCTCACCAAGGGCAATCACGAAATTGTCGTGCAGGTGAGCTAATTTTGCGTGGGTTCTAATCAATGCACTTTCCTTTGCATAATACGCATCAACGAAATTTCGATAACGTTGCAGAAAACTTGAGATTTTTCGTGTAAACATCAACCAGCGTCGTATGATGTTTGACATTTCGCCGAAAGGGTGGAAATTGCAACAAAACTGTAAACACATATCCGGAAAATGATATAATTTTTCTTATATTGTTTCACGCAAACTGTTGCCATATATAGATTAATCTTGTATCAACATATTTTTTCGATGGCGCTAATCAAAATTTCGATTTAAACTGTGGGAATTCCTATACCGTACCACCGATAGCCTGCGAATCAAATTCACCATAAATTTACACACGGTGTTCGTTTTTTTTGCGATTGGAATAGATAAAGAAGCTCTGATACAAAATTACTGGAAGATCAAACGATTCTTTGTAATTGGATGCTGCTTATGAATCATTATGAATCATTTTAACACTCAATTCGAATTTTTAAGCGAATTAAAATATATCTCGTCGTGAAGTGTTCAAATTTTCCACCCATCCAATCTTTCAATGTTGAAAAAAAAATTGTCAAAGTCCACACAATGTTCCTTGTATCGCCGAAAATTTCTTCATGATAACGCCTTTTTTGGGAGTGAGATAACGCGTTTTGCAAACTCAGGAATATTTTACAGAATGTCTCCGCCGTGATTGAGCGAGAGTCGGTGCGTGTCGACGGATTGGGTGTGCTCATTCAGGAAGTGCAATATCAAGAAATGCCTCATGATTTGAGTACTGAAACGGATAAGGTTGGAAATTGAAAGAATGACAGCGCAATGAAAAATGTTTGAAGATAATCGAGTTGGAGAAGACGAAAGCAGATTTGGAGTGTGAAAAATGTACAATCGAGGATGAATGTTGTTCGATTCGAAAGCGAATTGAGGTCTTGGATGGAATTGCATCTCAAGTCTCTTCGAGTTCTCCAGGAGTCTCATTCGCCGCTCAAAAGCCATTGTTGACTCAAAATTCGAGCCAACCGAATTTGGCTAGACGTCATACTGTAACGGGACAAGAACCAAACATTTTGGGTTTAGGAAACCCGGGCGGACCCCCGTCGTTCTTGTTAAACGAAGAATCTCTGGAGAACCTGGCCAAGTTTCTTCAATATTACGGTATGTCGAACACTTGTGCGCCTCATCTTTGTCTTTTAAGGAAATGCGGTTAGCGAGATGAAGCGCGAATTGCGCAAGCGTCAAAGAAACACCGAACAATTGACTGAACGAATCGATCTTCTTGATCGCCAATTGGATCAACTTCGTTGCGGTGCGGAATATGACTCCGTCAAAAGGTCAGATAAAACCCATTTATACAAATATAGTACCCGGATTTTCCCGGTGGGAATGACACAAATAACTTAGATTCATTTTTAAAATTAGTACCCTGGAGCAGTACGTGGTGGTGGGCAGTGATCACAGGATCCTGTAAAATTACCAATTCGAATTATGCTCGAAATATCACAAAATCCTTACCCTTTGCTCCTGGCTCTCCTGGTTTTCCTGGCTCTCCATCGACTCCGTCCTTTCCATTTTCTCCATCTTTTCCAGCTGGACCAGGCTCTCCTTGAAGTCCCGGTCTTCCTTGTTGTCCTGGTCTTCCATCTTGTCCTGGTTCTCCTTTCTCTCCTGGCTCTCCTGGCTCTCCTGGTTCTCCTGGTGGAGAGGAAACAGTGCGCTGAACTCCTGGCGCTCCGTTTGCTCCTTTGTCTCCTGGCTCACCATCGGCACCTGGTGGTCCAACTGGTCCTGGGGCTCCTTTGGTTCCAGGGCGTCCAACTGGTCCTGGTTCTCCAGGGTTTCCTGGCTCGCCATCAGTTCCCTTTGGTCCTGGCGGTCCTGGCGGTCCAGCCGGACTTGGTTCGCATTCGAAGCAGAAGTCTTCGGCGGTTGGCACATCTGATGGATCTGCATCCTTTCCTGGGCTTCCTGGAGTTCCTGGCTTTCCATCTGGTCCTGGCTCTCCATCATCTCCTGGCGCTCCCACTGGTCCTGCAGCTCCAGAACCGCACGAACAGCATTTGTCATGGCTTTGACGCTTTTGGCGGGTTGAAGCGACTGCCGAATCGCGATAAGCAGCCAATCGGTTGTATTCATTGCGAAGGGAGTCAGTTCGAGACTTGCAAAAAGTCAAATCGTCTTGAAGACCTGATTGGATGTTCTGCATGTAAAGGCATAGCATCGGAACGGCCATAATCACGGTAAGCGTGGCGACTGTCGAGGCGGCAATTCCTAAATAGGCGACTAATCAAACAATCACAAAAAATGCATACCAAAGAAGGCAAACTTCTTAACGGACTGGCGATCATCTTGCAGGTTAACCATCCTAAAGAATTCAACATAATTTGATATATTAATATGCATAATATAATTAAACACATAAATAAAAACTAATGTAAATGTCTTAATGAGATGGTGTTCCATTCGCAATGAATACGCATTGCGCACCACGCTTTTATATATCTGATAAGCCGAAAACGGACTTGCTAAGAAGGCGGCCGGCGGCGCATAAAAAAGTGAGCCAGATATGTATACCTTCTCTTCTCATCGTTCCGCCATCACTGTTCTGCGAGGCGATTTTTTGTAGATTTCTGATCGTACGAGTTTTGTTGACTGACGACGTGAAGAATGGCATGCATTGGGCGTCGACGGATTTATGGATCAAGCATTTCATAATAAGGGTGATCAATGCTGTCTTGTGACGATAAGAACATGTCTAACATAATATTACAATATTAGAGTTGTTTGAGACCTAGAAATTTAGATGAAAACAACAATAACGATGCGTTGATGTTTGCTATCAATTAAAATGTAATTAACGTTCGGCAATTACAATTATAACAATGTATTACTACATAGAAATCGTTTAATCAAACAATGTCATAAACACCTCTCGTGTTGACAAGTGAATCTCAAATAGTATTTTTCAGAAACATCAGTATTGTGGTCGAAATGGAAGAACCCCGAAAAGTCGAGTTGTTTATCACGTACCAGGTTTATTGCGCAAATTGGAAGCCGTGTTACGATATACGCGCAAGTACTGCCGAGGATGAGGATCAACACACCTCTGTCCAGCTCTGCTATTATGGAATGGTCGAACAGAACACTGGCGATGATTGGAGAGACTGCGACATTGTGTTGTCGACATGTGCCGCATCTCTCGGCGGATCTCCGCCGCATCTGGCTACTCTTTCGGCGACTCTCAACAATTCAAAGAATTCGAGGCGTCATGGTTCATCAGCGGCGAATCGCCGAAAACCAATGGGACTCTCGGCGGCTTCTGAGGAGGACATGGGTTTCGGCTCATTCGACTACAATGAGATTGTCGACGCGGCCGCTCTTCATCGCTTCAATAATGGAATTCATAGTCGCAGTAGCGAGGAAAATAGCGTTTCAACACAAGGAATCGAGACCATGGTATCCACGTGTTTCTCGATTCCAAGAACCGTCACGATTCTCAGCAATGGTGCTGAGCATAAGCTTCTCATTTCGAAGGTTCGCTTTAGAATATTATTTAGTTTTAATGTGCTGTTTAGATGGACCTTTCTTGTGCGTTTTCGCACGAATCTGTCCCTTCTCGATCCACCAACGCTTTTCTTTCGGCTCGTATCACTAACAGCACCCAATTACCTCTGTTGCCAGGCCCAGCTGCCGTCTATGTGAACAACTGTTTTGTAACCAAGACTCATTTGCGTCTTGTTTCACCCGGAGACGAGTTTCGATGCAATATGGGTATTGATCCATCGGTGAAAGTTGAATACAAATCCCCAACCGTCACTCAGGAGCAAGTCGGCTTCATGTCGAAGAGTATCCTAATGACTCACGAACAATTGATCAGTGTTCGTAACGCAAAAGTTAGACATAGTGTAATCATCACCGTTAAAGAACAGATTCCGAAAAGTCATGATGATAAAATAAAGGTAGACACTAGGCTTAAACATTGAACTAATACACACACATTTATTTTGAAGGTTTCCGTAGTTTCTCCGGAGATTAAAACATCTTCTTCAGCTGCTACTCGCCAGGAAGCACGTTTGAACAAGGATCATAATCTTGAATGGAGTGTTGTTCTCGCTCCGGGACAACATCGATTGCTGCCTGTTAAGTACACCATTGAGCATCCGGCGTCGGAATCTCTGTCATACAAAATGCTCTAGAATCGCTCAATTTATTTGTATACATCGTTTTATTTTTAAAAATTATAAATGTTTTCATAATAGCTTGCGAGTTTTAGGTTTCTGCCAATTTGCTGTATGAATAGAACGAGGAGGCAAATCCAACAAAATGTACTGCCCAGTAGTTGTATCATCAAGTCGAGCTCTAATTGGGCTGCTGCTTTTGTTGAGTACGACAATCGAACGTCTTCCTCCTGTAACTGATACTGCAGCTGCAGATACAGCAAGATTGCCGTCGACCTGATAGGAGTGTATACTTTACAATAGAAAATCACATTTTCCAAACAATACCTTCACACCAATTCTGCGAGAACCTTTCGGGAAAAACTTGCTGAAATGTCCAAGCGCGTAAAACATTGGCTGTTTGTAAAACTCTTGAGACGTTTTGTTGACGATGATTGGCGCGTCAACGACATTGTACGCCCAATTCGGACCACCAATTTCATCAAGACACAAATTCCAGTCGGTCCAACCAGTCACGTGATGATTTAAATCCGTTATGATATCGTCAGCGTATGATTCCGCACGAAACCAGTCACCCATGATTGGACCATGATGACCGAAATAGCCAGCACAAGCCTAAAAATTAATTTATTAATGAAAATAGATCAGAATTTACTTCAGTAGCGAGAATAAATTTATCCGGATGTCGTTCATTGGTCCAATCCAAAGTTGTGGCGGGAGAATATAAATTTCCATACCAATGAACAGCAACCCCATCGGCATATTGATTGGCAATGGGATCATTAAAAATCTGACAAGATAATCGATAATAAAAACAAAAATTAAACATTTACGGTGTCAGCCCATCCCGGAAGAAGAATTCTTCCGTCATCAAGGATCATAACCTTTAAATCTTTCGTTATCTTGTTACTTTTTAATGTAGGGCCTAGATAAAACATGAGAAAATCCCTGAAAATGAATAATAATCGTCTTATGCGATTAATGATAGACCTCATCGTCTCATCAGTAAAGTTGAGAGTTTGCCAACGGTATGTTATATCAGCTCCACTTGAAGGCTCGTTTTGAACCGTGACACCCCAAAATGGTATTCCATTCTTCAAATATTCTTCGAAAAATCTTAATATAATAAATATTTGTTTAATTATCGATTATTCAAATCGCTTACTTAACAAAATAATTTGCATAAGCTTGATAAATTTTTGGATCTTTCTTCATTTCTCCCCCGCCTCTCATTCTTCCATTTACTTTCATCCAACCGGGACAACTCCACGGCGATGCAAACATTCGAATATTCCCAGACGTCATTTTTTGAGCTTTTTGAATGTACGGAATCTGATAGTTTTTGATAATTTTCCGGCGAATTTACATTTTAAAACCTTGTATTTATAATCTTCATCAGCTAGTGCGAAGTGTTGTAGATCAAAATCATTTGGAACATCTGCATAGCTGTATTCTCGAGTAGAAAAGTCAGTACTCGCAATTGGAACTCGACCAATATTATATTCAAGACCTAAATTCGATTGATTGACTTCAAAACAATTCCGAATAACCTTCTTGTGTAAAATAGGCTTCTAAAATTTTATCAGCAATATTTCTATCCAAACTTGCGAGATTGATTCCGGTCGCATCTGTAAACGCACCACCAAATCCATAAATTTCTTGATATTTCTCTCCGGAATTCACCGAGATGGTAACATTCTCTAAATAGCAAATATTTAATATATCAAAAATTTTAATTCATGAAAACCATCTGATTTTGATCCGGACAATACTTTCACAGTAAACCGACGAAGTCTGTCTCCGTCCAAATCTGATCGATATATGACTGCTTTCCCATCTTTCAGATAGCCGAGAGGCTAAATTTTTTCGTATCAATTTTCTGATCAGAATGACATTGTTTTGTTGAGAACGTAGTTTTATCGTAGTTAGTATGTTTGTAGTAGCCGTACTCCCTCGACAAATTCCAAAATTAGGTGTGGAGGTCAATTCGAAAACAATTTTTCTTGTCGATTTTCGCTCATCGACCAAGACAATTCAATTCAGTTTTACACATTATATCGGCCGTCCGTAATTGTACGTTCAGAACACACTTATATTTTCGTTGAGTGGTGGAATTTTTGCGAAAAAACTATTTGGCGAACTTTGATGCGCAACTCACAGCTACCAAAAAATGGAAGAAGAAGAAGAAGAGAAGAAGGACGATTGAACGAACCTCGATTTGGTCACAATATGTCGCATTGCAAACACACACTTGATTCCTAAAGGCACCTTTGTAGATCTTTGGAGAACATTTCGAAGATTCTGAACAACAAATACTAGCCATTAAAAAAACCAAAATAACTACCAGAAAATCGATAAAATACCGAAGATAAAATAAGAAGTAGTGCTCTCATGTATCCCCACAACTGACCTTGGTGCTCTTGTCGAACACGTGTTGCAATAGCTATAGCAGATCAATAAAACGTCATACACAAAAACAAGAGTGAACAAAGCCCTTTCAAGTACGTCCACTTTGCTTGTTGCAAAATAAAATAATTAGTATTATGTATTACAAAACAAGTAACCATGGGTATATAAGCTATTGCTGAATTAGAGGCAACTACGCATTGTTATGTATTCATTAGTATTTCTTCTGTTTTTGATTTCCACTGTAATCGGACAGGAAAACTTGATAGATGGGTAGCGTTCATCGGAAACATTTTATTATTTTTCAATTACTATTTTTAAGCGAACAATGCAACAATTATTTTATTTACAACATCATTCATCAGGTAAAACTAGTCACTTTTCTCTTTAATTTCTTGCATTTTAAAAATATATCTATTTAGCCCATGATTGTAATTTTCAAGCGACTAGCATCAAATTTTAAAAATCGTAACGACTAATAGAGCTATCTATCAACAACGGTTTGTATCGTTAGGGAAACAGATCATGAGATACCGATATCATTGATACGGAATGATGTAAATCTAGATCAGCACTTTTTCAAGGAAACAATACCAATGATCTACATGTATCTCAGAAATATAGCAAATCGCATTAAACAAGGTTAGGTGTTGGCCAAAAACTGTCTTTCATTGCGAGTCATATAGATATGTTTTGTATTTAAGAAATAAAAGCAATACGAAAATAATGAAATATGAATTATTGGTAAAAATTGTATTTCAAAATGTGGGACTCGACGGGGAATTCAGAAATTTAAAGTAAAAAAAAATGAGAGTCTCAATTCAATACTTTAGATTTCTTAATTAGTCACTATTTTGAGTAAATTTACTATAACATTTTCAGCTCACAACCGACGAGCTATTATTAGAAAAAACACCCATAATTTCAAATGTTTTATAAATACTGATCATAAATTTCAGGCTGCTGCCACATCTCAAAACATGTGGGAAATGCGACAAAAGACGATGATGTTATTGAAGCAAACCTATCCTTTCGCCCGAAGTATGGGCTCAATCTGCACAGACCGCAATTTTCATTTCCCAGCAAACGTCAATCATCGTTATTGCACAGTTCGATTCCACTCATTCAAATGCCATGCGATCGTTTTTTGATCCCCCCGAAATAAATTGAATACACCTCATATCGACCTAAATAGATTAGGTTGCGTTGGTAGATCGATATCAATTACTCGCAGATTTCATGAATTTTCTCATCGTCGTTCTTGGTATTTTGGTGTTATTTATTCACCGCTTCTATTGCTGTAACTTCAAGGTTAATGTGCGGTCAGAAACGGAACACGACGTATGGGCGCAGTTCACATTTCACAACAAGACGCAGAGCGAAGTGTATGTTAGGATCTTCTCTTTTTCGAGACTTATTGATAACAGCTATCAATTTCAGTTCGAGTTCTTTAGAACAAAAAAGTTCGACGTTTAAAACTAAAGAAATTGAAAACTAACTGGAAACCATTATAATTCTTTGACCGATGAAAACATTCAGTTAAATTTAATTGCTGAGAAACTAGAAACAAATTATAAAATTTGGAAAATGAGTGTTCACACAATAGGTATTTTTATTTTAAATGTCTCCGAGCTTCAGTCGCGCAGTATTTTATTTTTCGAAATAAAACTTCCGCTACAGCTTGCAAGAAGCGTTTTATGGTTCTAAACTTCATAGTTATTGATAAGATTGCGTAAATTTTGAAAACAAGGAAGCGCTATCGACTTTGTCACCTTGAGCGGAAGCGAAAAACAATGGTTTTGGACAAACACTGATATTGAAGAGTCTAGACTTTCAGCAGACTTTTCTAATAATTGTTTGCTGGCAGTGCGCAAGCTCTGCACGACCTTTCCAAGGCACCTAATGAGTAGAATACTATACTGTTCAACGATGAAATATCGTATTGCCAAAATATATGCTAAAGTTTTCGAAGGAAAACAAAATATTGTGGAATAATGACGAATGTGAAAAACTGCAGCGATATCCTATGCATTGTGTGCGTACACCGAGTCGCACAACTCGATCTTAACTACAGTGATGTCAACTGAAAATTATTTAATTAACTATGGATCGTTCCTTTTTTATATAAAACAATTAACTTTGAATATTATATGAATATTATACAAAAATAATTACTATTACACTTTTTCAACACAACTATACATAAAACCATAAATTCGCCAAGAAAATACAGAAAGAAAATTTAAAAATTAATTGATTAAATAATTTTCAGTTGAGATTACTGTAGTTAAGATCGAGTTGTGCGACTCGGTGTACGCACATAATGCATAAGATATCGCTGCAGTTTTTCACATTCGTCGTTTTTTTCCATATATATATATGATTAAATAGTCTACTTAAGATCTATTAAAATCTTCGTACAATTTGACTTGCAGATTGAATTTCACGAGATATGGCGAGGAAAGAGAATTACGTGTAACTGGTGTCATTTGTAATATAGGACCAACCATATTGAAGGTTCGAACAGTTCACTTAAATGTAAATGGTTTGCATTTCCTTTCAGAGCTATAAGGAATTTCCAAAGAAGGGTGTCAAACCAATTGGAGAGACTTCGGCGTTTTTAGACGGGAATGGCGAAATGTTCTATAAAATTTTCCCGAAACAAGGTCCGATGGCAGTTCGTTCATTTGCTATGATCTGCGGATTCGGCCAATGCCGCGTCGGATGAAAATGAGCATCAATTTAATCATTGATTTGTTGTTGACATGAACGAATTTCCTTTAGCTTTCAATTTCCATCAAATTTGCTAAATCATTTCAAGGTCGGACGGTGTTGTGTCGAAAACCCCGAGAAAATTGTTACAGTCGAAAAATCTTTGAGCAGCGCTTGCCGGCTTTATATGGTCTTTCGGAAAGGACGAAGTGCCAAGGTTACATTTTGTGTGTGAGAATACACCGAGATGCGAACAAAGAGTTTAATGAGACGGAACGTTCTCGGCTACTGGTCATGCTGAAATTTTACTTTCTTTAGTGCCATTTCGCCTTGAACAGAAGCGAACCATGCAAAATTAAAAAGTTCGTCTCTTTCTCTGACACGCTCTCGATGGAAGCATATGATGAGTTCAAGAACTATTAAAAAAAACACGAGTGATCATGTCTGTTGGAATCGATTTAAGAAATTTCCGAAAATCAGAAACGTTCATCATAAACTAATTAGCCTTATCGCAATTGACACATTCCTCAGTAGAACCCATCAAAGCGGTTCGATTCTCTTAGAACAACAATTTCAAGATGTGACCACTACCTTTGATCGATGTGTTTCTTTTTCTTTTCAGCTGACCTCATCACCACAGTTTCTCGGGTAATCTCGTCAACTAAGAAGTCCGCTGCCAAGGCCTTCGGTAAACCGGTTCCGGTTTCTCAGAAAACATGCTGAGACGAAATAGAAAAAAAAAACCATTTTTGGGGGCGGACTGCAATTCAAAAACTACACCCCACCTCTCGGGACGATTTGTTTATAAGGCATTAGCACCCAGCGGTTCAATCATATTTTGCTTCCTTCAGTTCAAAGTAGTACTTCCTTGTAACTTGTAACCTTGGGGGGAATTCTCGTAACAGCACTGCTTAATGTGATCCATTTAGATTTTAATTATTGTTTGCAGGTAAAATGAGAATCGCGTTCTTCGCTTTTGCTCTTTTCGTAGTTGCCATCAACGCGAGATCCAGTGAGTTTCTTTTATAAATAGCCTATTTTCATATATCTGATCTTTTAGTCTCTCGTCGTCAAGCCCAGAACTCGTATGGAGATGAGCAAGCGCCAGCTGCCCCAGAAGCCGCTGCTCCAGCTCCAGAAGCTGCACCAGTAGAGACCGCCCCAGAGCCAGTTGCTCAAGAAGCCGCCCCAGAAGCTGCTGCTCCATCTGCTGATTCTGGATACAGAGCCAAGAGACAAGCCCAGAACTCGTACGGAGATGAGCAAGCCCCAGCTGCCCAAGAAGCTGCTGCTCCAGCTCCAGAAGCTGCTCCAGCCGAGACCGCCCCAGAGCCAGTTGCTCAAGAAGCCGCCCCGGAAGCTGCTGCTCCATCTGCTGATTCTGGATACAGAGCCAAGAGACAAGCCCAGAACTCGTATGGAGATGAGCAAGCCCCAGCTGCCCAAGAAGCTGCTGCTCCAGCTCCAGAAGCTGCTCCAGCCGAGACCGCCCCAGAGCCAGTTGCTCAAGAAGCCGCCCCGGAAGCTGCTGCTCCATCTGCTGATTCTGGATACAGAGCCAAGAGACAAGCCCAGAACTCGTACGGAGATGAGCAAGCCCCAGCTGCCCAAGAAGCTGCTGCTCCAGCTCCAGAAGCTGCTCCAGCCGAGACCGCCCCAGAGCCAGTTGCTCAAGAAGCCGCGCCAGAAGCCGCTGCTCCATCTGCTGATTCTGGATACAGAGCCAAGAGACAAGCCCAGAACTCGTACGGAGATGAGCAAGCCCCAGCTGCCCAAGAAGCTGCTGCTCCAGCTCCAGAAGCTGCTCCAGCCGAGACCGCCCCAGAGCCAGTTGCTCAAGAAGCCGCGCCAGAAGCCGCTGCTCCATCTGCTGATTCTGGATACAGAGCCAAGAGACAAGCTCAGAACTCGTACGGAGATGAGCAAGCCCCAGCTGCCCAAGAAGCTGCTGCTCCAGCTCCAGAAGCTGCTCCAGCCGAGACCGCCCCAGAGCCAGTTGCTCAAGAAGCCGCCCCAGAAGCTGCTGCTCCATCTGCTGATTCTGGATACAGAGCCAAGAGACAAGCCCAGAACTCGTACGGAGATGAGCAAGCCCCAGCTGCCCAAGAAGCTGCTGCTCCAGCTCCAGAAGCTGCTCCAGCCGAGACCGCCCCAGAGCCAGTTGCTCAAGAAGCCGCGCCAGAAGCCGCTGCTCCATCTGCTGATTCTGGATACAGAGCCAAGAGACAAGCTCAGAACTCGTACGGAGATGAGCAAGCCCCAGCTGCCCAAGAAGCTGCTGCTCCAGCTCCAGAAGCTGCTCCAGCCGAGACCGCCCCAGAGCCAGTTGCTCAAGAAGCCGCCCCAGAAGCTGCTGCTCCATCTGCTGATTCTGGATACAGAGCCAAGAGACAAGCCCAGAACTCGTACGGAGATGAGCAAGCCCCAGCTGCCCAAGAAGCTGCTGCTCCAGCTCCAGAAGCTGCTCCAGCCGAGACCGCCCCAGAGCCAGTTGCTCAAGAAGCCGCCCCGGAAGCTGCTGCTCCATCTGCTGATTCTGGATACAGAGCCAAGAGACAAGCCCAGAACTCGTATGGAGATGAGCAAGCCCCAGCTGCCCAAGAAGCTGCTGCTCCAGCTCCAGAAGCTGCTCCAGCCGAGACCGCCCCAGAGCCAGTTGCTCAAGAAGCCGCGCCAGAAGCCGCTGCTCCATCTGCTGATTCTGGATACAGAGCCAAGAGACAAGCACAGAACTCGTACGGAGATGAGCAAGCCCCAGCTGCCCAAGAAGCTGCTGCTCCAGCTCCAGAAGCTGCTCCAGCCGAGACCGCCCCAGAGCCAGTTGCTCAAGAAGCCGCGCCAGAAGCCGCTGCTCCATCTGCTGATTCTGGATACAGAGCCAAGAGACAAGCCCAGAACTCGTACGGAGATGAGCAAGCCCCAGCTGCCCAAGAAGCTGCTGCTCCAGCTCCAGAAGCTGCTCCAGCCGAGACCGCCCCAGAGCCAGTTGCTCAAGAAGCCGCCCCGGAAGCTGCTGCTCCATCTGCTGATTCTGGATACAGAGCCAAGAGACAAGCCCAGAACTCGTACGGAGATGAGCAAGCCCCAGCTGCCCAAGAAGCTGCTGCTCCAGCTCCAGAAGCTGCTCCAGCCGAGACCGCCCCAGAGCCAGTTGCTCAAGAAGCCGCGCCAGAAGCCGCTGCTCCATCTGCTGATTCTGGATACAGAGCCAAGAGACAAGCCCAGAACTCGTACGGAGATGAGCAAGCCCCATCTGCCCAAGAAGCTGCTGCTCCAGCTCCAGAAGCTGCCCCAGCCGAGACCGCCCCAGAGCCAGTTGCTCAAGAAGCCGCCCCAGAAGCTGCTGCTCCATCTGCTGATTCTGGATACAGAGCCAAGAGACAAGCCCAGAACTCGTACGGAGATGAGCAAGCCCCAGCTGCCCAAGAAGCTGCTGCTCCAGCTCCAGAAGCTGCTCCAGCCGAGACCGCCCCAGAGCCAGTTGCTCAAGAAGCCGCCCCGGAAGCTGCTGCTCCATCTGCTGATTCTGGATACAGAGCCAAGAGACAAGCCCAGAACTCGTACGGAGATGAGCAAGCCCCAGCTGCCCAAGAAGCTGCTGCTCCAGCTCCAGAAGCTGCTCCAGCCGAGACCGCCCCAGAGCCAGTTGCTCAAGAAGCCGCCCCAGAAGCTGCTGCTCCATCTGCCGATTCTGGATACCGATCATAAAACCACAAACGAACGGGTTAAACGTACTTAATAATTTTCTCAAAAATCTACAATTATGTACTATTTTCATTATTTCTTGTTCGCACTACAGTGCAGGATTTTCAATAAACAATTGATGATCGCTGTTGATATCACTAAGAATTGAATAATTCCGATAAATGAGAAACTTTCGTCGCGCAGTGACCGATCAATTTCTGCCCTATATAATGGAATCAAACAATGTGAATGTCGAGACATTCGAACATGCGCATTACCGTTCTTCTGCTTCTAGCTCCACTTTCTTTCGTTTCTGCTTGTGATATTAAAGCTACTCTTGAGTCAGAAACGTATCATGACGTCTGGGTCAAAGCAACGTTTTTCAACGATACAGTTCAAACGTGAGTAGCAAATATAAAAAAAAAACACAATTCTTAGTTAAATCTATATATGCAGTGAGTTTCTACTGTAAATAATTATTTTATATCAAATAAACGAATAAAAGTTAATTAAAAATTGATTAGATGCAAAGAAAATCGCTAAAATGATTATCGTCCATTTAAAAACAAATTCTCCGTGTGGAGTACAAAAGTTCAGGCAATTAGGCCACGTCCACTCTTCCATGCTACATGAAGAAAAAATTTTAGTAATTGAAGTGGTCCATTTATTTATAGGTATAAATTGACTGAAGAGCAACCGAAAAAGCAACTTCATATAAAAGGATTATTTTGCAACCTGAAACCAACAATCTTCGAAGTTTTTCCTGACAAACCACCGAAACCAGGTCAGAAATCAGAGAAAAGCACTCAGGCATTCATTGAAGGTGCTGGATTTATCAACTACGTCGTATGTTTTGGGATATTAAACATTCTTATTCATTGAATATTAGGTTCTTAACGATGGTATTTTCATGGGAATGAGAACTGGAGTCGCATGTGCTGCCGGAGATTGCGGAGCTTCCAGAGGATAAATTTTTAATAATACATATTCTCAAAAAAATTATGCTTATGAATGAAATTATGTCTATAAAAATTTAATAAAGAAAATGAATTTTAATGGTTTTATGTTATAAATTATGTTTTCTATGCGGACAAGTAGGACTCCGGATTAACGCTGGAAAGACCAAAGTCCTACGTAACCCCTTCGCAGACTCCCCCAAGGTTACCCTAACGCACCAGTATTCGTCCAGCATCATTGACGATGTTGACGAATACGTGTACCTCGGAAGACTACTCACTCCCAAAAACGAGCTAGTCAAGGAGATCTTTCGAAGGAGAAGAGCAGCTTGGGCAGCGTTTAATGGAATCAAGAACACCACCGATGTTATCAGAACAACGTGAACAAGATCTTCGTCGAGAGGATATCGGCATCATGTCTAAAGTTCGGGACCCCCTACATCACACCACGAAGAGGAAGATGTCCTGGGCTGGACACGTTGCTAGAAGAACAGATGGAAGATGGACTACTCTTCTAGCGGAGTGGCGGCCGTGGAATTGGACAGGGCCAAGAGGAAGGTCTACCATGAGATGGTCGGACTCGCTTCGGAAGGAGATCACCACAAGAACAGCTTAAGGAGCCGTGATCACCCCGTGGCCAACACAAGCCAAGGACCGAAAAGCTTGGAAAGCTGTGGTTCGCGCCTCAACAGGCGAAGGACGAACCGAATAAATGACTAACAATGACTTGTAAGTAAGTTTTAAATCGTTTTATTTTTCAAAATTCCGATTGATAGACATTGTATTCATTACTGTGATTTCAATTTGATTACGATAGCGGCACATAGTTGACAGTTTTCAATAAAACAACCGAAACACATCTGGCCACATGGAATCATTATGATTGCCGTTTTTTTTTGGAAAACAGACTATATTAGACTTTTTGGGTAATTTAAATAACAATTTAAACAGTGGGCATTTGGGTTCCGCACTCTGGATAACCAGCGAAGCTAACACATCGTAAATCGACTCAGGGCACTCGTTTATTTTTGCGAATGTAATTTTATCTGCGGGAAATTGACTAAATGAAAAAAAAAAAAAACAGTTATAGTGAACTTGGCGCCAAACTAAAGTGTCGTTCGCATACATACGGATAATTAAAGGCACAACCCACAACAAGACCTCTCCTATAATTTTTTGGCATATAGCCAATTTTCGGAAGTAGCGCGATTTTCACAATATCAATTTGACTGCGAGGCAAACTCACCGTAAATCAGCGTAGGGCTCTCGTTTGTTGCGAATGAAAAAATACGTAAATGGATTTACAAAATGATACTCAAAAATAGACACGAATTTGCCTTCGCATTCTTTAATATCTCGCCTCTATCAAAAGTTTTTTTTTTCATTTTTTTTACTCCGCAAAATAAAATTTACACCATCTACAAATCAAAAGTGCAAATCGCTGCGTCGCTATTCAACAATGTTAAATTATGCAAACATATTTGTACAACACTCATAGTTCTTTGTGCAAATCGACCTTTCGCCTTGCAAATATTCAATTGCCCAAATTAGGGGAGAGAGGGGCAAAGGTCTCTTCGCTTGAAACCACGCCATTTATTGCTGGTTGTCTTTTTCTCTCTTGTCGTCTCATCGAACTAAAGGGGTTTCGAAATTATCAGGCGACAAAAATCGTACGATTTTCGACTTGGGCTGGTGTGTTTCGTGGCAAAAATGAAGAGCACACGAATCGACGAGACGAAACACGTTGAAACAGAGCTAAGAGGAACCTTGTGTGTGTGTGTGTGTGTATCGACGACGGCATGAATTGCGCGCGGCTATCGAGGGGAGAGCAGCAGGAGGTCAATCGAATCAGTACTGCGCACTATAATCTCCACTTTTGTCGACCATTCACTTTCTGTTGTTGTTTTCTTTTATTTTCGCAAATTGTTCTAAGAAAACACGAATGTGTGTCTTCTAGCATTTTTTAGAAACGGAAGTTAAATGCTATCTTGAAAATTGCAAATTTCATCTTAATTATTTTTCGTATGTTTCGATATGTTATCAGTTTGCCAAAAATGCCATTGAGAAAATTCGTGTCACTTAATGAGAAAACATTCAAATGTCCAATCAGATAATTCATTGTAATCCATATATTGAGTAATCCTTTCTCTCCTTGTATGTGTGTTTATCATTCTCAGTTTTCGATAACCTCTTAACTAGTAGAAAACCTTTTTGGTGGGTTTTAGAAAAAAGAAAACCTATTGAAGGATTTCTTTAGACATTCCAATTTAAGATTACGGATTATCTTAAAGCATCATTTCTGAATCACTCCACCTTTGATATGAATCGAACGATATCTCAAATAAGGGCACACGTTATTATCACGTGATTTCTCAGTTTTTTATCAAAATTTGTACGAAACTGGAAAATGCGTCTCTTTTCGTCTCCATTGCCCAATTTCCGCTAGGTGCTCTTTGAACTGGACTTTCGGCCCAAACCGTTATCATCGAATATGGCGTGATTATCAAAAGCGGTTGAATTGATATTAATTCCCGCCCATCTGTTTTAAGAAAGTGTCCTTAGAATCAACCGATTGATTTTGCAGTGCAAATCATGTCGTCGTCGACTCCGGCAACTTTCAGCGATGTCATGCTCAAGCCATGGAATCTCCAACAAACCGACTCGTTCATGTCCACATTTATCCCACTTTCATACAAGGTATCCCAAAAGAAATGAAGATTCGCGTTGATCGCCCAATTCGTTTCAGATCGCTGTCGCATATCTTGTCGTGATTTTTGTCGGGCAAAAAATCATGAAAAACCATAAGCCATTTGAGCTTCAAGGACTTTTGGCCGCCTGGAACTTCATGTTCTCCATTTTCTCAGGAATCGCCGCTTACAAACTTATCCCGGAGCTTGTTGGAGTGTTCGCCAAGGATGGATTTGTAGCTTCGTATTGCCAAAACGAGTCGTACTACACTGACCCATCGACTGGATTCTGGGGATGGGCCTTCGTTATGTCAAAAGCTCCGGAACTCGGAGATACCATGTTCTTGGTGCTTCGCAAGAAACCCGTCATTTTTATGCATTGGTACCATCATGCTCTCACCTTCGTCTACGCCATCATCACCTATTCTGAGCATCAAGCTTGGGCTCGTTGGTCTCTTGCTTTGAACTTGACTGTCCACACCGTCATGTATTTGTAAGTTTCATCTTCTTTAAATATCTGAATATTTTACTCTATTAATATATTTTTTTAAGCTACTTCGGAGTCCGTGCTCTCAACATCCAGACCCCAAGACCAGTGGCTAAATTCATTACCACCATCCAAATCATTCAATTCATCATTTCTTGCTACATCTTCGGACATCTCGTCTTTATCAAATCTTACGATCTCGTTCCAGGATGTGCAGTCAGGTATCGAAATATCCACTAGCATCGATAGGCAAGAATTTCTATTATTTCAGTTGGAATGTTCTCAGCATTGGAGGAATCATGTACCTCTCATACATGTACCTGTTCGCCGAGTTCTTCTACAACGCCTACATCAAGAAACGCAATCCGAAGAGCAAGACCAATTAAATTTGAAAACCATTCAAACGAAGTGTTGTACTTAATTATTTTACGGGCATTGATGCATGTTTTGTTGATATTATATAGTTCGATTATGAACACCTGAAAATAAATGACTAAAGAATTTTTCGAGTAATAGTTTGTTTCTGAAAAAAAAAGAGCCAGCTGAGTTTTGGTGAGCTCATGTGAATTAGGGAAATTCAACCAAACAAGTTTTTTTGTTGCTACATAAACGAAAAAATAAATCAAACTGTAAGTCGGCAGATGGTTATTTGTTAATTCAGTGGTACACTGGGAGGTTCTCAAACATTTGTTTGGGAGTTTCTAAAATGTCAACAAAAAATGAGTCGTGAAATGAATTCGATTCATAAATCAGCTGTTTTCTAGAGAAACTGCCTAAAAATGCAAGCTTAATTATATACACTCAACATTACAAACTGTTATCATCTAAAGATTTCATCTTGAGGTAGTCATGTTGTCTATGATCTCCAGTGATTTCTTTGTCTCTCATTTGACACATTGATTCGCTAGACTCTAGCCTCGATTCTTTCTTAAATGCGCTATTTTCAATTACCATTTTTATTGTATTGATTGATGAACTCTATAACAATAAATTGCGAGAAATATCAAACATCAGATGAGATGATTATTTCCAGGAAAAAAACGATGCGAATGAAATGCGCTATTTGCGAATCGGCGGCGACTTCGCTGCATTTCGGCACCCCCAGTTGCAAGGTTTGCTTTTGATACACTATTGTTTGATTTTGAAATTTCTTTTTTGAAATAAGAAATACGTGTGTTAAACATTGGAATAATTAAGGCATGCGCTGCGTTTTTTCGAAGGACCGTCGCATTGGATATCACATACAATTGCATCACCGGTAAAAATAAATGCGATGTCAATTTTGGTAATCAATCAATCAAAATTGAACAGACCGATGAGAGAGATTTTCAACATTTTAGAACGACGAATGGCTTGCAAAAAATGCCGATACGACAAGTGTATTCGGAATAACATGCAGAGAGATAGTGGGTTCCGTTTTTTGACGAGATTTCACCTTGATGCACTCATTGAACATCCAAAACACTTCATATGATCTTTGATATTTCGTTTAAATTGTTTTTTTTTTAAGATGACAAAATACATTTAGTATCAAATTGTTATATGAGAATGATGAAATTAATACAAGAGATGAGAAATTTCGAGAATACATACATGTGTAAAATTTTTGATTATTTATTTTTGTAATTTCAAAATTGGAAAGAAGGTCTCCGAAATCCAGCAATCATCATCTTAATTAGTGGGCAACAATTCGTCGTTAAAATTATTCAATGGTTCAGAGATACTTGATATCCCTCTAGTTTCTTTTTAAGGTTGTTCTTCCAAGCTTAGCTTCCGAGGAACTCTTTTATACTACCCAGAATTGTCAAAATTGGGACATTTGAACACTAGAGTTTGCAAGTATAATTTGGTTTCAGCATTTTCCGATATTTATTTTGTTGGACATTGGTGGATTCTTGGCATTTTTTCGTTGTCATTCTCAAACTTTTCTGTCTCGAAAAATAATTGTTAATTATTAAATATAAATGTATTCATATTTTTTGCAGTGGTCCAATCGAAACAAGGTCGACTAGAAGATGCGGTAAACATTCGAATTTCTTTCAGTTTATCAAATACTCTTCCAGACTCTTTTGGCTTCTCCGGAATCGCCGAGCACAAGTTCGCCTATCGATGATTCGAAATATTTCAATATGCTCAATCATTTCATTCAAATGGAATCTAATTTGAATAAGTCGCGAAGAATGGCGTTCACAGATTCGAAGCTTATCGACATTTTCTCTGGCATTTGTGAAATGGTTCGTCTGAATTATGCTAGCTTTAAGAACTCTCATGTTTCAGCCGTACGAATTCAATCAACTCCGGCCATTTGATTTTCAAGTTTACACCGGATATGGCAAACACGAATATGTGATGATGTTCAACTACACAAGCCTGTTTCCCGATTTCAACAAACTCGACAATTCCGAACAAAATTTTATGTTCCGAATATGCTGTGGGGTTGATTATATTTTGAGTAGTGTTTATTATACTCATCGAATTGGTTTCAAAAAATTCCAAAAATTGTAAAAAAAAAAAAACAATTTTTAGGTAGGGAAAAGAATATGGCTGTTTATCAAGATGGGACATATTTGAAAATGGATAAGCCTTTATTAAAAAACGGAATGCCTGGCGATCCAACGCTGTCGCTAAGCAAAGAAGAGCTGGAAAAATACAAGTAACCAAATGTTAGTATATTCTTATCACAATCCGTTTTCAAAGGAATCTAATGAGACCAAAAATGGAATTGTGGTCCGAATTTCTACCAAAGTATGAATTTCTCAAATGTGGATTCGAAGAGAACATACTCCTTAAAGCGTTGTGTTGTTGGCAATTCTGTAAGTTTCTTTTTCTTGTTTTAAGCGAATTATTTACATATTTCAATTTGTTTTAGCAAAAATGAAGTTCGGAGAAAACGGAAAATTGCTATGTAGTATTCAAAGTTCAAAAATTACGAATGTACTTTTAAGGTAGCCACCCTTTTATTTAATTTTCTGAACTTGACATTTATAGGTTTTGCCAAGATAAATACGGAAAAGATGAAGGCCTTATAAGGGCATCGAATATTGTTTTATTTGTATCTACGGTTCACGTAAGTTTCGTATTTCGACTGAATCGGATCTTGATTGTTTTTTTTTTCAAGGAAGAAATCATGGAATTGATTCGAACACTTATTGTTGTGACAGTGTTCGAAATAGTCAATGGCGATACATTAATCGACGAGATTCTCAATTCAAATACGATATTTGCGTGAAATAAAACTAGAGATTTTCTCATAAAAATTGATGAGAAACAGAACAGTAAAAAGGGGCTCGGAATGTCATAAAAAGGCCCCGAGATCGGGGGACATGTGTGTGTGTCTGTCAGAGGATGCTCACAAAAAATTAAAGTCGGTTTTGATGCATCAAAAATTCAAAAACGACTCTCATGGGTATTTTTTTGGGAAGAGTTTTTGTTTAAATTCCATTCTTATTTTTTTCTATTTCATATCTAAATTCTCTTTACATTTTGTATTACATTTTAAAGTGTATTTAAGACAGACAACTAGTAGAAGATTCTTGAAGAAATGCTCGAATCACCCGATTCGCCCGTTGTTGTCTGGTCGAGACCACCGTCTTTGAGATCGTTGCGATCCGGAAAGAAAGTCGTACCTGGACAAGTTTGTGTTTATTTTATTAAAACATAAATAAGTCGAGACAAAAATAAAATGTGAAAAATTCAGAATAAAATTAATAAAAGCATGTTATACATGAATTTCAGAAGTTTTCTGAAATTGAGTCAACAGAAAAGAGTTGGAGAGATAAAATTGTACCAACTGATAGACTGATATAAATTATTTTTGTTGTGTCCTTGTGAACGAGCCAACGTAGAGAATATATTTATTAGACACAAATATGAATAACTGATTATTGAGCGTAAAAAGGGGTTTTTATATCGCTCCTATGAAACGTGTGCCACGTGGTGTGTCACGTGACGTGTCGAGGTCACGGCTCCAACATCTCCCTCGCTAGTTCGAAACATAGGTGTTTCGGGATGGATTGATCTGTAGTCGTCTGACCGGCTTCGGGATCCTTGTTGAACGACGTAGAACAGGAGATGGGGTCCTTTGAATGGCGGTTGTGATATCCGAGTCCGAATCCATGTCGATTGGCATTGGGATTTCATATAGGTCCAGTAGCGTCTCAGTTGCGTTCCAGTCGTTCCTAGGTCGGAGTTGGTTAGCATGGCGGGTCCATAGTTGTCCTTGACACTTGACGCGGTATGTAACTTTTCCTGTACGTTCGACGATGGTGCCAGCGGTCCATGTTGGCTTGGAGAATCGTAAATCCTTCGCGAAGATAGCGGTTCCCTCTTCGTAGGCAATGTTCCTTGCTCCATGATGACGGTTGAATTGCGATTCCATTTTCTCGTTGCGCGGTCCAGGTGTAGTGGTTGTCGGCAACAGCAAGGCCAGGGGCGTCCGCATTGGTCTTCCCAGAAAGTTCTCAGCTGGGGATTTGGCATCCGGTCCAGCTGGGCATGGTGTTGATCGATAAGCTTGGAGAAACGTTTGAAGGGCTTCTCGCGATGGTTCTTCTCCTTGAAGCTTCCTGATACCTCTCTTGAATGTGTCGACAAATCGCTCCGCTTGCCCATTTGATTGCGGGTGGTAGGGCGGTGTCCGAATGTGATTGATTCCACGTTCTGCACAAAATTGTCGGAATGAGCTTGCCGTGAACTGTGTTCCATTGTCCGTTACGAGGGTTTCCGGATTTCCGAATTGTGCGAAAACCTTCTTCAGGATTGTCATCGTTGCTGTCGTCGAGATGGTTGACGTCTCGTGAATTTCCGGCCATTTCGAGTAGGCATCCACTACAATCAGGTAGTACGATCCATCTACGGGTCCAGCGAAGTCGGCGTGAACGCGTGTCCACGGTCCAGAGGCGGCAGGCCATGATTGAAGTTCCGCTTTGATGGGGTTCTTGGCGGCAGCTTGACAGTTTCCACAACTCTTGACAAGATCCTCGATATCCTGGTCCAGCGATGGCCAGTAGACGTAACTTCTAGCGAGCATTTTCATCTTGGTTCCTCCAGGGTGAGCCTTGTGCAGTGCGGTGAGAGTTCTTCTTCGGAGTGTAGCAGGTACGACGATCCGGTGGTTGAACATGAGGCATCCATTGACTATACTGAGGTCTTCTCGTCGGTTGAAGTAGTTCCATTCTGGTTGCTTCCTTGTGAGCTTTGGCCATTTTCCGGTGGTGACGTAATCAATGATCCGGCGAAGAAGCGGTTCCATGCGGGTGTGATGACGAACTTGGTCGGCGGTGATGGGCAGATTCGAGCAGCGTTCGGTCTGATCGGCGATGACTTCAGCTTCGACGGCGGCAATGACTCGATCTTCGTTTTCCATAGTGCGGGCATGTTCCGATATGAGACGAGAGAGTGCGTCGGCTTGTCCAAAATCCGTTGTCCTGACGTATTCGATGGTGAAGTCGTAGTTGAGCAGCATTGTGGCCCAGCGTTGGAGACGGTTTGCGGCGAATACCGGTACTCCCTTCTTCGATCCGAAAATGGCAAGGAGAGGTTTGTGATCCGTGCGCAGGGTGAATGACCGTCCGTGTATGAATCGGTGGAATTTTTGGATTGCGAAAATGAGCCCAAGTGCTTCTTTCTCGATTTGGCTGTAGTTCCGTTGAGCGGCTGTCAGTGTCCGGCTAACATGATATACAGCTTTTTCCGTTCCATCCGGCATTCGATGTGTGAGGACGGCTCCAATTCCATTGGTTGATGCGTCAGCGGCGACTATGAGCGGCAATCTCGGGTCATAGTGCGTGAGCAGGAGGTCCGATGAGATGACTTCCTTAATCCGATCGAAGGCAGCTTGACATTGTGATGTCCATGTGAAACGCACGTCCTTCTTTGTGAGCGCATCCAGTGGTTGTCGAAGGGTGAATAGGTCCTTGACGAATGCTCCATAGAATTGAACCATTCCAAGAAAAGATCGGAGTTGTTTGATATCCTTTGGCGGCGGCATTTCGGAGATGGCTTCTACCTTCAGCGGGTCCGGCCGGCGTCCGTGAGCGTTGACGATGAAACCAAGAAATCGGATTTCGTCCATTACGAAGCGGCATTTCTCCAGTCTGATTCGCAGTCCGTATTCTTGTAGGCGCTGGAATACGGTGTCCACTCGTCGATTGTGCTCTTCGAGGGTTGATCCAGTGATGATGATGTCGTCCAGATAGGCGGCGACTCCTGGGATTCCTGCGATCAGCGAGTCCATGAGTTGTTGGAAGATGGCAGGTGCTGTCTTGACTCCGAAAGGTAGGCGGTTGTAGGTGTACAATCCAAGGTGTGTGTTGATGGAGAGCAGCATACGGGACGGGTCTTGACTTCCGGAAAATTGGCGTGGCATCCGGCTTCAACTTCAGGCTGGCAGTCGTTTTGGTGCATCTTCCTAATCCTGGGATGCATACGTCCGCGTATTTCTTCATTATCTCCTCACAAAGCTTTCGTCGGCCATCCTTGAGGTCGTGCGAAGTGATCTCGATCCGCTTGGTGTACGCGTCAGCGGCGGCATCGTCCGTGAGCAAGAGAGAGCGGGGAATGTGCTGGATCCAATCCAGTCCGAGGAGTGTGGCGGTATCGGCTACATGACAATATCCGGATCCGTGTTGTCCATTGATGATGAACTTGCAGTTGAACCGTCCTTTGAGGCGAATCCTGTTGTTGTTAGCGGCTTTTAGATTGACGTTGGCGGGCTCGAGCGATGGTTTCCCAAGTTGAATCCAATCCTTTGTTGAGACTAGCGAGATATCGGCGCCAGTGTCCAATTGCATCTTGACGTCGGTTCCATTGATGTTCACGTTCTTGAAGATCCGGTTGCTCTTGTTGATCCATGCGTGGTTGACTGAGATGAGTCCCAGATGTCCTCCTTGACGTCCTCTGCGGGATCCTTGGCGTTCCCGGCGGGATTCTGGGTTTCGTCTGCTGTCCGTTCGGTTGCGGTTGCAGTCAGCATTCCAGTGAGGTCCTCCACAATGTCTGCATGGTGATGGTGGCTTCTGCTGCGTTGTTGGCTGTTCTGGTTGTGGTTCGGGTGTCCTCGCCTTCGGGGTCGAGGTTCTTCGTGACGTCGTTGATCGTTGTTGGTGGTGGTCCTCTCTCGACATAGCAAAGATGTGCTGGTGGTCGTGGTGAGGTCCTTTGATTGTTGGCGAATTGAGGAGTTTCGCGTCGTCCTTGATTCCAAGAATGCGCAGTACGTCCGCTTGCAATTCGTCCAAAGTGATGCTCGGCCTTGACTCCAGTTGCTGCAGAGCCCGGGTGCGTACGTCCATGAATTCCGGTCCGTTGAGACCCATGATCCAGACGAGAATCTGGGTTTGCTCCGGCGTCGTCGTTGCCCATTCTGCTTGCGCGAACTTTCTCTTGATTTGGCCAGTGTATTGAACAAGATCCGAACCAGTGAATTGCGATTGCAGAAATTCGAATCGGCGTCGGAATACAGACTTCGAGTGTCCAAAGAGAGTCTTGAGCCGGGTGATGGTCTCTTCGAGCGTTAGATCCGATGGTTTCCTTGGCAGGATGTTGTCGGCGTACTTGGCGAAAGCGGGGGCATCGAGCTTTGATAGGATGATCCTGGTTTGGGTGCCGTCGTCCAATGTTGATCCATCCAGTCGCAGAATGTCCTCGTACCGTGAATACCAGATTTCGAATGTGGTTCCTTCATCCGGGTCGAAGGAGAATGTCGGTAGTCGAGTCGTCAGCGAGTCGATAAGCCCTGTTTGGGTGTTTGGTTGTGCGGGAGCGGTTGGTGAAGTGCCTGGTCGTCCCTCCATCAGCAGTTTGGTGATTTCTCGAACGAAGTCTTGGTGCTGCTTCGCTTGCTCTGCCAAGAGCAGTTTGACTGTGTTGACGTCCATGGTGCGTAGATCCTGATCGCCAGTTGATCTCATCCTGATCGCCAGTTGTTGTGTCCTTGTGAACGAGCCAACGTAGAGAATATATTTATTAGACACAAATATGAATAACTGATTATTGAGCGTAAAAAGGGGTTTTTATATCGCTCCTATGAAACGTGTGCCACGTGGTGTGTCACGTGACGTGTCGAGGTCACGGCTCCAACAATTTAAAAAAAAAAAACAATTTTTGTTTTTTTTTTTAGTTTTGAGACATCCGATCTGAAATTGCTGGGCTCAATCAGTTATTTTGCAATCAATGAATATTCCAGTATGTTCTGGACGAGCCGGACACTTTATGCGTGCTTCCGTCGTCGATGCGAATCGTGTGTTCATTGCTCACTATCCTCCTCATCCTTTCGCTTCTTGCCGCGATTCTGAACAGCCTTCAGAGCAGTTCAAACTCATCGGCCAGCTATTGCAAACGTCCGGAACAAGCTTTCAGCCCATCAATTCTGTAAGTCACAAGCAAAATATTCCCCGCTACATATTCGATAAATGATTTCAGATGTCCTCGAGAATCGATGTTCTTTTTTTATCAATGTTGCTCCGATGATTCAGACGGCAAAAAATGTTGCTCAAAAGTGCGAATTTGGTTACTGTAAGTGTCCGAATGTCTCCCTCTTTCTCTCTTATTCATTCGAAATAATTTCATTCAGTTTGGCAATCACTTGCGTTATCGCTTCGTGTCTTCTTGGAATATTCTACTCGATTTCCAGATACTTTTGCCGCAATTGTCATCTTTCGACAACTTTTGCAAGACCGATTCGATTATAATAAACTCTTTGATTTCTGAGTGGCTTCTAAATATGAATCAAATGAATCAAAAAAGTAAAGAAAGAAGAGAGGAGGCTTCGAATGAATCATAGTTATATATTTGTGCGGATTCATTATCGCGTTTATTCAAAAACTGTCTTCTTTGAAAACCAACACCCAAATCCTCTTTAATACAATATACGGTTACTATAAAGTCAATTACTTCACATTTAATTTTCATTGGTTTGACACGCTTGTTGACTTATTTCGATTCCAAATTCAAAATTAAATTTGTGTTTTGTTTTCAGTATTCGTTTGTTCATCTAGTGCCCAACTTGAAACATCGACTCGACTCATTATTTTACCATCATGCTCGGCTCATTATACGTCATTCAGCAAAAAAGCGGTTGGTTTCAAAAATGGGCGTCCTGCCGGAAATCAATGGCCTACAACATTTCATTAAACGTGAATTTTATGCTAAACATTTTTGTGCAAAAATCAATCAGAAATTATCGATTATTGCAGAAGTTCTGAAAAAAAAATCACTAAAAATCTAATGTTTTCTGATATTGTACTATTATGGGTTTTTTTTAAAGTTTTTCTCGGAAATCTAGATAGATCGATTTTGTTTAGTGGATAAATGATCGAAGCAGAAAAAAGGGATGAGTTTTCTTTATCTACAAAATCAAGAATAAATTTCAGAATTTGAAATGTCGAAAATAACAAGAAATTCTGAATAATACTTCGATAAGTTCATTCATTTGAATTTTTTCTCAATTTTATCATATTGTTTTTTGTTTCTCTGTTTCGCCCGTTTCGATTTGTGTGAGTCCTACAAATCTTGTATTTTCGACTCTTTTTCGTTGTCTCATTTCGAATCACTCGTTCTTCCCCCACATATCCCATTCTCATGAGCAATTATCTCAATCATTAAGCGGGTGGAAGCAATTAAATAAGTCTCGTCATTTATTATTAAAAAATAAATAATAGCAACAATTATTTCGCGTTGAAAGGCTGAAAAAAGAGTTCACATTTTTGTTTGTTGTTTCGTCGGATAACCATTCATTCTTTCCATTTACCTCTCATTATATCATTCGATCGATTTCAGAGGTCTCCCAAATACGATGAATCGCCTTTTGCTTCTCTTCGTCGTGTTCTCCATGGTATGTGCCAATTCGCAATTCCATCCAAGGCATCTGAGGTCCGAGAAGTATTACTACAAGATTCTCGCGTATGTTTTTTTTTTCTTTAAATTTGATGGATCCAACGATAAAAATTACAAATGCTTTATATATCTACTAAAAAGTATTGATGTCCTAATATGTATCTATAAATAATTATTGAAACTGCATTAACTGTTCATCATGCAAAGGGTTTTTTATGTTTTTTTTTGCCAACTGCAAGGATTTAAAAAATTTCGCGGAATATCGTAAATCGAATTTCATGTCAGTTCCACTTTTTATTTAAGCTTCTACTTTTATCGCTGAGATAAAAAATAATCGGGTTTAGTCTCCGAATATATCATGTGCATATTAATGAAGAACCCGGTTAAAAATTGTTTATTCTTGCTTGGTAATAATTTTGAAATGATGTACACAAAACGAGATCGAATACTGTAAGATGAAAACAATAGAATGGAGTTTTACAGTCAAATGGAGAACGGCGGAAAAGACGGAATCGTTGCTTCTCGAGATCCAACAATCGAGCGCAACTGTTTCTTCACACCGGTTCAGTGCATGTTTCCAGCAAAACTACATTCGAAATTCGATTCATTTCGTCGCAAATAATGCTCGAAATCGGAGAAATAAACACTCGAATACTCATTTGTTCAATTTTTCACTCAATTCGAAAACAACCAAGCCGCGATTTTCGACTCAGATACCATCGAATTGGTTAACGAAACCCCCTCAAATTTGCGTTCTCCCACAGACTTTATTAATTTGTAATTATGAATTAATTAAGATATCAATAATAAATGAATGTTAATTAATTATTCCAAAGAAACAACACAGCATGCAATAAATATTGTTACTCACCGGTAATTTTATGTCAACATTAATTACATCTCAATTAAAATAGTTTATAGGACTACACACAGTTCAAAAATACATAGTTTTCAATAATAAAATGAAATCAAGAACTCGATAATATATTCATTTCTAATTTTTTTGAATAAATGAATTGCTAGCTATGAATGTTGTCGTGTTTATTCTTTTGTTAACCGCACAATCTCGAATTGTCCAAACGGTAGTTGTGATATTCGAAACAATCATATACAGTGATTTAAGAAAAATGAAGAGCTCGCTGAGGAGTTTATGGCGTATTCGGATTGTCTGAAACGAGCTGAACTCGATGTTGGAAATGAGGCGAAAATAAAAGTGATTTATGCAACTCGAGGACAAGATGTTATTCTTCCTTGTTTCACATGGTTTGCAGTTTTCAAAAAAAAAATAGCAATGTTGGGGTGTTTGAAGTGTTTCCCCTGAAGATGGCCTCGAGATTGATTCGACGTACAAACCATCGGCCGGTCTGGTTGGAAGAATGCTCAAGAATGTTGAGGATTTCTTCAAAGAGGCATCTCAATTTCTAATCGTCACTTTCATTTCCGACATTTTAGAAGTTTTTACGATCTTCGTATTCAATGCCGGACAAAAATCGATGGAAATTCGACTGGGAATTCGCGATGCTCGGAAGAGGATTTGTGCCGCTATCCAATATGCATTTCTCCGCTTCGGATTCGATCACTGACCGAATTTTAAGGTCGAATCAGAACCACAATTTTAGTATTCTCCTATTTCAGATTTGTGCGTCAAGATGATGCCGATTTCAAATTAGGAGATCGATATGAATTGGTTTTGAAAAATGTCGATGCCAATAATACGGGCTTCTTTCGATGTATTAATCGACATGGAAGAAATATCATTTCAAATATGTATTTCGTTGAAGTGGTCAATCATGTCGATATTGTTTCGGTAGCCCATTTCCACATTTTCAATTTCAAAAAATTTGGCTTTTTAAGATAAGTGGAGAACTTAATAATAATGAAATACCGGAAGAAGTGCAATTAACATCACAAAAATTCGAAGAGGAAAAGTTGAATGCAGAGCCGAAAGCGAGCCAATGGTCCGAATGCAGTTATTGTGGATCGGATCGGGGAGAGCAGATGCGATCAATCCGATGCTATATTGAGCCGATGTTGGATCACGAGCATCTTCCAAACAATTCCAAATTTGTGACATTGTTCGACAAAATTCCGTGCACGTCTAGTCTCGTTCCGCTCGAAATTCGAAACAAAATCAAAGCGGCTGAAAACCATGTGGTATATGTCCAAATTAAACCATGTTTTGTGAGGCGAAATGTTGTTTCTTTCTTTTAAATTTTTTTTCGTTTCTTTTTAGGTGCCATGTACAAAAAAAGAGCAAATCGAGAGAGAAATTAATTCGTCGGAAGACCTTGGCGAATTGCGAACTCTCGATTATTTGCCTGCCGGAGAATTCATTTTTGGTAATTTATTGCCGCGATTGTTGCCGCCAGTTATGAGAAGAGTACAGGTGAAATTTGGAATTTCGATTTTCAGAAATCGAACTTAAACTATTCTAGTTGGTAACTGAAGGTGATCCTTTAATATTGACTTGTCAAAAGTTGATAGATAAAGACAGCGGTGTTCATTGGTATTCGTTGAATCGCGGACCACTGCAATTTGAAAATATCACTGAAACTTTTTCAGTTCGTTTCTCTCTTGTACATTCAAAAAATGATTGAGTGCTTCTATTTTAAGGGCCGCGCATATTTCGATGCCGAGGCAAATCTGGTGTTCGATCGATTTGCAGCCGAAGACGATGATGAATACTTGTAGCACTATTGTGTTCTATTTATTTCTGTCCAAAATTGATTTAGCTGCTATTCATCCAACAACATTCTCCTTGGAACATTTCACATTCGCGTTGTCGATAATGACAAAAGCCAAGAAGTCGTTGAAGTGGTCCGAATAATTGTCAAATTTCTCGTCTTTATTCTCATTTTTTCCCTTATTGCCAAACAATTATTTCAATAGATTTAATTGCTTTTGTTTAAAATTAAAAAAAAAATAAAAGGGTAGGTCAAGTAGAAAAAGGGAGGAAAAAACTGTTCCTTGCCATCAAAAAATTGTTGTCAGAGTAAACACCAAATAAATACCTCGAACTGTTTATAGTTAATGGAAGAAGATCTCGTTAATTTTTCATTATTGGATATCAGCCTAGAATTTAAAAACAATTGTGTGTGATTTCTCGCACTCCATTAGTTGATTCAAATCAGCGATCATCGAGTTCAACACATTGTTGAGCGTCACTCTGAATAAAACGACAAGGTCGAGTCTACCAACAAATCAAACATGTACCCTTTCCTTTATTCTTTTTCGTTGGTGTGTGAAATTGATGTAGTGGCATGTATTTCTCTACAAACTGTATATACCCACAGCAAGTGATTCTTTTTTTGTTTCAGGTTGAACCATGCACATCATTATATGTGTATTATTAAGCGTTTTACATCTAGCACATCCATTCAAGATTCTAATGACAATTCCCAAATTTGGGTACAGTCATATGAATTTCTTGGGAAAAGTTGCTGATGTTTTAGTTGAAGAAGGACATGATGTGGTGTGTTTTTGTTTCTCTTTTTTTTTCTTTCAAATTCGACTTGAAATATTGCACTTCTAGACATTTTTATTGCCTAATGTTATTCCACAACTTCCAAGTAATGCATCCAAATTGGCTAAAGTTGTCTTGGTCCCAAGTGGTGAAGTTTTTCAGAATCGAAAATGAAATGAATTTGACAATTTTCAGATAAAAAAGTACATGAAATAGTTGAAGAATCGGCAAAAAGTGGAGCCGTCGCCAACTTGTGGACACATTCGGCCAATTCTTATCTCGGGATTATGTGGGTTAGTATTATTCATCTGAAAATTGACAGATTCATATTTTTTAAAGTGAGAAAATAGGTAAATGTTTTAATCAATCTACATACATAAATTTTTTGAAGAAAAAGTTTGCTTCAAACATAAATTCATTTCAGAGCGTAGATTTACTTGGAAAAGTGTCATATTACAATACAAAATGTAAGATTTTTCATGTTTTTTTTTCTGAAAAAATTTGAAAAATTTAGCATGGTTTGATAATAAAGAGTTGATTGAACAATTTAAAAACGAACAATTTGATATTGGAATAACAGAATTGTTTGATTTCAGTGGAATGGGTAAGCATTTTGGAAAACTCCAAAAAATGCAATAATCTCTTCTTTTTTAGCGATATTTCATTCGATTGGGTTGAAGAATGTGATAGCTGCGTCCTCAATGACAATCGCTGAAATAAGCAGTCTGGCTACCGGTGCTCCGATACTGCCATCGTTCGTTCCTGGATCGCAGGCATTCACAGATGACAGTGGAAATTTAATTTCCCGTCTTCAAAATCTTTATATGACATATTATTCGTACAAGTTCCAAGAGAAGATTATGGATTATACTCAAAAGGCAATGAATGAACATTACGGAGAAAATTCGCCACAGATATTTGTAAGATATTTTATGTTTTAAAATCCAAATAATTTTCTTCCTGATTTTAGGATCTGATAAAAGATATCACTTGGTTCATCACCAACAGTGATCCATTGTTTGATTTTCCGAAACCTCTTCCGCATAATATCGTTGAAGTGGCTGGAATCGGAGTGGCAAAAGTGAATGCTCTGCCGAAAAATTGGGACGAATTATTGAATAGGCGCTCGAAAAATGTTTTAGTTTCTTTTGGATCAATTGCTTCAGCAAATACGATGCCAAAAAATGTCAAACAATCATTAGTTGAAACATTCGAAGCATTCCCAGATGTCACATTTATTTGGAAATTCGACGATTCGGAAGAGAAGCTGACTGCCCGTCTCGAAAATGTCGAAGTGGTCAGCTGGATGCCACAAAATGATCTACTAGGTAGGCATGCAAATTATACTGTAAAAAAAATACTAATAATAATAGTTTTATCAATATGTAAATATATAATATACATAGCATTTCAGCTGACAATCGGATAACTTTGTTTTGGACTCATGGTGGTCTTGGAAGTCTAATGGAGAGTGCTCATAAAGGAGTCCCACTTCTTGTAGTTCCCATATTTGGAGATCAAATGAGAAATGCACAAATCTCAAAAAGACATGGCGCTGGAGTGATTTTCGACAAAATGGAACTCGGCAATTCTCAAAAACTTATTAAAACGCTCAAGGAAATGCTCGAGAATCCAAGGTGAATCGCTTATTAAAATACACATATATAAACTAGAATTATTTGAAAATTGAAGCTATAAAGAAAATGCGTTGCTACTGGCGAAAATTCTGGCGACAAACCGTATTTCGCCTCGTCAAAAACTGCTGGAAGTGATCGAATTTGCTGGAAGTTTCGGACCAATGCCGCGTTTCACGTCCAATTCCAAACATTTCTCACTGATTAAATACTACAATGCCGACCTTTTATTATATTTCATTGTGCTCGTTTTGTTCACAATTTGGATTTTTTCGAGAATCGTCACATCTTTATTATTGTCTCAAAATGCAGAGAAACGCAAATTTGAATAAATAGGTGCCCGTATAAAAATGAATATCACTTTTGAATTGCTGCTAGCCGAGCCGGTCGGCGTTCCGAACTCGCGCGGTTGTAAATGTCGTCCGTGTAAACTACACCGTTCAAAAGGCCGTCGAACGTCGACGACTTCTGTGGGAAGTAGGATTTGACTGCTAAAATGTTTTGAAAATCGAAAAAAAATTGTCAAAAGAAAATGCTTACTCAATTTATTTTGCTCTCCTTTATATTTGTTGAGAACATTGAATTGTTTGACTGGTTTGAAATAATTATTAGCCACCATTTCGGTATCGCTTTTAGCTAATCTCTCCCTCAATTTATCATCGTATGATGTTCGGACCATCATCGATTCTTCTTTGGGATAACTCAAATTGCTCATCATGTTTGTGGCGCTCGGTAGAATTGTGCGGCTATTCGTCACTTCTGGCAATACCCAGCGACTCTCGTCTTCATTCCAGACCGCGTCCTTCTTGATTTTTTCAACATTCGCATAATTCGTATCTTTTTTGACAAGCGGTTGAATTTTCTCCATCAATTGAATATAAAGTTTCAATTGTTGATCTTGCTTTCTGAAAATTGACAAAAATTTCAAAATCGCACAAAATATAAATGCATTTGAATGTTGAAAAAATGGTAGGTGTTGGCTAAATGTTAGAAGAATATCTTTGAACGTAAATATGTACATGTATTAGGTCTGGAATTAACATAAATATATGGGAGTTTGGATTTTTGATGTGAATTAAATATCGAATAATGGATTCGTTTGTGTATTGATGTTCGATAACTCATTAAATTCGTAAACCCATTATTTTGAATGATTTAAACACTCACTGGAAGGAATTGACTCAAATTCAAGAGTCTTGATTTAACCCAAAATGAACAATTTACGCTAAAATAGCAAAAAAAACATCCCACATGGTGAGACCATTTAGGAAAACATATTGTCGACCTCACGCGACTGCGGAAAATTGGCTAAATGCCAAAAAATAATGAAAGTGGTCTTGACGCAAAACTAAAAGTGTAGATTTACGGACCTATGTATATCGAGAGGGACCTCATTTTAAATTTTTTAGAATTTAGCCAATTTTCCACAGTCGCGCTACGTCGATAATCAATTTGATGTACGCAATAGAGAAACTAAAAAAAAAAACAAAAAGTTTGCACTTGCTTCTAGAAAAATATGCGAAAAAAAGTCAAACCCGCTGTTAAGAAGTATTTTTTTCACTTCAAATCATATGAATTTGGTTACCTTATTGTGTCGAGGTAATCAAGCCGATCCAACTCGAACTCGCCGTTCAAATCTTCGATTTCTCTCTCCAATGCTTTCGACTACAAAGTGAATAATTGAATAATTGATTGCATAATTAATTTGGCAACTCTTTTCTGCTCTTTCTCCAATTGTTTGGTGACAGCATCCAGCTTTTCTTGAGTTGTACTGTACACTTGCAATAATGGATCGTCCTTGTGCACATTCAGAGCTGCAGCAAGTTTTTGAGTTTTCGTTTCGGCTTCCATCAACTGCTTCATTCGTTTCTGCTTCAAAACCGTGTTTCCAGCTTCTTCTCCTCCAATGAATTGATCTTCGAGTTGTTGTAGCTTCTTAGCGGCTTCTTCAGGCGTCAGATTATCCAGACTCGCACTCGCTTTTTCGTACTCCATTTTCAGTTTTTCGAGATCTTTTTGGAGTTCCGCCTTGCTCGTCTGTTCTCGTTCATACTCATTCCGTAGTTCGTTCATAGCTTCTTCGAATTCTTCTCGTAGTTTCCTTCGTTCTTCTTCGATGTTGAATGCGTCCATATTGGCAGCTTTTCCACTTGCACCAGGTGCCACAAGAGCCTTGAGCCTCTCGATCTCCTCCTGGTATTCACGTAGTAACGCATCTTTTGGATCTTCGTTGATCTTCGGCTTGTTCTTGATGTTTTTAGCACGATTCGCGTACCTAAACGTTTATTTGCTTACATGTAAGTTGTGTGAATTGTTTTTTCATGGGAAAATCATAAAAGTTGAGTGTAAAACGGAACCTTAATGTTGATAATGTTTCATCAAAATTATCGCTCGACGGTGAAATGCAGGCAATCATGATAGTTTTTGTGTTTCCACCAAGCGAATCCTACGAATAAATTGTTCAAATTCTCATTATAATATCATCTATTTGAAACCTGCAAAAGCCTTGTCAGTTTGCTGTCCCTATAAGGGATATGCTTAGATTTTCCATCAACCAGTGCTGATATCACATTTCCCAGTGCGGAAAGTGACAAATTGATTTTGGTTGCTTCCTTGAGCCGATCTCCAGTCGCACCTGTTTTGCTCTGTCGCTCGCTACCCGCCAAGTCGACCAGATTTAGTTTCCCCATTCGAATCGATCCCGTTTCTGACATCGCTTCGACGTATACAGTGAAAATTGAATGACTTCTCGAAGAATCCTAGAAATGCGCAACAAAATCGAAACATTCAATTCTGTGGGGGTACCTTGTTCATCAATGTGGCCCCGGCATGCCGATTATTGAATCCTTTCGTCATCAATTCTTTACAAGATGGTACGTCGTAGCAGACATGCATCGACAATCCCGCCACATATACTCCGCGATCAGGATGCTCCTGTTAAAATGAGTTCATTTTCATTGAGTATTCTCTAAAAACTAATATCACCTTGATTTCCAACTTTTGTGTATGATCCGTCCCTAACAAGTCGCGGACTTCTTCATTATAAATCTAAACATAGATTGTCGTAATCCGCTCTTAATCTCATTTGTTTAAATACCTCCAAATAACTACAATGGACTAAAAACTTCATATTTTCGGTAGTAGATGTCGCAGTAAAAATATGCTCGAATGCTCGAGGGATAACGCCTCTTTGTGCCGGGATCGACTCTGAAAATCCCAATAGTTTACCGTGTTAATTTCAAAGCTGCTCGAACCAACTCCCTGCATGGAAAATGTCTTTCCAGCTCCAGTTTGTCCATACGCAAAAACAGTTCCATTGTAACCAGCAATAACATTCTAGATAGCGAGTATACATCAATGGTGAAAGCCAAACAACGAATACCTCAACTAAAGGGAATACAATATCATTATAAATTTGTTCTCCGGTCGAATCCATAAAATAAGCTCCGTCGAATGTGAAATCCTTGTTGATCCCATCTGGAGCAAGAAGGGTTACCTGACCCAAGTTTGGGGTCATTTGAACACATTGCTGAAAAAACATTACTAGTGAAGTTCATTTCTACGAATTGGGACTCTACTCAGTTGAAATAAAGTTTGAGAACCGCTTTTTCATAAGTGATTTTGTTAAAAATTAAAATAAATGAATAGCAATGGGGGCAAAAGATTGTCGAATCTTTGAATATCTCAAAAATGCGATTTTCGAAAATGTTATGTTTTTAAAAATTCTAAAAATGAAACAAAAATAAATTGTTCATACATATATTCTTTGGCTACAATTATTTTCTCTATTCATCAGATTTAAAAGAGCGCCAACAATACAAACCTTCGATTCGGCTAAATTCTTTTCGCGTTCGTTAAAAGGTCGACATCGAACAATGACTCGAACGCTTTCGGCCATTCTGAAAAAAAAAATGGAGAATATCGAAAAGACGAAAAATGAGTCAACAACAAAACAAAGTATAATGAAAATGCAAAGGAATGATGAGGGAAAGAGAACGAAAGCAAAAGCCGACGGTGGTGCCTAGCAACCGGTGGGAAGCAACAAAACGCACACCAACGAAATTGCGCCGAAAAATTTAATTAAATACTGCAAGCAACACGTGCTCCGATTTTTATTGGTTTCTCAACACTTATTACTTCTTTTTTTTTTGTTATATATGTATGTTGTTTTATGCCGAAATATTATACATAAAAGGAAATTAGAAATGTATTCGATAGGATATCCGAAGTGGAAAATTCGTGAGTGCATGAAACGCATTTAACATTTTTTTTGATTCACTCGAAATGTTTCGAATTTTTCAAACGATTCATTTTATGTGAAAATAAACGTATTCGAGAAATTTTAGAATGTGAAGCCAAATTTTGAATATTTGATTACGATTTCGTATTTGATAGTTTACGCATCGCATTCAATTGAAGCCTTCTAGTAAATTATTTTTATCGAAGCCAAAAATAATTACAATTTTTCTCTTTCTCGTCAGATTATCTGAAAATTTGAAGATATTCTGAATCTTCACAAACCCCAACCAACCAACCAACTACCTAACAGTGTTAAACGGAATTAGAGAACTATTTTGGCGATTTCGCGCCTCATCCATCATTTTCGCAACTTTTTTCGAACTGTCCGGTTCACCTCAGTTGGTTTGTGTAATTCCTCTACACATGATACCGTCGAAATTGTTCTGCGCGAACATCATCAAACCTTATCAATTATGAAATGGTTTTCGGCACGCGAAAATCGCAAATTGTTGATTGGCCAAATGGAACATGCCAAAAAATCAATCGGGTGTAATATCATCAAATTGCGACATTTGAACATGTTTGGATTTTAAAAAAGCACTTTGGAGCATCGATTGGTTTTGGGAAGCTCGAAATGATTGTGAATGCCGGCGCACCTTTGAGTTGTTGGTGAAGTATATCTAGTTTGGATAGAAACCTTTTCGTATAAAAAAGAAAATTCGAATATGACACGCTACAAGTTCTACATTGTCACATCAATGGGAAAATGCTCGATTCCCATGTTTCTGAAAGCCAGGCTTATTTTGAAATTGCGAACATTATCAAATCGATGATTTTCAATTATTACATTTCTGATCAGAAGACGACGTGAAACTGATTACTTCTTTTTCGCAGTGCACTCTTCGAACGTGCCATTATAATAAATGAGGGTTGTTCCAATGTTCGTTTTGTCGGCGGGTGCGCTGATATTGTGTCAAAAAGACGGCGGAATGCTTTCAAATTGGCGACAAATCGCTTGTCGGGACCCCCGACACGCTGATTAATGAGCGACTCGAAGAGGCGCGACGAAATCAATTTGTCAGATAGTTTAACACTTGATTTGGGCGACCTTTTCGACCGATGAGAACAAAAATGAAACAAGAAGAGCTGATATGGAACCGATTCTCCGATATCATAGAAATTGCCCAAGAATAGTATTTGTATGGAAGGACCATTTGCACACGTCGACGAATATCAATAATTCAGATTCGAAAATTTTCAAATGACGTCCTTTTTTTTTGATTTCTTACACTGAAATCTTGATTGAACGAAAAAAGAATTTCGCGTCCACCTGCCAACTTCTCAAAAATGATATGACGTTTTACAGAATATAAAGTATTTTTAGTTAGCAGAAGGCGAATTACAACGATCTTAAAAATAATATAAACTCGAATTATTTTTCATTTTTTATCTGCAAAAAGATGTTTCCAAATAAAATTATGAATTGAATTGAATCGAACTTTGAAAAGAGCTGCTCGATTTTATGGCATGCGCCTTTGAAACGTAATTGCAAAAAAAATATGAAAACTAACGACGTCAGCTGGATTTCTTCCATCGTGGAAAAAAGAAAAAAAAAACACCGAAAAAGATTTTTTAATTTGCAAATATAGCTCGAATCTCTGATAAACTCTCAATATTGGCTCCCCGTAAATTCGAGATAAATACGTTTTCAGACGATTTGCTTTTCTGGATTTCAAATTAAAAAAAAAATAATTTTGAGTTCTTCGCTTGAGTAATTAGTTGGTTTTGAATAATACATTCGTGGAAAATTGGTATATTTCTTTCGAATTTAGAAAATCCTCGTGACAATTTTGAGAGAAGTAAACATCACATGAGAATGTCTGAAACATTGACAAGTTCCAGTTGCAACTATCGCCATTTGTACAAAAAATTGGGTTCGGTGTCAATACGTATCCATCGGAACATTTTGAAACGCTACCAAATTTGGGCGTCACTAAACGTGCGCATTTGGAATTTCTGGAAAATTGTCAATTTTTTCTAACAAGTGCGTCGGTTGGCAGTAGTCGTCAACTGATCGATCAATCATTCTGGCAACATTTCGAAGCCACGCCCACATGTGTTCGCGGATCACCAATGGCGCTGCTTTCGATCATCTGTTTGTCGGCACAATTCAAAAGGGCGCGACACGCTTACAAGCATTTCGACGAATCAAGTGAACCCGGCAAAAAAAAAACATATCTGATGATGGTGATGATGAACATGCCCACCTCCTCGTTTGCGTCGTTTCTGTTTCTGATTCGAAGGCGGCGATTGCGAGTAGTTGTCTCTCTCTCCTCCCGTCGGCTACCGTATTCCAATTTCGATGACTACTTCAATATTCCCTCCGCTGTTCCTGCCAATCATGTCCAAGGATTTGCAGATGTTCTATAATCGCAACATTTCCTCGGCAGGCAGGTATTCGGAAAAACGATCAGTTTCCCTAGACGGATGGCTTCAGATTCGTCGTTGATGGCTCTTGAGAAACTATCGAATGCATTCCGAAGACCCAGCTTACAAATTGAAAAATTCATGGCTGTAGCACAAGGCGAAACAAGCAAAGAAAATAGAGGTAATCAAATATTTGGAAATCAATGCGAAATATTTGCAAAACAATAAGCAATACTTCAAACACAAATGATTTCTTTTTGAGATAGCATTCACAAAAAACCCATGAAGTTACTAAATTGCAATTTCCGTTTTTTTGGGGTGTAAATTTGAAACTTTAGCCGTCTTTAGAAGAAACTCACTTTGTGTAATATCTCCATAGAATTCTTGAAATGTATTTATTTTAGACGATTTCTTGAGATTCTCCGTAGGTGTTTTTGTTTTGCTTCAAATAATCGAACAATTATTATTTTAGCCTGTTACCATACGTACTCGCTCGTACTGATCAAAATGTTATATTTCGGATTTTTTTAAATATTAAATATTCACAAATAATACAATCACAAAAAAACGAGCCCCTGCGCAGATTTCCGGTGAGTTTGATTCTCAAGTTATACGCACTATTTGTTGTACCCGAATTTCCATTGTTTAAATCGAAGTTTGAATTATCGTCCTGAAAAAATTCGATGGTCCCAAATTGCTTTATTTGATTTTGACCGTAAAGTAGGGTATTTCTAAAAAATCGGTTTTGTCGCTTTCTTTGCAAAAAATTTTATCAAAATTGAGCGATTTCCATCAGCAACATGCAAATGTACGTTGGCTCCAGAATGTACTCTAGTATAGTCATTTTCAGATGTCAACGTTTTATATAGAAGAACTTAATGAAAAAAAAAATAAATAATTAAACGCGAACAGCAACGCATCTCATTACATTGGTAGCAGATTTTATTGAGAAACATGATATTATATTATATTGTCGGCGTCGCGCGACTTCCAAAAATTGGCAAATCGCTACAAAAACTTGAGAGAAAAACTGGCAAAAATCAAATTGGCTAGATTTTCTGACTTAGAAAAATTACATAATAATAATGCTCTGTTTTAAGTTTTTAGATAATACCACGGCCAATAAAAATTTCGGGAATTGTAAAGGTACCGTACAGTGAATAACCTGCGAATCAAACTCACTGCTCAAATTTGCTCGTTCTATTCCAATTTTAATTATTTATTTCGCATTATTATTATTATGATTCTCTCTAAAATTTCTATAAAATATTCAATATTTCTATAATAATCAAAATTTTATCATCAAAAACTATTTTCCGTTGGACAAACATTTTCGAGAGTTTTTATTTTTAAATTAAAAAAAATTTTTGGGGAATAAACCCAACAAGTTGAATGTGTTACCGATAAAAGCGATGGCCGGCGACAGCGGTTGGCGGCTAGATTTACGATCATGAGCCTTTCGCCATTACTAACTTGTTATTTCGCATTCTAGAGCTCATGTAAATAATTTTTATTTCAAAACCTTAGAAATCCGAGGAATGGAAATTTTACGCGAAAATAACATAACAGCTCGCCACATGTGACGAGACCATAACGAAAGACGCACCCCGTAAATGTACCCTCATATAGCAGTGGGCGGACCACGGGCATACAAAAAAGTTCAACTACATTCCTAATAAATATATGAGTATTTATAGTCGGTAGTTAAACGAAAATATTATTAATTCAATGTCATAATTCATATAATCAAATGGGTAAGTTGTCAAGCGAAAAAAAGTTTGAGAATATTAAATTTAGCAACGCCAGTGGTCCCATCACGAAATCGTTACGGTCGTCCGTATATTTCGGGTCGTCCACTTCTCACATGTGATCGCCTCAAAATTGTGGAGTGCTATCAAAAAGGGATGAAGAAGATCCATATAGCGAAACAGCTTGGCATCACACACAGCTGCGTCAGCAAGGTGCTTCGAAGGTAACCGGAACTCGTATCTACCGTAATCGCGCCAACAAGACGCATCAAATTAACCTCGAAAAGGGGTTTTCGTGTTCATAAATGGGTTCTCATCGACAAAATTGACGGGATAATTTATGGAGACGCGTGTCGAATTATATCTCATAAAACTAATCTCCGCTCAAAACCGACAAAAAAATGAATACATTTTCAACGGAAGACAAGGCTGCCAATTGGTTCATCACCTGAACGTCGGCAGCGAAATAGGGATCATGCAAGTAATTTCGGTTTCGATTCCCAAAATCATTACAACATGGAAGTATCGTCACAGCTAAATCAATAACTGAAATATTTCGATTGTTTCAAAGAAAAAAACTTGGTTCGATATTTTCGCTTCAATTATGCCAAATAATATCCTTCTTGATTAAAGGTGCATTGAAATGTGATTTATTAGGTTCTCGAAGCGAAAATATTGCCGGCTGAGTTTTTATATCAAAAACATTCTTGTATTTTAAATCATTAAATAAAACTAATTTGCAGGTATTCCGAAACTGGTGAAATAGTTGCAAAAGCTTGTCGAACCGCCTCATGTTCGTGTCCAGGGTCTGCCGAACAGCACGATGTTCGATATTGTCGACATCTCCAAGATAAAACGAAACGGCTATTCTATTCCATTGAAAAGTTTTAACTTTTAATATTTTTCAAAAATAACCAACATTTTTTCAGCATTCTTCGCAACGAAAATGTACGAGTGATTTACTATTCAAAGTCAAATAATAATCTATAAACAATTGAATTCTCGGGATAAAAAACGAACAAAACGATCTGTGATGTGATGGGGGTTTCTATGTAATAAATGTGCGCCTTATTTTATGCTAATAATTCATAAACATAATAATAATTTTAATAAACAAATAATAAATGCAAAATACGGATAAGAAAATAAATATTTGGAAATCAATTAAATCCAGTGAAACCTGTTAAGAAAATTATGAGCGAAACAGAAAAAAAAATAGTTTAAGATTATGGTGGATTCGTTAAAATGCATTCTAACGTTTCTACTCGAAGGGCTGGATCTCCCATGTACCTTTAAATTCGATTTTTTTCGGAAACGGATTAATCGAACTCTTACCACGACATATCCTGAGCATTACAAACTCCATTGAATGACACAGATGTCGGACCATAATCCAAGTAATTGACTTGATTTGCAACGATAGCTGCATAAAGACCAAACGAGGGATCAGAGGAACTAAAAAAGATAAATCATTTGATGTAATGTTCTCGAAATATTGCCAACCTGCATGTTACAGTAACTGACATTCGACAAGAAGCATCATTGTTGTAACTGAATGTCATTGTTCCGTCAGGAAATTCGGAACTTGTTAGGGTTTGTGTAAGCTCCGGACAGCAACCTACAACGAGTTCCCTAATGCAAATTTCAGATTTTTTTCGGCATTAAGCGTCACAGCTGTATTCCTCGGCTAGCCAGCAAACTTCTTTTCAAAAATTTTGTAAAGTAAAATGCCAATCATTAAGAAATAAATATGTTTTTGCGATTTTTGATTTAAATGCGTTTGAAAGCAATAAAAGCAAAAAAAAAACATTCCTTTATCAATATACATACTGTCATTTATTAGTTTTTTTGTTGCAAGAATTCAATCAGTATTGATAAGCAATTAGAAAAAAGCTTAAACGTGCAATAATTTCTACCTGACTGCGGTTCTGAAGTGGTAGTAGTAGTCTGACCCCCTGAATGTGTGTGTTTGAACAATTACTCGTTCAACAACATTTTTATTTTAATACTGATTATGAGCTTTTCATATTTCGCACATCAAATTTATTTTGTGCACCAACCTGGTGAAATCGTCGTAGTGGTGATGACTGGATCCGTGATAGGAATTGTGCTGACACATCCTAACACATTGGGTAACAAATGCACTAATGGTAAGAGAATAAACATGTGAAACGGCTGCAATTACGAAAAGGTCGTAGATATGACTTGATGTTTGACGAATGTGGGTCTCGTACGGATTATCCAACTCATTATGAACCAAAAATGGTGAGGAAGGAGTCGCGCGGATTACGGTGGCAACTCATTAGAGGATCGCCGCGATCCGGCGGATTTGTTCGAAACTTCTTCACACGGCACGTCCACAGTTAGTATTCCTACAATTTCAAACACTATACTACATACATACATACAGTACCGCAGAAAAAGATAATTAATAATTAATTAATTTTCGAAATAATTAATTTTCTTCATAACTTTTAAACGAGTTATCCGATTGGGGTGAAATTTTTAGCACTTATTTTTCATAAATTTAAATGTTTAAAAGCAAGTTCATATTATGGAAATTAATATTTTTCAAGTATAAATCGCAAAAAATCGAAATTTCAAAAAATCATGAAAATCGGTGAATAATTTCAAATGGCTGTAGAAACAAAATTAGATTGTCAAACCCCAAATAACTTTTTTTCAAGGTTTAATAGACTTAATACTTAGTCATCATACCATTTGCTTCAATAGAAGCATAACATCTTTCAGGCATGGAAGGTACTAAGTGGTTTAGGGTCGCAGCCGGCAGGGCATGTCAAGCTTGCTTTAATTGTGAGAATTTTTCACTACAATTTTGAACAGTTTTTCCATTTAAACAACATTCGAACCCTTCTGTGTTCGATATGATTTGGGACGGGAGATTGGCTCGGCCAGGTCATAGCGTCCACCCGAAGCTGCGCGATCCAATTCCTGACCAAGTGTGATAAGCGTTTTGGATTTTTGAATAAATGTTTTGTTTAAGTTTGCCTGTTTTTATAGTTTAATATGCGAAAAAAAAACGCGGAAATTAATTTCTAGACCTAATAAATAAGAAGAAATATATATATTTTTATCTATTTTTTAAACTATATGTATTACCATCTCAAAAAAACGATCAATGCTAAAAAACACGAATTGTTTTGTTTTCGTAGACAAAGATACACAGATCAGAAAGTATTAATGAGATCATATACCGAATTATCAGCGAATTACATCCATGCCTGAATCCCACTTCAATGGAGGATATTAGTTTTTTTTTGCAAGAATGAGCGCCATTCAGCGAAAATCATATTGCACCTGTGCATTTGCAGCCATTATTTAAACGTAAAGGGCAATCCTGTGTTGTCGGTATTGGAGAAAAAGCTCGACAGAAGGCGTGCGAAGTCGGTAGATATTATTGAAATAAATTTGAGAAAAATTTAGCCGCTAATTTGGAGAAGAGGCTCTAAGAGCGTGCACATCCTATCGTGAATCTCAGTTCGACCATCTCTTCTGAAATTTTGATGATATACATATGTAGATGTTTCTGGTCTTTCATTAAAACATTTGTTGAAAAATATTAGGTTTTCATGATTTTACAGTGTGGCCCAAAATTATGGAAACACATTCAAAGGGATGTAACTTTTCAAAAAATGATCGAATCAACTTGAAAATTCACAAATAGTTTCTTGAATCAATTATAATCAAAAATACATCAACATTACTCGATTCGATTTCCTTTATTTTTCATTACTTCCTTGAGTCTCTTCGGGAATGCCTCGACTGTGGCACGGAGGTATTCTGGAGGTAGTTTGGCCCATTCCTCAACCAAACATTTCTTCAATGACTCCAAATTGGTATAGGGATGTGCCCGGACCTTTGACTGACGTACTTCCCAAACATAATAGTCGGGTGGGCTCAAATCCGGCGACGACGCTGGTCATTCTGAACAAGAAATAAACCGGCAAAATTTGGGGCACACTGGGATTTTACGACTTTTGCTTTGTGAGTCGGTGCAGAGTCCTGTCGGAATGTCCAAATCTGGTTTCCAAAGTGTGTTTGAGTCCGTGGAAGCACGTGTTTCTTAGAATTTCTTCTTAGTAGAGTTCCCGGTTGATTTTGACTCCGGGATCGACAAAAACAAGCGAAATCTTCTCATAAGACGTGATCGCCCCAAAAATCAGGACTTGTTGAGGATGAGACGTTCTGTTGATCGTTCTTCCGTGCTTATTGGCTTCGTCTGTGTCCCCTGTAAGCACCCGATGATTTTGCGAGTTGATGACAGTCTCCACGGTGAAGAGCTTCTCGTCCGTAAACAGCGTCTTCGAATGTGCATTTTGGCGCGTGCCAGCAAGACGAGATTCGCACTTTTGCATTCGGCCCAGCTTGTTCTTTTCAGATAAAACGGCCGCTATTCGAACACGATACGGGGTCAGTCCAAGCTTCTTTTTCACCATGCGCTCCATCGAAGATTTGCTCATACTGAGGTCCCAGCTCGTCTTTCTCATGCTCCGTCGCCATCCGATAATGGTACCTCGGTGTTTTGAATTGGCTACCATTCCAGTAAAAATGACGCTAAGAACTAGAAAATTTGGGAAAAGAGTAATTAAAACATGCTGAAAAATAAAATAATAAAATTGGTGCGCGAAAAATGCGCCAGCATCTGCCAGAAGGCTTCAAACTTGTGTTTCCATAATTTTGGGCCACCCTGTATATAAAAAATATATTTTTACATAATTAATTGTCATTTAATTGTCGAAGTCAAACGACTTGACGAAATTTTAAAAAAAAATTATCTGAAATTTGTGGGGGGGGGGTGGTCAATGGATTCTTCATGTTCAACCACCGGATTGTCGAACCTGCTACACTCCGAAGAAGAACTCTCACCGCACTGCACAAGGCTTACCCTGGAGGAACCTGGAATTTTGACATACATATTCGCTCACTCCAGAATGTATTCAGCATCATCAACAGTTGAAGAAACCTCGAAAAGTTACGAAAAAATAAAACATCCACGCGTACTGCAACTACAGCTGCCGATTCTGGTAGTAGCTTTTTTGAAGAAGCCGTCATACAAGTTGTGAAAAATTAAGTCAAAACTGTGTCGGACAAAGGATGTTGTTGATCAATAGCGGCCATCAAAAGAAACCAATGAGATTGTCGTCGTTTCCATCGAATAATTTCGTTGCTTGCCGTCCAAACCAATCGGCCAAACCCATTACATATCAAAATTGCAAATAGCAATATTTGTTGGTGACAACGCCATAAACGTGCAAGTGTTGTCCGTCGCCTGTTTTCTTTTCCTTCGCCTTTTTTCGGTTCCGTCCGTCTCATTCGGCAAATCGTCGTCGATTTCTGGTTATGCAAATGAAACAAATGAACCGAGTCTTTGAAAACAATCACAACGCGGTGATCGATATGTGTTTGTGTGGGTGTATCGTTGGCGGAATTGAATTAAGCACCTTATATGATGCAACATTTTCCAGTGTTTTCTCAATCCATTTCATTTACAACGCTGTTGATGAGTGTGTGAAGTCGGAATCTCATTTCTAAGCAATTTCCTGCAAAGTATGAATGGATAACGAAATGAGAAACTGAATAGTGTGATGATCGGATTTCGAATGAATCGGGTGACTTTTCGAGTATATACCGACAAATCATACGATTCCAAATTTGGATATGTCCACATATCGAAACATGATATTGTAGAAGATTGTATGAACTTAATCAGATTTATAAGAAAACATGAAAACCATAAAGACGAAAAGAACATATATTCGGATATTTGACATTGTCAAATATGGAAATGATCTAAAGAAAATACTTATGAAAACTTTATAGATAAATCGTCGGTTCGAAACGACTGATTGAAGTATAAAAAATAATTGATTATGCGCCAAGATCTCTGGAGACAATGAGAGTTATACGGTGCACTTAATATTATAATAATAATAGTTATAATAATAATTATTATGCAGACCGCGGTTTGCCTTATCGCTGATACGCATTTCCTATTTGACTTCAGCGCTGAGAAAAATAAAAAATATTCTAACGATACATTCGAAATCACAAATTCGTAAACCGACACTGATTTCGCAAAATTGCAATTCCAGCCACCGATCCGTCATTCATTTGAATCCGACAATAGTATTAGAAATAAATATAAAAATCGCAGCTCCTTATCGTGTTTTCTTTTACAGTTTTGCAACTTAAAAACTTAAAAACGAATATTTCAAATGAGTCTGAAGTATTTCAAGGATTCTATTCTGTTTTTTTTATACGAATTATTTTGAATATTCGGTTTGATTTTAACTGAGAGCAGTTCAATCAAGCGCTTCTTTACAAAAGAATTCGAAAAACCATATTGTCATTGTTGATGTTCCGCCTTTTTTTATGAGAATAAAATTTCGAATGCCGCATGGTTTTCATTCAATTTGATTTTCAAGGTTGACTTAAAGGTTACTGTAGCGAACAACTTGTTACAATTCGATTGGCAAACATCATTTGGCAGCATCGAACCAAATCTCATTTCAATGCCCAATCCGCGCGGGCATCGCGCTTTTTTCGGTCTTCGTCCTTTTCAATTCCCAACTGGTTCCCCTCTTTTCTCTCTCTCTCTTTTTCTTATTCTCCGCCCATTTTCCTTATATAAAATCAGCTGCAAATTGAGCAAAGCATCAGACGCAAAACGATGAAGCCGTTCCATTTGGTGGTCTCGTCATGCGCCGCGATGTCGGCATGTGCTCTCGTCATGCTGACGGTGTTCCTCCCAAGAATGTACTGGGAGATGAGCGAGTTGCAGGATGAGGTCGTCGGCGTGGTTCAAAGCTTCAAGGTCTGGTATTTTCTGTTTTTTTCTTTTGAATGAGCTAAACGGATTCAGGTGGAAACCGATTCAATCTGGATCGATCTCATGAACGTGCAAATCCTTCATTCTGAGCCATCCAAGCCAAGAGAGAATCCTCTTCTTCGCAGAGACAAGAGATTCACTAAATTACCTGACTGGTGTCAATGTGATTCAGCTCCACAATGTCCTCCGGGACCACCTGGTCCACCGGGAGCGCCTGGAACACCTGGAAGTTAGCCAACGCTCACAATAAATTAAAAATTAAATTTGAATTCAGCGCCTGGAGAGAATGGACCACGTGGAATGGACAACCCGCATCAGATAGGAGTGACTGCTTGTGAGCCACAAACATTCGGATGTATTAAATGCCCACGTGGTGAGCCAGGACCACCAGGTCCAGTTGGCCCAGTTGGTCCACAGGGCCCACCAGGAGCTGCAGGAGCTCCAGGAATGCCTTCTATTGTACATGGACGACCGGGACCACCAGGACCACCTGGAGACGACGGTGCTCCGGGACTTCCAGGAGAAGATGGAGCTCCAGGCCAACCAGGAGCTGACGGAATCCGCCAGAAGAGCGTTCGCGGACCACCAGGACCACCTGGAAATTCGGGTCAGCCTGGTATCCCTGGTCTACCAGGAAGAAAGGGCGAGGACGGAAAACCGGGAAGCGAAGGAATACCAGGTGTACCAGGTCCGCGAGGAGCTCCTGGCGAGCCTGGAATAAGTGGACAACCAGGTGGACCTGGGCTGCCAGGAAGAGACGGACAATACTGCCCATGCCCACCGCGATCGTTCGTAATGATGGCAAGGAAGAGAGTGAATTAAACATTTTCTTGTCTAATAAACACATTTTCTGCAAGTGCTGATTACCCATTTACAAGAAATTAGAGTGTTTATTGGATTTTTCAATTCGTCGGTTTCAATTCAACATTTTCATCTTGATATACTGAAATATGCTTTTTTTTTTAATTTCACTTGGATATTCAATAAATTGTGTGATGTGTATATTTCTTCGATTGATAATTATTTATATTATACAAAAGTAACGCAGCATACGAAGAAAAGGTAAAAGCATAACAAAGGCAGTTAAAAAATGAGACGGAGCTTTTTTGAAAAGCAACTATTAATTTTTTGAGGCTGAAATTTGTTCACCGAAAAATAATGTCAGCAAATTAAATTCAGAAGCCTACGAAGGTAGGAAATATTTGTTTCGAATTGTGCAGTCGGCAGCTTGATAAAGAACCTTTGTGATTGAACGAAAAAATGTTTAGGAAGATTGAAATAAAGAGTTATAAACCAGAGAAGGAATCTTTTGGTTTTCATTTGGAACTCTCTTTATTACACTGCGCCAGTAGAAACTTTGGTTTTAGTGAAAAGAAAAGAAAGATCGTGTGAAAATGAGAGACACAGACAATATTTTATAGCTCTGTTTCTACCGTAATCCGAATCAATCGATAATTATGGCTCAGCTATGTTATAGTACTCTTAGTATTTTTCCAATTAACTACTCCGTATCAGGCATGTGTGGCAATCGGAAATTTCGGCAATTCGGTAAGTTGCCGTACATAAAAATTTCGGCTATTAAATGTTTTCAACGATAATTCGAAATATTTAAATACCGAATTTTCACGGAATCCCAAATTACTCTATGGACATTAATTTTTGTTTCGCCGATATTTTTTGACATCAAATTGCCGAAAATCAAAATTTCGGCAATCCGGCAAATTGCCGATCGAACGTTCTCTTCGGCAATTCGGCAATTTGAAAATTCGGCAATTTCGGCAATGGGCAATTCCATTGCCGCACAGCCCTGCTCCGTATGATCCTCTCTAACTCTGTAACGGAACACTCCAAAAAATAGCAAATTTCCAAAATAGCAAAAGTTTGGAATACTGTAATTACCGTAATCCTACTACAATCGCTAGGATATTTCTATAGTAACACTCTTTTTTATCCAAGATATTGTACCCATCAAGTTTGAACCTGATCGGCTCATTCCGAAAAACATTTTTTGTTGTTCTCTGAGTACCGTATTCCTACAGTATATCCGGAACTATTGCAAATAAAAATGTTATTTTAGTAAATGTGTAGAAAAAAGACCCAAATAGTTTAAGGAAGATTTGAAATTATTCAAATAACTATCATAAAAAGCTAAATGAAAATTTTTCCGCTAATCGAATACAGTGCGTTTCACATTTATAAAGTCACTCCTGTTTTTGAGCTTAGCTTTGTCAATTGTAAAAATTTTCAAATTCTGTTTTCGAAATGAAATTCAGAGTATGTGCACCAATTTTCATAATAAATGATATCATAAAACACGATTTCATTGTTCTACGCATTACGAATTGTTTCGTTTATCAAAAATAATGTGTCAGATCATGGCATCTCTTCGCTTATAATTCACAATCAATTATTGGTTTATTTATTATAGGAATTGGGCGCAAAAAATATTTACAAGGTGCGATAAAAGTATGATCAATTTCCTAGTAAACTCACATTCAAACACTTGCCTTTAGAAACTTTCTCGGAGGATGTTGATGCTTCTGCGCAGTTGCAAATGTCACCACCATATCAATCTATGGTGGATGTTGTCGCACCTTCAAATAAATCACCGCCAAATGTGGCAAGTGTTGATATGAGAACAACTGCCGCGCGGATGTTTCGCACCTCATAACTGTTCTCGACACCCAACACGCGTTTTGTGTCAAATCTTTGCACATCCGTGAGAGGTCATACGGGGCGTGGCCATGTGGTCCGTATAAATAGAGGGCTCCGATGGGGTATGCATCAGTTCGTTTTGCCTCTCAATCACTCGCTGCTTCCGTTCTTGATTGACCGTTCGTTTGTTTCAGATATGAGCACCAACAAGCAAGTTCAGTCCAACAATCCATCGCCACAAGCTTTTCCATCTCCACCGCCATCTTGGGCCGACATTCCAATTGAGAAACCAGCTTGTTTTGAGAACACCAAGTTCAGCCACAAGAATAAGGAGAAGAAGCGCACATATAAGGTAAAAATCAATATCATTTTCCATTTCTAACTTCTGTATTATTATTACAGAATAAAAGAAGAACTAACAATGGCTCGGACATCTTCACAAATATGGGAACATTCGGACAACCTGAGGCAGTCAACAACAACTTTAATTTCGACTTCAACAATGAGTTTCAGAATTATGAGGTAACGAATAATTCAGCTGGTTCAAAATTCCAATTCTCAATCATTTCAGGATCAAGTGCAAGACGTGTTCACCAACATGGGCACATGGCATAACGGAATGGTTTATTATCCGCCGCCGCCACCGCCATCCATTCCATCTCCACCGGCGTCGGTCGTCATCTTCGGTACTCCACACTACTATCCAGAAGAGCACATCAATCAAGGGTGCGAGTACTATCCGGACGGAAGCTACGGACCATCACCAAGCGGAACGGGATCGCCATTCCAGAACATCGAGCTTCATCCAGATTATGTTGACGGGTATTTCGACTCGAACTTTGTTTATCGTCCATATCCAAAGCAGCCTTCTGCGAATTAGTTTTATATCGTAATTTTTAAATCGGTGATCTCAATATTTTGGTTTCTCAGTCATCAATTTACTGGTGCTTCTCTCATTGCTTTTACTGATTTGCTCACTGTGACTTATTGTGTTTTTCTTCCTGTGATCGATACTTCGCTATTCATAATAATTGCAACATTAATATTTCGTAATAAATAAATTATTGTACAGAAATCAGTTTCGATCACGTCATCATAACTTGGCAGTTAATTTTTAAAACCAGTTCAAATCTGTGTATGTAGAAGAAAAATCGATATTGCATAATTTGAATCGTCGTTGGTGCGGACAATGAATGAGATGTACATAAATATGTATGTGCGCATTTTAACTATTCGTGATAAAAATGTGTTTTGTTTGCGCAAGCTCTCTAGATTTCGCTGCTGTGCACTCGAAAATGTTCCCGTTTGTCGGCCATCGGCTATTTTCGCCCATTAAATTGTTTCCTTTAGTTTTTTTTTTTCACATTATTATTCTACCTTAATATATAGCTAAAAATGAGATTGTTTGAAACTATGCAAATTGAATGAAAAAATATTCAAATTTACTTTAAAAAACTATTAAAAATCTGTTTTGATCGGAATTTTTACATGGTTTTTAATGAGATCGACTTTTGAAATTCTTTTTTTCTTTCGCGTAGTTTTAATAGTAGGCGGGTGTCAAAAATCACTCAATATGAAATTTGATACATGTGGAAGTGAGAAAAAAAAATCTCCGTATCATTTGTCATTCGCATTTAAAGTTGAAATTTTTGAAAACAAAAAAATTTGATTGATGGTTTTTCGTACAAAATTCAGGTATTCAATAGTCAATTTCTGTTTTTTTTTGGTGATGCGCTGACTCAACAATTATGAGATTCGGTTAACAGTACAAACTTGTTCTGTGAATTATCATTTTTTTTTTTAATTATTTCGGTTGCCTAAAAATCATTTGCAGAATTTTTTGCCTATGAACTGTTCACGCAATTAAGCAAAAAAAATACAAGTACTGTGCAAATATTTGTGTATTATTATTTGGTTTCTTTTGAGAAGAACCCCAATTCTCAAAATCCACCGTCTTTGATTTTCAAAAAAAAAAGAGGCTCTGATATTTATCACATAAAGTGTTCCAAATTTCTAGAAAACTGATCAGTGGGAGTGAGTATACGAATACAAAGTTACACTTTTGCCGCAATTGATCAAAAACGCTCAGTGAGTGGTTGGTTGAGTGAGTGTGTGTGTGTTTTTTTTGCTCGTGTGTTTCAGTTACACCACTGATAATAATAAACATTGTGCTGGCTGCCGTAGGGCACCGGATGATCCGCTCTCGGGTTCGGTGCACAACCGACGCTTTACTACAAACACGGCGTCTCGCCAACCGTAGCGCTCTTGTGTCGATTCATGCCGAGAGTGAGTGAGCGATGGGAAGAGGTAGAGAAAGAGAATCCCCCGTCGGACGGGCTCCCGAAATCGTCATGCACAAAGGTAAAGAGTGGATGAGAACGTGTTCTCGGATTGAGAGCCTTCCACTTTTTTCTTCGCCCATCATTTTTTTTCTCGGCATGCCAATTTTGTTGTGTTTCCGAATTCGCCTACACAATTTCCGCGATCTGGCCGCGATTCGCACCGGTCGCAAATCCGATCCGTTCTGCGCTATAAACACATCGTATACTATAATGATTTGGCAGAAGGCCATTTGAAAATTTACGCGTTTCAAACGACGGCAAAAACATCTGGAGACGAGCCCATCAATTTTGAGGTTTACACGTTTCGAGATGAGTTGAACAACCGATTGGAATGATCTCGCGTTTACCTAAGAGATCTTCAGAATATCCGAGTTTAAACTAATTCGAATTCGTTATTTTCAAATTGAGCTCTGTTTGATAAAAACTATTTTCAATTGATTTTCTTAAAATCTATTTGGAATTGTTTGCTGTTGGATACGATTTCTAAGCAGTAAAACTCGAATTTCAAACAATTTTCATATTTTTTATTTCATTTTATTCGATTCAATTTAAATTTTTTATTTTACTTTCTGCTATCTTTGTTTAAAAATTACCTTATTCTGTAAATTGTATATTTTCAGGTGTTCGAAAATGGAGCGTGTGACGGTGCGCATGGCTCGTTCGGATCGCCGAACACCTTGGGGATTCGGCGTGACCGAAGCACCGGATGGTTCGGTTGTCATCGTCAACGTGAGTAACTCCTACTTGCTCTCGTTTCCACTCAAACCCAACCACGCTAAATCATTTTTATCCCACTCAAAAATAGTGTAATACGATTTAGCGATGTTCGAGCAACCCACAACGACGAGTTCGTGATTTTCGAGAAAGATGAAAAAAAAACTGCTGGCTTTGTGAAATTGACAAATGCAAATCTATAAATTATAAAGAAATCATCAAACAATCAAAATCAAATCCAAAAAAAAACGGAAAAATAGTAATTCAATATCGAATATACAATGAATTAAAATTTACACAATATTCTCGATTTTTCGATTGTTGTTTGTATTCAAAAATGAAAAAAAAACGTCAAAATAGAATATCAGAAAAAAATCCGAAGCAAATTGAATATTGGCAAACAAGTTTCGATTTCAATTTGAAACTGATCTCCATCGTTCAAATAAGCGGAAATTACACAACTCCACGGGTCGTTGCGCATCGGAAATCATTATGATTGAAAAAAAAAACCCGAAAATCTCATTAATCCCATCGATCAAATCAATCTAAACTTATTAAATGAGACTATAAAACATTTTAAGCTCAAAAGTTCAGGTCGTCGGAGGTAGTCTTGCGGATCGTGCTGGACTTCGCAATGGCGATGTTGTGGACCGTCTTGAAGGTTGCAAACAATTCGATGGTGCCTTTCAAAAATCCCCACAACGTTTTACAGACCTCGACAATTTGGATATCAATGCGGTTGATCGCCTATTAGTGACCGCGCACGAGAAAATCGAACTGGTTGTTACTAGGTAATCCGTTTTCGAATTCCGAATTGATTGTTGGTTTGTTAGTGAAAAGGGTGTCAAGGTGATAGATAGATAGATAGATATGTATGATAATGATAAACCGGCCGATTTAATTATGCGAAATTTATGTGTCATATGATAGGTTGTCACTTTTCCCGAAAATTCCTCAATTAGTGAATTACCAAGTTTAGAATAAAGTATTTGAATTTCGATGAAATCCGACTAATAGAATGTCTGCTTGAATTCCATTAATTGCATAAAAGTGCGATAATAATCTGGGCATGTTTCGTTGGGATTCGGCTAAAATCTTCTCGCAAATGTTTCGATTCTGGGGTGTTCTCTCAATTCATTTTCCTTTCGATTCGCTCGCCCCCGTCGCGAGTGTGTTCCTGCGGCTTGTTCCGAATTTGAATATCATTCTCTATATTTATTTATTTGCCCTCGCATTTCACACAAACAGTTACAGCGTTTTTTGAATGGTTCGTATCACGACGACACCTAGACCTTGGTAAGATAAGAAAACATCTATTGATCGATTGGAAAAACAAATAAAATAGGAAAGATTTCAATATAGTTTCATTTCAGGAACCAAACGGGACCAACTCGAATTTGGAGACCGGAGATTACTGAAAATCACGGAAGTTCCGAGGTTCCATATAGTGTCAACCTTCAACATAATAGCGATGTAAGTAATAAAATATATATTATACTGGAATGCGAGAGTCACGCGAAACACGGATAGAACATTATTGCGAACATGATTGCCAAATTGAATACTCATTTTTGCAGTCGCGACCACCGCAAGGTTTCAATTCGACGGCTCTTCCGTTCGAGACCGACGCTCGTGTCAAACATATGCAATACAATTCTCCACTTGGACTTTATTCGGAAAAGACCGCTGCCGAGCAATATGTCCAGCAAACCGCCGGCTACGTTGACAACACTTCGTAAGTCAAATTGTTTACTAAATTGTTGATTTCTCATGAACATTAACACACACACATATATATTATTGCGTTCTCAATTTTGCCTCTCGTCTGATTCGACGAAGTTCGCCGGCGGACGCAGCCAACTGCTCAATGAATGCGACCTCGCGCTTGTGCGGCGGCGCATAATTCGGCTGAAACTATTTACTTGACCAAAAAATCAAACAATTCCATTTTTATCTAAACGTTATCGAATCCGTTGGCGGCGCTAGCAGCGGCAACTGCTTCGTCGGCTCCCGGTGCTGTTGCTCGACAATTTTCTGGGAGTGCTGGCTTCACAAGATCCTTGAGTTTCAATCCGTATTTCTTGGCGAGCTTCTTAATCGCTTCACGATCTGCCGGTTCGAGAGCCTCGAATTCAGCGTGGATCTAAAACATCGAATACTCAATCAATTGTTGATTATGTTGATCTGTCTGCGCTCAAACCTTCTTCTTAGCCTCAGCGTGTGGAATTAGCAAGTCGCCGTTCTCAATTTCACCAAGCGTTTTGGCAGCGGCAGCCTTGGCAGATTCGCTCGGCAGATTCTCAGCAGCATCTGCTTTCGCTTCCTCGATGATGCTCCAGAACTGGTCCTTGACTCCAATCTTGGTCAAAAAGTCGTTGAAAGCTTGCAATTTGGTTGCAGAATCGCCTCCGCCTTCAATTTGTTCTTGCAACTAAAATATGAAATAATTAAATAATTAAAAACAAAACATAACAATTTGAAATAAAGAAAACCTTTTGGCAATCTCCACCAAGCGTCAAATGGAAATCCTCGTGTGGTCTTGCTTGGCACGGGCAGCATCCCAGAATGAATATAGCTGCTAGTATTCTCATTTTTTGAATTGTTTGACACACCGTGAAAAAAATTAACCGATTGATGGCTTATATACTAGAGTTGGCGTAATCCTGCGGTAATTCGGTTCAATTCGTTTTAATCTCAATCACAAAAATTTCAACGCAATTATTGAAATATTTCAGGTCTGCTCGCGCGACGGCCGAACGAAACGATGAGCCCGCTTATCTACGAAGCGAAACTCTACGATTGCTCAAAGAGCAGGAGCGCGCTCCTACGACGCTTTCAAATCATCCGAATCCAAGCGGTCTTCCGGTTTGCTTCATCTGCACGAGACCAATTTTGTAAGCAGAATTGAATTTCATCCGAAATAGCAAACTTTACAGAGGAGTTATGGCTCGTGCTGCCGGAAAAGATCTGCACGAGGATTGTCTTTCGTGCGCCACTTGCGGAAACTCTCTTCGCAATGTCGGACATCACTTCATCGACGATAAGTTCTATTGTGACATTCATGGATCGCAAAAGAAGGCCGGCGGAGCTCGGCCGGGAATGGATCCCAACATTTTTGTGAAGTCATCTCCGACGGCCACTCAACCAGTCTACCGACAGGAGAGTCCGCGAGCTGCCTATCAGCCTCAAGTGAACAGCCCACGACCAGTCTCTGTTTCGCCAGCTCCGCCAGGTGGAAGACATTCCGTCACTACTCACTATCATACACCAAAAACTCAGGGAATTTTGAGGTTATTCAAAAATGGTTCGATTAATATTAGAATCGAATGTTGTAGTCCTTCGCAACGTGGAATCCCAACTGCTGTATTTGGTGCTGATCATTCGAAGACGGTTTCATATGGTGGTGGCACCCAATACGACACTAATCGTCTTTCGCCAGCACCATCGCAATTCTCAAATGTTTCGCAGAAGACTCAACAGCAAACTGCGCCGCCAATGCCATCCAATCCACCGCCATCGAACCAAAATCAACACCAAAATCACAATCATAGTGGTAAGAGATCTGGGCAATTATGTCAATTATTTTGTGTTGCATGCTTTTGTCTTTGTTGATGTCCACGTCAGAACGATTCCAGAGTCTCGTGTCCCAGAGTCTGTCCGCAGTGCTGTTTCACCACGTCGCGCCACGAAAGCACCTCGACAGTGGCCTCCGCCAGAAAATAACAACAATTCTCAGAGATATTGGAAGATTAATGCAGCTGAGACTCTCAAGAAGGAGAAGCCGGCGACATATGGCTCCGATTTGGTAGCACTAATAAAGGAATGCGAAGCGGACAAGGAACCACCGAAAACCGTGCGCAAAAAGAGATTGTCAAACATCAGTAAGGATCAGGTTCAGAAGGCGTTTGAAGAGCATCGAAAGAGACGACAAGAAGAACCAAAATCAATAACATCGACGCAGCCTTCTGAAGTTCACAAGCCCATTGCAATTGTCGGAAGACCGTATTTCGAAGAAGACGAACCTCTCCAGAGCTATATTGTGAAAAATCCCGCTATCAGTTTCTCATCATCGTCACAAGAATGCACTAGTATACAAACGAGAGTAACACGACATGAAGTGGTTAATCAGGAAGAGCGGCCGAATACTCTCCAGCTTCCATCGGGGCCGTCTGTTACAGATTCAAGTACTTCACCGATTCCTTCGATCCGATTACACAGGAAGCCAATTCCTTCTGTTTCGATTACAAACGCATCGGGTCCGCCGTTAATTGTTGAAACAGAAAAGAAAGAAGAGGCCGAATTGCCGAAGAAAGCAATGAAACGAGTTGATTTCTCAAAGGCATCCCCAGTTGCGATTGAGACGGAATGGAAGCAACATTCAGATATTGTCGACGAATCCGATATTCTAACAGAAGCATCGAGAGATGAGGACAGTGTTTCGCTAGCCAATATGCAATTGAAAACCTACGATGGCGATGAATCTGAAATGATTGATGATGTTACCAGCACATTTGAGCTTGATGAGGAGCCGAAGCAAGAAGATAAGCATGAGCAATGGAGACAAAGAGCAATGCAGTTACTCGATGATGATTCGCAAACAGAACGAGATCTTATGATTGTCGCCGCGTTGAACGAAAGACTTCAAGGCCTTCGAGACATGGAAGAGGACGATCGGATTCGAGCGATTGAATGCATCGCCAGACACCAAAACGATCTCGAACAAACACAAACGCAATTGAGCAATTTGCTCGAAAGCGCCATTCAATATCTTCGCAACTTACAAACCGATGAGTCCGAAGAACAAGAAATGAAACCTCCGATTCCGCCGGAACGACATGTGTTTCCATTTTTCTCAAAACCAGCGCCTTCGATAACTCAAAGGTAGGTTGCTAGAGGTTTCTGTTGCTCATTCTGTGGCTTGTCTTTTGTCGTTCTCTGTGTTTTAGTTTGCATGATGTGCTTGATGAACATCGTAGTATTCAACAAGCTCCTCCAGCTCCACCAACTCGTACGGTCAGCTCGTCAGATGCTGTCGAAGATTCGAGAAACTTTTTGGCGTCACGTCTCGGCCAATGCTTGAATCTCGAAGGTGATTTTTGTTATTTGTGTTTTATGTTTATGTGTTGCTCTTCTAATATTTCAATTGGTATAATGATGCTCTAGGATCTTACACCAAGTCGTCTTTCGAGCGAACAACCACCGAAACAAGACCATATGACGCTGGAAACGGAAACGGACAAAATGCTGGAGAATTCCGCGGCACCGGATCGTTGAACCAGCAATCGGTTGGCGGAAGAATCCCATTCTGCGAGGCGTGCAAACAACAGATCAGGTAGAGTTTCAATTCGTTCTGAATTCATCCCCCCACGCGTTGAAGAGGCGCCTTCGTTTTGGCCACTGGCAAGTCGTGGTGCCCAGAGCACTTCGTTTGTGCCAATTCGTCATGTCGTCGTCGCCTTCTCGAGTGCGGATTCGTCGAAGAAGACGGCCAAAAGTTCTGCGAGACTTGCTTCGAGCAACACATTGCTCCAAGATGTGCCAAGTGCTCAAAGCCAATCGTTTCGGTACGTACCCAATAATTCAAATCATTTGATTATCTATTATTTTCTCAAAGGACTGTTTGAATGCTCTTCAAAAGAAATGGCATCCAACGTGTTTCACGTGCGCTCATTGCCAGAAGCCGTTCGGCAACAGCGCATTCTATCTCGAACAAGGATTGCCCTATTGTGAACAAGGTATGCTCAGGTGATTCGATTTGCTCAAAACTATTCGCTTTCAGATTGGAATGCTTTGTTCACTACGAAATGCGTTAGTTGCCGCTACCCGATTGAAGCCGGAGATCGTTGGGTTGAAGCTCTCGGAAGCGCATTCCATTCCAACTGTTTCACTTGCGCAGTATCATTTCGCACTGTTTTCTGTCAAAACAGTCTCAATTTTCAGCGCTGCAACCACAATCTAGAAGGCGAAAGCTTCTTCGCCAAAAATGGGCAACCATTCTGCAAACTTCACGCCTAAATTTCGAGATTTCTAATCACTTAGAAACCCTACTAAACTCGTAGTTATACGCAACTACTTTTAAAAGTCATCATTTTCAAAATTTTCAGTTTTTATCTCTTTCACATTGTTAATTCATATATGCCTTTGATAAACACTAACTTTCATAATAACAGCATAATAAAACAAAATTAACTATAATAATAAAATAATGATTTTTTTGTAAACAAAAGAGGATTTTGTTACACAAATTAAAAGCAATTCATTGCCCGCTGAACGAAAATTAAAAGTAGAAAATGAGCTTCTATGAGACCAATGTTGAGAATTACAATTCAATTGACGATTTAGATCCGGCCGTTTCCTCGCTCTTGTCCTGGCGTAGTTGGCTCAATACTGAAATTTTGGACACTAGCAGCGAATAGAGTTAAAAGCATATATAAAGCAGAATGTGTAAGTACCCGAATTTCAAAAAAAAAAACAAGAAAAATCGTCCTCTCCTTAATTCTTTAGAAGTTGGGAAAACTTACCACCAGAAAATTAGGAAGTTTGAAGACCTATCTTTACTGATAGTTAAATGATTTTCGTTTCAAATAACTCTTTATGAACTTCTATATGCAATTCAAATTTGAAGTGCTTACATTATTCTGCAAGCAATTGTGTTTCCCAAGGTTTATTTCCAAATTTTTTCAATTCAATTAAAGAAAAACCAGTTAAGAGAAGAATATTTATTCCTTTCTACAATATAAATAACACACTTCTACCAGTTTCTTACGGATACCGTATAATCTATGCGAAACACAACAACACAGGACAAACTATCACCAGCCCAACACTTTTAGGTATTAAGGGATTTTTCAACGGTCCCTTTCAACAGAAGACAAGAAAATAAGAGAACACACAACACACGAGCACGATGCATCAGCAGAAAACAACTTTCTATCCGTAGAAGATGAATCGCAGCGTATCAATCAAGGGCATCGATTCGGTGATGAAGCATGTGAATGCGATGGGCACCATCACAAGGTGAGCATGCCATTGAGCCATATCAATTACTCGATCCAACTCATCCTTCTCGTGGCGAACAACTCGCTTTGGTTTTTTGTAGTGAGACTCGACAAGCCTCGATGGGGGCGGTGTGTAAACCGCAGAAACATCCTTAAGCGAAGGTTCCGGGGTCACAAAACAAGTTGGAGTGGTTGGTTTGAACGAGATTTGAGTGTTTGATGTTCTTCTACTGTTCAGTGGTTTTTCGGCATTGTTTTGAACTGCTCTTCTCAAAATGTCAGCTTTCGCCGGTCGCGTCTGATTGAGATTGTTAAGAGCAAACGAGTGCAAGTATCGGAAATTTGGTTTAGTTGACTTCATATTCACATCGTCTGTGGTGCAACTCATCAAGTCGCCTTCTGTCGTCGACGCATTCGTAACTGACGGCGTCATTAGAACATTTCGATCATCGATGGGCGAATCTCTCGCAATTTCTTCGGTATAAGATATCGATGCATCTGGGAGCACTGAAGCGGCTCGAGACACTACAGAACGGCTACCACGACGGGCACGGCATTTGACAGAAGATGGGCTAGAATACGCCGATTAGCATATTTGAGAAGAATATGAGAAGATAGTATAAATAATGAAAGTTGAAGTTGAAGAAGTATAGAATATCACAAGAAACGTTCTAGGCGCTTAATAAAACCTAACAAAAGTCTAAAGTAACATAATTCATGCATATTTAAAATAAAATCAAAATAGGTGTTTTCTTTAAAAATATTTCTCTTAAAATAAACATTGTTTTGTAATTTCCCTCATTTCAAATTTTCGAATAGCGTTGAAATCGTTTCAGAGTTAAAAAACCGATCTTAAATCGTTGTCTCATCTTCATATACACAAATGAAAAACTCCTAAGAAAACTATCACAATTGCACAATGACTACATGCATAAACCAAATATCAGAGGGTTCGAAAACGTCACTCAAATCTATTGTTCAATTTACCCTTGGTTTTATGCAATAAAATCGTTTACCTGGCAACGCTTCCGGCCGTTTTAGTTGGTTTCGTGTCAAGAACGCCAAGATACTTATAGGCTCTGGTAAGCAAGTAAACGCTTAATGAAGTTGCCGCAATTGTTTTAACCCAAGTTCGAGATCTGTACAGAATTCGTCAATCGTTTTAATTTTCATGTCAGACTCACTTGGCTGGGAAAAGGGCTTTGATAAGAACAGCAGCCAACAAAGTGCCGAAATTAAAAATAGTCGAAGTCAGTACACTAAACTCTGGTTCGTAACTTTTAAAAGCCTTCAAATCGATACCTGAACTCGACACGCTCCCATGGGTGGAGATGTTGAAGATGTCTTCTGAAATACACGTAGAATCCGAGGCCTACGTTCGCATTGAACAGAATGGTGTTGCTCACAGCGAGATCGCCGGTTGGGAAAAGACTAAAAATGAAATTGGGGAGCGTATTTTAGGCGGATACTCACTTGGAAATGATTTTGGGGCTGAAGAGATGAACTGTGTACAACGTGTGGGAAATGGCACCAGAAGCTGGTAGATAATGCGATAGAAGAGTTTTCGAAGTCAATCGCGGAAATAGTCGGTTCCAGTCGATTCGCATCGATCCGCGTGGGATATCTGAATATTTTTTTTTTGGAATATTTAAATCGTAGCCCAAATTTAAATGTTTTTGTCGAAAACATTTTTTTCCGTGACAATTTAGCGATATATATATGAAAAATTCCTCAAAATAGCATAAAAATCAAAAGATTCTCGTCTGCGATGCGAACACAAAGCGGATTTTTTGTCGACGATCTAGCCAATTAACAACTGATTTATTACCGAACGAGACTAATCAATCAAATGCGGCGATTCATTAAACGCCCATCTATCGTTCGCCGAGGAAGTGTTTCTCGTTGCTGTTAAAAGAAACTTTCTCACCTGAACTTGATGAAGTGTCGTAGATGGGCATTGTGTCGCGCAACTATTCGCAGAACAACAAGACGAAAATCAATCGATTCCTTAATGAGGTTGATGTTGTTTTTGGTTGCACAGACCTGAACAGAAATGAACAAATTACATTCTTTTTAAACAAAGTTAATCAAATTGGTGCAATAAAACGAGAAAGTCGAATCCCCCAAATGTATATTATCAACATTTACAAATGTATATTATTAACATTCACAGAATTATTTTTTTCTAATTTTTGAGAATATTATACAACTATTTCAAGAAACAACTAAAACGAAGTAAAAAGTGCCGTTACACCGTTTGGGTAAATAATCAGAAGTGTCGGCGATACGAAAACATTGCGAAAAATGATAACATCTCTCAAAACAGTTTATGTTGGTTGCAAGGAACTTGGTCTCGAACTGATCCCACCCATTTTTCGCTAGTTACGTCGACTTTTTTTTAAACTTTCGTATAAGGAGCAAACTCGTTCGAAAACCAACACCATACAGTTTTTGAATCAAGTTTCTCGAAAATTATTCAAAACACAACATTATTTTTGGTTTTCAATACATGGGTTTCTTCGATGAAATAACATTCGCTCACTTATTGTTTGATTTCTTCGAATGATAGCGTTTATTGATATTTCACAAGGTGAAATTATCATCATTTAAAAATACTTTCGTCATTTTTTGTTTAAAATATTGATATTTCGTGCAATATTGGAATTTTTGAATGTTGAAAGAGAAGTGAAATTTAATACTTATGTTTTTGTCTGAAAATTACACTGTGAAAATGTTCGACTCAGGCATTTTATTGCAACATTACAGCATAGACACTGAGCAAATCACCAACCTAATTCCAGCGGATTCCAAAAGTTTTATTGATTAAATATGATCGTTTTGTGCAGCGAAACTTGTTGATAATGCTGCACACGGGGTCGCTGTAACAGAAAAGAAAAATGAACAAAAAATATGGAATGACGAAGGAAACAGAAAAAAAGCGAATGGAAGAACAAGCAAACAACCCCAAGTACACAAGATGAAACCGATAATTGTTGCGAGAATGCAGAGAATGAACACCACACGCCACATCGACGTCAACGCGGCAAATTTCTAATCAATCGTACCGGGTGTGTGCAATCGAAGGGAATTTCAAGTTTCCGGTAGTCGAATTGTGCAGGTGTTTTCTCAAAAATTCAACCACTTAAATTTATGTTCCAATAAAATATTTTCAGGATTAGTTAATCTAGCAAACTGAGTTTTCAGATTTTTATGAAACTCTAATGGACCTATTCAGTTATTACAAAATCGTCGAATTTGTCATTTTTACTCAATGCAACCACGTACAATTTGTGGCAATTGGATCGAAAAATGATTCATTGCATTCCGCTGAATAATTCCATAAGATGCTTCATAATATTGAAATTGGAGAGAAATCACTATAATTTCCAAAAAAAAAGAAAAGTAGAAAAACGTTTCCATCGAAAAATGAATCTGCTCCAACAGAAGAAAGATATTTGTAGAGTTCCCAGTTTTGTTAACAATACCTCGAGTGTTCTGCAAATAATTGTTTTAAAAAATTTCGAAAATGATCTAATCGCATTATTGAGCAATTTTAAACACACTCATAGATAACAACGGTGATGATTGGTTTGAGTTTTAAGCACAAATGATGAATGAACAGACGTTTGAGCAGGTATCAAGAAGAAAACAGCAATAAAAAGCGAAATGAAAAGGTCGAAAGGCAGCAAAAAAAAGAGGAAATTGACACGAGAGATATGTTTTCTTCAATTTTGTGCTGCTAGAAATTCGTTATGCCAATTTTTATGAAATCCAATGAAAGATTCCAATGAAAAAACTCAGTTGCCCTAAAAATGTTAAATGCGATGGAGCGCACTTTGACCAATTCAATTTAAGGTTTTTTCGCTTTCTGTCAAACATTTGCAAATTTTCGGAGGTCGAGTAACGAGAATTCTGGAAATCTCATTTTCTGCTTATGCTCGCAATTTCCTGAATAATCTTTGCACGAGGTTCACTTGTAAAATATTTTTCGAAACAGTTTTTTATAGAAACCAAATCGTTGCCACAAATTTAGAAATAGTCCTTTGTTTCAATAATAATCGAAGAATAGTCACATATATCCAAACGAAACTATTGAAAAATAAATCGAATTCTAATTTCTATATTTTTCCTATTTGGTTATTTGAAACTGAAGTAGATTGAGCGTGAAAAATATTAAATATACCTGAAAGTTGCAATGCTTTAATTTTTAGTAAATTTCGCTATTGTTTACCTAGAACAGCATTTCGATAAGGAGTTATAATGAAAACAGTAGGAAATGGATCTATTAATGGATATATTCCAATACTAAGTGTGGTCATGTATATTGCGAAACCAGGGTCAACTTTAAGTGCCGGTAGCAGTATGGAAATTGCTGCAGGAACTTGCATCAATATAAATGGTATTAAAGTCTGAAACACAAATTATTATCTAATCCAATTCATGTGAAATTGGATTTTTTATCATCAATATATTCAATGGCATTTTCTCAATAATGATTTTTAGCCAAATCGAAGTTTCAGTCAATTTACCTCTAATACTAAGGCTTTAAATAATTGTTGTTTTAGAGATCTCGAAGAATTTGAAATAGACAAATTCGCGGATAATCTTTTCATAGTCATGTAATAACACCGTATGCCAAAGTATAGAATAGTTGAGAAAGAACAAATCTGAAAATTGTATTAGTTGCTTTTTTTGGTGAACAATTCTCACAATCATTAAAACAAATGAAAGCGATCCCAAAAATTGATTCCAATCTTCGGTTATTCCACGTTTGTTATAAACATTTAAAGCAATATAAACGACTTGTTCCATTCTTAAATTGAATTGTTCAAGAAAATATTCCCTTAAATTATTATCGCATATTAGTAATTGCCGGCCGATAATTGAACCTACCTGCACATTTCAGTTGTTTCTTCATTCGGACGTGCGAAATAAAGAACCAAACAAGACCATATAAGACTATACGCAATGGGTAAGAATAAAAACTTAACATAGCGTTTTCCAATTATGTATTTCTCGTTAAATTCTCTAGAATCAGTTAACCACATTATCAAAAATCGCAAAAACATTTTTTTCTAACAAAAATTTGAGCAAAACATACAGATTGACAGCTCCATATCTATAGGCAAAAGGCGCGATGAACATTGCCTGAGAAAACCCATAAAAGGCCTCGTATATAACTAAAATTTCGGTTTTTTTTTAAATTCAACTCGAAAATTCATACTCAATAATATAAAATTCCATAAATAGCTGATTTCAGTTTCTTGAATTTGAACAAATAAAATTGCAGAAAATTTGTAAGCTAGACTTATCTGAAAATGTGTGCGTTAAATTCCAATGAATATAATTATATGCATTGTCGGTTTCAAACAACTGAAATTGGGCGGGATCTCTCTCTCTCTCTCTCTTTCTCTCTCTCTCTCTCTCTCTCTCTCTATTATCTAATTTTTTTCCTCTCTCGCGAAATCAGTGTCGATTTACGAGTTGAGAGAGTGCACACAAATCACTGTGTGTATGCCATTCGCTTCAGATGGCCAACAATTATTTGAGTTTAAATCAGTCATTTGACGCCAACAATATCTGATTTCAAATTTACAGGATGGGTGAGGATACCAACAATCGAGTATAAGGCTTCAGCCACGGCAATGTAGATCAAAACATATTTATAAGATCCCATAATTTTTGGAGATCGATTCAATAGCAAAATAATAAGGAAAATATTAATAACAACAGCAATAAATCCAGAAATTATTTGAAAGTTTGAAGCAAAATGAAGCCACATATTTAAAGTTCATTAAAAATAAATATATTGAAATATGGAATATAAGACAGTGAATTCTCTTGAGAATTCATTGGGTATTCATTATTGGCTGTGAAGATAACACCAAGCTTTACTGAATTTTCTCCTCTCAAATTGACGGTGTTTGATGTCTGAATTCATGACTCGACATTTCCCTCTTTTTATTTTAAACGATATTTTTGAGCAGGTGTAAATAGATATGTTAGAGTTCGCGAAATGAGCTGCAGGAATCGGAAAAAATCGAAAAAGTCAACGCGACCAGCAGAATAACATTTCGATGAGAATTTCATTCAATTGATTCATTTTGATGTGGTTTTTTAAAGGCGCAACGTATTTCTCGACTAATTTCTGCAATTCGGATTTAATTAATTAATGTTAGAAATAATTCTTACGAAATATTGCCTTTCGATATGGTTTTATAATAAAAATAGTCGGCAATGGATCAAGCAGTGGATATAAAGCAATTGTTGCAGCAATAATACACGCAGAATTGTTGTCTTTCACTTTTGATATCGGAAATGTTAAGAAAAGAACACCTGGAAGGTGCATTAGAATCATGGGAATTGTCGCCTGAAAAAAATTTGAATATTCCGCAGAATTCATCAAACAAAATGTATGTACTTGAACCACTAAAGCTTGGAATAATTGCTGTTTCAAGGATCTTGCCATTCGTGACATCATTTGACTTCTTTCCATACTTCTCATTGTTAAAAAATAGCAGCGAATACCCAAATATGAAATACAAGAAAATGAGAATATCTTGAATTCAGATCAGTTTTAAGAAAATGTTTCAAAAGACATACGATAGTCGCGATGAGTATAATCGCACAATACAATTGACTGTAATCAACATACTCATTTCCATGTTCATCGATCGGGAATATATTTATCGAGAAATAAATAGTATTTTCGATGTTAACGTCTAAATTATACAAAAAGAAATTTCTAAATAACATATTAGTTTGCTTTTCTTTGTGAAAATTCCTTCTTTCTACCGGCCAATTCTTTCGGTTTCAACCGTCGGAGATATGCCATATAAAACAACGAAAATCCAGAAAATACAACCCATTACTGGTAAAATCAGCCAAGCAATATAACGATTTCCTCGAATATATTTTCGATGAAATTCTCTTAATTTGGATGAATTATTATGCGAACATTTTCTTATTGTTCCATGCAGGTTTTTGATGAAAACTCAAGAACCACAAAAAACCTATCTAATGTCTTGAGCTTTTCTTCTAAACCTTGCATCTCGAAATTACAAATTAACGGCTCCATATCTACAAGCGAATGGCGCAACAAACATTCCTTGTGAAAAGCCGTAGAACGTCTCATAAGCCACTAAAAATTTGAAACTTGTTTTTTTTTAAATTAAAATTCAGTGTTCCACTTAATTCCCACCTCAATTTTATCGAATAATTCGCGAATACATTGCTCCAGAAATTATCTGAATCAGAAAAAAATACGCATATACAAAAAAAAGCGCATATATGTACTATTAGATTTATATTATGAACCTATTTATGCAATGAAAAAAATTTAAAAAATCAATTTTTATCATTTGAATTCCCTATGCACGCACGTCGAAAATTTCAAAAAAAAAATTGACGCGATATATCGTAATTCTCCGCTATTTATTTTTAAAGGCGCACGCGAAAAGTTGCGCAGGTCACGTCACGAAGTCGGTACTGTAAATTTTTAATAGCTGTTTTTTTTTCGAATTTTCTTATCCTTTGAGCGTTTAAAACGTCTTTTTTTTATAATCTATGAAAGTATTTTGCTTAATCAACGTTAAAAATTCATCAGAAGCGTCATCGAGCGAAGTCTGCATCAAATCAACGCAAATATCACAATTTTTCATATTAATTGCTATCTAAATGACGAAAAATAGATTTATATTGTCGAATTCGGAGTATTTATACCAAATTGTTTCTTTTTCTCTCGTTCGTCAATCCATTACTCATTTCCTCTTCCAAGTTTTCGAAAAATACGGAAAAATAGCACACAGAATTAAAAATAAAAAATACAGTACCGACTTCGCGACGTGACCTGCGCAACTTTTCGCGTGCGCTTTTGAAAATAAATTGCGGAGAATTACGATATATCGCGTTAATTTTTTGTAATTTTCGACGTGCGTGCATAGGAAATTCAAATAAAAAAATTGATTTTTTTTTCATTGCATGAATAGATCCATTACATTCACAAAATTCCGCAAGAATATGTCAATTAAAACATTTTCATGAAAAAATTCCACTTAAATATTGGTCCACCCACAATTTTGGTGTTTTCGTCATCTTTTTAACCTATTCTTATATTTGCTATTTTTCCACTTTCGAGCTAATTACTGAATTCCTCGTGGGAAACCACTCACCAACATTAATTAAGACAAATTTGTGGAAAAATTGGCTCGAGAATATTCTCGCCGACAAATTCGGCGAGACGTCTGATATTGTCGTGATGCAAATATTTCATTCGCAAAAAAAACGAGCACCCTGAGTCGATTTACGATGAGTTAACTTCGCAGGTTATCCAGAGTACGGTATCAGAATTCTAACTACTTAAATTCGAATTTAAATTACCGTCCCAAAAATCTGCGATGGTCCATAATTATGCAAGGCGCTCGTTTTTTTTTTGCGATGATAACAGTATTTTGCTACGAATCCGTTGTTTTTCAGATCAGCGCCGCTGTTTTCGTATTTTCTTAGCTTTAATGATACAGCCGAAAGCGGATCTCTGCGTCAAAATTAGGCATCTCACAGTTCGATTTCATAATGATGCTGAGTCAGCATCATTGCTGACCCGTTGATATTTTCAATAAATCATGAAGAGTTGAATTTTGATGTTGAATGCTTATGGAACTGATAGTAAATTTGCATTTTTTCTTCCTAATTGAAATCATTTTTCGTGTTCTTGAGTTACTCGACAAAATTGGGGTGGGTATTTATTTATGTGTAGTACTGAATGGAGTACTGAATATTACTAACACATGGTGGCAAAATGAAATTGATAGCTCATTGATGAATTTTTGATAATTTTTAGAATAAAATAGGCGTTATTGTTCGAAACTGAAATCTGCAAATCTCGGATTTCTCATTTTGTGATTCTGGATTTCGTTACAGGATGCGCGAGAATATCAACAACCGAATATAATCCTTCAGCAACGGCAACGTAGATCAAAACGTATTTATAAGTGCCCAATGATTTGGGAGATTTGGTGAATAGTATAACAATTAGGAGCAAATTAATGAAAATGGCAACAATTCCTGTGGAAAATTGAAGAGTTTCTAGAATTTTCAGCCACATTGAAAACTAAAATGATGCTTTTATTTGGTCTTGAGTCTCAGGAGAATGAGTACAACACGGGCGTCTTATTAGGTCAGCTACAGTATCTACTTGAAATAATATTTTGACAAAAATAAAACATTTATCAATGAAAAAATTGGATTTCAAATTTCTTGATTTATTTTCTCAATAAATGTTTGATTTCGCGTAGCATTGATCGTCTGAAATTCACCGATTCATTCTTCAATCGCGACTCCTCAATCTTCGTCGGACATTTTTGAATAAGTCTCTTGATTTTGTATTGCAGGGTATTCTCATTCTAAATTCCCAGATTTTCAGTGTCATTTTAATTTTTTTTTCAAACCAAAATCAGATCCATTATTCCGTCAGCAATATGAATCGTCGCGTAGTCATTCAAAAGATACGCTTCAGTATAGCCGAATCGAATTGTGTTGTTCGGAAGGTTGTTCGTCTTATTAACACGGGTTTTGATGTGAAGTGGTGCCTTAAAGTGTGCGTTGATGAATTTCTTGAATTCATCTGAAATTGAATTTTCATTTAATTGCAGGCATTCTAGTAATACCAATTTGTCCTTTATTATGACACCAAGAGAAAGTGAAATTGGGATGAAACATGTTAAAATATTGCGTGAATTTTCCATTCATCAGATTTTTGCTCATTGTTTTTAAGACTATTCGACTCACATTATAAACCAATGGATCGTGACATGAGCAAGTCTGAAAATATGATATAAAAATTTCAGAAAAAAGGCAATAATAACCTCGATGAGAAGAGCGACAAAGAAAAACACGTACAGTTTCATCATTTTCGACAGAAATTTTATGTTTCTTTCATATTTTATATAAAATTTTTGATTCGATTAGCAAAATTGATAATTCAATTATCAAAAGTTAAAAATAAAGCAAAAGAAACGAATCAAAAATACGAAAACCGTATCAATTTTTAAATATGTAGAGAATATATCGGTTGAATGATAGAATATATCGGTTGAATGATTTTTAAATCGATTTCGCTCTTGGAGCCGACATTATTTGAACTTTTGAGATCTTTTTTCAATTCGAAAGAAACGACGATGTTGATCATCGGAATAAATTCATTTGTTCGATTCATCACAATTGCTTCTTCTTTTTTTTTTCAAAATTCTCAATTTTTTCGTTGTAGAAATACACAATACGTCACAATTTTCGAGCAAAAAAAGCTATTTGCCAACCTGTGAAAATATGGATTTTTTTCGCTAATTCGATTAGAGAAAAATAAAAAAAACGGGACGGTATAAAACGCGCCGGCGAAATCGAGAAGGCACACTTTGCAAAATGTTCAAAGCCTGTCTTCTTCTCTCGATCTTCGCGATGGTATGTCCTCGATTCTCTTGCTCACTCTTCGATTCTTGCATTTCAGGCACTCGCCAAGGATAGCCTTCACATGAGCATTGCAAAGCAGGCTCTTAGAAGTATTAACCGAAATGTAATGACGCAGGACTACAACCAGTTGAAGTCGCTTTTCTATAAGAAGAGCACCTATTCTGTGTGCAAGCAATCCGGAAACTTCTGTAAGCTTTTAATCATTTCTTCTTCGTTTTTCGTTCTTCTGCAAATAATATCCACGTGTCAGTCAGATGATGTCATCCACGTGGATGGTCTCGCACCGCTTTCAATATCGTTTTTAACAGAATATTTTTCTCGAAATTTTCCCGTTGAGACCCAAAGGCCACATGAATTTTCTCTCTTTTTTTCTTCAGACACCCTTGCCGCCTATTTGAAGAAGCATGCTGTGAAGCCTCTCAACATTGAATTCCGCGTCGACTACGTCCAGCCGCTGGATAATGGAGGACTTCGCTTCCGATTCTCCGAAGTGTACCTCCTTGACGATTACGCGACTCTTATTGTTGCTCAAGGAACAATCGACATGATTTTGGTTAGATTTATCACGTTCAATTAATCGATATTAATCTATTCAATTGAAGGACATCGAGAATCTGCAATACAAGATTGAAAAAATTCTACAAGACTGCCCAAAGAAAATTGAGGAATCGCCATTCAAGCACCAGTCGATCGAATTCAGAAGAAAAATGCTCCGAACCATCAAGGACAAATTGAGAAAATAATCACTTGATTATAATAAATCATTTCATCGCATTGTGTTCTGCGAAAGGAAATATCTAACAAAAAATCAAATCAAATCGAATTTTGAACTTGTCGGGCACGTGAAAAACAATTAGAAGACCATTCAAACTCCCTCGTCTCAAAATCGATGTTCGTCAAAAACCAGATAAATACAAAATCAAAAAAGGACGCCTGAGCCCAACCATTTTGTTCTCTGAGAAAAAGTATGGAGGAATTGAAGTTTGGAAAATGCGGTACGCGGAAAAAAACGGGAACGAAATTTAAAAAAAAAAACGGAAATGGAAAAGAAATAAAAAAATTAATGGAATTCAAGACGAAACATTGCAAAAAATTAATGGAATTCAAAGACGAAACATTGCAAAAATCAGAACAAGATTTCCGCTGTTTTTGCGGATTTTTGGCGGGAATCGGAATTCCGCCCAACTCGAATTTTTGAAGCGAAAAAAATGACGAATCAATTCCTTCAAAGTGCAAAAGAAATACGTATCACTGCTATATATTTTTTTACTGTCATTTTAATTTCTGCTTACATATATTAATGTCAATCAGTTTTTCTGCATTAATATTCAATAGATTATTTTTGAAAAGTTGAATGCCAATATTTATTAGACAATAAAATTCTAATGTTTTTTTTTTTCAAAGAAATCTTTTTGATAAATTAATTAATATTTGTTTTCTGGAGCCAAAGTTTTTTAGTTTAATTTCTGAAAAAAATCTTCAAGTAATTTTCGAAAATATGTTCGATTTACAGGTTAATTTGCACAAAAAACAATCACAACATTTATTATTTTCAATCAATGTTTGTTATAGTTTTTGAAGGTCACATATCAGTGATGTTGATAACATGGACACTACATTTTGGTTCAGCTTCTCCGAGTTGTTGACCACGCCATTTTCACATGCAAAATCGAACCGACAATCAGGCCATTTTGAGTGGTATGAGGGAGGAGGCGGGGCCGGACACGATGAACAACACACCAAACGTTTTCCTCATATAAAACCCTGCTGAATGGTGTATTGAGTATTTGCTCAACCTTCGTCCTTGTTTTGTAGCCTACGACAAATAATTTTCTATTTTTCTTGTAGAGCCATGGCACGACCTTTGGGTTTCTTCGAGACGCTCACTGAAGTTCCGTTTAAGCATGAGCTCTCCAAAGCGCACATTGCTCAGAATCAGGTGACAGCCTTCTGGATTTCGATTGCTTATGTGGTTGTCATCTTTTCAATCAAAGCAGTAATGGCAAATCGGAAACCATTTGACGTAAGTATTTCGATGCACATCCATATAATACTAACAAGAGACCGCAATTTACAGCTGACCGGACCATTGAACCTGTGGAATGCGGCGCTCGCGATTTTCTCAACTCTTGGATCCCTTGCCACCTCGTATGGGCTTCTTTATGAGATTTACACCCGCGGATTCTTCGAGAGTTATATTCACATTGGAAGCTTCTACGAAGGCTTGTCCGGATTGTTCACATGGCTTTTCGTTCTGAGCAAAGTTGCTGAGTTCGGAGACACGTTGTTCATTGTCCTCCGCAAAAAGCCTTTGATGTTCCTTCATTGGTATCATCACGTCCTCACAATGAACTACGCCTTCATGTCATTCGAAGCCAACTTGGGATTCAACACCTGGATTACTTGGATGAACTTCTCCGTTCATTCAATTATGTACGGGTAAGTCTCATTTGAATATCCATATATATTGAATTTACTTATTTTTTAATTTTCAGATACTACATGCTTCGCTCAATGGGTATCAAGGTGCCTGCTTGGATCGCAAAGAACATCACAACAATGCAAATCTTGCAATTCGTCATCACCCACTTCATTCTGTTCCATGTCGGCTATTTGGCTTCGATTGGAGCTTCCGTCGATTCAGATCCATTCTACTTCTGGTTCTGTTTGTTGATGGAGATCTCCTATGTGGTGCTCTTCGGAAACTTCTACTATCACTCGTACATCAAGGGAGGAGGCAAGAAATTTGTCGCCGAGAAGAAGAAGGAGTAAATCGAATAATTTAGCGAGTGCAATTAGTGTTTTATTCGGGTTATTTCACAAATAAATGTAAATTATTCAAAAATCCAAGATCAAATGACATCTCAAGGTTGAAATTATGTGGCTGATCAAAATCTCTGCAAAAAAAGATCAATATCATTAGTTGAACAGATTTCGAAAAGGTTGAAAACAAATTTTTTTAATAAAGACAATTATAATTGACATGTAACGCTGGTACATTGCGTTCTGCACTTTGCTGTTCTTCGTATGGCATTGACAGGTCAACAAAATGTTGTTTCTTTTATGTATTGTCCTTTTATGTATTGTCAAACGACTGAAAGAAATTTTTAAAAAATGTATTGACTGATTGCCAGGTGTCTGGAAGCAGAAAGACGTGCGCGTGTCTGCGTACATTGCATTTAAGCCGACGCGCAGATATTTTGGCGAGCGTAATTTTCTAATTTCGTAAACCTACACCAATTTTACCAATTTTTCTCTGCAAAAGAACCTGTTAGTCCGTGCGAGACCACAGCCAAGGCGAACATAAAAATATCCGCGTAGAGCAGTCGTCGGACTCCGGCTATGCTTTTACTATAATATCAAAAATAGCATTTTTTTTAGAAATGTAAATACGATTATAGTTTTTAATAATATCTACATATATCCAAACAGTTTGCTAGGTTTTCGACACCGAAATACAAGCTGTGTTTTTGTTTAAAAAAATAGAACAACTCAGGAATTCGATCGGAACAAATAGCGGATAATTTTTGGTTTGGGAAAACTAGCAAAACATTTTGGTATAAACAGAGGAAAAATGCAATTAGTCGATACAAAAGTCGCCCACGAGTTTGTCCGACACGCTAATTTAGGGTCGTGAGAAGTTCGTTTTCCACAAAGATTATTCCAAGGATGAATTGCAATTGACGATATTCGACGTCTGTCTGTTAGGGTTTCCGTACAAGCGAATGGCAATGTGGGTGCCCACCATTTGTACACCATTCGCCCGCCATTCGCCTGTGCACCACAAGTATTGTCGGCTTCAAACGACGGAACGAAATTTTAAAAAAGTGATATTGTGTCAGGTATCTCGAGACAAAGAGACGTGCGCGTGTCTGCGTACTCTGCATTTTAGCCGACGCGCAACTAATATTTAGCCTTCGACAAAAATGATTATATTTTATTTTTTGTTATAAACCAGGATGCAATTAAAATATTTTCAACATTTTTATATGACACAAACTTTCTTTGTACCTAAAAATTTTATAGCTCATAATTTTCGCGAACTTTATTCCCAAACGGTGATAATTCCGAATTATTGGTACAAAATACATTTCCTGATTCGATAAAAATTCACTTAATCCTTATCGAATGCGGAAAACGATAAGGAAGAAGGAAAAAACTGAAGATTCTGGAGTGATAGAGCAAAATTTGCTTGCAAGTGTCAATTATTCAGACACATAAAATTGAATTCAATTTTGACAAAAATGGTCGAAATGAGAAAATAACTAATTGCAGCAAAATAGTTTTTGAAAAAACTGAATAGATAAAAACTTGAATTTAAAAAAACTTTCAAACAATTTTTATATATTCAATCTATGGCAACACGTTTGATGTTTTCGATCATTCCTCATAACTTGATTTACTAGAAACATGTCGAATCATGTGTATTCTCGAGAAAAAGTCAGTTCCAACCCGATTTGAAGACATTCGGTTTACAGATGCTCGAGTACTACGAGTCGCCATTGGCCTTGCTACGACCAGCGTGTTTCAGAAGCCTTATAAAGGATATTCCGGAGATTATGCGAACTGCTCCTGTACCATTGCTCACTGCTGCGGACGCTGTCGCCAGATTGGAATCCTACAGTAGGAACAGGTATTATTCAGCCGCATTAAACAAACGTTTTGATTTCAGAATATAAAACCAGTTAGTCCTCATTTTGCAACTCCAAGTTTAGTACACTTTCACCATCTTAATTACGATGAATAAAAATAAATCCAAATTCGATTATTTTCCTTCAAATTTTCTTTTTTTTTTATCTAATGCGGAAACTGACGAGTCGGCATTATCAGCAACTATGATGTTTGTGCACAGTTCTTAACGTTCTTTGGTTTCCAGTTCCAGCAACTTTCAGATATTGTTTTTTATAATAAAAACAGTATAAAATGATTAACAAGAAGAATTTGGCATTCAAGTCAGAGCTGGTTGTTTTTTGTTTAAATAAATCTCATTCCTGATTAATTATACCATTAAGCTGCCAATTCTTTGTTGTTTCCCATCATTGAATTCGAGCTCAGTCATTTCGATTTTAACTGACAAACGTTTAGATGTTATGTGATAGGTTCTAGCAGTAAAAACAAGTAATCATGAGCTTAAAGACCAATTATCTTCGACCTACTAATTGTGCCAAAAAGATGGTTTTTAGGAAGTGCTCAAAATCAATGAATTGTCGATCATCCGATTCACTTCATTTCACCAAAGTTCTCTCGTGTTTGATTTTCCAAAAACTGATAATATTTTGAGGTGCTGCACATGAATGGCGTGATGCTTCGAGTGGAGCGATGTGGGCGTGTCGTGTGAGTTGCAAAACAGCCCATATATGATGATATAAATTGGACTGCTCTCTTCGCGATCGCACCGCAACCAGCATGGACCAAATTCTTGGATACAACTTCGATTATGAGAAGGCCAAAGTATTCGCCCGCAGCATTGAAGGTTTCTCGGCTAAGGTTCATTTCAAAATACTCTATTTTATCATATTCAAACATTTTTTCAGCTTTCTGGCGCTTACATTGTCACCATATTTTCATTGAAATATTTCATGAAAGATCGAAAACCGTTTGATCTTCACACTCCATTGAATATCTGGAACGGAATTCTCTCAATTTTCTCACTTCTTGGATTTCATTTCACATTTCCAACCCTGGTTTCGGTAATCTACAATAATGGATTGACCCGTAAGAAATCGAAAGTGAATAAATGATTAGATGGTTTACGCGTTTCAGATACGTACACTCACGTTTCCGAACTTTATACCGATTCGAAGTCTGGATATTGGGTATTCCTTTGGGTTCTTTCCAAAATTCCGGAGCTCATGGACACCGTGTTTATCGTCCTCCGCAAACGGCCACTCATTCTCATGCACTGGTATCATCATGCCCTCACTGGATTCTATGCCATCGTCTGCTATCACGAAGACAATGCTCATATGGTCTGGGTGGTTTGGATGAATTACATTATTCATGCATTCATGTATGGATACTATCTTTTGAAATCGCTCAAGGTTCCAGTTCCGCCGTATGTTGCTCAAGCAATCACCACATCGCAAATGATCCAGGTACACGAGATATTTTTCAAAATCTCCGAATCATCCACCTATCCTTTTCAGTTTCTTATCGCCATTGCTGCTCAAGTGCACGTTGGCTATCTTCACTATGTCGTTGGGGTTGAGAATCTCGCCGTCTCTTTCCGCGGTCTTGTTATTGGATTCATTATGCTCACAACTTACTTCTACCTCTGGGTTCAATTCTACAAAGAGCACTATCTTGACAATGGAGGAAAGAAATACTGGCTGGCTAAAGAGGCAGAGCAGAAGCAAAAGAAATCAAACTAAACTAGAAACGTGTCATTATAATTTATTTTTACAATTCGATTTAATAAAAAATTGGCAAAAAATCTTGAAATGATCCCCTTAAAATTATATGATTTTGAGATCTCGTTCTCAACAAAAAACCTGATTTATATAAAATATAACAATAATGACAAAGGTTTTATTTTGTCCAATTTGGATACCTTGTAGACAATGGAATATTTTAAATTCAAATGGATTCGATCATATACATATACAGAGCTGTCAAGAAAGAAATCAAAGTGTTTTTAGCACAAATTTCCTCACAGCGTTCGAATCTTCATGAAATTTTGAGACAACCTAAAAAATTGATATAGAATTAGTTTAAAACAATTAAATGGCCACTTTTCACCGTATTTTGGGATTTTAGACTGGTTACTTCTATTTTCGATTTTTCACTTTTTGCTTCCACTAATTCAGAATTACCGACCTTGGTTCGAAAAAGATATTTTTACCGACTTTATATTCTAATAAATTTCACAACTCATAAGTTACATATTTTATGACGTTTGTTGAAACCAAGAAAACAGAGAAACGAAGATGACTCCGGTAACTCAAAACCAATCGGATCCGACAAAATTCGGCTCCGGAATCGACCTTATCCGATTGGGAATTCTACGGATAAGATTGTAAAATTGTCGATTCCGATTGGTTTTTGGATATTTGCCTCCACAAAACTTTTTTACTTGCATTGATGGTTATCATTTGAAGAATGACGAAGAAAACCGGATACTCGGCGAGTTTCACTGAAGAAAAAGTTCGGGAATCGACCCGAATATTCCATTTTGCTTGTCAATTTTTTGAATAAAGAAATGAATAAATAAATATGTATTCGAAAATTTCAAAACTATTATTTACGATGTGCAACATTTCTAACAATCTGGTGAATTTGCGCAAAATCCACGGTCAACTGATTAGGAACCCCGAGAATAGCGAGCGAGGCCTTCTCGCTGCATTGAAATATAAAAATTCCTTGTTTGTGCCAATTTATCACAATCAAAACTAGTTGGAGCATTTCAGAGCAAACCTTGGCCCAGGATCGGAAAATTGGGTTGTTGTTTTTTTTAATAATTATAATTGTCAGTTTTACGAATTGAAACACAACATTTTTAGAGTTCCATTTTATTTATTCTGTTCGGATTCGTTCGAAGTTGTTTAAATACGAAACATTCTAATTTTTTAATCATTGCAGGATGTACGGGAAAAAAATAGTTTTCGTAATGGCTCGACCTGATTTTCGAGGAAACATCTAGACTCAATCAAGGAATTTGATATTAATTTGTAACTAGATAAGAAATGTCTTTTTTCTTTCTCTTGATTTGTAATTACTCTTTCTTTTCGAAATATTCTTCGCTTATTGTCGGCGTCAAACGACTTGACGAAATTTTAAAAAATATTGGCTAATTGCCAGATTTCTCGAGGCGAAGAGAAGTGTATGTGGCATACACTTTGCAGCGTGTTTTGCGCAGCGTGTTTTTGGGCGCGTTATTTTTTGAGAATTTTTCTGTGTCTTTTTTTTATTAGTCAGTTTCTTTTATTTTTGCTGTTTATCTTACATTTTTATAATCGCTGATTGATAGTTTAAAATTTTCATATATTTTATGGCATTTTTTAATTAATTTGGCATCGTTAAAACTTATTCTTCATCATTTTTCGTTTTCTAATTTTTAGTACATTTTAGGAAACACAATCATATTGAACAGGAGCCGAAGGACTTTGACAACTACTAATGTTAACAAGACGGGTATTGATATTATTTTTATTTAAAATGCTCATTGTTTCATCATAGTTGCAGCGACTTCAATGGCGTCAAATATTGAACCCTTCGCGCAACCTCGAAGACAACCTCCAACGGACACAAAATTCTGAATTATATGCTCGCCTCGGTACTTCACAGCTTCATCAATACTAGGGAAAGGGAAAAAAATATACTCAATGACTTCAAGCTTCTTCCAAAAAGTACGTTATCATTTTTATTCAATGTGAAGTTATTACTAGTTTTAGGCGATTGGAATCAACGCTCGTTTGGCTTTCGGTTATAAATTTCAATTGTGCAGCGTCTTGGTGCATTTCCAGAATTCTCAATTAATCGGATGACTTTCCCCATTGAACAATAATTTTCATACTATTTTTACGGTAAATAAAACATTGTTGTGGTGGTCTTAAGATATTCGATAAATGTACGATTCTTTCGCTTGTTTAAGTAAATGCCGTTAGTTCCGTGAACTTTTACGTATATATGGAGGCCGACATTATAAGAATGCAAATGACAATGGGTATCAGGATTAAAACACTCATAACATTTTTTTAATTAAAAAATCGAGAAAAAAACATTTAATATTTGGTCAGCGCGTAAATCTACACGCTCGTAATTCTACACTGGTTACGATATACTGAAGGCCACGCCCCCATCAAGTCGTTTGACGCCGACAATACTAATAAAATTTTTGAAAAATGATTCTTGGAGATAAAACTTCCAATTCGCGGAATTTCTTCCGTACCGAGCCTCTTCGTGGCGAAGAAGATAAACTGCTCATGCTCCTCTACATAACTGGGGATTTCGTCACCCCAGCGGAACATGCTCAGGCTAATCAGTAAACTGCCCCACGCAGGCCGAGGGTAGAGTCGAATACTCCTCATCCGGACGGCTTCGATTCGGCCTAGTAAGCCGGAAGAAGTAAACAGCTACCCATTATGCTAAAAACAGAATAAATCGTAGAATTGTCCCGGACCCGAGCTCTGCCCCTGGATTGACAGCGATTTTCCTAGGCAAACGCCATGACACTTCTGTTGTTGGAGGGGTCGGCTTCGTAGTTCATAGCACGTAGGAGCGACTACAAGCTAGTCATCGGTGACTTCAACGCACGCGTAGGGGCCAGAAGTAATGAGAATGAGCGGTTCATCGGAGTAAACTCGATGGAACCGCGCAATGACGCTGGTGAACTCCTCGCGACCTTCTGTGAAACAAACCGCTTATGGCACACAAACTCGCTTTTCCAAAAGCCAGCCCATAAGCGTTGGACTTTCATAAGTCCAGATGGCCTCTTCAAGCACGAAATCGATCACATCCTCGCCAACGGGAGGTTTGTAACAGATACTTCCGTGCTGCCATCATTCACAGTAGGAAGCGACCACCGCCTTCTCCGTGCGAACATCCACTTCAACATAAATTGGCTGAAGTACGATAAAAGCAGAAAGAGAAAGGCGCCGAAGAAAGTATTGGACCCGGAGATGGCTAAAACAATAAGCTCGATTGTTAGTCTTCCAGTAGCCAACAGCGTTGACGAAGATTACTCTAATCTAACAACGCTACTCAGGAAACTACAAGACCAAGCCATTGTTAAACCATCAAACCACCGGACCAATAGGATCTCTGTCGAAACACAACAATTGCTCTCGCGCAGACGAAACATGAGCAGGTCCGATCCCAATTTCAAGAACCTCTCAAAACAGTGCCGAGAAGCAATCGAAAGAGATCACAAGGAGTTCACCAATTCCCGGTTACTAGGAGCAGCCGATCAACGCAAAAGCTTGAAGAGAGTAGCGCGAGACATGAACGAATACAAGTCACTGATTCCATGCCTCAAATAATTTACTACAGGTAGAACTCTCACCTCTAGAACAGAAATGGAGAAGGTCGTGGAATCGTTCTACACGATGCTGCGAGTAGAGCCCCACAAGCGCCTACGCCTACGACAATGCAAGTCAAGGAAAGGCCCCTTCAATTTTTACGAGAGGGAATCGTTTCGGCACTTCGGTCCTTCCCAAACGGGAAATCAGCAGGCAGTGATAAAATGGATCAATACCGAGACAGTGGACCAAGTCAGAGACAACTGTCATCTTCAAGAAAGGTGATAGATACTCTCCGGAGAACTACAGGCCAATCACTATACTCCCTGTCCTTTACAAGACTTTCACAAAATGCATCTTGAATAGAATCAGGAGTAAACTAGAAGCCAATCAACCTGTAGAACAAGCTGGGTTCCGCAAGGGCTTCTCAACAGTGGATCACATCCACTCTGTCCAAAGACTGCTAGAAGTGGAACGAGAATAAAAATTTAACTCACACTGTTCTTCGTTGATTTTAAGGCGTTCGACAATGTTGAGCATTCAGCGGTGTGGCAGAGCCTAAGAGACCAAGGCGTTGAAGAAGCGTATATCCAGCTACTCCAAAGTTGCTACTCTGGCTGTTCCACAAGCATCACGCCATTCTATCGACAGGTAGAGATACCTGTTCGAAGAGGAGTAAGGCAAGGTGACCCAGGATTACGAGAGAATGGCCGCAACCTCATACACCTGCGGTTTGCAGACGACGTCGTGCTCATAGCGCACAGTCCGCAAGCGGCATCCGAGATGCTAAGTGAGATGGTTGCGAGATGTGAACAAGTAGGGCTCCAGATTAACGCTGGAAAGACCAAAGTCCTACGTAACCCCTTCGCAGACTCCGCCAAGGTTACCCTAACGCACCAGAATTCGGTCAGTATCATTGACGATGTTGACGAATACGTGTACCTTGGAAGACTACTCACCCCCAAAAACGAGCTAGTCAAGGAGATCTTCCGAAGGAGAAGAGCAGCTTGGGCAGCGTTTAATGGAATCAAGAACACCACCGATTTGATTTCCTGTAACAAAACCCGCGCACAGCTCTTCGATTCCATCGTTCTCCCAGCGCTGACTTACGGAACAGACTTGACCTTCACCAAAGCTCTTGATGAAAGAGTCCGAATTAGTCACGCTGCGCTTGGGCGAAGATTGGTTGGCCTCACGTTATCACAACAACGTGAACAAGATCTTCATCGAGAGGACATCCGCATCATGTCTAAAGTTCGGGACCCCCTACATGACATCACGAAGAGGAAGATGACCTGGGCTGGACATGTTGCGAGAAGAACAGATGTAAGATGGACTTCTCTTCTAACGGAGTGGCGGCCGTGGAATTGGACCCGGACAAGAGGAGGGCCTCCCATGAGATGGTCGGACTCGCTTCGGAATGAGATCATCACAAGAACAGCTGAAGCACCCCGTGGTCCACCCAAGCCAAGGACCGAAAAGCTTGGAAAGCTGTGGTTCGCGTCTCAACAGGCGAAAGACGAACCGACTAATTGACTAACAAGTACGTGAAACATTTTAAAGAAAAAAATTCCCTCCCCCCCCCCCTTTTCATGAGGGGGGGGGGAAGGGGTACGCTCCACCCGCTTTCAACTTTTCAAAAGAATTTGTTTACAACTTGGGCAAGGTTATTGTAAAGCCTCAATGATGAGCGGGGCGGGTCGATTTAGGAAGTATACGATGAAAATTAAACTTAATTTAATGCAATAAAATAACTAAAAACGTGTTTTGCAACAAATCGCATGCACGAAAACTAAATTTGTTTTATACAAAATATTGTCGAAGACGGACGAATTTGACAAATTTCAAACACACGATCCAACACATTTTCGATCTTTCATTGTTAGCGCAATCAGAAAATTTTCTCATATTGTTGAAAAATGACAAATGTATCCAGGTGTCGTAGGATCCTGCGTTCTATACGCAATGCTAAGAGACAATTACCGTAATCCTCGCAGCGATTTACGGGGACTTTTTTTAAAAATTCGCATATTCATTTTTTTATTTTTCGCTCAATTTTCGTATTTCCTTTCGAAATTTTGTTATTTAAATTTTGCAGAAACCGAGTTTAATAATTTATTTAACGGAATAAGCACTTTTAAACGATATTTTTTTTGGTAAAAATAGCAGATTTAAAAGGAAACATTTTTACCGTTAATAAAATTATTTATTCGTGTTTTGCTTTTTGTACGCGTTTCTATTATCTTGTTTTTGTATTCTTCATTTTTTAAATAATTTTTAGAGCGACAAAATCTTCACAATAATTCCCAACTCAACTGGACAAATGGAAGAGCATATTATGAAAAATAAATAATTAAACTCGGTTTCTACAGGAATAAAAAAATTTCTAAAGAAAATAAGAAAATACAGCAAAAATGTTGAAAGAAAATTAAAAAAATAAAACTCCGTAAATCGCTGCGAGGATTACGGTAATTGGCTCATCGCATTGCGTACAATACGCAGGATCCCACGACACCCGGACACATTTGCCATTCCTCAACAATACGCCTTTGATATCTACTGCAATTTTTAATGCATTTCATACAAAATCAAATTGAAAAATTCGCTTCTATTATTTTTTTTATTTAAAAAGACTGGGAACCAAAAACCAACTTACCTTGGGCCCATTCGTGTGAAAACCGTTTCAAAATACGCGGAATTTCGAAATACCATAAATGGAAACTAATTATACTCGCAATTTTGGAGGTTTGAATACTTTTGAAATGGTTTAACACGATTTTCACATTTTCAAAAAAAGCCTTCCCTGATGGTAAAGGTAAACCAATAGAAACATTAAAAACAATAGGCAAAAACAAGGATGAAAACAAAAGAAAACAAAATTATCATCCAAATCGATTCAAATGTAGCGACAATGCAGATTATCGAAAGAAGAGACGTTTAATCCTGCAAATTTTTGATAGTTTTTTTTTACTACGGAAGCACGGCTAAAACTGATTCTCGTCAGATTTATCAAATTTTGATTTGCCGTAAAAATATGATTTCGATTCTATCGTCTGTTTCAGAAGAAAAAGGTTAAACAAGAATCAATCCTCGCAAGATACAACTCAATCATTAAAATCGGGGTTTTCAAAATCGGCCGGGAGACCTGTTTTTTGAACAAAAAAAACCAAGTAAAAAGTCATTTAACCCTATGACGGAGAAATCGGAAAATTCAGCCGGACTGACTCGTCGCTGTTAAGTCACAACAGTAGCTTAACCATATAAAGAATGAAAATGGTACATTCGCAAAAAAACGAGCTCCCTGTGCCAATTTACGGTGAGTTAGCTTCGCAGGTTATCCGTTATCCAGAGTATCCGAAATTAAATTGGTATTCCCGCTGTTTAAATTCTAATTAGAATTACCGGCTCGAAAAAGTGTTATGGTCCACTATTATACAAGGCGCTCGTTTTTTTTGCGAAGGTAATATTTTTGCTCCATCGTTCATTAAAAATCTGGTTAAACAGATGCCATGCGCGAACTCGCCAATTTTCGTCAGTCGTAGAAAAACAATAATTCAAATTTTTGAAACTTACTGTCAAGAATATTTACTTGATTCTCTATTTTCCTCTTTCTTTCTCTATTTCTAGAAGTATAAGAACTGTTAGTAGTTAGTTAAATAGCGATCGAATGAGTATCATCTGTTTCCGCACTCTACCAATCGATAATGGCTAGTGTGTGATGATCTCGTTTATTTTCTGATCTAAAATTAAACATTCAATTAGAATTCACGAGAAAATAAAGTCACTGCTTGTGTAATTGCACTTCGATCCACTCACATGTTCCATTCGGTTTCGAAATTTTTCGATCTGAAAAAATCGGTTTCTAAGAAAAATTAAAAATAAATTAACCTCCCATTTTCAATTTCAATCGCATTCGATTGTAATCTTGGAATAATTCGAAGCAGATTAATTTATATTCGATTTCGATTGAAAACGAAATCACTTTCGATTCTGATTAGTTTTCATTTACCAGAGATATTGAAAAAAAAAAACTAAAAGAAAATGTCACATACCACTGCTTAAATGCCTACCATTCATGTTCGCCATCCTCCTTGTCTAGCTCCAGTCCATCCATCGCATTGCCCAGTGCCCATGAAAAAAAAAGTTAAGCATGGAGTTAGAATTAAAAATAATTTTATTTTGATTTCTACTAACACTTTCAGCGTACTATGGTTTAATTTATTATGTTGCGATTTCAAGAAAAATGTTGAGACCTTCAAAAATGGGTAGCCAATTTGCCGGTCCCTTCATCGAATATTCCCGACGCCACTCCACCGTGTGCGCCTAGACTTCCCCAGGCATTTCCCTCCTGAGTCGGACCCTATGGGTCACCGAAGCGGGGCGTTGGTCCGCGTCTCGTGGCACGAGAACGCGGCGTCCGTGCGGGCTCTCTCAAATCCGACTTAACGAATGTTCTCGAGACACGCTCACAGCGGTTCGGAACCTTCGATGTCGGGACAAATGGAAATCGCAACATCCAAAAAATATGTTTTCTTTAATTTTAATAAAATTCGTTTTAAAAACTTATTAAAAAAACAGGAAAGCACTTACACGATGGTCAATTAGCCAAGTATCGGCGAATAAGGAGCACAACTGAAACTGTAAATCATTTGCTAATTTCTATAAAATAGTGAGGAAACCTTAATCAAAAAAGAAATTTGTTAAAATTTCCCAACGGTCACCGTGAAAAAGAAAATGAAATCTGAAAAACATGACGACAATAAAAAACGTGGCGTGCGTGTTTTGGTTACTATAGAATGTTTTACGTAAATACATTGACGACAAATTGCGGAATTGCCTCAATTTTTCAAAATAAACTTGTTCCAACTAATTTCTTCCTTTTTAAATTTGGCCCTCTTTTTGATTAATTAGCTTAAACCTCATATTTACCTTCTTAATAGTGTTGTTTTCAGACCATCGAAATAACGAACTACACAACTCACTGGCGAAATTGGGAAACTTAAAAATGAATAAAACTGAAGACGTGCCGGTTTTTTTTATATTCACGTGATCAATAGTTTTCGGAGAATAACCTGCTTAAAGGTGGAAACAATTTCAGATTGAAACGAACATTTTCTAAATTTCCAGACGGCAAGGATCATTTTCAGAAATGTTAATAACTTTCAAATTCGGACCTCCTATTATCCCACTTGAACACCTAGTAAGTTCGAGCCAAAAATCACGAACTAAACCACTTTTCCCGAGCCATTTATTATGGGCCGCCGCATGGGCTTACCAATTTCCACAGAGAAATAAACTTTGAAAAGTCCCGCCATTTTCTCATCCGTGATTTCAACTGATTCATTTTGGTGCTGTACTATAACTCAGAAAATCGTTTTAATTATAAATTTTTGATATTGGATATTTTTGGTATTGATGAAACCTCTGTCGGTTCAAAAAATTCTAATTGTGTCTGACTTGACAATTGTTTATACGTACCGATGATGTTTAAACGCTGTGTGGGTTGTTTTGTTCAATATGACGTCGAACTAACTGTAGCCTCAATATTTATTCGAAGACCCAATTTCTAACCGATCCATCATTTCTATTTACCCAAACTTTCATTAATTATTTGTTGTACCTACATACAAAATGCCAATATTGACTTATGAACTTCTATATTTAAAAGAGAATGATGTTCACTATATCGAATGGCAGCAATGAGAAATTTTCTCGGATTCATTGCATTTTGTGCATTCTGCTCGGCTCAAAATTGCGATTATTCATCAAATGATCAACAAGTAACATGGAGAATACAAAATGGATCCATGCTTATTACTTATCAAAAATTGAATGCCAGGAATAATGAATGGAGTGCTATTGCTTGGGGAGAAAGAATGGTAAGTCAATTTAGAGTTATATACAACTAAATTTTCTTTCTTTGCTTTCAATTAAAATTATTCGTCCCACTTTGATTACTCAACGTAGTAAATGAATTCTATTACATATTCTAATTCTAGCCAAAATGTTTACTTACAGCAAAATCTCAAAGTGCTTGTGTTCGAAGTGAACAACAATCGAGTATCAGTCAAAACCGGGAGCACTTCTGGTTACGGACCACCACAGTTGGATAATCAACTTCGCGGAACTGTTCAAAATGTTCAATACACAGGAAATACCTTGAAAGCTGTTGTGAATGTGCCTTTAAATATCAACGATATCAATCTTCAAGCCTGTCAGACCTGGAACGTAAGATTTTATCCATTTAAATTGATTTAAATACAAATTGGTTTTGAGTTCATATCAAGCGGGCCATTGAATAATGGACAGATTGGATACCACACATCACCTCCAGTTCAAATTCAAGTAAAATCGGCCAAAGCATCCTCTATTTCATTTTTTTAAATTTTCAGAATGTATGTCCGGAACATTGCCTATAAACTCAAAGGATTCATTAAAAATCAACAAAACAGATAATTCAACAATAAAGATTCTAAATAAAGCATATTTACAACTAGCTTCTAATCTAAATTAAATTATGATTCCATCGCCATTTTCCGGTCACACATTGCGGTGCACGCAAAAGTCCTGTACAAGGATGTTGGCCTTGGACTTCACAAATGCACTGAAGCAATATGATTTCTTTAGGAACTAAATATAATTGCTCACCTGTCTCTCGTTTTTACTTCCAAAATCGGCAGGATTCAATTTGGCGATACTTTCAAGTCGTTCTCTTCTCTCGACAAGCTCAGTTTTTCCAAGAGTCTTCGCAAGAGTTTCTTCAATTTCTTCTCTTTTCATATTTTCCAAATCAAAAAATACTTCTCGTCCATCATCTGAAAAAAATTGAATTTAATTTAAAATATCTTGGTAGTTTCAAGATAGAAGAGAAAGCAATTTTTTGCCTGTACATTTTTCGGCGGAAAAAAATATTACGAGTTAATAAAATTTTATAGAGAAAAAACTTGGTTTTTTTTTCAAAAATCTTCGAAATCGATCATGTATTTCTTGTTTTCATTTCAAAATCGTATTCGATTGGAATTCTCGTGTGCTTCGAAACTAATAAGTAACATGTTATTGTCGACGTCTCGCAACTACAGAAAATTGTCCAACAATTGCTCAAAAAGGACCGTCACAAAAAAAGTGAAGATTTACGGGCCGCGCGACGTCGACAATATAAATTCATATTCGACGATTTATTTTCATTTACCAGACTTATCAGATATGTTTTTTAATGTGTAAAAGATCAAAATTTTTATTGAAATCTTTGGAAATGCTGATCAACACATTAAAGTTGTGGGTGTCTTCTTCCAACGGTATTAAATCAAAAAGAATATTTAATCAATAATTTTTTAAAAGAATAGCTCACCTAAATAAGCAGTAGCAAATGGTGTAATTACTTTGTCGACATGTTTGACCAATTGAACTTTTGGATTGTGAAACTGTAGTTGTGCCCAATGCCAGTAAGCAAAATCTCGAGCTCCGGCTTGTTCTGGAGTCGGTCGACGGTTGAACCCCATTGCGAAAACATGAACGCTGTCACGGAATTTGATTTTACCCTGTTGCAGGTAGAAAAACGTCCGCCTAAGCGGCATCGATCCATGCATGAACGGCATATTTCCTGAAAAATAAAATATGTATTATATTTTTCTCTGAAATTCTTTGCGTCAGGCTTGCAAAAACTCGGGCTTCGGAAATTGTTTAAAATTTACGCCTCTGATGATGAAATTTATGTTTTAAAATTTTATATTCCAATTGATAATTCTGGTAATCGTTACGAATTTATTTCGGAAAATTTTGACTCAGAAGTGACCAGTTAAGGTCTGATGTTTGTTGTATTATATTGGCCCTTGGAGTTCGAATGACTGTATTCGAGAGAAATTAGTTTTTGATTCAAAAATAATTACTAGAGAGGAATAAAATGCTAACGGTGTTTAGAAGCTGAGGAGCAACGGATTAAACATTCGAAGTTCTAATTTGACAAATCAGTTTTGCGTGATACGTATCACCCCCCCCTCAATGTCTGCTTAAAATTTTAACATGCAGCAAGCTACAAGAATAAAAATTTTATATTCCCAAATTTAGCAGTTAAAGTCGATTTGGTCAATTTTAAAACACCTATGTAATTTACCTTTGTTGTTTTTACGATATTCTTTCCAATTAAGATAATTATGTTTTAAATTTGAAAGTATCACAGCGAACGAATAGGAAAAAAATGGAGTAAAAACCAGTTCAACATTCTAATACAACAATATATCATGATTGGACCAAATATTTATTTGAGTACAAATATACAATCGTTTTTCTTCGAATTAATAAACAGAGCCAACTGTCTGATCAATTGATGTTTAATACTTGTACTTTGTCGAATAGTCTTTTGGAGAAATTACCAAACCTCGACCTTTCCTTGCTCCTCTGAAACAAAATTTTACTTTCACAAACAATTTCCAATTTTCTTTACCTGTAAACAGTCTCAATGATATCAATCAATTCTTGCCCATCGTTGATTGCCCAATTGATTTTGTTGTTGTTACCAGTTCCCAAATCCACCATGATGTGTTTGTTGCGGAAGAAGAACATTACGGTACACGGATCATACAATTCGTACATTTTGTTGAAATCCGGAACTTTGGTAATATCCACTAAGTACACAACAGCAAAGTTTTTGACTTTTGGCGCAATTTTGAAAAGCGTCTGAAATGAAATTGGTTTACAATACAAAAAATAATAGCATGATCAGGACCTAAGAAAAATGAACAGGAAGTTCGAGTCCGTGTTGAACGGGCGCTTTAATTCAAAAAATTTAAATCACATAGAAATAGGGATAATCTAAAAATTACCTCGTCCATTTGCATACAAGTTGGATCCCAATCGTGCCCGAAACGGATAACCACAACGCGATCCTCTTCGGCTAAAATGGCCTGGTCTACTTGCCATCCATTCTCCAAATGCGGAAGCATATACGACATGGTTGCGTTGAGTAGAAAATTGAGTCGTAGCAAAAAAAAGCTGGAAAATCGTAATTAGAAAATTTGCGATTACGGCTTTCTTGAAACAAAAACAGATTAAATTTGCTAAACGTAAACACTTAACAACAATAATATTAAATTCTGATTTTACAAAAATTTTAACGAAAATGTTAAAATTTTTGTAATGTTTTTAATTTGAGAAAATACGGAGACATGCGAAAATTGTGAGCAAATGAAATATCGATTCTCGAATTTTCATAGCAACGACGCTCCACATTTACATATGTAACGCCAAAACGCCCTCATTTTAACGTAAATCAAAGTGCGTTTAACGCAAATTCGCGTTATTCGATTAAATATTCATCCATTTCAAAACGTGTGAGTTTTAATGATATATTATTTTGATAATTATGATATTTAACCTTTTAATACACGTTTTTTTCTAATATTTAATTTTAGCCAAACTCAATAACCACGAACAGCATTTAATTTACAATAATAATAAATAGTTATTTTTGGTTCAAAAGTATTGCATTATTTTTCAAAGAATGTATATAATTAATCGAATAGTTCAGTTTTACAAAAATTAGTGATACGATATCATGTTTTAGTGAAATTAAAGCGTTACCGCAGCGAAATGTTATATGTAAAATTCAATTGAGAAAACAATATTATCTGTTAATCCCTCGATTTAATCTAATTAAATGAGTAAAATAACATAAATGTTTTAATTCTATAGTGTATTTGTGAGTAAAATTGAGAAAATTGAAATAATTTAGAGTGAAGAAAAACTGTTTTGTATGCAATATAACAACTATTTATATGAGCAACAGCGTCGTTTTTCTTGCTGAAGGCGTTTCGACCTAGCACATTTTGAATTTGGGATGACAATATTAAGTGCGTCGTTCTTTATTGTGTCAAGTCAACGAGATCTTCGCACATTTGCACCCAGCAAGGACACTCCGCCCCGACCCACGCCGTTTATTATTATTATTAATATGTTTTCGCGTATCGACTTACGATCTTCAATTATGCGTTTTTCTTGTTTGTCGCTAATGTTTTCTCTATTGGTTCTTTAAGTTACGTTTTTATAGATAATGTCGGACGCTAAAAAGAAAGCAGTCGCCGCTGAATTGGCAGCGAAAAATCTCGCACAAATACAGAAAATTGACCCATGTGCATCGAAAATCCTCGATAAAGTTGCACACACAGCACTCTACAAATTTAATAAAGAGAAGAATCAGTGGGAAAAAACGGATATTGATGGAACCATGTTTATCTATTCAAGAGTTGACCGACCACTATACAGGTAAGATTTTTTCTGGTTAATTCTAATCAAATATCTTCTAGTTATTATGCTTTAAATTTCAGTATAATGATCGCCAACCGACAATCTCCAGATGATTACATAGAGCCGATTACAGCCTCTCTTCAAATCAATGTTGATAACAATTACCTGTTTTTCTGCAAAACTGACGGTAGTCACAATATTGGTCATTCATTTTCTTATATTCCCTTTCTTTAGGTACTATTAACGGACTTTGGTTTTATGATCAAAAAGACACTAAACGAATTGCGGGTCTTGTACAGAAACTAATCGAGAAAGTTGAAAAATCGCAAGAATCGGGTTCGCCGAAATCGTCAGCCGCTACTGCTCAAGCAGCACAATCTATCGATGATCGAAGCGCACAGCTGATGAATCTCATACGCGGTGGAAAACATAACGCCATCAAACAACCAACAACGCCTAAAAAAGATCCTCCAAGCGAATTCTCGACACCAAAAACTCTGATGGAAACGCCAACATCATCAATATCTCGTACTTCGTTAAAACCAGATCCTACCCCAGTGCTTCCAGTTCTTCTACAGAAGCTTATGGTTCAGGAGCAACCAAGGAATTTACTCAAAGAGCCGGGAGCAGTAGTTAGTGCTGACGAATTAGAGAAAGATTTGCTGAAAACCGCACGACCGAAACAAACACAATTTGCCGACTTTATCAATTCTCCATCGGCAGTTTCATTGAACGCATTTTCAACAAAATCGGTACACGGAAGCGAGGGCGGAGATTCGTATGATGTATGTTCCGTGAAAGTTTCGAAATTTTTACACATACTAGCTTTACAGAAAGAAACAAATGAAAATGTTGAAGCCTCATTTGTAGTTGGATCCGGCTCAAATACGCCGCCTTTAAATAAAGAACAGGTAATTTCACTAGGCTGTGCTAATTGTTTTCTCTGCGTTTCCCAACATATATGAAAACTTGAAAAATCAATCTTTTTTCTTTAAGTATTTTTCAAATTTTCGTTCACGCCTTTTATAGCTGCTAAACTTTTTTTTATATTCGGCATTTAAAAGAATTAAATATTTTATTTACATTGTGTGCATTTTGCAGTTTGCTTCGGCTCTTATATACATGTTTCAAAACGATGATCAATTTGTTTCGCAACTTCATCAAGCTTACGTGGATTCTCTCAACCGACGATTTCGACTCTAATCAAATCAATTTTCTACTCGGTGTTATTACTTTCATTGTTTCCCGCTCTCTATTACCATCAATGTCTTTTTGATACTTGTATTATTTACTTATCATCACAAAATTGTACGTAAAAAGTAATTCCTGTAAGTATTTCCGTATATATCCAAATAAGTCTTGTCTTTTTGAACTTTGTTGTCCATTCTTGCTCCTGTCCCAGTTTTTCTGCCGTGTTCTTTATTAATTGAAAAATTGTAGATTCTTTGAAGTTTCCGCAATTTTCTCTTTTTATTGTTGAACATATCCCAGAGAGTGTTTGTGAATGTTGACCAAATGTTTATTTATTATTAAGAATGTTAATAGATAAAAAGAGCCAGGGATATATGTTTTTCTTTGATTTTGTCACGAGTTGAATAGGTTAAAATTAAGAACAGCAAAGTTTCTTAAAAACCTTTAATAAAAAGGATCGGCTTTATTTTGGAATCCACATTCATTTGTTAGAAATGTTAGCATTAAATGACCATCAATTTTTAATTAAATTCGCTGCTCCCAGACTAATTCTGCCAAATTGTGGTCTTCTTTTAAGATATAGGCAAAAATTTTAGCAATTTTTTAAATTGTCTGCGAAGTTTTTCAATGGTTATTGAACAATTGATTCATAAGAACTTAAAATCATTGCCGAAAATTGTTCTCATAAAATAATAGCAAATGCGCAAAGGAAGTTGTCATTCACTTTTTGAACATACCTTTCTTTTTTGCTGGGCTTTGTGTAGAAATTACGTTTATTTTCGTTGAAATTCAATAGATTTGCACTCTACAATATAAACATAACAAATAAAATAGAGATTTGTTAGCGAATAAAAATTTCCATTATTTTTCCGTTTAATAAAATCCATTTGAATGTTGGATCTTGGGCCATTTTTAACAATATAAAATTCTCATTTTTTATTTTCAAACTTTTTATTTTCGTAAGTAATATAATTAATTAGACATGTTTAGAGTTCCATAGCAACCAAAAACCCGAATATCTAATAAAATTGAGTTTCTAAGATTTTCAAACTGTGTTTTGCTTTTTCCTGCCCGACAAAGTTAAACAAAATGTCTCAAATTACTTGTCTTTTATCATCAGTCCATCTCTTCATATTATTGGGCGAAGGCAGTAAAAATAAATATTTTCTTCCCAGACGAATAGTCCCAATAAAAATCTATAGACTTGCAAAATTTTGAAATAATGGCTTCCATTAATGAATAAAGCTTTTTGAGAAGGAAATATGCATACATTGGCATGCAACTAATATTAGAAGAATAGCAGGAAACCTTGTTTTTTTTTTTTTTTTGAAAACATTCTGAGCAAACCTATAAAAGTTTTTCAAAATATTTTTAAGGAAATTTAAATTATAAAAACGTACTGTTGACTCACTTAATTGCGTTTTATCTTAAAATCGTTATTCGTCGAATTCTTAAAGGATGCGTTGCGTGCCATTTTCATATCCGTTGTTTTCGTCTAATGCAACTTTTCATGCATTCAGACGTGTTGTTTATACTCGTTTTGTGATTTTTAATACAAGCTTAATTTGATTCTCTTTATGGTAATATGAAGATTGTCTAAAAAAAAACAATTTAAAAACTTGAATAAACCTTGTATTTTGCAAAACAAACTAGTTTGAGTCGGTATTTTTTACTCGTTTTATTTTTCAAAATCTGCATAGTGTTTAAAAAAAAGCTACAGCAATTAGCTCGAAACAAATTATTAAAAAGAACAATCATTTCAGAAAAATACACGCGACTAAATAAATAAATATTTGAATATTTTTTCTAAATTAATATTCGTCGAATTGTTGATCCCATCTTCCAACTGATCACATATGTGATAGCAGCTTTTAGCATCTTTTGATGTTATCACAACCTCTACGTATGTGTTTGAAGAATCTAGGTTTACAGCTCTGGGCTCTGTGATTTTGCAAATGAGCAGAAACCTCTCATTTCGACGATCTTTCTCGTGTTCGAGCTTCTTATCGATAAGTGATGCGACGAACACAAGTAAAATATATATATTTTCTCGTTGCTTTTTTTCTTCTTTTCCAGTGCTTTGCCGCAGATTCAAACAATTGATTAGAGTCCGTCGGGATTTGTGTGTGTGGGGGTTGTTCCTTTTGATTAATGAACTCTCTTGCTGAACATCTTAACACTATACACCTATTGAAGGTTCGTTTTTCGAAAATAGGTGCTTCAAACATTTTTTTTGAAATTCCTTTTGATTTTCGTATTCATCGAATAACGATGGATGATGGATGATGAACAAAATCAAAATAACAATTCTCGAATTTGATTCTCATTTTTGCATTGGCATGTCAATTTTCAGCATCTTTCCTATGCAATTTTCTCATACTTCTCTCATAATTTTCGTATTTTTCTAAAACTGGAATACATTGAAGATTCGATATGATGGTTTCCTAATCATTAATATAATTTTTTTAAATTAAATTTTAGGTAAGAAAACTTAAAATTTGATGTTCATTTCTTGAAAATCAAATAAAAATTTTACCATTGCCCGTATTTCAAAGTGTACATACTTTTCAATAGTCTTTGTATACATATATTTCAATAGAAGCTCTCCATCACGAAAAAATAGGCCTAATCGAATTTGTCGAATATCTTTGCATCCGTTATTTTCTGGTCGGCCTCCAGGCGAAAAATGAATTGAAACCATATGCATTTTTTCGCCTTTTCCTTCCTATGCTTTTCGGAATGCCCTTTTCATGAATTACACATGTATTTTTTAGTCCGATGAGCGTCTATTTGGTGTTGGTTGTTTGGCTGACACAATGAATGAACGGTGTCGTATGTGTGTGTGTGTGTGTGTATTCACACATTTCATGCCATTTTTTTTCTCTTCTAATATTTTCGAGCTATTTTTTTTATAAGTATTTTTTTGAGATGAAAGTGACACATTTTTTGTAATTAAAAAAATTTGCTTGTTTTCGTAAATACCCGAAATTCGATATTCTTTTTCAGATCTTCATGATTGTCTCGGGCAGTGCCGAAGAACGAGAAACCCAAATCTGTCGATTAGGATGGACTCTTTTAGCATTGTGGCTGGTTACTGTCATCTACATGACTAAGGTAATCAGCTTGAATTCAAAAAAACTAAAAACTCTTACGGTTATTCAAAAAGAGCGAAAATTTCATGCATGCTTATTCATATTTAATAAAATTTGATGCAACTGTTTTTAAAAAAAATTATTTGAAATGAGAAAAGTGTTTGAATTAACAGCGGTGCTTGTAGATTTGCGATTTTATTTTTATTTTCTTGCAAATATCATTTATTTTTTGGTCTTCAAGTTGGTTTATAAAAATATCAGAAAAACTGAAATAAATAAATGGAAGTGCGCGAAAATGCATGAAAACACCGTGAAGAAAATGTGGAAAACTAAAACTAAAAGAAAAACAAAAAAACACATCTCATTTGAATTTTTTCGATGGGATTTTTTGTAGCGAAGTTGAAATTTCTAAAAACATCTAAATCTATTTTCACACTGCTATTGGGCATATGATTAATGCCATATAAGTGGTTTCAACAGTACATCGATTTTGGGGGATTTGTTTAATCAAAACAATTAAACTACTTCTAAAATAGGTTGATTACGTGCCAAATAAGAGCTCGAACATTTTCCGATTTTAATTTTTCACACTCGTCTTCATTCGCTTCCTCTGCGTTTTTTCTTTTGTGGAGAAAACCAACTGAAAATCGTTAATGAATGTTTTAGATCTAATCAATATTTAATGATTAAGGTATACTCAAATAAATTTAAATGAGCGAAGCTATCGATAGAAATTAGTCTGAAAAAAATCGCTTACGCTGACTTTGTTTGAAAAAAATTAGAGATTCTGGTCTCAAACGGAATGGATTTTTAAAATTTGAGAACAAAATTTTGAAGAAAAAATTTTTATTTCACTGAAAACTAAAGCTCTTGTTGATTTCTTTGAGAATGAAGAGTTTTTTTGCAGGAGATTTGGTTCGGCCAAACATCGATCGGCGAAGAAGAAGCTCGCCAACAGAAGTCGCGTCGGAAATCAGCGTCGTTCGTCGCCGAATCTGTCATCTGAAACGAGTTCGGCGATCGGAATCCGCGAAGGCGAAAATCTGCGCTGAGAATTGCCAGCCACACATACGCATCGAACGAACAAAGACGATGCCGTTTTTGTTCGTTTTTTCTCGGCATCGACGACGACGACGAAAATGGGAAAATAATGGCCGAAACGGAGCGACGACCTCGCCGTCGTCCGCCCTAAACGGAAAAATTGGAAGAAAGACAACAAAAACTGAATGGAGCCGACCACGTCAAAACAAAACAAAAATTTTTTGTGGAGCTGACGAGGGGCACGAGACGAGAAGAGAATCCAAAAGTCGTTTTGGTTGTGTGTGTGTGTGCTTGTGTATATTATTCATCTACCAGTATATCTATCCAGTATATATTACATACATTTATTTCTTGAAGGAGCACTTTTCTTGAAAATCGTCATAGAATATTCAAGGTGCCTCAACGGCACGCGATGCGCCATTACGCCTGCTCCAGCTCCACGACGACCACAACAACGACGAGGTGGAGCGAAAGGTCTTCTTGAATTTCGAGCTCTATTCAGATGAGCGACAATTTTTGCGATCGACTTTACGTCGGCGGCTTCGCACCGACACTAAACAGTCAAATGGTCAAGGTATGTGTTCTTCTCAAAATGATCGCAAGACGATAACTATAGGTTCGATTTTAAAATAAGTAAATTTTGAAATAATGGGTGAAAAAATGGAATTCGGAATTTTCTAAAAAAAATCATTTTTCCCCATTTAAGCTTTTTTAACGGGCATAATCTGAATAAGAGGCATAACATTAATGGATTTTGAAAATTTCTCTCAAATTCGTATTTCCAAATATGCTCAATAAACTCTGAATACAGTCGATCTAAATGCTGCAACACTTAGCTAAAGCTTGATCAAATCCTCAAGATAATCTATAAATTTTGACTATCCCGAATATACTTTTTTTAGTTGAGCATCATCGAGAGTAAAATATTATCTCGTGACAACGGTCTCATGATTTTCTAAACATTGATGTTCATCATCCAAATTCATTTATTTTTCATGAATGAATCTTTCTCGTGAACCTTATAAACTTGATGAAATATTCATTTCTTCTATTTCATTTAATAATACAAATAAATATTTTTGCACAGGTTTCAATGTGTGTGTGTGTTTTTTTTTTTGGTCAATCTTTATAATAATTATTATAATAAGAGTGTTGGGTTTATAAGAAACTGCTCGTTTATTTATTGTGCATGCGCTTTCCATTCGCGTATCTATAGAAATACTAACCTCTAATTACTATTCTAAAACATATTACAAGCCCGGATGACATGAATGAATAATGACTGCCCTGCTCTAAATCACCCCCTTTCTCTTCTCCGTCTTTTTTTTTTCTTCGAAATTTCCAATAATAAATCTAGTGTGGATATTTATGAATCGATTTTCCACTTCTTAATTATGTTTTTGTTCGAGAGCTACTCTAATCTTCTCATTCGGTTATAAACAAAATGATGATGATGAAGATGAAGATGTTGATTGAGGATTTTGATGTTGACGGGGGACCTGAAAAATATACGGAATTAGATATTTGTTGGCAAATAATGGACCAATTAGACTTCAAAATCGAAATTGCCTGAATTGCATTTTGAAAAAGATATATCGGATCCACAAATATTTGATTTTTTATTCATTTCTAACTTGACTCGCCGATTTTTTTAAAATTTAGTCGTACTGCCGCAATAATGGTAAAAATCGGCCGATTGATCAGTTTTTTTTTAATTTTGGGAAAAGCCCGGGCAAGGATTTTACAAGCCTCGCCACTACAGCTAATAAATACCACGGGGAACCATCGGGGCCTCAGTCGTTGTTTCCACTTTCAAATAAGAAATTCTCGAAAATTCTGTGGATTCTTATTTCTGTTGACGAGCTTACAAGAAATGCCAAGTGTTTACTAATAATCCCATTCTTCTGATGAATAATTAAAAGGTTTTCGAGACTCTTTGATTTTTAGGCTCTCATAAGCGAGGCAAGTATTCCATTCGAAGTCACCATCGATGTTGTCGAAAACGGATCAAAGAAGCATCGCGGATTTGCGTTTGTGCAATGTCGAAATTCGCAAGAAGCTGCATTGCTGTTAGCCAAATACTCGAAAGTTTGAAATTTGTTTATTTAATTCGAAAAACAACGAGCACTTTGTATAAATGTGGACTATCGCAAATTTTCGCGGCGGCAATTCAAATTTAAATAGTGGGAATTCGAGTACCGTGCTATCGATATCCTGTGAATATAACTCACCGTAAATCTACACAAGGTGCTCGTTTTTTTTTCGGTTGGAATGTTTGAATCGAAATTTATAAAACGAGCGATTTCACAGACATTTTCAAAAGTGAATTTTGCGAAACGTGAGCCGAAGCCACCAGATACTATAATGCGAAATGTAAACGTTCTCTTTTGAAATTCACGCAATGCTTGTTTGAAGATATCGAATGTATTCGTGCGAGGAATCACACGGGAAATGACTGATACCGAACTATACGATGCATTCGGAGGTTCTCAGAATGTAATGCGCAATCGAATTTCTAGAACCAAACCGCAACATTTTTAGGGAGTCGTACAGTGCCACGTGGCAGACGGATACGGATTCGTATTATTCGATACTCGGACAAATGCCGAAAAGAAAATTACAGAAATGAATGGGAAAATATTGGTGAGAATTTCTGTCAAAATTTCCTTTTTTTTTTAGAATAACAAACGATTTCAGAAGGGCAGTCGAATATCGGTCACTTGGGCCCGTCCAGATACATTGGGCCGAAAAAGGAAACGACCTGACGAAACACTCAAAATGTATGTTGAATTGAAGTATTGAAGAATATTCTTAAACGTTTTGTCTTCTGTTTTAGTTCGCCTGATATGACAGTCTTGCCATTCAAACGACCGACACCTCAAATCCCTTTGATAAATCCCAGTGTTTACAGTAACCTTCCGCTTTTTCCGAATTACGTTTTGATGAACCAACCGCCCATTCAAACATATCCAACAATTTTGGGCACAACACCGAACGATTTCGATCTTCTACGATTGATGTTTTAGAAATTTAATCGATCGGAATTCGTAATTCCTGGAGCTAATAAATCATTGAAATAATTGAAATCACTTCCTCACTTGTCCGTTCTTTTTCAACTATCAATATGTACATATAAAGAAAATGTAAATCGTGAATACTAAACGCGATTTAATTATAAGGCATAATGTTCGCCGATGCCGTTATCAATGTCACTTTCGCTTCCGCGCAGGCCACGACGACCTCCTCCCGCCGAAAAAAACTTGAACACTCACCATGAATCAATGAAGCCTTTTTCTCACCGGTAATTGCCCATTCCGTTTTTATTTCGCGCCGCTACCGGAGCGTGAACAATTCAAAATGTTTATGTGTTTTTTCTCTTCTTATTCCTCAACTTTTTGTATTTGTGCTGTTGGGTCTTGCAACGAAATGAATACCGTATTTGTTTATCTATGTATTCGCAATTGCTTTTCGTCTTCTTCTTTTTTTATTGTAAGCGTCATAAATTTTTGGCTAATACACGCATCGACACCTTTCAATATTTCATTCGACTATTAAACACCCAATTAGACGCAGCCAGCCAGCCAGCCATCGAAGCCAAACGTCTCACTCATTCTACAGTAAGCCAGCCTAATTGCGCGCTCGAAAAATGGTGTGGAGTTGAGACGACGGAGGCGGTGGGCGAAAACGAAATTGAAAAACGACAATCATAAATTACGGTGCCCGGTTCCTAGCGAGATGAGGGAAAAACGGCCAAAAAAGGTAAGCGAAAATGAATTGCGCGGATCGCCATAAATTATGTCCCAGTTTATATTGGGCCACCACCTTTGCGCCATTTTTTCGCCTAAACTCTGCTCAACCCGGCGAGAAAAAAATAGAACAGAAAGTGCGGTGCATATTGGATTGCATTCAAGGTTTTTCGGCGATTCATTCGTTTTCAAAAGTTTCTTCACGTTTCTGAGGAATGATAGTCTCAACCAAATTCATCTCGATTCCCCGCCGATTTCGTCTCGTTTCGATTTTTCCATTCTCATCCATTTCTACTCGATTCATCCGATTACACCAGCTTTAATAAATCTTTTTTCATAAACACATAATTTCAAATGCCAAAATATTTGTAGTGCTTTCAAAATTATGGGCTCCGATGCATCTGGTTTTTATGTAATTATCTTCGGACACCTGCAGTTCTGCTCCCCCGTCGAGATCTTCGAGACAAATAACAATATACTGTACTAGTCAGACCATTCCAAGCGTTATCAAAAATTGTATTTTCTGAATTTGGATAGTAATTGATATTCTCTTTTTCGTTGTTCAGATATCGGGCCACACATATTCCCATTATTATTTTTGTTTTCATTCGACCACTTCGCTCCCGATACATATACATTTTTTGTCGAAAAAAAACACACAACCACAAACATTGGAACCTAGACAAGTTGGTCAGCAGCATTTGTGTGATGTAAACAAACGAGTGCCCTCACTTGGCTCAATTTTTGTCGTGGTCCCTACTACTATAAATTGTTTGTATTGGCTCATTAGGCACACTCCGAAATCCGATACGTTCGAGTGATTTGTTGCGCGTGCGCGAGAATACAGTAGTAATCCGCAAGAGTTATTTTTGAGGCGAACAACAAGAAACATGAAACTTGGCGAAACGATATTTGACACCAAATTCTTTTGAGATGCCTAATTATTTTGACGCCATCCAATTTTGGATACAGAAAATGGATTGCGTAATGAATGACTCCGAAAATCGTTCACAACTTTTGTATAATAGAATGTCGAATAGAAAATCGCTTTAGATGTTGATAATAATTATCAAGAATGCCATTAAAAGCTTAGATTGATTCTGAGCAAATTCAGATTTTGCGTTGCCCCCGAGGAATTGATTCATTTTTCAAGCCGATCTATACACATTTTCAATTGCGTCGATCCTTGTTTCGGCAACCCAAAAAAACTTTGAAATCTCGCCTTTCAATTTTTTTCTTCTTCTTCTTCTTCCAACTCCATAAGTGCTTCAATTGAGCATTTGAAAGCTCAATTATTTGCCCCGAGGAAATTCGATATTCTTCAAAAAAAACACACACACACACTGCATGTTTTTTGTGGAAATGCCGCCGTCGCTGACGCCGCAAGTGTTGATTGTTGCCTTCGGAATTTCCGAGCGAATGCCGACGAACAATGAAAATCGTTTGCTCACGCACTCGGAAGTGCGAATCAAATTAAAGAAACGATTCCGCTTTTTCGTGTCCATCTTTATTCCACAAAAATAACAAGTTTCTGCACTTTTCAAGCAATAAAATTCGTTTTTTTTTTTTTCTAATTGTAAAGTTGAAGAAATTTTTGAAATTCGAAGTTGTGCTTTTCAAAAAATACAAAAAATAAACCTTAAAATATCAAATTTTTGATTAAAATATTTCTCTTGTCAATATTGTATAATACAAATGTATTTCGTGCGATGCCCAGAGTTTGTTTGATCACATTAATTTTACGACCGCGAAACTTTCCAAGAAAATTTCACACATTTCGAGTGATGATTTATCATCCTTCATCACCCGTTTTTTTTTCTCGCGTTTTGCTTTGATAAATGCAATTGGATGGCCTTCATTCGAACTACTGTAATTCTCAAAAATTGTATAAGAATGATTGATGAATTGGTGGAAATGATGAAAGACGACGACGACGACGAACGAATGTCGTCGTGTTTGAAGCAGGCCACCCACCTAATTCGGCGGCCATCCTCCTTCGTCACGGTCCACGTATGCTGCAACGCGTATTGTTCGCCGTCGCCGGACCCATGATGATTCAGTGCAGCCGAAGGAACGCATTGTCCGCAATGGGTTTACTTACGTCCATTTTTCGAATTGTTTCAGTTTTGCGCATGTTGCGTCATTCAATGTGGGAATGAAACCCTACTTGGGGGTTTTGTTTCGATTTGAAACACCTGCACAACTATCAAAGGCTTCATTCTCATCTATTGTTCTTTCTGTTTTCGAATCGACTCTCTTACGATATGTGGACGAGAAATTTTGTAGATGAATTGTTTGCTACATTTTTTGATTAAAAATAGGCATTCAACACCGATACCATTTTTACTTTTGCATAATACAAAAGATCTTTGCCTAATAAGAAAATGTTTCAATCAAAAATTGTCTTTCATTTAAATCAGGCATGTCTGTTTTGACTCTGCAGCTGGCGAAACCGGCTCATCGGATGGTTTCCGGAAATTGTCGTGTTTAATTTTTTTTGTCTCTTGAATTAATGGATAATTTTATGATCTTAAAAAGGGGCTTTAATTGGTCCCAAATATTTCATCCTTTTAGGCTCAATATTGTTTGCCTTTTATCTACGAAATTCTCAAATGCATTTCCATTATTTTTTTCCACTTTTCAATTTTTTCATTAAAAAATGCTGCTCTTCACACTCCTGTGTAATTGCCATAAATGGTGTCAATTAAATACGCGAAATGTTGGATGAATTTCCCTTCATCAAACGAAGAGCGACAACAAGTTGGTGCAGCTTCTGCTCGCCCTCCTCCATTCCCATGGTAACACGGCTCACAGCTAATCCGTTCAACCTATTTATTATCAGCTTAAATCTCTCGCGCACTCCATAAAAGTAGTATTCATTAATGATGAAATAAATGGGACCAATCCAAGTTTGGAAGAGGGGGGGGGGTTGGGTACCCGGCAATCCATCATAATTGAGATATCAGTCTTTTTGATATCCTCCGACTGCGATTTACTTATTTATTACCTATCCATATTTGATCGACAGATGTTCTTCGATTCGATTCCATGTTTTGAGAAAATATATATTGATTATCATATTATTTTGTTTGCATTGACACATTTTATGAGGCAAAATGATGACAGTTTGTAAGGTGCGAAGATTGGATGCATTCTCAAATGCAAATATAATGATTTAACAGTGTCAATTTAGAGTTTCCTTTACTTAATGTAACAAATCCTTTTGGCTATTCTAATGTCAGTCCAATTCGCTTTTTTTCCACGCCATTTTCGTATGTCTCATTTACTTTTAGAGCGCTTCCTGCGAGATCTCGTCCATTGTTGTCTATCCATTCGAAATGTGTTATTCATATCTCCGCACCCTTCGCGAGATACATAATAATCATATAATTTCCGGCTCCTTTCCTATTTTTATCACCATCCTTCGTGTGTCTCGTGCGAGTTTGTCGGTATATTCCTTATACACAAAAAAAAAACGCGCGGTCCAATTTAGGGGGCAATAAATATGCGCAATATTGTCGTCGAAACATGCCCATATTATGAATCGTAAAACCGAAACATTGTAAACCATTCGAGGCCGCGTGTACGTTTTGACAACTTAATTGTCGAGTTCTTCACTTCATTTTTTCATTTGATGATAAATTGGACGCATTTGTGCGCCGCGTTGTGGCAAAAAATGCGAATGATTAATAGAATTATATGGGCCGACATAATTGGCGATGAACTTGCAACGACTCAAGCACCTGCTCCTCGTCACTGTATCCGGTAATCGGACCCGGCCAGGTGTCTTGGAAACAAATTTTGCAAACATTTGTGGCACGTGTTGATCGAGTTTGCGGCCGGCGCCTTGGTGACGGTCTGGGAAATGTCATCACCATATTTGGCACATGCCGCAGTTTAACAAAGCGTGCCAAATATGTATGTATATGGTATGCATGTCATCAATTCGAGGCAATTCTCACTTTTCGAAAGACAAAGAAAATCATAGATAAATCTGTTCTTCGGCTAGTGTCGGCAGATGAAAAAAGGTTGTTGTGCTCCGTGAAGCGGCTCATTCAAATGCATTTTCATCGAAAGTACAATCGTGCGACGCTTTTGAATTTAATTTTGCGTTTTCCATGTCTAATAGATTAGTTAAATATTTTCCATTTGTCACCTAAGTGTCTTCATTTCTTCTGCTAGCCTTATGTTAATTTTATGCACTCTGCTGGAAATAGAAAATCATGTATCGAGCAGAATCAGAATTTTCGATAATCTGAAAAATCCATTCCTGCGATTTATAAACTGATATCTCTTTATTTCCGAATTCATTACAATGAAATACAGTAGGCCAAACGAATTCGATTACGAATCCCAATTTTGTTCGTACCAAATGGTACTCTGACAATGCGGTAGATTATCGATAAAACTGTGTATGTGTTCAGTCATCGGCGTTGTTCACAAAATGATAAAAAGTTAATCTTTTTCCCAAATAATCAAGCGCCCAGTCGAACGAGGCGGCACAGTTTTTCGCATTGCACATCATGAATTATTTATGATCCTGAAGGCCGGTTTTTTTTTTATTTGGATGTTGCCGTCATTTATCAATGATTCCGTTCGGCTTCACTATTCCAGATGGATCAGATTCCAATCAATATGATAAATAGAGCTGAGCAACACCAAAGAATTTGGGACGAGTGTAAACCTCGTCGCTCTTCGTTTTCTCTAATTAGGATGAGTGTAAGCTTCTTTAATATGCAAGCTGCCCTTCATCGCATTTTTTCTATTCAATATGTATATATATAATTATATACGAAAAATATGGGTTCGTATCTTTTACGATTTCTGCTCTCTCTTTTTTCTTTTTTATTACAATCCAATTTCTTTGAAAAAAAATGGAGTGATTTAAAAGCAACGGCCTCTACCATTTTTTTTAAGTTTCGCCGATCTTGATGACATTATCGAAAATAATTTTTATATAAAATTTAAAAATATTTTACCAGTTGAATACTATATCTACGTGGATAATTTTGCATTGATTAACCTAGTTTTTTAATTGCGTGAAGTGGTGTTTTCATTTCATATTATACTTGTTAAACGATACAAACTCTTTTTTCCACTGCCACTTCGTTTTTTTAGTTTACCGATGCCAGTAAAACCCCATTTTTAATGACCATCTTAATTCACAAAAATCTCTTTTTATGGCTAGATTTGTACTGCCAAGTTACAATTAAGGGAAATTGTAGGAACTACTTTTTTTCTCGGTCAGAAAATTTTGTTCTAAAATGTTCAATCGGCATTTCATTCAATTACCCACTCGACCTCATCAAACATTTAAAAAAAATCAATAATCCCCTGTAATTAACAAACTCATATTGATTATTCATAGGCCAAGTGGTCTCATCCTAATCCGTCATCCCTAATCAAAGCACGAGGGCGGGATCAAGTGGGCGGGGCCTCGGCAAGAGGGCCTCCTCTCCTCTCCACCGGTCTGCCGCTCGTTCGGAGGTTCGACAGCAGCTCGCTCGAGTCCACTTATTTTCTCATATTGTTTTTGTTTTTTTCATTGCTCCTTTTTATTATCATTTATTTCTTTTTTTTTCACTTATTATTACAAAAGTTGCTTCCTGATATTGATGTTCTTCCGGTTTCAATATCAACATTATCTATAGTTTGATTGATTTCGTTTTCATTATTAGATCTTTTTGGTCTCATATATAAATCGATCAACTTCGTTGTGAAATTGTGGTTGATTTCAGCTATGATTCAACAATTGCTCGTTTTTTTCTTGGTGCATTTATGCGCCGCCAAACGATTGCCGCAGATTTACTGGAACTCGACGAATCCACTGTAAGTTGCTCAAATATTTGTTGTGTGTAGACGGCGCTTTTTGGCGGGATCGCGCGCTCCCTTGTAAGCCGAAACCAAAACGATGTATCCAATTAAGGGGGACATGCCGGGGACATACTGAGCAAATATTAGGCAGATTATCTACTAGTCCAGATGCTTAGGCTCATTTTTTTTTCGGTGGGGTTGGCTCTCGTTGGAAGAGAATCAGGTGGTTTTTTGTCGGCATCCGGATTAAGTGGAAACATCTGGAGATTTCGAACAATAATGGCGATGCTTCGATTTTTCATGAATTCGAACGTTTCGATTCGTGCAAAAGCTGTAAAAAAATTAATGACTTTAGCGATTTCGATCCTCTAGATTTATTTTTGCCAATTTTTTATACATGTATTTGTAAAAATTTGAATAATATGACAATTTTGAAAAATTATTGACTTTGTTTCGGAAATCAGAATTTTCGATGATTTTTTTTAGCAGATGACAGCCACTCATTGATATGTTAAAGCAAACGTCTTATTTTTCTTTTACCAAAGTCAAATTCTGAATATTCTGAATTTAATCAAAACAACATTTTAAATAATGACTCATTTCTTTTAATTTGAGCCTTTTCATGAAAGATCAATGAAAATATTTAATAAAAATACATTTAATGTGCATTTTTTTTAAACTTTAAAATATTTGTAATTTAATTGTTTTGAATTTATTCGAAATTAAAAATTGTTGCGAGAATATGATGTTCATTCCTAATTAATATACAGTTCGTATTCATTTTTTGACTGTTTCAAATGCTCTGCTCTTGATGGACCACCTGCATTCGAAAATGCTAATTTAGCCAAATTAGAGTGGAACTAATCTGATACCCGTCGCCCCAGCTCCCTCCTTCTCCTCCTTCTACCCCATCCCCTTCATTGTTTATCCCCTTTTAATATATTCCACAGCTGTTCTTATGCTGGACCGCGTCGGGTGCGCATATTGGCCTGTCAGAATCATCATCAGGCGATGTTTAGGGGCACAACAGAATCAGATGGATATCACGATGATGATGATCCTTGGGGGGCATGAATCATAAGATTCCGCAAACATATGGCGGCTCAAAAAGACCTAATAAATCTGATGATTTACGATGTGATGTGATGGTGGGGGAGCTGCAAAACTTTTTGCTCGGCGCTTCAAGGTGCGATGATATATTGAAAACCGCCAACGATTGCCCTAATTACTTGGACGGTGTTTGCCAAGTTCGCTCGTGTCCGGTAATCACAACAAACAAACACTCGAGTGTATAAGGAGTTCAACAAGGTGAGCTCGCCACCAAAAAATTAGAAGGGGGCGATGAGGTTGTCCACTTGAGTTTGATTGTATATCAAATGTCGTGCTGCTGCTGCTCGCTACCAATTTCGGCGATTCATAGGAAGATTAGGCAGAGAGCGTTTTGGGGTGCGGGATTTGCGGCGGCGGCGGTGTTCATCAAAGACACCTGTCCGCAACGCATGTTCGTAAATGAGAGCCGTTTTTCGCTATTAATTATGCACGATGGAGAGGGGGACAAACGTTTAAAAATATGGAGTGACAGTCTATTATTAGGTGCGAAAATGCGCGATGCACAGCTTCAATCAATATAGGTGAAAACCGTTGAAAACGAAAAATGAAACAATGGGGGCTCTCTGCAGATTTTGTAAATATCTATACTTAATCATCAAAATGAAATTGATTTTTTTAATCGAAACATCATCAGAGTGTTCTTGTATCCTTTTCCTCCAGCCCTCGTTTCGCTGTGCAATTTGTTTCGCATCAAAACGTATCCATTCACCACATCATCAGCATCATATTCATATTCATATTCATCGTTTTAATGGAAAATGAAGTTTCAAACTCTAAAACAAACACGCCGAATATGAACGTATTCAATTTCGAAAGTAATTCGATCTGTGTCCCGAAATATTGGCAAATTGCCCACACCAACAACCTGTTCAAGGGGGTCATCAGTCGTTGAAACGAGGCGACATCGTCATAAATCAGGTGTGTAGTGTAGTTGGTTCACGAAAATCTCGGACAAGGAGGAGATTGGTCCGCCCAAACATTTCATTACAACATTTTTGACACGTCGCGATGCCTCTCGATTTCACGTGCTCTTTTTTGCGCGCTCCATCGTTGTAACACGTTTTTGCACTGAAAACCGATGTTCGCGTTGAGGGGTCTCGCAACGAATTTCGCTGTAGGGGTATCATGTTGCACATCATGCAATCACATTATTTATCACTCGACAAATTTATTGCGATTTCACCGCGGGGAAACAGGTGTCGAAGGAAATCTTGAAATCATTGGCTCGCTTCAGATTAAGCTACTAATAAGTGACGTAAGATCTTCAATTTTATCTGGAATCAGATAGCTCGTTTGATTCAAACTATGGCGTGAATGAGAATTGAAAGAAACGGATAAATTCTCAACGATATTTATCATAAAACTTTGAATTGTTTTGGCGCCACCCGGCCGCTCAAGGTCCTTTCGACCGGAAGTTTTGGTGTTGGTGAAGAGTGTTGGTGGTGGTAAAACTTTCCGCCACATATAATACACTTTGTCGCACCCCTCTCGACCTATCTACCTACCTGTACAACGATTGTGTCGAATTTCAAAAGGCTGTTTTAGAGGGATTGGTTGCCAGCTGCTGGCCGATCCTTATGTAACAACGCATTCCATTGCGCAGCAGGAGCCGACCGCGACCGCAAAATTGTTCACCAATTTGATGTTGTCCTGCTTGCCATGCTTCTTAAGTGGATTTGATTATGTGCAGGGGGAAATTAGTGCGCTTAATGAGACAATTGAAGTGTCTCTGCCAAAATGGTTTTCCACCTTAATTTATGTGAAAAAAATTATGCGAATGATGGGGAGAATCAACATATGCAATTGTGAATTCTTAACGCTCATGTTGATTGTGAACAAACTAAATTTTGAAATCAAATTTATTCAGAAAATTGCCGAATAATGTTCGAAATTTTAATTTCGAATTATTATTTGTTGCTTTTGGTAGACAATTGTGGGTTTTCTCGCATCTAATAATTATATAAAATGCTGCGAATCGCCGTATAATCTTTTCTGATTGCGTAACGATCAGCTGGCACGCATCCACCCATATTTGTAACAGTTCATCCATTAATAATTGGAATCGATGATGGATTGGTAACGACTATAGTATTACTTATTCGAAACAAAGGGCCGATATTGGGTTGAATTGAATGAAATTCATTCGAATTTCGAATGGTGTCGGTGAAATTTCAAAGGAACGAACCACCCAATATTCATATAAATGTGTTTCAGCGTGGAGCGATATGCGGCAATTGGCGACACTCTTGACATTTTGTGCCCTTATTCGGAAGAGGGACTTGACGCCGAGCAGTCGATCATTTACCGTGTTTCCGAAGAAGAGTATGAACGATGCGAGGTGCGCAGCGACGCCGTCGAGCTCGGCAGGTGTACAGCTCCTGAGCGACGCGAGAAGCTTAAGGTCGCCTTCCGATTGATCAGCCCTAATCCGTCGGCGCTTGTCTACCGACCAGGAATAACCTATTTCTTTATTTGTAAGTTGCTATTGTCCAATTTCAATTTCTATGCAGCAACCTTATTTCAGCAACATCTACTGGATCCAAAAATGGTCTCAATAATCAAATGGGAGGTCTCTGTGCAAGTCACAACCTCAAAATGGTGATTCACATCACCGACAAAAATGGCGACATTTCGGGTCATCATCATCGTCATCATCACAGAAAAGTTAGCACTACAACTACTACTGAGAGCCCTGCTCCCACTACCGAACAAAGAAGAGGGGATGAGTATGAGGCAGAAAAACTGTGGGAGCAGTTTTATGAAAAGGTTTTGAAAATATTTTCGATTTTTGAGGTGTAATCGCTTATTTTCAGGTGATGCCAGCCCGAAATATGTGGCCAGAGGCTTCTCGTGCCGAACGAGTGACATTGTACGCTGGCGATAAGAAGGATGAATACGAGCAGGCTCCTGCCGATGTCATGGACTTTGAGATTCATGAAATTGGAGATGGTGAGCTTTCGTTCTCTCTTGACTTCTTTCAATCAATTCTGTTTTCAGTGGAGTCGTTGTACAGCTCATCAGCGACGCTTCAGAATTTGTCGATCTTGACTTCTCTCATCTTATTGCTGTTATAATAGCCCGGAATATGCCAATCAGACCCCATCAATTACAAGTCACAAATTCCGGGTTATTCGTTTTTTTACGGGTTCATTCTTTTTTCTTTCACCAGTTTTGCTCTAGATTTTTTTTTTCGTATTTCATTCCCAATTGCTTTCCAGCCGGTTGTATCTTCTCCCATTCCCCCAAAATTGAATCTAAATTCCCCATTATTCTATATTGAACATATACATAATTATGCATCCAGGAGAGCGCCACACTCTGTGATAATATTGGTCATGTTTTTGTTGTAATAAATCAGTTGACGACTTCGCGATTGGGTAAACATCTCGCAGAGCGACGACAGTAAATCATGTATATTACGGTATAAGTGCGCGAATATCGCGCCGGATACTGTAAAAATGGAAACGCGCGAATATCTCTCTTCCGTTTATGCAATACGGGGGACTTGCATGTTATTTCGTGGTTTATGGAGAATTAGCAGGAAACCATACATTTATAATTGTTACTCAAACACTGAGAGCGCATAATCCGCATAGAAAGAAAACATTTTTTAAACATCTGGTCTGACATTTTACTAAAATTTCTAGAATTTTCGTTCGAATGCCCTTGCCAAAAATTGTTGACTTGGGTCTTAATTTCGAAATCGACTATCGAAAATTCGGAATGTCGGTTGCAAAAGGCGCGATGACACGCCGATTGAGATCGAACTGACATACATATGCATAATTCAAAATTGACATCGAAATTGCACAATGTCAATCATTATTGGAGGTCAGAAAAATGTTGGAAAAATGCGTAATTTAATACCGAGGTCCGAATAAAAGAGATACGATCGTTCGCACACGCGCGCATAATCACAATCGTGAACCGCTCGACAGTCTCTCCTTTATTATTGCGTAATTATGCGACATGTTAATTACCGGCTGAGTTTGTTAAAAGTGCAAGAGAAGTGCGCAAGATCTCGATGGCGGCAGCGTCGGGCTGGCGGTTTTGAAGTGAACATGTTGCGCGCTTGCCATCAATCACACGATGATTCGGACACCCGGCCAGTGTTGAGCAGTTCGGAACACACAAAGAGTCATCTTTATTACATTGATTGATTATCGACAACGCGGACACATATTCGAATAAATTATTATATTATATTATATTAGACTTTCGAAATCACATTCGACGGACTTGTGTCCTGAAAACATGATGTTTAAATTGAGTATTTTAAAATCTGGGGATTCGTTTTTTTTCACAAATTGTTTTAAAATCAAATTTAAATGATTTTGATTTTTTTTTGAAAGTTTTCTACCTCTTGAGGTTTGTCTTGATATTCTTCATGCTCATCAACTTTCGAAAGCGTTTTATGGAATTGTGAAGGTCGCACTGGAGATTCAGATTTCTCGTCAATCTCGATCTCATACGCTTTATTATTTTCGCCTTCAACCGAAGTTTGTCGACTTCTGAATTGTTTCTATTATAGATGATATATTCACGATCAAAAAAATACAATGATTTTGCCTGAGCGACTCGAATACTACTCGGTCTGCTAGAATTGAATCGTCGTCGAACTGACGATAGTCGCGATCCCATTCCATCGTGTAAATCACCGATTGACATACGCGGAGCCACTGGGACCATCGGAATGTCCTCGTCGGTTTTTGCCAATCTGCAACAGCCACAATGTCAGTTTTCCAGTCGGAATGTTCCTCAAGATTTCGTGACACCTAATTAATCAATTTCAAGAATTGTCGGCACATCTTCTATAAAAGGTGCTAATCCTCCCGCAAAGAATTTTTTTCCATTCCTTACTCGGCTTTTCTCACCCATTTATTTCTGGTCTCACTAATCCTTTAAAAACCTACGTAACATTCGACACGGAGCCGACGAGTTCGCCAAGATTCTGATGTTTCTGGCAATCAACCGAGTATATCGGAACAGCATCCGGATCCGAGAAGCTGTCGTATATTGTTGGCGGCGAGACATTGAACTCGTCGACTATTTTCATGCCAGTCTATAAAATCACTAATTCCAATAATAAACGTTAGTTTACAACAAACGAATATATTCTTGTCAATCAGATAATTGCATTCGAAATCGTCGTCGTCTTCTCCAAGTGGATTCAGAAGAGCTTCGGCGACTTTCATCCATCCAACCAGACAAATAAATTCGATGATTGTGATTATTGGCCGAACTAAAAGGTTCACATAATCCATTTCAGCTTTCTGAATTTTTTTGACTGTTTAAAGCAAAGGAAAGCATCGAGCAACCTTTTCATCTCGAATAAATTGCCTTGTAAAAAGGCATAGGCAGAAATAGACACGAACTGCGAAGAAAACGACTTGCGGATAGGCGATCGGCACAGGAACCCAGTCGAAATTGCAAATTGTTGCCAAATTTGTGCGGAATGTTTTGATTTCCTTAATTTCTGCACATATCAATGAATTCGACGACGAACATTCGAATTATTACGTTAACAATTGCCACGTGTCCTGGAAAACTGACGACGAGGCCATCTTTATTCGCTTTATTGCACAGCGAAATTGCCCAATTAATTGGCACCCAATATTTGTTGTAAGACAAATTGATTTCATCGATTTGTTCGGCTTCTTCGATTGTTAAAAATCCTAATCAAGAAATTCACCGAAATATTCGAATATAATGCACCTGCTTTTGCAATCGAATCCATATTTGGAAATCTACGTCGAACTCTCATTGAAATATCCCGAAATGTGAGAATCTGAAAATGGAAAAACCTATAACGAACGCGATTTTTTGAAACGACCTGCGATAAAACTAAATATCGAACAATATTCCTTCGAATCAACGTCGCTTCTTCAGTTTCTCCGCTTATCATCGCATTTACAGTCAGCGCGCAACTGAAATTTTCAATATCGAATGCATCGATTACAGGGTGGCCCATAATTATGGAAACACATGTTTGATGCCTTCTGGCAGATTCTAGCGCATTTTTCGTGGAGCAGTTTTATTTTGTTTTATTTTTCAACTTGTTTTAATTACCCTATTCCCAAATTTTCTAGTTCTTAGCGTCATTTTTACTGGAATGGTAGCCAATTCAAAACCCCGAGGTACCATTATCGAATGGCGACATGAGAATAGAGCGACAGTTGCATCGCAAAAGCTCACAGAATCTCTCAATCAACAGTTTGTAAAACCGTAAAACGATACAAGGAGCTTAACACACTTGAAAACCGTCCGAGAAGCGGAAGACCTCACAGTTCTATCACTCCGGAGAGGATCAAGGTCGTCAGAGAACGAATTCGTCGAAATCCGCACCGAAGCATGAGAAAGATGAGCTTGGAGCTCAGTATGAGCAAATCTTCTATGAAGCGCACGGTGAATAAGAAGCTTGGACTGACCCCGTATCGTGTTCAGAAAACGGTCGTTTTAACTGAAAAGAACAAGCTGGGCCGAATGCAAAAGTGCGAATCTCGTCTTGCTGGCACGCGCCAAAATGAAAATTTGAAGACGTTGTTTACGGACGAGAAGCTCTTCACCGTGGAGGCTGTCATCAACTCGCAAAATCATCGGGTGCTTACAGGGGACACAGACGAAGCCAATAAGCACGGAAGAACGATCACATCCTCAATAAGTCATGGTTTTGGAACGATCACGTCTGATGGGAAGATTTCGCTTGTTCTTGTGGATCCTGGAGTCAAAATCAACCGGGAATACTACTTAGAAGAAATTCTAAGAAACACGTGCTTCCACGGACCCAAACACACTTTCGAAACCAGGTTTGGACATTCCAACAGGACTCTGCTCCGGCTCACAAAGCAAAAGTCGTCCAATCCTGGTGTGCTGCAAATTTTGCTGGTTAATTTCTTGGTCAGAATGACCAGCGTCATCGCCGGAATTGAGACCACTCGACTATTCTGTTTGGAACGTATTTTAATCGCATAGTCCAGGCACATCCCTATGCCAATTTGGAGTCATTGAAGAAATGTTTGGTTGAGGAATGGGCCAAATTACCTCCAGAATACCTCCGTGCCACAGTCGAGGCATTCCCGAAGAGACTCAAGGAAGTAATGAAGAACAAAGGAAATCGAATCGAGTAATGTTGATGTATTTTTGTTTATAATTGATTCAATAAACTATTTGTGAATTTTCAAGTTGATTCGATCATTTTTTAAAAGGTTACATCACTTTGAATGTGTTTCCATAATTTTGGGCCACACTGTATATTAGAATTTTACAATATGTCTCATCGATACAATTCCGTCAAAATTGTATCATCACTATATTATTTTTTTTTAATTTCAAATAAGAAGACCCACTTTTCAATCCATCCCATATTGCTGAATGTCGTTCGCCATCTTTCGACAACCATTGTGACGAAAAATCCGAGCATGAAAGTGACTGGAATATACTTTTGGATCGCTTCGTTGCAATAATATGCTATTTTGTTGAATGTGCTGAAATTTGATGGATTTGAGAAATGACAATCCACATGGATCCTACTGATAAGATCCATTTGGATACAAGATGAGGTGATAGACAAAAGCAGTGAAAACATAGAATGTTGTCCAAAGCATAAGCTCAGATGACACGCTTTTCCATATTGATCCTGAAATTGGTAAATTCCTTTCAAATTTAAATGTTATTTCGATATTTATAAGTATAAACCTTTAATCTGGAAAATAAATATATTTGAATATAAGATTTTCAGATTCTATTTTTTCTGACTGTGAAAAAATGGCAAAATTTCATTATCGATCAATAAAACTGAAAATTCACGAGCTAAAACACAAATAAGAGCTTCCCGTAATTTTTTATCATTTTCCGAAAGTCGACAATATCTATGTACTTCAAATTTTCAATAATTTCTACTCATCACTAAAATTTGGTTAGTTAGAGTTTATAAATATTAAAAACAAAATTTTGTCCTTATTAGAGAATCCAAAGACGAACCTTTCCATCGTATGAGCAATTTGAAAAATGTTGTTGAAGAAACTGACGAAACGTCGGAATTATAGCTGACTGTCATTCTGGAAAAAAAGTGAGATGATCCAAATAAAAAGAAAAATCGAGAAGCGATTTGGCACACAAAAAAGTGATAGCAAAAAAGCGGCGATTTCGATTATAAAACTTTGCGTCAAAATCAACAACAAACCGGCGACAATATTGGAAAAGAGGCAAAAAAGAAAAGAAATGTGATCGTGCATTGAACGAAATGATTTGGTGGCACCCAAAGAAAAAACTGTCATGAAATTGTAAAGAATTGTATGCAAATAACACACCTTGATTTTTTCGTCATTTTTTTTTGACAAAATTTGATTATAATGTTCAATTGATTCAAGTATTGTCTCGATTCGTCACTAATTTGCATATTTTTGTGGGAATTTTGACGCCGAGAACAAACACTGCATTAAATATCCAAGGCGAGAGAGATTCCCTTAATGGAGGCCACCCAAACGAATCTTTGATTGTCGCCGAGTTCAGAAATTCGGTTTTTGATTGGATTTCTTCATTATTTATACACTTTTATTTAAAAACAACAAGAAATGAACGTTTAAAGGTGGACACGAACAACGGTTTCGCAATTTTCAGGGTGTGATTCACTGATAGATATAAAAATCAAAGATCTGAACATCGTGATCAGACATTTTATTATGCGTTTATGTTCAAATTCAAATTTGGCGATCATATCGATTTGTTTGTTCGCCAGCTATCCTTGAGTTGGGAACGCCATTATGCATGTTGTTCTTTCAAGGTTGCCAATTTTCGAAGACGATCTCATAATTTCGTTTTTACTAATTCTAAACAATTTATTAATAAACACACACCTAGCAAGCATTATGTAACAGTAAACTACGTGTTCTCAGAAACGTTTTTATTCGAATTGAATACAGAACGTTTCAAAGATAAAATTTGAATTCTGGTCATACTGTTGCGTCGAAGAGGTCTCCAAGGTCAGATATTCAATTCAAAGACTATCAAATTAAAATTGTTGCAAATTTCATTGAAAAGTTCATTGAAATCTCTCCGATCTCGATATTATAAAGATCTCAAAAATTTACTTCCGCAATAATACAGATCGTATCAAAGATAATACAACGTTCTACTGCTACACATGTACCATGGGTGCAAATACCATGAGACTTGTAGATCTCTGTTCATATGTTGTATTGTCGGCATCGGATGACTTCGGAAAATTGGCTAAATGCCAAAAATTTAGTTAATGGTCTTAGTGCTCTTCAACCCATCCTCACGCATAATGTGTACTTTTAATTTTGCGTCGGGACCACTGGAATACTTTTTTTGGCATTTAACCATTTTTCGAAGACTTGGCGAATAAATACATTGGCTGACACACACACACACACACACTCCTTGATGAGAGAATTGAAGCGAATCCATTAAAACAACATCGCAACATCTTAGAACAGGAACATTTGTTCGATTAAACGGTCACACATATTTCCAGTATTTGATCTTAACATGAACAGACAAATGTCTTTTATGTCATATACATATCTATTGTATTCTCGTACGCAAAAGTGGAAAAAATGATGCGAAAATTTCAATAGCAAGTCGCTCAATTCGCCCGTTCATCAAAGTTTGTTGCTATATTCCCGTAGTATCTTTTTTGTTCAGTGTTAATTAAAAATCTTGATGCAATTATTGAGATGATTTATCAAAAATCAATCAAAACAATTATTCGTTCCATGATCTGTCATTCCAGTGACTGCTGCTCACTTGATACGTCGGCTCATAGTTTGCGAATCCTCCGCGTGGTGGCGGTGGTGGACGAGTGTATCCCCGAAAGTAGTTATTATTATGGTCCCGAATGGTGCTGTTCAGATTGTGTTCGAATGTCCGTGGCGGTTTCGGCGGCGGTTGCTCATACTTCCTCTCAAACTTTTTCGGATGGTACCTGCAAATACAGTGTTGATTTGGTTGGGGATAACGAATGATAAGAATGTGCATACGCATAAATGGCATCTTCGGAAACATCGAGGTTTCTACTTCTCGGTTCCAACAGACGAACGTGTTCCCACGAGAGAATCTGAAAATTTATCACTTTAGTTGTGAGGCAATCTATTAAAAAACGTACCGGCAAAATCAAACCGATGAGCAAAACGATATGAATCAATTTCATTTCGAATGACGACGCATCGAAATTTTCACCGCTTTATACCATTTTCTTTTTTTTTAAATTTAATAATTCGATTAAGCTTCGAAAACAGTTTTTTTTTTATTATGAAAAAAAAAAGAAAAAAAATCCAAAATGACGACATTTCTGTGAAAACAATTATTGAAAACGCTAAAGTGTAAATTAGAAGTTAACTTTTTCGCAATTTTCGAATTATGCGCGCCTAATTAAAGTTTTTTCAATTTTTTTTTTTCCAAAAATTGATAATTAATTGTATTTTTTCTTGGAAATATGTGAAAGTGAAACGATTTTCTCTCTTTTTCCTTTCATTTTATCAACAAAATTTTAATAAAAATCATTTGAACGGGAAATTATAGAAATAAAATTAATTTTGTGCAAAATTGCGTCAATGTGTAAACAGAAAAAAACGGGAATAAAAATGAAACCTTCCTGCTTCTTTATTCGATTACTTTCGTGTCGAAAAGTTAAAGAAATTAGTTAGCGAAAAAAAATCTATTTTGGACAAAACTTTAATTATATTTTATGATTTCGAGACTTGAAGAAAACAATTTGGATTCGGCGACTAATCTATTGAAACCGACAATCATTTTACTATCTTATTCGCCGATTTGCCAGTTGGATCGGATCGTTTACGGTATCGGATTTTGTCGGAACCGATTGGTTTCGAGTTACCATGGAAACATCATCATAATAGCTGACAAATTGTCGAAAAATAAAATTTTATTTTGAAAAATTACTTTAATCTAATTACATTTTCTAACAGATTCAGAAGTTGACCAATGCTGCCTGTTGATCGATGGAAACCGTTTCTCGCGAAAGAAAATCATCCGTCGACCACCGATTCAATTAATTCCGAAGAATCGAGATTAATGTGTTGCTTCATCATGAGTTTCACCATCATCTGGCAAACTCAATTTATCAAAAAACAAGACGACGACGACAAAACCAGTAGAAGAAGATGAAGAAGCCTGAAAAGCATCGATTTTCGGCTATCGGTGTTCTCTGCGCCTCACGTGCTCTTTTCGTGCCCCCCTTCATCTATGTGGCTCACGATAGAACGCGCGCAGACCGCGCCTCTCGATAGCCACTTACGTGTGACTCGACGACGCCTTCTTCTTCTTCTTCTTCTTCTTCTCATATGCATCTCTCTCCTCTCTCTTGCTCATGCACAAAAGATAAAGTCGTTTTCAAGAAAAAAAAATATTTAAAAAATTGAGTTCGCTTGATGTTGCTTCAATTATTTCGAAAATCGTTGACTTCAATTCCATTCTAATTGCAAATATTTTCGTTTTTCAGTTCCATCATCGAAAGTTATCTAAAAACGACAACTCGATTAATTTTCAGCTTTTGGCATTATCAATGAACGCTTGATACTCGATATTAGATCGCAATGGATGTCGAACGAGTCGCTCTCGATACGGCAAGCTTTGCTTTGCACTTAATGCACATGATCGTTTGCATCCTCGCATTTCTAATCAATCTGCTTCTCTTTTATTTGCTCACAAAATACACTGGTCAGTTATCGTACCTTCGAAGAATATCAAACAAATTCTTGTTGCAGTATTTCATCATCATATGAAGATGATCATGATCAATTTGACGCTAGCAGTCCTTGCTTCAGTTTTTTATTTGCTTATCAGATCGTCGTTGGGAGTTTATCAGATTTATCACAAGAATCCGATGGTAAGTTTATTTTTCAAAAATATCCTTATTAATGTTTAATGTGAATGGAATTTTTTCTCAAATTCTTCATTTTTATCCTTTACGAATTAAAACGTAAATAAAAAAACATTGGCGTTGTTCGATTTCAGGCGCCGACGAATGAACCTCGCGAAGACGTCGATTGTGCGTTTTCTGAAACAGTGCCTCGATCGATTTGCCTTCTTTTCTTCGCATTTCCGATGTGTCTCGTGATCGAGAGATCAATTGCATCTCGTCGATTCTGGGATTATGAAAATGAAAATCTTTCCGGTGGCGTCGGTGCCGTTTGTTTTGTCTTGGTAGATCAACTCTCACGCATTTCAACTTTTGTTCGAATCAAATTTTTAGTGGATCCCAACCTCTATCGACATTCTGGGTTTTTTGATGCAATTCTCCCTTCCGGATTCCCTCGAAACTTGTCAATATTCAATGCTCAAAAAAACGTTCCTTCAAAGGAATATAATGTTCATAATTGTCGCATTTTTCTGCCTCATTTTCACCATCATGTTCAGACTTCTTGAAAAGGTACCCCATCAAAAATTGTGTGATATAGTAATTCGTAAATGTTGAAGGAAAATCGAAACAGCGAAGCAGATTATGTTGCCAATCACTACACAACGCTATCAGTCCGATTCCAAATAAGGGAAAACGTGAAGACGTGTCGATTCGCAGTGTCTCTCAACTTGCTACTCTTCGTTGCATTCCTTGTCTTCTTCTTGTTCGACCAAAACCTCAGCGACAGTGATTTGAATGAGCATTCGGCAGCGAAACGGGTAACTCATTTCTCGTTAATTAATTTCTCATCGAAAGCCCAAGATTAAGCGATTCGCTGGGTTTTTCTCAATAACAAAACTGTTTTCACCTGTTCACAAATTACTTTGAAATTTGCTGGGAAATCCAATTCAACTCATGAGAAAATTCACTTAACTCGATCATATGTTTTCAATTACGAGAGCGACGCCGAAAAACATATTGAATTGTTTCGAGTGGAAATGTTTAAAATGGATGAGCAAAAAATTCATTTTGAAACCCGAAGACTTGTCAATATTTCATTGGAATTTCTCAAAAAAATTTTTGATTCAAATTCAATTTATTCGAAATTTTTGGACGAAATTGAAATATTAATGATTTTCGAATTTTCAAGAACAGAAATGAGATATTAATAGTTTTAACAAATTATAGAAAATTTTCAAAAAAAAAAAGCAAAAACGCAAAATAAGGAGAAAATATCACACCAATTCAAAACTTCTCGATTCGTTTTGAAAATGATTTTCAAAAAAATTTCAGGAATACTTATTCTTCGTTTTTCCGGTGTTCGCAACAATCTATGCAATTCTTTTCATTGCATCCCATCCTCAACTCATCAATAAAACCAAACGAACGTTCCAAAATCTGACCTCCTCGTTCACTCAATACCATGAACAGGGTATGTGCAAAACAAAGCTCCGAATAGAATACCGAATGGTCTTTCAGAGAAAATGTTATCGTAAGACGGGCGTCTAAACCTGTGCTACAACATATCAGCAGATCTCATCAACCATTTCTAATTTGTATTTATATCAGGGTTGTCATCAATTCATTGGCAGCGGATTCTTTGTGTATAATATTCTGAACGCATTTCAAATGAATTTTATTTGAAACAATCATTACACGTCTTTAATAATCACAATAGAGTTTCATATGGGGAATTCAGCGATTTTTTCTCGTTCTCTGCTTCAGATATTGTTGCAATCGGAGCACACTTCGATTCTCCTCGACTCTGAAAAAACCTTTGTGTGCGATTGATGGCAGCATTTTGAGAATTAACCAATATGCTTTGTGTTGTTTCCACCGATTTTGATCGCTCGTCTGGCATATTCAGCGGAGAAAATTTCTGAAAATTTTGATATTGGCTGAAACTCTGCATCGCAATGCACATACAAATGGATGGCACAGATTTTTGAAAAACATGAAAATTTCTTGGCGCAGGTCTGGTTGACAGTAGAGATAAATTGGAAGACGAGCAGCGCATGCCATGGTTGTCAACAGGGATACCAAATCGATGGCGACGATGTAGAGACTAGGATATACTTATTATGAAATTGAAACTCGAAGAATGTATTTTTCAGTACTCAAAAGAAAACACAAACTTAGAGAAAATTGGTTGATTCAATCGGTTTTTTAGTCATCATTTCTTTCTATTTCGATTAAACGGATTACAGAACCCTTGGAAGTATTGCGTATTAAAATGTTGGTCAGGTATGCCTAATCCGATAACAACTCACTCTGGATAATCCTGTGCAATATGATTGTTGGCTTGTTCGAGTGAGGTCAGAATCACGTTTATAATATTGCTGATGATATAGCAACATCCAACCATGACGAGGGTTCGAGTCGCAGCTCGTGCATTCGCTTTCCTTTTTTGGAGATCCACTGTGCTTCCAGTTGTTATCAGACATATTGTGGCGGTCGTATAGGATGAAAGTTCTTTCACAATGCGAACGTTCAGATACAAGAGAATAAAGAATGGAGCGAACACGGTAACGAAATTTCGATACCTGAAAAAAACTCGATGAGATTCCAAAAACGAAGTTCACCAAATTGATACCAAAAACGGAATAGGTAGTGATATTGGGTTTCGAAGACAAACGGACGAAATTTCATGGTAGTCGCTGTCATTTGTCCGGCACAATCTTCATGGCTGACGAGTTCAAACTCAATACAGATTGTTCCTTTGCTGATGATACCAAGGAAAACCGCTGACAGTGCGATTAGTTTTCGATTTCTGAACATTTTTTATTGCAGCCGATTCTGGCTTGATTATATTGAAATTTTCTTACCTTTGTGCAAATCTCAAACTCGAAGTGTTCAACGTGGCACAATATCGTTCAAACGAAGCAGTAACAATCAGAAAAGACGATGAAGACATTGCGATATGTGAAATTGTTATAATTGGTATCACATATGCATACCTCGAAAATAGTGATTTAGAAAAAAAACACTGAAAAAAATGAACATACCATATATTAACGAGAAGTGGAGACATCAGGACATCAGAGAGGACATTAACTGACATTAACATGATATAAGCTAAGGATACAAAAATGTCAAAAAATGCTAACAACATCATATAGAGATTCTCTCGACGATGACGACGGCTAAAAGGGTGTTCTTGCAGAAATTAGAGACTTTTCGAAGTACCTCGTAACAAATAAGAAGAAAAGAAATATATTCTCGATCATCGAAATGAATGAGATTGTGGATCCGAACACGGAAACCATCCAAAATCGCATGACAAGCATGTGCTGTTGCAGAACCTGATACTGGCATGGATCGTAATCATCAGTGGTGTCGTTCGACTCGCCGATCAGGGTCGAGTTTGCCATGCGAGATTCAATTCAATCCTGCAATTAATTTCAGTGTACCAGATGGAATTCGTTCAATTCACCGATCAATTAACAAGTCAATTTGGGAAAATGAGATTTTATCATGCAATTGAATTTCAAACATCGAGTTTTTATGGAAATTGGTTTGCTTGAGCGCATAGTTAAATAAAACACGCAAATTTCGAAAATTTTGAAACGCGAAGTGATAGCTTTGGTTGTCGAATTACAAGGCAAAACAAGCTGAAAAAGAAAACAAAAAGAAATTGTCCTTGTTTGATGACGATGGAAGGATGAGTAAAGTGAATCAATCAAATCATGGTCGAAAGCAACAAAAATAAGAGGAGTAGAAGCAATGAAAGGAAGTCAAGAATCGGGCTCATTCGTCTTCTTTTGTTTTTTTATTTTATTTCTGCAATCGTGATTTTCAGACGAATTGCCACAAAATTGGTCGATAGTTTTAATGAAAACACAAGAGACATTAAAATTTCGTTTTTCTCGATTCAAAGTCGGAAGAAAACCTTTTGAAGCTTTTGAAAATGAGCCGTTTTTCGTATATATATAATAATACAATTTTCAATCATCTGGTTGGAAGAATCCTTCATTTTTTGGCCGTTTGTGCAAAACCCATCGGGGCGTTTTTTTACCCAACAAAGAACACGCATTATTATACGAAATAACCTTAAATAGATTTCGTTTAGAACATAACCTTTGACACGTTTTGCGATGTGCATATTATTTCTCGGAAAAAAAAATCTATGAGAACGCAGACGAGTTTGAATAGAATAGAGGAAGACGGGGCGAGAAAGGTAACGAATAAACAGACGGACCAATTTTGAGATACAAGCTCAATTTAATCGCTCCCATGATACCATCATTGCGAGTTATTCCAATTAGTCACAATTTTAAAGCTCTTTGACTTCCGTCTTTACTTTTTTCTTTATTAGAACATTTTATGTTTATTAAGAGAAGACTGTGAAGTATCGTGAAAATTTGAATCTAAAAGAATTTGTTTGAATGAGCAAAATCGATGGCAAAATATACCTAAATAACTACATATAATGCGAAAACCTCATCAAAACATATTTCGAATTTCAAAACTTATACAAATTTTGTAAATTCGAAGGGTCTCATATCTTCCTTGTGAGTACATAATTATTGCATAAAAAACAGAATGAGAAAATATCGAGTATCTCATTTGAAAAAAAAGGAACCCTATGATTTAAGTGGTCCCACATAAAATGTCAACGTCATATTCATATGTGTGAAAAAAGACGAGAATTTGACAAAAAAAAATGGGTCGAAGTTCATTTCGGTGGGTTGCATTCTCCGCCCGTCAAAAATTCGCGCGCGGCAACACAAAAAATGCTCATTCATAATTCACTTGTGTTTTCGGCGATATTTGCATTTTTTGGCATCTTATTTGAAATCAAATCAACAAATTCAATTGAATGAAACAAAACAAAACAAATAGATAAGAAATTTTTAGAAGCGCGCTTACCTACCGTAATCCTCAAGGGAAATTTGCGGGCATTTAATTAAATTCGCGCATTTGTTTGCTTGATGAAACAAGAACCCGGAAAAAAGGGAGCGGATTTCAAGTCGAGATGAATGGGCGGAGCTTGACCTTCGACACAATATTGGCCATCGTTTATCGCAAACCTAATACGGCACAAATTGAAACGTTGCTCAGGCTCACAAACAATGTGGGCGTGGTCGACGAAAACCGAAAATTGCAAATTGGATAAAGGTAAAAGCCCGTTGCGCGATTTTATGGCATTCGCCTATTGGCGTTTTTATGATTGGCAAATGATGGCACGTCATATAAAGCAAAATTGAACGGGGCGAACACATTTTGAGAAGAATTCGAACAAAAATTAGCGAATTGTTTCAGATATGTCGATTAATTCAATTTTTTACTAAGAGTAATAAGGAGTATTCGGATGAAGAAAATCGACAAATTCAACTAAAATCGAATTTATATTTATTCGAAATTTAGTGACGAATCTAACGTTTTAATTTGAACAAGACAAAAATAATATATTAAAGCAAGCCCTTTTTTATTGAAACACATCAAACTCACTTCGAGCCTCTCAACACACTTTTAGTGTAGTTAAAACGCTTTAAACCGGAATTGCTGCAATTCGAACGAAAAAAAAGTTGCGCGAGGAAAAAGCAAAATTCGGCAAAAATTACATTTCGGAATCGTCAAAATTCTATTTCCTGATCGCCTATTGAAGCAGGTCACATTCAAGCTGATATTCTGCTCCACAGGACAGGTTCATCGAATTTGGAAAAAAGAAGAAGATGAAGAAAAACATAATGAAACAAGAATACGAGAAACTATTGTTAGACTCTTACGAGACACTTGAAAATCGAAATATGAAGTTGTTGCTAGTTAATATATACATATGTTTAAGTTTTCTCATTTTTATAAATTTTATTTAATTCTAGTAAAATTTAAAAATATTTAATTAATTCATATATTTAAAAAAAGATTGCTTCGGAAGAATGATTGATTCTGGAAGGAATTTCTTCAATATTTGAAATTAGACAATAAAGGAGAAAACGTGACAACGAAGGAAGGCCTTATACATATCGGAATATGAACACCGTGGTCAATAAAATTGTCAGTGTGTGTTTGTGTAGTTCTTAGTTTCTTCACACAGGAATACCCATGAGGATTTGAATGTTCGATGATTTGGACTCATCCGTCTTCAAAAACTACTTGAGAACATTTCTTGATCTTTCTGCGACAATTTGTGTAGTATAATTGAACAATTTATGCATGAAATAGGTATATTTCGAATTTGATTAGCCGTGATCAAATCAGTAAAATAAACGCCCACAAGAACTCAAAAAACCGAAAAGTAGTATAAGAAAGATTACCGCAGACTACTAAATAATAAAATTAAATGAAAACCACCCTATTTTGGGTCTATTTCCGAGTCATCCTTTTGCGCGAAAAATCACCTTTTCGCAAAATTGACTGAAGATGACTGAATATTGGATGAAATCGAAGAAAATGACATCAAAAAATGGTCGAAAAGTGTGATTTTTGGGCAAATGGGTGAAAGGGTTCGTCTGCGGTAACCCCTTTCTTATACTACTTCGAGAGAACAAACTTTTTATGAGGAATCCTTCTTGGGAATGAGTTTCACATCAAAGTTTATAAAAACTTGAAACCGAAAGAGAGATTATTTTTATTATTTTCGAAAGCGTAGAATTCTATATTTTCAACCAATGAAACATGCATGGTGAATCCACTCAATCATACTTTAATCCTTGTGAGGAAGTTCTTAAGCTCAGCCAGACATCTTCGGCTCAACTTGAAAAAAAGTGAATGGCATCTACAAAGCTTCAAAAATAACAATTTGTATAGAAAAAATAATTTCCGTTTTTCCTTTTCAATTATAAATCAAAAACATTAATTTAGTTAATTACCATATAAGAAATAATGAGCAATGTAAAAATTGAAGTTTTTTAGAGGGGATTCGAAACAACAAATGTTGACTGCAAAAAAGTAATAAATTAAAAATTTGAAATCGTTTTTCCGGCCGAATCATTCCTTTGCTTCCTTCTTTCCTTTTTTCAAACTTGATAGTTCAACATTGATTTGTGGATTCGGGAAAGCTGAAAACGAAGAGCAACTGAAATAAGGCGGACAACCGAAACAAACCCATTTCGACATTTCAAACAGCCATTTTGCGTTTTTTTTTGGCCATCGTGGTGTTTTATTCTTAAATTGACAATTGAAAAATTACAAAGTTTTTACATTTTTTTGGAAGTAAAATAATTCATATGAAATGTTTAAAATGATTGAAATTCGTGTTTTCAGCTGCCGAGAATATTGAGATGGGAATATTTTTGTTTTATTTGAAACAACAACAAAGAATGAAAACGCAATGAATGTTAGAATACTACCCTTCCAATTCGATTCCGACATTATCTCATTTCGTAATCTAACCGATTAAAAATTTACGGAATTTCTTAATGATTTGATCGTTGTGATCAAAAGAAAATACTCGATGTAATTGGGAATGAGTCGAATGAAGCAATATGTGTTGCTCATGATCAGAATTTCGATGGCATCTTCACTTGGTAGCCGACTAAAATAAGTGAAGTTCAAATTGATTTACGGCTGCTATTGAATGTACGCATTATTACGATTTTCAAATATTGTCGAAGACCGATGAATTCCGGGGGATGGGGGGGGGGTTAAAAATAGGATTAAAGAAAATTTGCCTCACAATAATTTGTTGGAGCCTTTTGTCATGGTCTCGAAAAGAAAATATCTGTAATACCTTTTTTTACATTAAAACTTTTTGGTGATAAAAATAGCCTTATTGATCTTAACAAATGTGATATTCAATAAAATTATATAAAACCAGCTTCCAAAAAGTGATATATAATCTTAGTTGAACCCACACAGGAACATTTGATTCCCCCCTCCCCACAGAAACATGGCCGAACTGTCATGGCCGAGCTTGTATGGGCGAAGACGACATTTTGTTTTTATTCCACGCGGAGTATTTCAAATTTGCGCGATATGCGTGTATTTTTTTAAAGTCACATTAACCAAAGAATCTAACACTTTTATCGGCCTAACATAAGATTAAAGGCACACTCCATATGTATTAGCAAATGTTTCCGAACGATAATATTATTACTACTATTATTATTATTACGGTAAATTTTAAGACAATGCGGATGTTCTCGGTTTAAACCCAATTTTGTTCCATTACATTCGCAAGAAAAAACGAGCACCCAGCGCCGATTTAAGGTGAGTTAGCTTCGCAGGTTATCCAGAGTACGGTATCCCCAACTGTTTGAATTCGAATTTGAATTTTCGCATCGAAAAAGTCCGTTGGTCCACAAATATGCAAGGTGCTCGTTTTTTTTTGCGATAGGATTGTCGGCGTCAAACGACGGAGCCGAAGGGAGGCGGAACCTTCAATTTTGCGAAATCAGTGTAGATTTAAATTTTTCGTTGACTGAATATTAAATGCGCGTACGCTATAACGCTATAATGCAATGTACGCAATCACGCTGCCTCGAGACGCATTGGCACGTAGCCAATAATTTTTAAAATTTCATCAAGTCGTTTGACTTCGACAATAATAATTTTATTATTTTTTTTTCCAAAACTCGTCTTAGTTTCACTGAAACTCCGGCAAATGAAAATCCATCAGATTCGAAGAAAAATTCAAAAATTTTCGAAATCATTTATTTCTAATTTTGAAATCGTATTCAATTGAAATTTAGGAATACTTGAAAACAGATTAATTTATATTCAATTTCGATTAAAATCAATTTTTTTCGAAACCCATTGATTTTCATTTACCACATAAAATATTAATGGTTCCAAACGTCCGATCCAAATTTTCAAAAAGAAGTATGTGCTGAGTTTTTGTCTCGAGACAAAAAGAGCTTTGCGTGTCTGCGTAATTTGCATCTTAACATACTCGCAGTTTAGTCAGCAGGTAAATTTGCAATTTCGTGTGTCTACATTTATTTTGCGAAATTTGGAATCCCACCAACATATCAGTCATTTGACGCCGGCAGTATTAAAAAACTGAGCCATGTGACTATTTGTGGGCCATCGTGATAATTTCGGAACGATAATTGCACTGTATTTAAAACTGAGTTTTATTGCGGAGAGTTCTATTCCGGGAAACCATTTCGAAATCGATAATTTTGATTGTTCTTATTTTCAATTTTTAAATCGTATTTGATTGCAATTTTCGAGATATTTGAAACACATTGATTTATATTCGATTGCGATTGAAAATTATTCTATTTTCGTTTGATTTTTTAAATTTTACTTTCGGAACAAATTTCCATTTCTAATGTCAAAAATGACCACTTAACTCTTGATTTATTCTTCCAATTTTTGTATTCCTGTTAGATTTCTCGTTGCATTTCGGTTTTTTCTCATGGTTAAAAAGTTTTACGTAACGCATTAAATTAGTTTCTTAAGTTGAAGTTCAGATTAATGGATAAAGGCAAGTATAGACATTCGATTGGAGGGCGTATACTACCGTATGATCCCGGTCAAGAGAAATATGACAATGATCCGTATCGAGGACAGCGTCGACGTCCGTGGCTTACATTTCGTGTCGGACAACACACTGTTGAGTGTCAAAACAAAATCCTCGTGTATCCATTTAAAAATTTTTAGAAATCAGCGAAATGATCGTTTTTCAGAAATTACATCAAACGAGTTAGACATTGCTTCTTCGAACGCGGTTTTCTTATGGACGAGCCGGAAAATTATTTGATGTATCGAATTGATCTGAATGATGACATAGACGATCTGGAAGAAGTATGTGGTTTATTGCAAGTTTAAGTAAATTTTTGTTCGCAGCTCGAAAGAGAGTTGCACGACGCTTTGGAAATTGCAAATACCCAATACGAACCAGGTTTATTATCCGTTCCAATTGGAATTTGGTTTTCAGATATTAGCAGTGGTAATTTACCGTTTATTTTTCTAAGCATTTCTCTTTTTTTCAGACCGCGATTACAACTCTATTTCATTTTTAGATGGAATTTTCCTTAAATATTCCAATCGAATTAATTTTATGAAGGTATTTTCTGTCATAAATTGGTATTAATTCATGATTTTAGATTGAAATCAAAGAAGTTTTAGCGCAGATCTACAGCAACAGATACGACGTTTTGAAGTATAAATATCTTCAATAGTAAATTAATTTCCTTTTTTGCAGTAAATGGTGTCAGCAAATGATTCGAATGATTTCTGAGCAAGAGAATATTCCGCAGAGCATTGCTATCAAGACACCAATCGAAAAACGAGCACTCTGCGCCGATTTGCGGTGAGTTAGCTTTGCAGGTTATCCATAGAAATTATCCATAGTACGATATCCGAATTTCCATGAATTAAATATTGGCACAAAACTAAAAGTGTAGATTTGCGAGCCAAGTATGTTAAAGACCCCTACACTAATATTGTCGGCGTCCAACGACTGAAGAGAGGCGGGCATTCAAATTCGATAAATCTGCGTACACTTAAATTTGTCTTTGACTGAATATTAAATTCTCGTACGCTATAATGAAATGTACGCAGTCGCGCGGACCAACTAATTATTTTTTTTTATGAGTTGGTCCGATAATTTTTAAAAGAATCACGTTGGAAATTCAAGTAAATGCCAAACTCATCCAAAAAAATAGTAGTTGTGAAAACAGCTAAATAAGCTTTCACACGTGGCGCGACCTTTTCAAAGTAGTCGCTGGACGCCGTCTATATTTCTTTGGGAAAATCGCGTAATATAATTTTGTTTAATTCAGTGAAATGAATCTATATAGTGCAGATAGATATATGCAAAAATCAAGTAAGTAGTAATAATAAAGTTGTTTCTATTTGTATTAAAAGATTGGAATGAGCGACGAAACGATAAATTCGAAACTTCACATCATAGACACCAACCATCACCATCACCGCGACGAAGTTGTAAGTTGTTTATACTCAATTAAGTGAGATAGACTCGGTTAAGCGGCGTTGAAATAAATGCTGTTGTGTTCCCGGAAATTAAGAGTTTTTTACCCTTAAAAACTATGTATTATACTATGGTTTATTGATAAAGTATAAGTTTTGTAATATTTAATCGAAATAATTTTACTTTCTATTTGTTTTTCTATTAGTTCACTCTTATCGGCTTTTTACCAAACCCTTTTATTTAAGAAATGAACAATAGGAAAGTGAACACTTCTTTCTATTAACTATTGATATAGTCGGCGTCCGGCGACTGCTGTACGCTGGTAGATTTATGGGTATGCTTCTTTCTCTTGGTCTCGCACAGACTAACAGATTATTTCAAATTTTATGGCCAGGTTTGATAATTTTTAATCGAATGACATTGGAAATTCAACGAAATGCCAAGCTCATCAAGAAGAAATAAATTGTTCACGTGAAAGCAGCAAAATAAGAGTTCACACGGTGAGACCTTTTCAAGGCGCATACGCGTAAATCTACCCGCGTACAGCAGTCGCCGGATGCCGACTATACGTTATTTTGAAGATAGCGCTCGATAGCGCCGTAAGGCAAAAAATAATTATTTGTTGAAATTTTTGGCAAAAAAGAAACTTGATAAAATAAGAAAAAAATGTAGTATTGTCGACGTCGCTCGACTGCCGACAATGGTCTCATTGTTTTTTTCTAGCATTTAACCAATTTTCCGCAGTCGCGCGACGCCGACAGTATAACTAAAAGACTTGATTGCAGACTATGAACTCTCACCTAGTGTTGAGAGGCGGCCGTCTGTCGATGAATATCTCGAAGTTTCGCCTCCTGGATTGCGGGCTTCTTCTCCTCCGGGATTATCTAAAAACAATGAATCAATCCCCTTTCGGCAATTACAAGAATACTCGCGGTAACTTTATTATTAATTTGAAATAGAGGACGATCCTGTGATCCAGAAGTCAGCAGTCATATTCAAAACAAAACGCACTCCGAAATGAGAAAAAAGTAAAACCTGGAAAACAGAGACCGCCTGATCATAAAATTAGTCCACAAGATGTCGAAGATGCTCTCAAAACTGCAAATATCACCATGAAGAGTTTAACATTTGGTAAATTAATGAAAAATGACAACGACTTGGTAGGTATACTCCTATTTCTTTAAAGCTTATTTATTCTTGTAGGTTAAATCTATCGCTGGTCAATTTATGTTCAATCGACTTGCATCTCCCTTTGAAAATATTTATCACAACATTAAATTGTTGGTTCTAATAAACAATTCCCTCGCGACAACACTTGATCAATATCAAGATAAGTGCAAATTGATTCTAACGGAGGTTTTTGAGAAACGGTGAGTAAGATCACATATATGAGAGTTCGAGTTATTCTAAATAATTTTTTTGCTTTTAACTGTGTTATAACAAAACTGAAAAAATCAGTTGAATCGTCTTTAAAAAAAGGCTCAAAAAATCTTACTCAGATAGATATAAAAAAGTAGCTTTAATTGGTATATTTAATGAAAAATAATTTGTTAATGAAAATTAAAAATAATATTGGGAGTATTTTAGGTACACAAATTGGCTTGTAACACAATATGTGGACCGTTATCGAGACTTTGAAACAATGAAATGCGTCATTGATTTGGTCTTCCAAATATTACATTTTTTCGGATATTTTTGTCGACGAAAACCTGTCATTAACGATTTTACGGTTACTTTTTTTCTGTTTTGAAAATTCATGCGATATACTTCGTTTAGAATAATGCGTGGAATCTGTTTTTGATGAATCAACGAAAAATACTTGAAGAAGATTACGAAAGATGCGGCGTGTTACAGAAGGATTACGATACTTTTGTTATGCAGCGTCATTCAGTCAAAAAATATTTCGTCGATTCTTATGCTTACTATAATCACCAAAATTTCGAAATATCTGAAGACGATTCTGAAAATGAGAACGTAACAAGCAATCGGTATTTTGAAGGAGACTATCATTCATATACAGTAAGTCTGAAACCGTATTCCATGTACTATTGAATAATTTAGGAGCCACACGTAGACAGCCAGATTGATGACGATGAATTCCATTACGAATCGGATCGACATCATGAGGGATTTTCGAACAGTAGCAGTTACTGTTATCGTGCCGAAAAACAACGCGATGCGGTACGCAAGAAAATGGGATAATAAAAACGTGTTACGTTTAAAAATTGTTAAAAAAAATAAATAGTTGTTATTTCTGACATATTTATAAACACATAAATAACTCATGAAAAAAACAACATAATACGGTATAGTTAATAATGTTTTTAATCGAATTTATTCTTGACTTCGAGTTATGCATACTTTTATGAAAAACCATTTACTAATTGCAGGAATACGATAGGCGTCGTCGGGAGATATCACCTGATGAGCCTTCTCATTGTGAATCGAACTATGACGAAACTCGCAATTATAGAAGAAATGAAGGTTCAGAATCGGGTTTGAATCGCTAATTTGTATCAATTTATAAGATATCTGCAGATGGAATAATACAAGAAGATTTTTTCGGAACTGACGAATTTCTTCCCAATAAAATTACTGCAAGTTTTATATCGACATTCTAATGAAAGTTTACTTTTCAACAGTACTTGGCCGCTTATGATGAACGACAACGCGGTGGTGAGATATGGGAGCGTTGTGAGCTCGTTGATCCGAAAGAAAGTTTTCGAAAAATGTCGACAATTCCCACTCTCAAGGACTTTGTAAATCCCGGTCATTTTTAATTGGGAGATTCAGAATGTGATGCATTCTTATTACAGAAGAACCATATTTGAGACGAATTCGAGAAGATGGGTTATATCATTCAAGCGAGCATTACTTGGATGTCCAATTTCGATTACTTCGTGAGGATCTTGTTAGCCCTATGCGCGATGGTATTGATTTATATAAGAGAACAGGTGCGAAATCGCTTCAAAAGCAATGAATGATTTGATCGATTTTAGGAACTCACCAGAATAATCGAATTCCGAATACGCTCAACTCCGATATTAAATTGTACAACATTTTAAGTATTGAGAAAAAACAGGTGTCTGAAAAATGCGGATTATGGAAACGAAATGCATTTTTAACGGTTGAATAATTTCAAATTGACCTGTAATTATTCTTATTTCAGCCTAGTGAGTTTCAAATTTTTATCGAATCGAATGTTAAAATGGGAGGATTGGTGTTGATCTCATCTGATCGTTTCGTGAACGATGTACATCTTGTAGAAATTGAAGATGTTAATGAGGTGAAGTTAATTGCACTTTTGAAGTATTTGAGTCTTGAATAACCTCACTACTTATAGGCGAAATTAATGATCTCAATGTTAATGCGAGAAGAGAATCCTAAAAGTCCAATCGAGCAGAACAAAGGTTATGTGATGGCTGAAGCAGTTAGCTACTTTCCTTCGTATCGGTTTGTACTTGATACTATGCAGGTTCGCATTTAAAATTTTAACGACAACCGATTAGAATATTATTTAGAAAATTAACCCATTTGTGCCGTTACCATTTGAGCGATATATTGTACATGGAAAACGTAATATCTATCGGCCATTTTACCAGAAACAAGAGAAATCTGAAGAACAAATCAAAGAGGAAGAAATGATTTCGGTAAGTTTTTGTAAGCTAATTATTCGCTCGCATATTCCAAAAAATGATTGTGGAAATATATGGGAAATAATGTTTATACTTTGATGAAATGTAGAATTGCAGGCAGTTTACGAAGTGTTGAGAGCTGATGCGGTTGAACGACGCAAATCGGAAGGAAAGACTGCGGGAAACATTGATGAAAAGGAACAAAAAGAGAAGCCAGAAAAAGCTGGTGTCTTTTCTTGTAATAAAAACAAGTATGATAATAATTGATGCTGCATTTCGCACAAATTTTCTATCAGAAAAACGATTAAAAAATCTAAAGAGAATGAGTTGTTAGCCGATGACGATATTGAAGGACATCAACTTCTAGTTCCAATTCACAAAGTTTCTTTTGGAGCAACAAATGCCGAAAGTTTGTAGACTTTTTACTTCGAATGTAGGAAGAATGGTTTTAGAAGGAAACAAGATCTTCATTGATGGTCAGTTGTTCGAAGTATCAAAACTTCTCGATACATTCAAACCTGATTATCTTGATGAAAGCCAACGAGTTGCATTCTGTAATACGTTCAATCGCGAACTTTCGTTGATTCAGGGACCTCCTGGAACAGGTAAAATACAAATAATATAAAACATAATTTATGAGAATAATCGATTTTTAAAGGAAAGACACATATTGCTGTTCAAATCGTTAAAACTATTCTTCTGAATCGCAACAATTGGCAAATTACTACACCAATCGTCGTTTGTTCCTACACAAACGATGCTCTTGACCAATTTTTGCAGAAAATTTATGAAATGGTTTGAGCTCTGTTTTGAATCATGTGGCCATAAAAAAGTTTTCAGATGGGTGATCTTCCGTCTGATATATGCAATGATGAGAAACCAAAAATGATTCGATTCGGCAGTAAATCACGATCGATGTTTCTAGAAAAGTAATGCATATAAGAATGAAATATAGTTCTCGACGGATGAATGTGTAAAAAAGTGAATTAGGCGGGATGTCAATTAATTGGTCCCGCAAAATAAGCTGTGCGCTTATACTCTGTCATTTAATTTTTTGGCGCTCAGATGATAAATAAGTGTCACCTCAAATTCGTCCGTCAATGACTGTATTTGTAGGAATATAATCTTATTATTGTTTTTTAGAAATCGTATTTTACGCTCTGATGTTGTCAAGGACTATAAACATCTGCTTTCGCGGGACGTTGAATTAAATTTTGAACAGGCAATGAAAAAATATAGGGAAGTGGCTTTAGAAATTTCCATCAATTGTTATGGGCTCTATTCGTGTCGAAAGTAATAATTTGCATATTTTTAGAAAGTCGAACTAATTAATATTTTAAGCGAAATTCTTTCCTACGATTACATTGCTCAAATGATGGACCCGATATTAGCAGCGCAATTAATCAAATTTCAAAGTACTCATTGTGACTCGAGAAATATCGTATTATCTGTAAGCATATATGCTAAAATTCAAGAAAAGCGAATAAATAAATAAACATATGCAGCCAGATGAAGCTCTTGCTTGTTGGCTTCTCGACGAAACGTATATGGAGATTGGAGCGAAAAAGTCGAAATATGATACTGTCCCATCTGTATTGGTGGAGGAAGAAAACCGGAAAGAGATGAATGATGAGTACGAGGATTTGAAAGCTTCTGAACTTGATGATGAACTACTCGACAAAATCTTAGAACGTTTAAACGTATTCGCGTTTTGTTAATTTCCGTTTCTGATTTTAATATTTGCAGTTAAATTCGTCTACCAAAAATATTCTGGATGAAGTCGATAAAATCTACCGCGAAACTGAATATCACACAAATTCTCCTTGGGATATTGTGACGTCACCCAAAATGAGCCGCCCAAAGACAGTAATTATGTTTGGAGACAACAGGAAAAATCGCAAATCGGTTTCAGTAAGATATCCACTATTAACCGAAATATAAAAAATAAATTCTAGTTTGGATCGGTGGATCCCGAAATCGTGTCGAAAATTGAAAGAATTAAGATAATGATTCTGGAAACTCCGCCGTTGACGAATGAAGAATTCTCCGACATCAAAGACATATTCAGTTTGGAAAGACCAAAACGATGGGCTCTTTTTATGAATTGGCAGTGTCGAGCGGTAATTACTGTTTCATTGATTGCGAATTTGTAACATTTTGTTCGGCAGGCAACCGCATTTGCTGACAATCTACCGTCTTCTGTTGAAAAGTTTCGTATGGCGTGTGAAGAAAAAAGGAAAGCATTCGATGAGCACGACGCATTCTTTGCTTCGAGAAGTTTAGTTATTGGCGCGACCACAACTGCGTGTTCAAGACTTCGCAACATGTTGGAGATTGTGGAGCCGAATGTGCTTGTTGTCGAAGAAGCGGCAAAAATTTTCGAAGGTCATGTGTTTTCGGCTCTTGTACCTTCGCTTGATCATTTGATCATGATTGGAGATCACGAGCAGCTCAGGCCCATTCCAGGTACTTTATTATTTTTACTACCTATTATAGTCGTTGTAAGCGGGTAGATTTATGGGTATGCTTCTTTCTCTTGGTCTCGCACGGACTAACAGATTATTTCAAATTTTATGGCCCGGTTTGCAAAAAACAAGCGTCTTGAATAATTTGTGAATAATTGTGTGTTGAATTTAAACAGTGGAAATTCAGATAACGTACTATAGAAAAGTTGCGAAGCTAACTATAATATTTTTACATTGACACATTATCAGGCGACTTTGTAAAATTACTAAATGCCAAAAAATGTAAGGAATAGTGCACGGTGTGCGTGCGCTCTTACTATCTTTATGCTTAAGCCCGTAAATCTACGCTTTTAGTTTTGCGCCAAGACCACTGTCTTTCACAGCATTTGTTAGACAATAGGTTTTAAAAAATTAATTTTCAGCTGTCTATGAATTGGGAACTAGTTACGGATTAGACATTTCTCTCTTTGAAAGACTCGTAGAAAGAGGATTCCCATATTCACAGCTTCAACATCAGCATCGAATGAATGTGGATATTATGAATGTAATTGTTCGTCCTTCATTCTATCCAAAGTTTGTTTGAATTTTCAATTCATCCTCTCAAATATTCTCTTTCAGTGTTTCGGACGCATCAAACGTGTATGAATATCCGGCAGTCAGAGGCATGGCAGATAATTTATATTTCTGGTCTCACCAATGTCAAGAATCCACAAATGACAAGTCATCGTTTATCAATTATGGAGAAGTTTGAACAAAATTTGGAGGTTAAATAAAGTTTTATTGCAGGTTGAAATGATTACTGAACTTGTTAAACATCTTCTGAAGCAAGCTTATGAGCCATCTGAGGTAATTTGACGGAAATTATTTTTCCATTTAAATTTATATACTTGAATTTAAAACGCTCGATTCAACACTGTAATTTTTTTTAGATCACCGTACTCGCAACCTATTCTGCTCAAAAAGATGTTATGTCACAAATGTTTTTGTCAATATTCGGAGGAACAGTAGAGGAACCTAATATCAATGTCGCGACTGTAGATAGTTTTCAAGGATGGGTAAAATTTTCGCTTTCATTAATAAACTATTTATTTTAATACTTGTAGGAAAACAGAATTGTGATTTTGAGTTTGGTTCGATCATTCGATGCAAACAAAATTCCCGGAATTGGGTTCCTCTCTGTAACATGCAATTATCATTGAATAATTCAACTTTTTTTTCGATTACAGTTCCAGAAACGCATCTGCGTGGCATTGACGAGAGCTCAACATGGAATGTACATTGTTGGCAACGGACATTATTTGATGGATAATTCGCGTCTTTGGAAAGAAATTTGCAATAATTTATCAGCGAACAATCTAATTAATACTTTCATTCGCTTAAAATGTCCAACACATAATCGCGTTATGGTAAGATATTGTCGAAAAACAAATTTTTAAAGATCGCGCGACTTCGACAATAGTTTATAATTTTTGAACATCGATAAATTGGTTTTGATTTGCAGATAATCAGAGAACCGAACGATTTTCAAAAATATTCTCCTGATGGCGGTTGTTCAGAAAAATGTGATGTGGTCAAACCATGCGGGCATGTTTGCGAAAAAATGTAAGCACGAATTTCAAATGTACTGAAAATCCTTTGAACCCTAATAACCGTTTAAAATCATTATCAATATGACGAAATAAAATATAATTTAGGTGTCATCCACAAAGCGAAGCTGAGCATGCAAACCCTTGCTATTTGAAATGCTTGAAAACGTGTTCGAATGCGGAATATAAGCATCCCTGCCAGAAAAAATGCTACGAGGTATTAAAAATAAACATTTGATAAAAATATTTCTACCTGTTTTTGAGAAATGTGGCTCATGTTCGGAAAACGTCGAATTGAGACTCGACTGTGGGCATCGTATCACGACGATTTGCTCGAAAGTAAACGGCACAGAATGTGATCAGCAGTGCGAGAAAGTGCTGAAATGCGGTCATCGGTGTACAAATACGTGTGGAATGGATTGCACTATTCCAGAAGAATGCAAAGTTGTAAGTCAGGTTTTTAGTGGATTTTTTTTTTGAAATCGAAATTTATAGGTTGTCGACTTTCGTTTAGAATGTGGACATGTTCGTAAGATAAAATGCAGCGATGCAACGAGTCGAAACAAAATCAATTGTGTTGAACCATGCCAAGTACTGTTGCCTTGCTTTCATAAATGCTCAGGATTTTGCGACACTCCTTGTATTGTTGAATGTTCCGAGGTAAAAAAAAACGATTTCAAGGTTAACTAAAAATTTTAACTAACAATGGATTGTTTCGAAGTATTTGAGATAATTAAAACATTTGTAGCTTGTTCATGTAACCCTGCCGTGTAAACACAAGATCTCTGTAGAATGTTTCAAATACGACTTGGATCTTGGAGATGAGCAGTTTAGAAATGCCATATGCACGGTTTGTTTTGTTTCAAAAAATTATTAGAGTCATTAAACCAATTCTTAGACTTTATTGGACAAAACATTTGCACCGTGTGGTCATCATGGAAAAATTCGTTGCGGTGAAATGGCAACTTCGGAAAAATGTATCGAGGAATGTGAATCAATTCTGGAAAAATGTGGACATCAATGTCGAAATGAGTGTGGAAAATGCTATTCTGGTTACATTTCAAATGTTTTTTCCTATCTATTTCACTTTTATAGAAGAAAAACATACCTGTCATGCGAAGTGTGAGAAGAAGCTTCCTTGCGGTCATAATTGCACTGAAATGTGTGTATTTAAGAGATAGTCAAGAATTCAATTGAATTTTCAGTTGTGGTGTCGAGTGCGCTAAATGTTCCGCCTACTGTATGACTGGATGTGCTCATGTAAAGTGTGGTCTTGGAAATAATGTAAATTACTGATCCATTCACATCAGTTGTCTTAAAATTTCAGGGCCTCGGACGAAAATGTTCCGAGTTGTGTATTTTGTGTACAAAACCATGTGGAAATGTGTGTCCGCATCGCAATTGCTCGAAATTGTTGGTGGTTTGAAGCTTTCAAGATAAAAATTCTAAATTTCCTAGATGCTTCGAGCTGTGTGATGTTCCAATTTGCAACGAACCATGCTCGAAAATACTCAAAAATTGCTCGCACGTTTGCTTAGGAATGTGTGGAGAAGTTTGTCCAAGTAAGTGCAAAAAAAAAGTTGTCTTTGGGGGATTCGCAATAAAAATTGTATCTGTATTAAATGAAAAATAATCCTGTACATACCTATTTAATGAAATGGCAAAAGAGAAAATTGAGAAATAATCGATTTTTTTAACGGAATTTTTTTTACCTTAGTTTTTTCTTCTGTATTATTGAAACTCTGAAAAAATAATAAAAATTTCGTTTTTTTAGAAATTTGCGGATCGTGCAATCGAAAAGCTTACGACGAATGTATTTCGATGCGAAAATCAGGAAAGTTCTCTAGACTTATCATGCTTCCCAATTGCGAACATGTCTTCCCGTTAGCGGTAAGAAGTTGAAGGCGATTTATAAACTAGAATAACATTAGTTTAGTTCCTTGACGAGTACGTAGAAGAACACATCAACAAAAAGTGCTATCCAGTATGCCCGAAGCCGAATTGCTCGAAGCCAATTAATAATGTGAATCGATACATGAGAATTATTAATAAGATCGTGTTTACTAAAAATTTGGTAATGGTTTTATCCAATTTTGTTTTATGTTTTTTATTCATCAACAGGATCTATCCCCAACATCAAATGAGCCTCAAGTTTATCAAGATTCGTTGAGAGAGGTTCAAAAAGCGTGTAACATCTTGCCGAATGTAAACAAGATGGTTAGAATGTTATTCTAGGTTTTTGGAAAGTATTCGTTTGATTATAGATTCAACGACCACCTAAGGATGTGTGCATCTTTTTGGATTCATTGCGACAATTATTGAAAGATCTAGATAAACGTGTCCATCAACAACTGGCAATTGCGACCAGTAAATCTGTTGCCAATTTCTACTTTGATTTCGCCAGGTGAATTCATCTTTGCATTTTTTTAAAATTTCGATTTGCAGAGTTCTATTTACTTTCGCGAAACTTGCATCGTTCAATATTTTGCTTCATGGAAAAATATGCTTGACAAATTTACCGCCACAGTTGGATATGTTACTGAAAAATGTGTTTGGGAATGTTAATATCTACAAGCAACAGGCAAGTGGAATATCTTCTTAATACTTATTTCAATGTTTGTTGTTGTTTCAAGAATTTCGCGAATCTCACTATGAAAATATTTAAATAACCGCGAATTTATAAATCTAATCGATTTCAGATTGCCAATCTTCCCAAGCTATTTGAAACGATAAAATTCCTTTCAAGATATGAAATGAGCGGAGCTTTGCTACCAACCGTCCGTTTTGAAATCTGCAAAATTGTCGCCCGTTATCAGGTATTCGATATTATTATGAGCCGTCGAATCATTGCGACATTTCTAGCTCCTCCAAATGATTTCTTATTTGATCGAAACAAAAAATGATATCTCTACCTCATTTGATCGTGCTTTGTCTTCTAGTCTTAATGCGTTCCTCAAAGAATCGATCAGTAATGATTTCGTATCCAAATTAGGTTAGTGCTGACTGAATTTTTAACAAACTAATAAATTATTTAGAAAACATTGAACAATTGGTTTTACGCGAATATCCGAAAATTTCGTTGTTGAAATGGAAGGACCTCAAAATGCCAGATTTTTAAATTTCGTATTTACTTTAAAACATTACTTAGTTTATTTTTCGCTGTACCTTCACAGTTTAACTGTAATTCATATATTTGGATGTCTTTTGTTTAACGTTTATCCTAATAATTAAATAATTAATTAAATGTTTTATTTGACTGCGACAGGCCTTGACGGTTTCTCCATCATTGCTTTGGCGAGCAATTTGGCTCCTGGTGTTTGCTGCTGCAATCGGAGCAATTCCTGTTTGCCGACGACTGTCAACTGTTTCTTGTTAGTCTTTTTCGGTTTTGCTGCCTTCTTGATCTTCTCGCCTTCCTTCCAAGACTTGGCCGATACTTCCTCATCGGCGATGAATTCTTCCGAAACGAAGACGAGCTCTTTTTTTGCAAGCGGATCCTTGACATCGGCTGGGCAGATGTATTTGTTCTGATTCAATGCTATTCTGGGTCGTGCTAATCGGAAAGATGCCGCCTGTTGCGATTTTTTAACTCGATAATAAGCCATCACGAAAATTACGCACCATATCATCGCGGTGCTGCCTGTCACAGGTGAATATTCCAATGTATGAATAATAGAACACATACTTGCAAGATATAACAGAACGAAGTCCAAGCGATTCATTGCACATACAAATTTAGAAAATGGCGAGTTCACATCACAGGTCATCAATAAATATATTATATTATTAGATTTGATTATTAGCATTCTTATTATTGTCATTTATAATACAAGGGTTGAGTTATCGACTAGCTGCTTGTGTCTGGCGCGACATTCTGAAGGATTTCTACGGTGAAAAAATCAGAGCCATGTTCCCGGTAACGGCGTAAAATTAGATTCTCGCCGCTATCGAGATCATGTAATGAAAGATCTTCAATGCTCACTACGTCATAAAAAATTTCGTCGACGTCGGGATTCGAGACAACAGGAAGAGTATAGTTTCTAACGGCGACAATTCCTCGAAAGATGAACGGCTCATCAGTATGAAGGACAGCGATGACGTCGTCGGTTTCATGTTCGTCGATTTCTTCAATCTCTTGAACCACATCGTCGTAGTCGTCATTGTCATTTTCCAGATCTACACATTGAATTTCTAACGATGCCCAACCATTCCTGAAAACGCAATTTGTTAAGGCATAGTTAGTATTAGATTAATAAACTAAGTAGATTCAACACAGTTGAAAAATTATTGTTGTGGACGGACGAATTTTTTAAGATACACTGTTTATAGTTTAAATTTTCGCGCGTTTTGACAAAACCATATTTTTACGTGTTAATACTTATTTTTACAAAAAAAATGAAAGAAAAATACATTCGATTTGCAAATTTTTTACAACCGTTATATGGGAAAAAATGGGTAATTTTTACGTTTTTTGTTACATGAATAGGTTGATTACTACGTATTTGTCAATCAAATTTCTATGTATATAAATATTTCTCTGAGTTGCTCTGAGTTTCTCACGGATAAAAAAAGTTAAAACTCGTGGGAAAATAATAAAATAAAAAACAATTTTATTTTTTTTTTTTTTTTTGAAATTTTACGAGAAAGAATCAGCTTTTTTGTCAAAATAGATTTATCTCAGTTTTCATCACATTTAATTTATCTCATAATAAATGATTCCCTTTTAGATATTATTAAGAAACAATAGATAGTATTAATCAAATTACAAAAATTACTTTGGTTTCGGTGTTGTGCCTCGTGATCTAAAATGATATGGCGATTCCCCAGAAGGTCCCGGCTTGAATTTTTCCAATTCCTCAGGAGTTATACTGTTTTCAATATCAAAGCTGGGTTGCCCATAATTTCTCATCTCATTGTCTAACGCATTAATCTAAAAAAAAATTGATATGAGACGATGTTTATTTTTGTGTTAAAACCTGAGTAGAATCAATTTGAGCTCCAAGAGTTAAGGCTCGGGTCATATGGTTATAAGCATGCACAGGCCGGTGAGTTTTTGCTTCGAACACTGCGAATAAGTTGTGGTATTGAGCGATCTTATTGTGTGTAACAAAATGTCGATTCTAAAATAAAATAATAATAATAATTATTATTTTATAAACGCGAAAATCACCAAACCTGTTTCACTTTTTCCATGATCCTTTCGCATTTCGAAGGATCATTAGATATAAAATACTCTTGAAGCAGATTTATAATAGACTCGACAAAACATGGATGCGCAGTTAGAACATCGTCCATCATCTTGACAACATCCTGCAAATAATATTAGCAACCACGGTACTTTAAGTCGTTTACCACTGAAGAAACAACATCTTTGTTTCGATTTATCACATTGATATATACATGAATTTTTAGAAGTTTTGCATTTACATCGGTCGGGTGAATATGACAAAAGTTGTTAACCACAGTTTTCGCTTCGCGGAATCTAAATATCAAAAAAATAATATCATATTGTCCAAAATATTTCAAATTACTCGTCATTACTGAGAAGTAAATCAGCAAGCATTGCATGAAAATCAGGATTTCTTGAGTCTGCTTTGATAGCTTCACGCAGATAATCAACAGATTCCACATATCTTCCTAAATAGTATTTTTATTTTCCCGTATTTTAAAGAATTCTTAGTTTTAATTGATAATACCTTGTTTTCTAAGGCATTTCACACGGAAAATAATGGCCTGTCCGTATTGATCTGAACCAGGCTCAGCTATCGATAATGCGCGTGAAGCTAACTGAAGAGTTGAATGCGTATCCAAATCTTGAATATCTACAAGAATTAAAATATTTAATTATTTTCCTCACAAGAATAATAGTCTACGTTAATTCAAAAATCACAAATTTAATAATACTATAAAAATCACTTACATTTTGACATATATCCCATTGCAATTATTGTTTCAGGGCGATCTGGATAAAATTTCAAAAGTCTGTCGCTGAGTCGTTGCAATTCCGACACATATTTGCGATCGTCCAACAAAGATGCCAACAAATCCATTCGATCAATCCAACGATCATTGGCATTGAATGCAGCTAGTAAGTTCTCTCTAGCCAAATCACGCCTCCCAAGATCGTAATTAAATTTTCCCAATTCGGAAAGAATTCGACAATTCGTGTGAGATATCTTTTTCAGGAAATGAATCGCATTCGCTAGTTTATTAAGGCCATAATATTTGTGCGCCAAAAGCCAATAACGTACATCATGTCGTTCATTTCCTGAATAATAATAAAACGTAAAAAATTCGAAGCATATATTACATACCTGTGATTTGGTAAAGAAGCGAATCTGGCAAACCATTTACGCTTACTGAACATTTCATGTTATCTTTGAACATTTGGGTAGCACAACCGAGAGCCGTAGAGTTTTCTTTAAATGATCCTCTAAAATAGTCAGCTAACATATTTAAAATCGGTAAAAATTAATTTAGTAAATGCATTTTAATTATTTTTAAACTTACACATCGTATCTAGCAATCTTCCAAACTTTTCTCTTCGGTGGCTCTCTGGTCCCTTCGGATTTTTTGGGCAATTCGCGCAATGATTTGTTTATCTGTTCGGGTAAATGATTTGCTTTGACTTTAGTCAGGGTTGCATAGCAATCATAGTATTTCCCCATCATTTCCAAAGAATAACTATGTTCAATAGCAACCTTTTCTGCCAAATAGTCCTGAACATTGGTAACTTCGTTTTCTCCGACTATTTCTCCGCAAACTGAATTTTTCATGCTGGATTGATCGGGAATTGACTTTTCGAAAGGGAGCAAACTAACGAGAAATGAAAAAATCTGAAATTTAACCAGTAAAATTAAGCTCAGAACTTGAAACTTTCTTTTTCAGCTTGTGGGTATACGCAAATGGAATAGTACGATCGTGCTACATCCAATAACGCCATTAGTTCACAGTAATTGTTAGGAATTATAAATGATGAATCTCTGAAGAAATCGGAGCTATGATCCTCAAATGATGACTCTTAAACTTACGCTTGCAAAAAGTTCGTCACCTCGTAATACATTATGGCATCGTGATAACATTTTTTCATAAATAACCGTCTAATATGTCGCGCAACACACATGCCGTATACGATTCTTTTCGTAGACGGGTCGGTTGATGCCTTTGGTCTTCCCATTGCTCTAGTGTGTTATATACATATGCAGAGAATCTAATCTTACATCGTTTTTGTTGAAAATTAAGATTTTCATGAAGTATGTTGTGTTACAGATTAGACTTGTTCATCATGCGAATCTACTTGACGTTTTGAAACAGATTTATTTAAAGACAACAACAAACATTTAGATTTCCGGTTTAGCGGAGTCTTCTGGCTTCTCTCTCACACTCGAGAAGAGTGAGAATATCTCCCTCGCGAACTGGGCCCTGAAAATTACATTTATTTTTTAAGGCTGCCATAAATTGAAAAAAATTTTGAAATATTGATTAATGTGTCGTTAGCACTAAAAAAAGACACGCAGTACATTTGAGATAGAAAACACGCTATACGTCTGCGTCTCTATTCATCATTGATCACAAAATGTATTACGGAGGATTTAGTGTAGGTCTCCACAAAACGAAAATTGTGTAAAATTTTTTAATTGTCCAATTACTTTCTGCGGTTAAATTAGATGGTCTTTTGATTAAAACTATTTTCCAATATTTTTGGCGTCGTGAATGCTTACATTTAGCTAAATGCTTTAAAAAATTTCTATTTTTTTGCGATGGCATTAATAATAATAATAATAAATTATCAGCCAAAAAATAATTTATGCAAAAACAGTATATAATAATTATGAACTAATTCGTGAAAACCAGTTTATAAAAGTGTGAAAAAACATTAAATGTGGACTTTTTACAACCATGCATTGGAAAAATTGATTCTTAAATTTTTTTATAGAATGATTAAGTCCATTTATTCTTCCCCTATATTTCATAAATTTGAAGTTAAATTAATGATATACCTTAACGTTTCTGATGATAGAGCGATTGTTCTGATCGTTCATGAACTCGACACGAACTTGAGTACACTGACCCTGGGATCCGGTACGTCCGATGACTTTGGTAACCTACACGCAACTTAATGAATATTTTGTTTAAAAATATATCACTTACACGAGCAAGAGTAAGCTTGTCCATGGCCAACTGAATTACCTTAAGAATCGAAAATTAAATACTTTAAATAATAAACGAGATTAACAAAACAAATTGTCCAAGAGAAAATTAAGTTATTTATTTTTTTTATTATAAAATTTAAACTTGGCGAGAAACAAACCAAATTTTGATTGTGCTGTTTATGCATATTGTGATTTAAAATACGCTCGATACAAAAGCAACGGAAAATGATTGCAGTTATTTTCAAATTTTATGTGTCACCCATCTTAATTTTTGGTTGTATTCAACAACAATAACAGAAAAATTAGGAAACATGGCATACTTTAGCAAAAATTGTATTTATCATGATTTTAAGAGTTCTGCACATTCAAAATAATAATGAAAAAAACTAATATACATATAACATTATTAGATTTAAAAACGCATAAAAACATGAGAAAATTCGATTAAAAAAAGCGGATGTTAATTTTAGGCCAGCTAAAATTGAAATAGCAAGCAAGACACAAAAAAGTGGGTGGAGCTAAAATTGCAAGAGGCGCATACATCTTTGTGTTTTTGGCGGAGTGTCGTTGGAAAATTGAAATATACTCTGCGTTTCTCTTTTATTAAACTATCTATAGTTGAACGCAGTTCGCACTTTTATTCAATTTTTGTTCTAATTCACTGCAAGCAGCGATAAACAACAATAGGAGAGCAATTTGAAGCCCCAGCTAAGTCAAATGGATGAATGAAATTTGGAGTTGGTGAAAGCAATTTTTCTAATAAAAAAATCATTAAGATGAAAACCAAATTAATTGGACTTAGCATTTCACACGCTTTCCTTTTGCACTTAACCTCTAAAAAGCCTTTGACTATAGTGGTCGTACGATTTGTTTGCTCATAGTTTATAAAGGGCGTCCATATCTTTTGGCAAGCCTCCAACTGCCCTCGCTAGATGAAACTATAGACACTTGACCAGTTCACAGCATACGGGCATGATCTATAAGATGGCGTAGTATTTGCGGCAAAAAAATCGTCTAGCGGAAACATCGCGACCGCCCATAATGCCGAACCTTCTCATAAAGTTGTCTGCTTGTTTCAATATATCAGTTGCAGGACCCTTAGTGTAATTTTTGGTGTTTTACTTTTTCGTACAAATCGATTAACGGCGATTTTCACCGAGAACGCCATTCACTTTTTTTTCCGTCGTATCACATGCTGACTAAACCGTTCCTTTATTTTTTCTCTCGAATGCTGAGAGAGTGTGAAACATTTCGATCAATTCTCAAGGGTTGATCTTTCTCTCTCAATTTGATCTCATGTGTTTTTATTGAAACACCTTCGTCGTTCATTGAACGTGCATTTATTATATCGTTTTTAATTTATAGATATAACATTTATATTCATATGTATACAAATACCGTTTACTTATAAGGGCATAATACGTACAAACACATAATTTACTCACTCTTTAGTACTAGTTTTTCGTTGTTTTAGCAATATACTAACGTCTCTCGATTTATGGACCACAACTATTTAAACGTTTTAAAAAAGTTCCAACAAAAATACTAGATTTTAATAACTTTTTATTTGCTAAGAATAGAAATTCGAAGCAAATTCAAAGTACATCTATTAGAATGTTTGGACATATTTTGGACAGATCGTGTTCTTTGAAATGAAAATAATATATAGCCTAGAATCGGCAAAATTGATAGTTGCCAATAATCGCTTGCTTTCTTCTTTTCTTGCTTTGGTTGTTTCGTTGATGCCTCTCTAAAGATCATTTTTTCCATCGATCAAAATATCGTTTGTTTCAATTTTTCAGGTTCACTTCGTCAAGGCTGGCGCGAAAATGCCAAGAATGGCTCGGATGATGTCAATGCCCGGGCCATCCGAGCCGACAACCTCATCGGGCCAACCATCCTCGTCTGCAGCAGCATTGATGTACAAGGAAGGATGTGCTGTGTGTGGTGACAAAATTAACGGATGTCGCTATGGGGCACCCGCATGTCTTGGCTGCATCGTGTTCTTCCGACGAGCTGTCACCAACGCCACCGTATACAAGTGCCTCAAAGGAGGGCAATGCTTGATAACGAATGGTTCGTTCAGTTTGTTTATATGCATACGAATGGGCAAGCGTTATCAATTTTTCGTAGTTCTAAACGTGAAACAGCTTTTTCTCAATAGCCGAACGATGAGATACGCATGACAGAAAAGTACACAAAAAACGCCAAATGTACGTATGTAGGTAAATAAATATATTACGTAGAATGTCTGTTTTTGATTTAAAGAAAAGATACTGCCGATTTTCCTTGTCAATTTTTATAAAGAATAAATTCTAAAAAATCCTTCAATTTTTTCGAATAAAAACACAACACATTTAAGAAATATCTCGGAATGAAATATCATATATAATTTTTTTGATAGTGTAGTAATTAATATTTTGAAAAATAGAGCTAATGTACTTTTTTTAAACAAAAAAGTTCCGATGAATAATTGAATACTTCATTATGCTCACTAAGAAGACTTCTATTGTAAAACGCTAATTTAGGGGACAATACAGAAATTTTTAATTAAAAAAATATACAAAATTACAATGCAGAAAAAAGGCAAAAAAAAAAATATATATATATAAATATTTGTTATCTTTTTTTCTACATTTTAATTTTTTCTCTTAATTTTTCCTTATTTTTTCTCCAATAACCCAGATTAGCCCCCCCCACGATTTGTTTATATTCCATAGTGGAATATGGGGCGAATATGAGAGCATCGGGCATTTCTTAGATGTGCCCCACAACTACTTTATTCTAAGCACCACATTTCGCATTTAGTTGAGCTTCCCGCCATCTCATTTGAGAACCCCGACAACTTAATTGAGCCTTCCGTTTGCTTTTCTTTGAGCATTACCTACGCCTATAAAATAGGAACTGTTTTTTTTTAACTGTCAACTAAATTTGTACCTTAATTTCTTCTCGGTGTTGCCCTTTAAAAACCGAAAAAAAAAACACGAGCATTCGAAAGATAATAATGTGTCAACCTACCAACAAAATAAGCATCACGTTTTTGTAACATCACATAGTGTTTCAGCGAATTTTGGAATTTCAGAATCTCGATGTATTTGCCGCTATTGTCGACTCCGAAAATGTTACGATGTTGGAATGAAGGCTTCTGGTACGGATATCATTTTCAAAAAATACGGATTTTCGGTTTTGTTTAGCAATTCAACGTCGCGATGTAATGGGACCTAGAAAACCGAAGCCGGACACGAAGGTGAAGCAAGAAGTTATCGACGACACTCCGAATCTCAAATGTCAGTCTGTCGGATCGGGCAAATCGAGCGGACCAAGTATTGTTGGAGGTTTCATTGTCGATATTTTCAGCACATAAAAACCCGGCGTTCTCAGATTCGCCAAAACCATCGATTAATTTCATTGGTTCTTTGCATCGATTACAAAAATGGCAAACGGCTGGACATCGCTCATTCTTTGCTGCTCGCGAACCAATGTCTTTGGACTCTGACACTTTTTTTGAAGTTTTTGATAGAAAGGTACGTATTTTGTTATAGAAACAGCAAAATATACAAAAATTATAGATACTGAAAAAAAATAAACAAATCATAATCTTCAGATGAACGGCGACAACTTTCGGCGAGCTCGAGCGTATGATGTCAATTCGATGATTCGGCTTGCAATCGTCGATTCAGCTCAATGGGCAAACCAGTTTGAACCGTTTCGACGTCTTCCACTGCAGGATAAAAAGAATATATTGACTGAGTACAGTTTCACATTTATGCTTGTCGACCAAGGGTTTCGAACTGCGCAAAGAAAAGATGATGTAAGTGATGATGATTTCTATGTCATTTGATAAAATCGAAATATTTTCGTCTTTTTCCTTTTATCAAATTTAATTTGAGACATTTATTAAAGCTCAGAAATTCCTTCGGTTCCTTATATTAATCTTCAAGGCAATTATCTAGAAATCCCTTCCATCTAAATTCGCTTTATTAAATTTATAAATGATTAATTTATGAGAAAAACGCTTGATTCGTCGAAAAACATGCTATCTCGCTTTGTTTGCTTAGCATTATTGTGGAAAAAAGGCAATTGTAAAAATTCAAACTTTTTTTGTAGTTTTGCATATGCTTGATACACGGCTAGAGAGTGTTTATTGCGAGATCAAAGGGGGTCGTCTGTCTTCAACAATAATTAATTACCACAATTTTCGGCTCTTTTTTTCATTTCAGTTCTTAGTTGATTTCTTGCAGAACTTTTGGGTTCTCCAAAATGGCACATTTATGCATGAAGACTACTTTTATGGATTGCCTGAAGAGGACGCGAAACTTGACCAAGCTCAGACGAAAGCCAAGTGTGTTCCAAATTCATTGTTTTTTTTTAATCACTGTATTACAGATTACATCCGTTATTTATTAGAGAATCCTTATATTCAGTGGGACTTCCCATGAGACAATACAAAATTGACGAAGTCGAATGCGCTGTTCTCAAAACCATTCTTTTACTAGGACGTAAGAATATCATTTTTGGATAAAAATTATAAATTAAGCTTGAATTATAGATAAGCAACATTTTACACAATCGATGCCATCGGTGAGCAATTTGATGAATCGATGCCTAACAGAGCTCATGGAGTACTGTAAATCGAAGGACCCGTTGAATGCACCCGAACGCGCCGGTGCTGTGATTCTCATCACTTCTTCAATCCGATGCACAATCAAGGCTGTTTATAATCAGACTCGCGTCTCCGACGTGTTCAGCCTCATGAAATTTGACCCATTAGTCCGTGACGTGCTTTTGTCATAATTTCTAGGACCCAAATATTTTATAGGCGCCAATTTATATTCTTTTTTATCGGGTACCGTATTACCTTCAATTTGATCTCGGTGCTTGTTTTGTTTAGAAACAAATTGCTTTTATATATATAATTTTTAACAATAAATGAAAAAATAACAACAAACTCAACAAACAATTATTAAACATTTAAGATATTCAATTTTTCTTTTTCATTTTTCTATATGCTTCAATGACTCTTTGACGTTCTTCGTGAATTGTTGAAGTCGAATTGTCAAGATATTTCGTTTTCTCGTCACCCTTTTTCAGCAACGAATGCAAAAGGAGCGTCTTCTGTCCAGCTTTCGCCATTAATGGCTCAAATTTTTTTTTCAAATCTCCGCCAAAAACCGGGGGAGCATCGTAACGTTCGCCGAATGCAACAATTTCTGAAAAAAAATAAAAGAAAATTAGAGTATGAAATTTTTGAAAAAAAATTAAATCATAAAAATAAGTAATACAGTATACCTTTTGCATTCAAAATCGCATCATCAGCTTTTCTTATTTTCTCGTCCACTTTACGATTTTTCAAAAATTCTTTTCTCCGATTTTTTTTACTCAATTTCTCAGTTTTTTCTTTGTCGTTCTTAGATTTTTTGGGAACTGGAGCATCGTCATCTTCGTGCTCCTCCTCATCGTCGATGTCCGATTTTTCTTCCTCTTCTTCCTGATGTTCTCCAATTTGCCTTTTCGCCAATTTTCGTTGTTCTTTCGATTTCAACATTTCCTAAAATAGGGCATTAATGTGGACGGGCACTTGAGTGGATGGATGTCATCCGGCCACCCCAATCCATGCATTTGTTTAATTTTTTAAAGCTTGGGTCGAAGTGCGAGAGGATGATGTCCGAGAGAAGAGCAAGTAATTTAAAAAAAGCAATGAAAACCATTACAAATGAGATATCTGTTCATGTGGAAAGTGCGAATAATTAGCAAATTTCAGATAACCGAGCTAATTCAAAAGAGATAAGTTTGTCTTGTGTTCGATTTTGTAACTAGAAGCTAATATTTGTAGAATCGAAATCTTTTAAATAAACTTTTAACATGATTTGTTATTAAAATTTGTAGTTCAAATTCTCACGAACAATTATATATTTTTTTATAGCTGAAAACGTAAGATAATGAATTGTCCGGAAGGCGGACGGACGGATGGCTTAATTGTCAGACCACATGTAAGCTTTAGTATAAAAATATTCGTTTTTTTTCGAAAATCTTCATTATTTCCAAACCTCTTTCTTCTCAGCTTCCTGTTCTCTTCGTTTTTTCGCTTCTTTGATTTTATTTTGAATTTCTCTTTTTTCCTGTTCTTTCTTTCGTTTTTCTTTTTCATCAATTTTTGCATAATCCGCATCAATTTCTTCTTGTTTTCTTCCAGCCAAACCTTGTTTGGCCTTCAAAAAAGTAAATTTAAACTTGAAATGTATCAGAAGTAATGCTTACGATCGCAATATTTTCGTGGATCCTGTTGTACATTATTCCTTCGACTCTTCTAACAAACCGCTCAACAGTTTCAAATCGTCCTTTTTTCAAACCGAGCTTCTCAGCCTCTCCTAAATAATTTTCATTAATTGTTTTTTTGCAGCAAAAATTTTTACTCAATACAGAATTCTTCTCTTTCTTTTTCTTTTTAGCCTCTTTTTTGTCAACTATCAGACCTGGAGCCTGAAAATTGTGTTTCATTAATAAATGTGTTATTAAGACCGCAATACCATCAATTTCTTTTGTGCTTTTGTCAATGGCTGTTCGTCCAAGCTCTTTGTTGGCGCATCGTTTTTGGCCCTGAGAAGAAAAACTAATTTCTGCTGTAGAAAATGTACGAGTTCGTTACGTTTTTTCGACAGCTTTCAGGGCTGCTGCTTTCGTATTGAATGGATCTACCGATTTTAGCTTCTTCCGGTTCTTTTTTGGAATTCTTCGATATTTCATTGCTTCTAAGGACTTGCTGATTATTTTTTACTGAATACGATGTTGAGATAATACGCAGTGAACAATATAACACAAGAATAAGAAAACAAATAAGGGTCAGAAATTGAAAAAAATATTTACTATTCGTGAAATAATCAAAAAAATCTTGCAATCCCGCCACTGACATTGAATTATTTGGGAAAAGCAAATACAAACACAACATTTATAGAAGTTGCCGATATATTATCAAATGATCATTCGATAGGTGTGGCTGACATCGGCAGAAAACCTCGGCAGTTTTCCGATCGACAATGACATCTAAAAATAATTTATTAATAGAGATTTTTCATAACCATTGTCCTTTTTACTTACATTTTTCTATATTTTTCATCATCAAGAGTGGATGAGCCGTAATCATAAGTAAGTTCTTCTCCAACTTCGATTTTTCTAAAACAGTCATAAATTAAAATTGAACGAATTGTCTTCAAAATTTTCAATTGGGAAAGATATTGTTTTCAAGGTTTAAAATACTAAACTGCGAACCTATTAGCGAATAATCCAACAGTCGGTATAATCCTTCCAATTCTCACAATAACAATATCACAGTTCGGTGAGCAGCTATGATTCAGAAATCTTCCAATATTTCCGCGATTTCTTGGATCTATGAATGTTTTTCGAATGTTGTCTGAACATAATTTCATTTTTACAAATAATTAAAAATATATAAATGAATAAACACCTTGGCAGTGCTCCTTAATTGTTAGAGTATAATTATCTTCATATTCATTTTCTTGATACCTTCGTTGAACTTCATTTTCGCTAATTATCTCACCGGCATATTCACATACGAATTCCATCGGTTCAATTGATTCGAGTGTTTTAACTCCGAATCCTTTTTGGGAAGTTCTAAATACCTGTTTGAAGTGAATTTGAATAAAATGAAACACGACTTACTTCGAGATTTTTAGTAATTCCATTTTGGACTAATCGATTTCGACAAGACGGAAGAAGACTGCAGGCACATTGCGAATGGCATTCTAACAATGGTCGATTAACTGACGACGGCAAAAGTTTTCCATCGCGGGAATAATTATCCTGAAATGATCAATTATTTGAATTTATTGTGAAAGACACGTGACTATGGAAAAGTGGCGAAATGCAAAAAATCTATGGCAGCGGTGTCAGATCGAAACTATTATTTGCTTTGATGTCATTTATTCCGACGTTTAAGAGAGACTCTCAATTTTTACCTCATCTCCCATCAGACAAGAACATCGACTCTCCGTAGAACATCCTTCTTCACATTCGCATCCTTCTAATTCATCTTCCCAATCTTCCAATCGAATCCCTTCGCCTCTCACAGACGTCGAAATCGAATCGTATTCCATCTAATGTTAGGATTTAAGCAAACGTTTAAAATCGCTGGATTTAAATATATGAATCGATAAACTTTAACGAGAAAATTAAATACACAAGAAAAGTAAAGTAAACAGTTTATTTACAAGTTTTGATTCTCGAAGTGAAAGTTTGACAAAATGCATAGACATCGTTGATTCAGGAATTATCACACTAATAGGTAAAGCTATAAAATGCTCCTCAAATATATACAAATCGGCAAAATTACTCTCTTATAAATTTGATATAAGTGAAAGGAACGATTCCTGATATTCCCTCAAGCTCAGCTCGATACATTCCATTTGATAGTTTTTCAGTTACTTTGAGAGTTTGGCCCTTCTAAAAAATTAAAGTTTCATTAGAAATTGATAATGTATTGTACCTTGAGCCTAAGTTGAGTTGGATCATAAGCATTTGGAGTCCGATCGTATACAACTTTTGCAATTGCCGGAAGTCGTGGCTTAAAACTCACAATTGAATAAATACATATAAGTGAAAACAACATCTCTGGTAACTCAAAACCAATCGTATACGACAAAATTCGGCTCTAGAATTAACCTTATCCGATTGGAAATTCTACGGATAAGATTGTAAAATTGTCGTATCCGATTGGTTTTTTGGGTATTTTCGTATCCGATTGGTAATTCTACGGATAAGATTGGTTTTTTGTCGAATCCGATTCGAATTGAAATATTAAAACAAAACGGATTCGAAGAAAATCTAATCGGATACGAAAAATTACCAATCGGATACGAAAATACCCAAAAAACCAATCGGATACGACAATTTTACAATCTTAACCGTAGAATTTCCAATCGGATAAGGTTAATTCTAGAGCCGAATTTTGTCGAATCCGATTGGTTTTGAGTTACCAGAGATCTTGTCGTTGTTTTTTGAAAAAAAAAACCAGTTATGAGGTTCTCTTGGAAAAAGTTAATTCACAACTTATTCAAAGCGCGTGGTGCTTAGACCGAGTCAAAGTCTTAAATCGATTGTTTTATTTATAAAAAAAAAACCCCGAAGGCAACCATTGTTTTTTTTAGAAACAAATTATACCTGATAATGATGATCAGCTGTATCACTGCTTGTCGAAGTGCTTGAAAATCGTTCAACTCCCCCTCTTCCATCACTTGATATAGAAGATTGACTAGCCCCCTTCGAAACCCGTTCATTGTTGAATTCGGTCACTGGTTCGACATAATTGGCAGGCACTAAACCAGTAGTTCCTAGTGCATTTCGAGCTTCCCACCAATCATTGTTGGTTTTTGCTGAAACTTATTTCGATAGGAAGTTTAAAATAATTAATTTCAATAAGTCTTCGAATGATCAATTGAACGAATAAAACTTACTAATAATCTCCAATCTTTCACCAACTTCAAATGGTAGATCAGTATCACGTTCTCCGCTAAATTTGAACGTCCCAACCACCTAAAGTTAGTAATGCACGCATTAAAGCAGAATATACAAATACCGTCTCGATAATGGGTTTTTTATATGCATATAATAGAGAAGCATTGTCTAATACTCGCATTTTAAAATGGTTTAAAAGCGAAGGAATATCTGGAAATGATTGTTTCGCAATCTGAAAAATAAATGTATCGTCTGAATAAATATTGAAATCACCTTAACACTTGCGCTTCCATCTTCATGTTGCTCATTTTCGATCAAATAATGCCGCACAATATTTCCATCGTTCGATTCGCGAACAGTCAGTGAATATTCTCCAGGCCGTGAACTTTCACGTAGAAGAAATGTACCGATGGCGACATTTGGCTCACTGAGCAATCTACTAGCTTCATCTCGGCTGATGTTAGGAAAAAAGAATGAGCGCCATTCGAACGGATCAAAACCGTTCGTATTCATTTGACTACTGAAAGTCGTAAATGAATTGTGGTTTGCGATGTGGGGTCGACAAATTTTCGGCGAATGAGTCATAGCGCAGACTGTTGACATAGCTCAGAGACACTATTTGGAAGATTATGTGTGCGAAGAGCCGGTCAATTATTCAAATTCAATGCCCTTCAAATTGAATGGTAGAAAAATAATGATTAAATGAAAACACGGATTTTTCGAAGAAACATGAAAATTGAAGTGCTTATAACAGTGCCGTATGTGTATGTTATGATCTACAAATAATAATAATATTTAAAAATTTATATGAGTAACATAGATTTGGTAACCTCCAACTATAGACTAATGTACAATAGACAAAAAATACACAGATATCTTCACAGAAACAAGCAAAAATTAAATGAAAAAATCTGCGCGATGATGTTGCATCAAGCAGGTCACGCCCCCAAAAGCGCGCGATTGAATTTTTGAATTTGAAAATGTTCATTTTTTTTTTAATTTTTTAATTTTTTTTAAAGAAATTTTATACTTTGAGTTTGGGCTAAAAAATTGGGCTAAAAATTAGCTATAGTCGGCGTCCGGCGACTGCTGTACGCGGGTAGATTTACATGATTACCCCTTCGCTATGATCTCGCACGGACTAACTGGATATTTTGACTTTTTGAGATTATTTTGTTAATTTTAATTTCAGTAATATTAAGTACTTAAGGAAATTATATACTCAACAAGAAAAATAAAAAAGTTCACGCCAAACTTTCAAAATAAGCATTCGCACGTTGTGAGATCATTTCGATAGGCGCATGCACGTAAATCTAGCCCTCACTCCCACTAGCCACCGATTGTAAAAAATTTATAATAAAATCGGGAAATTAATATGAGAGAGTTCGATTTTTCAGCGTTTCGAACATGAGTTCGTCATTCCTAGAATTGGGATCGGCTGATTCATCGGAAGCGGCGGCTCAGAAAGTAGCCCAGCATATCGAATATGCCGCGGATACCGCTGACATCTTCGATAAGCTCACCCAAAATGGTACAACACCCGTGTCTGGATTAGGCGAGAAATTCTATGTCAAAGGGGATCCCGAGTTTTTGTGCACGCGGAAAATCCCGATTCCCGGTGAATTACAAATGCAAATGAATAGTCAGTGAACGCAAATAATTTTTAAACTATTTTTTTTCATTTTTAGACGTTCATTCGCAGTTCAGCATGGGATTTTTCACGGAAATTAGTCGTGTATGGGTTGTAATCGACAATAATTTATATATGTGGAATTATGATACGAAGTATGCGGTTTTATTCAATAATTGTCCATAATTCTTACTTTTGAGTGACGATTTGGCGTTTTTTGATAATTCCGACACAACTATAATGAAGGTTGCTCTCACAAAAATGAAGGCAGGCGTGTTTGAAGCAGGCGTGCAATACGGACTTGTTGTCGGAACTATCAGCGAAATTCTTTTATATCCCGTATTCGAAGTTGAAGAAGGTGGACGTTCCAGCATTATCGTAGATAGCAATAGAAGATTCCGGGTAATCATTTTTAAATATCTCTTTCAAAATATATTGAATTGTATGCTATTTTTAGGTTTCACTTGACGGTGCTGTCATTAATGACATTGTACACACCGCTAATGGGCGAATTTTCTATAGTGCAAATGATCGGCTTTTTGAGTTTTATTATGAGGTTGCACTTTTTCGGAATATAATAATTGAGTTGATGAGATTCATATAGAAACAAGACGGATGGTTTGGAACCAGCCACAAATGCAAGGCGATAAATCAAACTGCCACAATTTTAGGAACATTAATCCCTGCACTGTTTTTCGGTAATACCAAAGGTTTGAAAAAAATCCTCCATTTGAATTAGAAGCTGTATTGCAGAAGGTCTTGATCAAATTACTGTAGATCGTTCAAGGAATATACTGTACTGTCTTGGAAAAATGGGAACAATTATTGTAAAAATATATATATGTTGTCGAAGTCTCGCCACTGTAGAAAATTGGCGAAATGGCAACCAAAAAACTTACGAAAATTGTCTTGGCGCGCGATGAATCTATTTTTATGTATAGGCATGTAAATCTAAACTTTAATTTTGCACCAAGGCACTCTTTTATGGCATGTTAGGATATTTTCCATAGTCACGCGACTTCGACAATTCGAGAATTCAAGGAAACATTTTTTTTTAGGTTTTCGATTTGGGTGCTGATGGAGAAGGATGCACCAAAGTGTGCAGTGTGCCATCGTCGAAAATTGCGGTAGATACTGAAAAAAGAATCACTTTTAATTATTTGAATTTTAGCATGAAGCTAACCTTCTTACTCAATACGGCCACGATGAGTCGACGTTTAAAAATATTGTGTCAATTCGCGCTATTGAATCCAATCAGTCATCACAAATTAACTTGGTATTCAGAATTTTCTCACAAATTAGATTTAAATGTTTCCTTAATTCATTCAATTCAGGTTGCCACCACCGTTAAAGGAGTTCGAATGTACTTATCGGTACTTACACGAAATGTGAATTCGAATGTCAACATTATTGGTGGATCCAAGGTATTTCTTCTATTAAAAAAATTTTTTCTTGTCAAAAACGTTCTTGGCCCCTTATAGTTGTCATTTAAATAAATCATATATTTTTCTTTATTAGAAAAATGCAGCAGGTTTCAATTACAGAACGTGATCCAATCCGAAGTCCGTCCGCAATGTTTGCGTGTTGCCCATGTTCGATTTGCTCCCGGTGTAACACCAACGAGTATTTACGGAGATGGTCCGAACGGAGTCTCATTTGCCTATGTCAATGAAACATTCTGCGCTATGGCAACCGCCAACAGTCACAGTATTTATGTGTTCTCCAACTTTTTCTATCCTACAGCGCGAACTTTTATTGAGTCTGCGGTAAATTTTATTTTTTGTGCGACAAATTTTAAATTTTCAATTTTGAAGACGGACTGTGAAGTATCGGGGCACGTTTGGGAGATTGAAACGGTTACACATCAGCGGATTCAGAAGCGACCTCCTTTGCCAGGAGTTGTTGAGAATGTGAGACCTCATTCTTTTTATAGATCCCAGCTTGAGGATAACGCCAAACTGCTTGTTTGCTCGAATGAAGTAAGCTAAAAATTTTAGTTTTAATATATTTCAATATATTTAGGGAGTTTTTGAATATACTCATTTGAACGCTGTTGATGCTCTTCGAGATGCTCTTTTTGATGGAGGTGTCGAAGGAAAAGCGACTCTTAAGTTGTGGCAAAAGCTTGGCTCCACCGAAATGCTAGTTTTGGCGTTACGAATTTTGGCTAGCAACGTTCCACTAGATGAGAGAATAAAAAACAAGGTGCTTATGCGTTGTTTTTATTGAAAATGTTTTTTTTTGTAATTTTCAGGCTGAACAAATTTTGTATAGTCTCAAAGAAGCTCCAGAAATTGTTGAAAACGATCAGATGGAATCGGAATCTGTTTGGTCACCAAATGAAAGTAGTATTGCTGATTGGAAGAATAAAATGAAATGTGTGAAACAATTTATGCAAATTCATTTCATATTAATTTTCAGCTCCCCTTCTTTCATCAACTCCTAGAACTACAGATTTTGGACATAAAACTGCATACAACTCGCCGTTTTCGCCTATGTGTAAGCTATTTTTTACTCATTTTGTCGACGTCAAACGATTTTTTTAAATAAAAATTATTGGCTATGCACCATGGTGTCTCGACGCAAGAAAAAGATAGCAAATAAACGTACTAGCATTTAATATTTCAGTGAACGTTTAATTATTTCCGGTCGTATATCTGCAATGGTTATGTGATAGAGAAAATTCTGCTTTCCTTCAGTCGTTTGATGTCGATAGTATAAAAATGTATTCAAAAGAAAAATTAGCTCAAACATTTCTTAAAGATTGTCTATTTGTAAGTCAATTTACTTTTATCGGCACATTTTGGGCGATATATTGCGTTTTTTTTTTAAATTTGAAAGCGCTCTCATAACAATAATTTTATTAACAAATTATTGTCGGAGTCGGCTGCGGAACATTATCTAAATTCCAGAAAATTTCAGTGGTCTTTGATTAAAAGTGTAGATTTACGTGCCGATAATGATAGGTTAAAGGCGCGCACCGCACAGTAAGACATTTTCTGCAGTCCCATATCTCTGAAAATAGCTTTTCAATAAAAGGTTTGGTCTAAATTTTGATCTGCGACAGCGCTTGAAATAGTTAAAGTTTTTTAAAATTTGGTTTTTAGTGAGTACGTCTATGACGAGTGGAGCAAAAAACATGCGAATGTCACCGTCGAGAAGACATGACGCACTTTTCTATTATTTCTCTCGCTTGGTTGCTCCAATGTGGAATGATACGATTTGCGAAGTTTTCAATGGAAAGGTTTTGTCGGTTTTATCCATATTGCATTTTTATGTTAATCATTGCAGCATCTCCGTATTACTTTCAACCCAACTCACTTGATCTTGATGAAAGATGAAGTATCAACATTGGGGAAACTCATGGATGACTATCGATTGGTTCCTTCTGTTGACTTCCAAAGTCATGTTACAAATCCAACCGATATTCTGAACGGTAATTGTCTCGTCTGTGTACAGTAAAATCAATTAAACTCTTCAGCTGAAGCATATTCGTTGGAACGACAATCGCTTATGGGTTTACGCAAGCTGGTTGAGGCCACCGTGGTATGTCACTTTCTCACGTTTTCCCTATTAAAACATCTAGGCAACTAAAAATATTAATTTCCTTATAATTAACTACTTTCAGGAGACATTATCGCTCTGGATTCTCGCTTTTGAATACAATTTGGAAGCTATTTCGTTTGGTATGAATCCTGCAATTCTTCCCAATTTTGCCGGTCGAAAGTACATTATATTTTTTTAATTTCAAATTTTCCGCTTCATTTTAGATTATGCCAATTAGTCGCCGATGGAAGTAATCTAAATGCTGAATTGATTCGCGCTATGATAAAGTTTGTGTTTGAAATTTCTTAATAATTTTTCAACCGAATTTTTCAAAGGTATTTCCTTGGAGATGAAGCAGGAACGAAACAACTCTCTGAAAATTTGAGATCTATGTGTCCTAACCTATATTCTGAGGTAATTCAAAAACGTAATCTCTCAATTTATTTTGAATTTCATAGGATGATGCTTGTGTAACTCATGGAATGGAACAGCTCGAAGCTGCGAAAAAACTTGGAGCAGGAGCATCTCGGCGTCGCCTCGTAACTGCGGCCGTCGACATGTTCAAACAATCAATTGGCAAGGTGGTGCTCTCCTCGACATGCCAACAGCTCGCAGAAACTGTCGGGGCGTACGAAGAAGTCGTTGAATTGTGTCTTATGCGTGCTAACAAAGATGATCCGAAGCAATTGGCGTTATTGGCTTATAAACATGGAAGAAACGGAGCCGATACGGAAATGAGAGTCGCTGAAAAGAGAAGAGCTGACTGCTACAAGTAATTTATAATATTTTTTAAGGGAAAATAATTTCTCATTATAGAGTGATCACTGATGAGCTCGATCGCCTGGAAGAAGAAGCTTCGACTCTTCACGGCGCTCACAGCGACGCTGCTCTCAATCGTGATTTGATGATCACTGCGGTAATGAATTCGGAGGATCAACTTGCACATGCTGCGATATTCCGTTGGCTGCTTAGCAAAAACAAGACAAACGTCATTCTTCAGGTTTTTCCAAACCATTATTTTTATTCAATCTCACCCGATATAATTTTTTAGAGCAAATCGCCATACATTGAGTTCTTCCTTATACAGGAAATCAATACTGGTCGCGGTCAAAAATATTTCGATTTGTTGTGGAGATTCTACGAAAAGAGCGGAAGCTATGAGAAGGCGGCGAAATTGTTGAGCAAATTAGCCGAGAATGAGAAGTTAGTTGATACTATAAGTGATAAATATGACTTGGAATGTTTGCAGCTACGAAATCTCGTTATCGCAGCGTTGTGCTTATCTTTCGCATGCGATTATGTGCGCACAATCATGCAAAGATACTGCTGTTACGGAAAACATTGAAGAATTGAGGGATCGTTTGGAAGTTGCCAACATTCAACTAAGCATTAAGTGAGTTTATATTTTGCATTGATAATTAAAAATTTCGAAAATCGGCACATTGAAAATTAAAGGGAAGCGTTGGATTGTCCTTCAACACGAAACAAGGAGATTGTCAAACTACTCGATGGTCCGATAATGTCGCTCCAAGACCTGCTTGTTCGCTATGTGGTAATTGTAAAACCATTATTTGTACCAAATTACCTATATTATTTTGAGCTTCCTTTCAAACTTCACAAAATTCAACTGTCAATCTACTATTGCGCCAACATGTACGTAGAAGAACGGATTTTCGAAACATGGGAGAATATAATTCAAGAAGAGTTTGCGACGTCGCAGAATGAATCGTCATTGTGTGAAAATTTGATGCGCACAATTGGTGATTTAAATGCGATATACAGAGAAACCAACTACTTCCCAAAAGGTTATTAATTTCTAATATTTGCTTATGAAATATCAAGATAATTTTTCAGATTTCATTATTCGGCGAGTCTTGGAAATCGGTTCCGGTGGAATAACAGCTTCTCAGCGCATAGTTCTCCCCACATCTTTCTATCCACCTTTTTGTAAACATATCGAAATAACTCATTTGGAATTCCTTAAAATTGCCTCTGATGAATTCAGGTTGGCTAAATATTAAATTAAAAAAAAAAAACACATGATTGTTTAGAAGTGGTGGTGATGCTTGGTGGACACAAAACGAAAGAGGACAAGAATATATCACGCAAGTTGTGAAACGCATGGCAAAAGCTGTCATCCAGGATCTCGAGTCAAATCCATTGACGAAGAACAAGTAAGATTTTGATGTTAATTTTTCAATTGATGATCGGTGAAACAATTCATGCTTGCATCAATCAATTAATTTCCAGAAAATCTGTTGCCAATGAGTGTATCACCCATATTCTTCCGTTCATTCGCCGTGCTTGCGACGTTTCTTCTTCCCAGCAAATCCAGACAATAGGGGCTGAGCTCACCGCCATTCAGCACCGTCTGACCGCTTTTTCTTCGTAATAATATTATTTATTTTTATTTTCACCCGCTATTCTTATTATTTTTATTTTTTATCAAAATTAACCACTTTGAACCAAAAAAGAAAATTGTTTGATTGTTTCCATTCATTTTGTAATTGACTCTGCATAGTTTTGTTATCTGTTATCATGCGTTAATCTTGCACATCGATTCTATTCGTTTTTTGTTTCTCGTTCATCAAAATTTCTCAAATTTTCATTCTTTCTCTTTCCTCGCCTTTTTCTCTTCCGTATTTCAGCAAAAGACAAATCGAATATGCGTGCGTACCTTCTATCATTTTTTTTTATAATTTTGAATTTCTTTTATTCATATTTATCTTAACTCTATTGTTGTATAAATTTAAAATGATGTGATCTTCAACTCAACTTAATGGAATTTATCAATTTTAATATGAATCGTTGAATCGTATTTCTCATTTTCTCGTATTTCGTCCGAATTCTCATACATTTTATTGGGTTTTATTGCACCTTTATTAGGGCAATTTCGAAACGAAAAACGAGAATTGATGACAAGAGAGAGACTATTTTGGTGCATAATTGCGTCAAATCACGCGCATTGCGCCAGTCTCGTGCACTCTTCAATATTTTGCCGATAGCCGGTTTCTCACTCTCTTTATTTTTTCGAATATTTTTTTATGGAAATTTGTTTTGATTCCAGTTTTATGCTCTAGTCGCACTGTCGGCGATTTTTTGTCACTTCTTCGAAAAAATGGGACTAGCGGGAAGCAAGAGGAAGGAGACGACGTCTCCGAAGAATGAGTCCGAATCAAATAAAGTAATTTGGTTTTTTTTTCTTTTTTTTATTACAGCTCTCTCTTGTCTTTTTTATTTTGAAAAATCAATATAATTTGTTATACATTATTATATGTATAGATGGAAAAATAAATTTTCACGAAGTAAAAGCAGCTAAAAGCAATTTTCGCGATCGTGTAAAGCGGCTACCAGAATTTTTCACAGCAAGGCCTTGAAGTTCAGACACATTACGGTTCAAATTTATACAAAAAATAAACGCTAACGCAAGCGAACCGCAACTCTTCTGGTGAATGATTACGGTGGCCGCTTTTTTTTAAGAGAACCTACTATAGTAACGCATATGTCTTTAACAAATAAAAATAACGACTTTTGTTAGGTTGCTTCAGTAAAAAGAAAACCTCGTCCAGATGAGATGATGCACAAATATGCCGAGGTGCTGAAAGCACAAGGAGTCTTGCCCGAATTCTTTCTGGTCCATGAAACGAAAAGGTATAATTAAATGCATATAATTAAATAATTGAAATTTTCGATTTGCAGTTCACAATATGTCGATGAAGATGGAGACGTAGCAAATGAGTTTTATGAAGAAATGAATGAAGGAGATAAGCGACGTCTGTGCCGATTATTAAAGAATTTGAAGCCTCGAGTAAGAATTCTGATTCAATTTTTGTATTCATTAATATATTTAGGGAAAAGAACGGTATGCAATTCCTCGGCTCAAACCTGATATTCCAGTAGTCATCTGGGAAGTTGGAAATGAAAAAACGTGAATCTTGAACTAATCTCAAAAACTGCTCATATCGAATGATCTGATCTCGTACACCTCGCCGCTAGATTCGATTCTTGTATTTTCTCACTGTCCGACTCTGCTTATTCGGTTTTCATTGAAGTATCTAGTCTGCGACGACCCACTTTTGTCACCATATATACCCACTGTGATTCAATTAGCCGAATAGGAAATCAACAAATAATGAATATTTCATTTTTTCTCTCCAAAATATACCATATAAACGCGCGTAATCAGAAACCCGTTTCGAAATACGAACTGGAAAATTATGGCAAGAGATTGAACGAAAAATTATGGCCGAAAGATTTTGGGGAATTCAATGTGTGGAATGACGAGGATAACAGAAAATTAAAAAAAAAAACCGAAAAATTGTACAGACAAAATTACAAGTCTAAACAGACAAAATCTTAAAACAAAAAAAGGAAGTGTGATGCGAGCCTAGAGATAATCGCGTTTCGCCGCAACGATTTCGATGTCGCTTTTGGGTAGCGGTTTTGGCATTGTGTCAAGAATCAAACTGCCGCGCATCAGTTGCTCAAACGCAAGTGCTTTCCCGATTTCCGGATCGATTCTGAAATTATTTAATTCTAAATTATGAAAGTTCGAATGAAAATTTCATTGTATAAATAGGGAGTGTGATTTCAAAGAATGTTGGCCACAGTTCATACTTTCTCAATGTCAAATCTGCTCGCGGTGAATGTTGAAGTGCGCTCATTCGTGCTCTTTGTCTTTCTTCGATTTTTCTTTAAAAAAAACATTCCAATAATAATTGAAAAAGAAAACAAATCAAAAACCTAGCACTTGTCTCATCGATCGATTCAAATGCATCATTATGGCACATCGAATCCGGTGCAGTGCTTTCAGGAAGTATTGGTGGCGCGGAAGATCTGAATTCAAAAATGAGCATACAATCTTATTTTAAAAAAATGAAACATACGTTTTTCTTGATTTAATAACATATATCATACATATCACAATAATGAGAATGGTTGCGACGACGAGCAGCAAAACGGCAACGAGCTCAGTGGCAAACTCGTCGATATTGCTCATTCTCAAAACATTATCGCCAATATTGTTGGACGCCTTTAAAACATTTCAGAAATTAGTCATCGTCATACACGTGCAGGTGATAAGCAATCAAGTAGTTCGGCAAATAAACGGTAAGACTTGAACGCAATTGGAGGAATTTGAGACAAATTTGTCGAACAAAAAACAGAAGATGTTTCTATGGCAACAAGAATGTTTGGACGAGAGCCACAGAAAAGTCGCGAGCAAAATAATGCAGTCTCAAAGATGGGGAAAGCATTCGTGCAAAAAAAAAACTTGTGATGGAAAACATGCGAAAGAAAGACGTATTTAGAAGAAGGGTAAATCCATAAAAACGAAAATAAAATTAGAAAAGAGGCAACTTCGATTAAATGGATTAAACAAAAAGTTGAATATTTTAATATGATAATTCACCAATTATTTATGATTTTTATATATGGAAATTTTGGATTATATTTTTAAATCAGGTTTTCCAAAAAGAATAAATAAACGTTAGAAAGGTGAAAACTTTTTGAACAGAATACCCCGAACACCTTAAAATGAAATTTATGTCAATCAAAAAAAAAATGAGAAAATACAATTGTTTTCTAAGAATCAGAATGCAGGTATGTTATTTACACGCGAATCCGCGTCCAATTACTCTACGGCGATATTCTTCTTCTCTTCTTTCTCTTTTTGATAGGAACGACGGAGCTCTTCGAGCTTGCGCGTTTGTTCCGAATTTCCCATCATGCTCAATTTACGACCTTCCACAGATAAAGTTCTACAAAAACGACCAAATTGAATAGTATGGGGTTTCGCAAAACTCTCACCTCAGACTGCGTCTTTCTTCCGATGGTGGGATACTGTAATGAGCAGCGAGACGAATAAGAGCCAACTCATCGACAAGGCTCCGATCGGATACCTGCAACTATTAACGAAATACAATGATGACGTGACAGATGATGAAGAAGATGATGACAACCAACATTACACACTTCCTTCGAACCAGTTTTCTCGCAATTCGCACTCTTCAATTTCAATTTCTACCAGCAAATTTTGTGATTGGCATGGAAAGAAAATAATAAACTGAATTAAGAAACTTGTTTGAAACATTAGACCCTAAAATTGAAAGAATTTGAAAAAAACGAGACTTCGGATTATCCAACAGGGATATAGATTTTCTTAGTAATATAATAAATCAACACCGTATCAAATAATCGCTAATAATGAATGTTTGCTAGGGCTTGCAATCAAAATCAATAAAAAAAACAAACGGTGGCGAATAAAGAGGAAGACGCACGCGGGGGCGAGAATAAGCAGAAATCTCGCCGTATCAGCGATTTGCAATCTACGCGTCCCTCCGAACACGATTATCTGTTCGTGTTCGTCGCAGTCTTCACTTCATGTTATTATAAACTCACTTTTTCAAGCATCCGGTAGAACGAAGCCGTGTTTCCAACTCGTCCCAAGTCACCGGATCTGCAATATAATAACGAATGATATTTTGCGGATTAGACTTCGCAAAATCGCTTTTGAGACCAAAAACGCGTTTAATACCAAAGATTAGCGACGAAAACAAACATGAATAGGATGGTTTCTTTTGTTAGTTAAAATCGAAAAAAAATCTAGAATATTGCGATTTATTTCGAGATTATACAAAATCGGGTTAAAGGTTTTCGTTTGAGATACAGAAAACTGGTTTTGATTAGAAGTTTTTACCTCAACTGCCGCAAAGCTTCGAGAAGGTCTTCAACGAAGGAATCAATAACTCCATCTTCACACATTGAAAGGGTAATTGGAACTCTTGCGGCTTCTGGAGATCTGAGCGGATCAACATGCCACCCCTTCAAAAGTCAAATTTTAGGAATCATTTTGAAAAATCATTTCGTTAAACGTCCTTTTAACTACATTTTTTTTCGAATAACATCAAATCGAACTATTAAAACTTCTAATATAATCAAAAAATTAAAAAAAAAGTATTTTCAATAATAAAAAACCGACCTTTTGCACCATTTTGTCAACCAAATTATAAATATTGACATCCTTTGCAGCGAATGCAACAACACACAAATCAGCTGAACCGCGGAGCCCAATTCCTAAAGTAAAATATAGGCGTTGTTGTTTGAAGAATCTTCTCGAACCGTCTAGTCTACTCAATTTATCGGCTAATAGACGAGTTCCCTCAACGATACGCTGACAGGCATTGACATAACCGTCGCGACCCTGAAACTCATATAAAATTGATGAAATAGGATATAAAAAACGAGACAAAATTGAAAACTAATTTAATGAAGCACGAAACTTTCGATGATATTTAACTGAAAAATTTTAAGTTTCTTTGTTTATAAAAATTTGCAGCACACGAAAAATGACATTGAAAAAAGAATATATTCTTTCTGGTTTCACAGTTACCTTTCTAAGCATGGTCGCCCACGAAGTTGCAACAGCTCCTCCATCTCGTCCTCCGTTCATTGTTGGGGTCGCATAGCTTCCGCCGGTCCAGCTCGAGTTCACAAAAAATTGGTATCGAAGGAACACCGGCTCTCGATACATCAACACCGACAAACGACCCGGTGATTGTCCATACTGCAAGTTATTCGATTATAAATTATTTCGATTAAACAAACCCTGTGAAGGTCAGCTGAAATAGACGTGACACCAGGAAGGCGGAAGTCAAATGCAGGTACAGAATAGTCAGCGAACTCCATAAATGGAAGTACAAAACCACCAAGAGTGCAGTCGACGTGAAGGGGAATGTGGTATCGCTGAGCAAGCTAGAAGCAAAAAACAGTCATTAAATATTCTCGAATTTCTCAAAACCTTGGCGAGTTTTTCAATCGGATCCACTGTTCCAGTAATGTGATTCGGAGCACTTGCAATAATCTTTAAAAGTTTAAATATCACAATTACATATTATGATCATCTTTTACCATGCACGTTTTGGGCCCAATTGCTCGTTTCATTGCCCCAACATTCGCACGATCATCTTCCGTACAAACTGGGATTCTAAACAATTTTATTATAAAATTGATCAAAACGTAGTAATTTTTTGGATCAATATCGATTCGTTGCAAATTTAAAAAAACCTTTTGATAGTCATATCAAAGAATTCCGCCGCTTTATCTAGGGCCGGATGAGCAGTGGAAGGTGCAATAATTTCTGCCCGGTATTCTCCGCGAGCACGACTTCGATTTCGATATGCTAGAGTGATAAAATTTAACGGACAAATAAAATGATGGATTATACCAAGACAGGCAAGCAATAGAGCCTCAGTTCCTCCTCCAGCTACAACTCCGCATGATTCTTTTCCGCCATGGAACATTGCACAACACATTTTCAGAATCTGAATAACTCATATTTTCACCGTAAAATTGGTTTTTTAAAACATACTTCTGCTTCCATTTTTCTAACCCCTGGAAATGCATCAGATCGATGAGGATCGCTGTGGGAAAATAAATCAAATAACTAAAACAAAAATTCGTTGAAATTATGAGAATAAATTTAAAAAAAAACCTTAGCGGATAATGCCAAATCTTCTTTTTTCGTCTGAGGATCGTAATGTTGCATATATCGACGCTCTCCCATCATTGCATATCTTCTTGCATCCGCAAGAATGTCTTCAATATCCATGCACCTCTCCGGAAGAAATTTATAAAACTCCCTTAGCTGAATAAATCGACGATATTTCGATTATATGAAAGTAGAAAAAACCTGATCAAATTGATGAACTTCCTCTTCAATTTCGGCCCGCGCGCGAGCTAAATCATCTTCGATGCGTTTTCGAACCCATGGAAGCGAACGTACGGCAGCATAAAACGATTTTCTAAAATCAAAGAGAAATCGAATAATCGTAGGAAACAATTCAACAATTAGTAGTACTTAATCAATTCCAAAGGTGGATCATTTGAGCGGAACATTCGACGGATCCACGAAACAAAGAATGCCAAAGAAATTGCATAGGAGATAACCTTAATTAACGAAATTTATGGACTGCATTCTTGGTTTAACGGCGACTTTGATTAAAAAAAACAAATAACATTTTATTCTTAGAAAAATAGTCATATTGTCCTAAAAAATAATTTTTCTTTTTCATAGCAATTCTAAAACAGATTTCCATTAGTTATTCAAAAATTGTTTTTCTTTTTTCCCCACAATCCAAAAAATAAATAAAATGAAATATTGATTTACCTGCCATGGTTCTAATCCGGAACATTTCGAATTAACAAAAACTCGAAATTCATCGAGATAATCAAGAAATATTCGTAAGGTCAGCTCTCGGTCCTGATGTTCCGAGAAGCTCATCTAAAAGTCAAAAGTTTAAAGTGACAGAATTAAAAAGAAGGTAATCGAAAATCGACGTTTGAAACGACAAAAAAATTTGGCAAAAACACGAAGATCAGTTGTAAAGTTTCAGCGAATATTCACATTGAAAACAAATGAAACGAATTTAAACCGAAATGAAACAAAACTAATTGAAATGATTAATACGATGCACAACGTGCAAGAAGATCAACGAGAAAAAGAGAACGAGAGAAAGAGAGCAGACAATTGGAAGAAAGCTTCAAAATTTAAAAAAAAAGAAGATATTTTTCAATAAAATGAAGAGGGTGCAAATAAGGAAATACACGTAACAAGAACTCAATTTGGCAAATTTCAAAGAAGATCCAAAATTCACAGTAAAATTAAAAAGAAATTTAGTAAAAATTGGCTTAATGTAACATTTACTTCTTCTAAATTATGTCTTTTTACGTAGTGTTCGGAATATTGTCAAATATTGCCACATTGTATCGATTGGAGAATAATTCTCGGGATTTCCTTGTTCGATGGCATCCGGTCGTTGCTCAGAGCTGCTCATAAACAACGTCCGCATGAATTCCACGAGCAATTCACGACATTGCGAAACAACTGAGCTTGCTCGGTACTCCACCTAAAAAGCAGTAGAATATTTGGCCGCGAAGTTTGAAATAAAATTACTTCAACTATCACCCCTTTGAATGCCGATACTTGTGTTGCATTACCAACTCGTATCGTGAAATCATTCAAAGTGTATTCACTTCCTTTGACCTCAAATAAAAAAATGGATTATATCGAGTAAAACGGACAATTTTCACCTCAAACTTTCCCAATTGATCAGGCGAGCAACCATTCCTCATTTTTCCTAAAATTAAATCGAATCCTCGATCGCAAATTGCTCGAGGACTTCTTTTGTAGGTATCAGCGGCAGCTGAAAGTTTAAATTTCAATTTAATAGAATTATACTTGATGCAAAATAGTATTTTGCCTCAACATTCTTATCAATTTCGATATGATAACATTTTTCGATCCAAAAAGAACAAAAAATAACGATTTCGAACATCATAAAATAGGAAATTCTTATCAATAATTATTTAGAAGAAAAATCGTTTTTCTTTTCTTCTTTTGAATACTCAAAAACTTTTACCAATGGAAAATGTAGTCTGTGGGAAATTCGAGTGATGCAATATGTAATTACAAGCAATTTCCAATTGATGCTGCAATTTTTCAATAAAATCGTAAAAAGAAACTTTGCCGCAAAAACCTTCTCTGTTGGTACATAAGGAATCGAATCGACCGAAAATGTCCCAGCATAATCAGCGCCATTCGATTCAAGAATCCTTTCGACGGCGGTTTTGTTGAGCTCCGTTTCAAACACCCAAGCAACACCCATTTGTCAATCTAATCATCGCCAATGTTGCTCTACTCGTCAATTTCAACATAAATAAAATAAATTGCGGGGAAAACCATTTCGGTCGAATAATTCCAAACAATGAACAAAGATCATGAATCATTATGAAGATGTATTGATTAACAACATTTTACACATAACAAGACAAGTAATCAATCAATCAGTCAACAATCATGTTTGATTAGAAATTTGTCGAAACCCGAAACACGTTCACTTCATTGATTTGTTGCGCGACGATCGGTAATCACTTAAAATTTTCTGGTACACTGAATAGAGAACCCGCGGAATGGGAGTCATTCGACAACAACGGTATTGTCCTGCAAAAAAATAATGGGATGATTATGATACCATGCGGTTGAAAGTTTTGCCCAACCCAAAAAAAGGGGGGGACACATTTTAAGGGGTTTAAGACATATTTGAAAGAAATAAAACAAAAACTCTTATCAAATTGCGATGATGAAATGACGAAACACTTTGAATGGATTCTTTTTACTTCGTAAAGAAATTAGTGATAACCTTTTGACTATCAATTAAAAGATTTCAATAAAACATGGGACAAACCTAATTCGGAATTGAATTGAAATAAAAACAAATACAAGTCGCCAATTTCGATTGGAGTATCTGTTGGAAGCGGGCATTTCAACGCAAAAGTCCCTGAAAAAAAATGAATCGAAAAACAAAAAATGGTGAAATGTACCAGTATGATCATTGATAACAGGAGGATCGAATGAACTTAAAAATGCGCAAACGACAGTTTCTCCACAACTTCGCATTGAAATTGTAGAGCAATCATCGCGTTCACACATCTGAATTGGTGGTAAGTGCGACAAACCACATTAAAACGGAATAATTCAACGGATTCCAACCAAAATCTGCTTGACATAAATACAAATTTATTTACAACATTGTTCATTTGTCATCTTTTATAGAAAATGCTTTGCGAAGACGTTCCTCATTCTCGTCAATTGTTTCAAAAAATGCCCAATACTTTTCAATTATTTCAGGATGTGATTTTTTCAGCGAAGATATAATAAGTGACTGAAAATGCGGTTTTTAAATAAAAGAACCTATTTTTGAAGTGTTACTTCAGCTGTTGGAATAGTTTGTGTTGCTGATACTGCGTAAAATTTGTCAAACTTCTTAGGATCCTCAAATTTCGCTTCAACCCCCCAAGCTTTCATCCATTTTGTGGCGCGAATCTCACTAGATCGGAATGTCGCAGCAAAAACGACAAAATCACCTCAAATTGAAAATAATTAGATTATTCGGTAGTTAGTTTGAGCAAATAAATTTTGAAGAATGTCATTTTGAGGACCTTTAAAAAATAATTCCTTATTTTTGCATCTTTGGGAGAATCTTAATTATAAGTGAAAACATTGATTGGATCACCTGGTTTAAAAATGTCTAAAAGACTTGTCGCATCAGCTAAATCTCCTGATGGTGTGAATGTTAGCATATGGCAGCTAAAAGTCATTCTTCAATTAATGAACATTCATAAAATACATACTGAACATGCATGTTTATTAACCTGCTATCCACTACACATTCGTTTGCAGATATATCTTCAATTCTACCTATTCCTAAAACTTGTTATTATAACATATGGCCTAAAATCGAAACTGTTCACCGGTAAAATCAGCTTCAACATCGTTACAGTCAAATAGTTTTTGAGCGCGATAGGCTATATATTTACACGTATTTATTTCTTCCTGCCTACGAATATACATAAGAATTTCGTCATCTGAAATAAATAAAAAACGAAAATTCATTGATGATCTGTTTTTTCGCTTTCCTGGTGCTATATATTCGGTAAGATTTGTGACTTCAGTAGAATCAAACGCTGATCCGGGAAGAAAAACATTTCCATGAACCGATTTAGCATACCCATAATTTTCTAATGCCAAAACTACTTTTCCTACCTAAAAATTTTTTTCGAACACTTCGGGTTATATGGTTATATACCACAGGGGTTTCTTCTGACACATCATCATTAAGATCAGTACTTGTCGAAATTATTGTCAACTGAAAATATTTTCATATTTACTCATAAATTTCCTATAAAATACAACTGTTTGATTTAAATTTTTAAGTCGTAAACTACTTTTAGGACAAGATTCAAATATTTTCCAATTAATTATTTAAATGCATTTGGGTAAATTTTCTTGCACATTCAAAATTTGCAGATTTGATTTTTAAAAAACGACAATTATAAAAATCGTGTAAAGATACTTTGGAACAGAGATATGTGCATCCATTTTGCAAATTCTGTCTGATTGCAGAAAATTGTACTACATAGTCTGCACTGCAAAAAATTAGTATTTGTCAATAAAGATTGAAAACATACCGCAAACTTTCTGTCAAATTGTCTGGAATTGTTCCATTTACTTTAACGTTTGCAGGAACAAAAACGTTTCCATATTCACTAATTATATAGGCATATTTAACTGCAACTTTACTTACTACACCTGTTGCATCTAATTTTTCCGACATATCTCTGAAAAATAATTTTTACTGCTTAATTAACATAAATTTTAAAAAATTCAATTCAAGATTATAAAAAAAATTCAAAATTCAAAATTTGAATGCAAATAAGTCTACTCAAATGCATTAGGTGTTTGCGGACTAAATCTTGCGTACCGTACTCTTTTTCACTTTCAAGTTCGCTACATTTTTTGCAAAACATAAAGCTGTGCAGGTAATGTCGTCCGGTTAGATTACCGTTTGGATTAGCGCCAGTTCATCCGACTTGTTTCATACAAAAAAGGCGGGCCATGGTTTTATATCGCAAAAAAATGAGTCACTTTTACTTCATCATCAAGCATGCTTTCGATTTTTCTGGGTAAATATTATTCTCGAAATTTATAAATTATAATGCATTTTAGTGATTTTTCTTCAATTTGCAACAATATATGGTCAGTATGGAATGTTCGGTGGATATGGTATTCTTAAAATCTAAATGTTATTTTGTAGTTTTAAAATGTAGGAATGAACTATGGAATAAACCCGTATATGGGAGGTATTTATGGGTAAGTTTTGAATTTTTAATTGATATTTATAAAGTATTAATTGAAAATCATTAAATTATCAACGAAAACTGTGGAGTGGCGCATTCTAGAACCACAAATCTCGTTGCCGACGACGAACCTCCAAAAAACAAGCGTGATTGTCGCGGTCTTCCATCCATGAGAGCTCGAAGTATTTGCAGATACGGTAATCCGATGGGCGGCACATTCGGATGCACTGATATGAGTCCACAGTGCGCTTTGTGGGCGAGTACTGGTGAGTGAATGACACAACTGGTAGCCAGCGCTTTCTTAAAATTCAACTGTAAGATACTTTGACAGGTCAATGCGCAACGAATCCACTAACAATGAGATCAATGTGCGCCATGTCGTGCGGATTGTGTCTTGGTACAGGATTAGGCGCGATCGGCACTGGCTTGGGAGCTGCTTATCCATTTGTGGGACGCTCGATTTATGAAACTGGAATTTTCCGATCACCTGATGCTGATTTAAAGCCGATTGTGGCAAGATTTCTCTAGTTGGAAATAATCAACTAATTTTTAATTTTTGTAAATTCGAAATAAATTATTTATGATTAAAAAGTATGTTTTTTTTTACATAAAAACGTTTGTTTATTGGCAAATGACAAACGTAATCAAAAATTTTTAGGCGAATGTGCAAAAAAGCGAAAGATTATTTTAATCGAATAGTTCATTTTTTTCATTTTGACGCATGACCAATAAGTTTTTTGAAACTGGCCATGGAATTATGGCTCCGATCATAAGAGCCCGCACAGGTAAAATGCGGCAGACACATCACTACATGCTTCCATATATCAAACGTCTCGCATTGGCGTCCGATACAACTCAGACGGGACCAATTCCCGTGAATTCCTTAGGAAACCTTTATTACACACCTTCAGAACTGACTAAATCACCATCATTGTGTATGACCGCCCTAGTCGCATACTATCATCCTCAGTGTGTAACAAAGTGACGTGCCTCCTGCACCCTCTCTCTTATTCGCTTATGTGTACCGACATCTTGCGGGTTTCGCCTCATTGCATTTTTTGTGTGTGAAGGGGAGGAGCGACGAAAATTGCAACGAAAATAATTTGAAATTTTCGAATAATTTTACATGTTCTTAACAGGAACATGTAAAATGAAAAAATTTTAATCTTTTATTTCCTTTAAAACAGTAAAACGCAGACGAAAATTGTCACACATTTCATTTCGTGGAAAACGACAAAAACAGCTTTGAATTGAAAAAAAAATGTATACTTCTATTGTCCCTTAAAAGGGGACTACTTACTTTTAAGCCAATTTTTCTCTGTTTTATCCTTTTATAAGTAATAAAATAATGTTACAATTTTTCAATTAATTTAGTGCCCTGGTTGAAAAAGTGGACGACGTGAAATGTGCCATGGCTGAATAATTCGCGGCCGCATTCGAAAGGCGAGTCCCGCCTTTAATGGACTAGTTTTTTTGCACGGCCAATCACAAGAATAATTTCGAAAGAAGTTGAACGAAAGTGTTTATTCAGATTTTTCAGAGAATATTTTCCCCAAATCATAAGATCGACAAAAATTGCTGGCATAAATTTCAGAGGAAACAATATTTTGAAGAATTAAAAAAATGCAATATCATACTGCGGAATTAAGTTGGCCATCAGTAGAGTTTACTGGAAATGTAAAACGATATTAAATTAATGTTTTTATGTTTATTCAGCTTCTAGTCGAACTTTTTACTGCGGATAGTTGGGTGTTGACGATGACAACCGAACCCGGATAGTTTTTGATTCCAACTGAATTAAACACCAAATGTCGAATCCTTCTGCAATTATTTCTGTATTTTTCTAATACCAATTTGTATATTACGGATTGATTAGAATGTAGAGTGCCGGATTGACCGAATTCCAGACCATCCAAATGAAATGCCCGAGGAATAATCCAATACTCAGATCCCAAGGAATCGGAATATATTCCCATGTAATATATCCAAGAACGTGAAAAATCGAAGTGCAAAGAACTTGAAGCGATAAAAAGAATTCTCGTTTTGAAAGAATCGAGGCTTTCTGAATTTGCCTGTTTATTTAATTTAAACTTGAATAATTCTTACGAAATAAATGAAAGTAAATATAAATGCATGTGAAAGCATTGAAACAATGACATCAATTAAGGATATGTCGGCGCTAATTGCTCGAATAACATGAGAATATTCATAATCAGCCTGTTTACTTTTGCTTTTCTCGATTTAATCTTGTTAACAAACTAACCACGTAATGATAAGTATATGTAGGCAAAAGATAGACGAAATGGCTTAAACTCGTGGAATTTATTACGGCAATACTGAACCAAATAAGAACAAATATCGATAAATAGACCTATTTGAGCCGCGTATAATATATTAATAAATTGTATAAAATGTCTCAAACCTTCATAAGATTTTTCGAGAAAAATCGGTTGGTTGAAAAGTGAAAAACGATTGAAAGAAATCGGTTGATGTTGAGGAAGATACTCAATAGGAGCATCGTGACCCAAGAAGCATTCATAATTGCTCCGACAAGCTGCAATTGTTGTTTTCGTTTTGTTTATTCGAATTTCAGTAAAATAATTTGAACAAAATAAAAATAAAATTGAATTATGCTGGAGATGAATTATTTGAATTCGGCACGTTTCGGCTTGTAAGAAAAATCGAATACAAGAGGAAGGCATGTTCAGTGAAAATTCTCGAATTCCATAGATTTAAAATACATTCAATAATATAATAATAATAATAATGGGAATTAGACTAATTTTAGAATTGATTATAAATCACACCTTTTATACTAATAATTGTTTTCGATAATTGAATTTAATATATTTCTATAACATTTTTTGGTTTCGTAACACCTGAATAACGTGAGTAATGTTCGTCATTCCATGTTCTCGCCATATTTTTTGCAAAAATATCGATAAGAAACTGATTATTTAAAAATAAAACACTTTATATGCGTTTTAATATAATTTTTAGCTTATATTCTGAAAAGTACTTACAAAATCGATAACTCCGAAATGCGGCTTCGAATCAAGGATATAATAAACCGGTATTATATGAGCGATAAGTTGAAGGAAATCAAAAACTGATATCCATATCATTATCTTGAAATAGTGCATTCCATTTGTGGTAGACAAAAAACATAGTAAGGAGAATGGAATAGAGATCAATCTGAACCTGATACGCTGGCAATCTTCGCATTTCCTTATCCATCAAAATTGCTCTCGTCACCATGATTTGAAGGATCATGAAGAAAGTGCAGTAGATTGCAATGAATATTGCGTATGGAACTTCTTGACACCAATAGATATCGTCGGAATAAACGGGAAATAAAATTTCGTCTGTAAAATCTCAATGAGGGTTTTGAAAAGTTAAAGACATGCCGAGAATTCGTAAACTAACAACTTAGAGTGCACAAAAATCGAAACAACCGAATCAAAGGAACACTTTGGTAATTATCGTTGGAAAAAAAAGACGTACCAAATCCAACAAATGAATATTGGATAGTGAAGAATCCAACCATTGAATTGTTGTCCATTTAGCTGAAAATCGAAGAGAACAAGATAAATAAAACAAGTTGAAGGATTATTGCGGGGGAATTTATTGTGGCGCACTTGTTCGCGCTCCATTTATGCGCCGCCAATTTCGTTAGTTTTTTTGCGCCCCGATATGATGTGATTAGATTTTCGGTAACAACCGAGCTTCGGAGACCGATTTCTCGAACTAATACACTTTTCAACGCGGATCTTGATGCTCTGAATAATGGAAAGAAAATCGTGAATTAAAAACAAATACGTTTATTAAAATTTTGTGTCGGTGAATGTTGTACGTTGGCAGATTTAGGGGTACGCAATGGGCTTCCGAAGAATCATTTCTTGTTTTTTTTTCTTCTGATATCGATCGAAAATTATCAAATTTTATTAATAACTCAACAATTTTTGAAAAATCAATGATATAATGCAAAAACGAGCGCGTTAATTTCTTTCTAACCGATTTCGCGCGCAATTTTTTTTTGCAAGTTTCCGAAAATTCCTGGAAAATCATTTACGTAATGGCGTGTTAATATCGTTATTTATTGTTATGTCTACAATAATATATGTTGTTGATTTTTCGCCGAGTAAATTGAACAGATTGAAAAATGAGAGTGCAAGTTGCTCATCGTTGAACTGATTTTCAAAGTATCAAACGAATATCTGTTCAATAGCCCTAATTTTGTTATGTTGTTCAGAGACTTCCACAGATTATTATTCCATGGGTGGACCAAAAATCAATTCAGAGGCGAGGATTGCGGTGATGAGATTTTAGAACTGAATGATTTGCAAATATATTCGAGTGATTTTGCGGCTCCCGTTGTACGAATAGGTTTGAAAAAGGAAGTAAATTCAGGCGTATTCGAAATATTAAATAATCAGATTACTTGCCAAACAAACAAGAGTCAAAGAATATTTCAATAGCGAGTATAATAATTGAAACTGAAAAAATGAATCAGTAAACTGGGGACGATCAGGTGTTTTCAGCAGACTCTAATAAGAATCAACAAAGTGCCTGTACAGAATCTACCGAAGCTGTACGCAAACTCTTCTGGGACCATCAAAATCTGTACAGACCTTCAGTAGATTCAAATAAGAGTTTTCGACTTTCTCGACTATCTGTTTCGAGCACAATTTTCTAAATTTTTATCTTTTTTTTTTGCAAAAAATTGATTTTAAAAATGGATGAAAAATAGATACTTCTATAGTTTGAACCATTTTTCATAAACTTTTAATCCATTTTTTGTCCTTTTCCCAGTTGCTTTGAGCTAATGCTTTGAGCTTTTAACGGAGGACCCAAATATCCCCTAATAAATGTGATTGATAATTTTCTGAAGCCTGGCGACCTGAAATTTCGGACTTGTTGTGATTGTAAAACAAAACAGTTCATTGATTTTTCATTTCGTCAATATCCATATCCATAACATAACAATTTAAAGTGTTTTATTTGAACGTTTTTGGGGAGAGAGATGAGAGAGAGAGAGAGAGAAAAATTGGAAACAAAATGACAAACAAAATAAAGTAATGCGAGTAGTTCACTAAATTTCAGAGTTCTCGAGATCAAATTTTATTAATCGAAATGAAAGGGAAAAGAAAGATGGGATGGAAATGGATGGGGACTAGGAGCACGACACTCGAGTTGACGAATGAACCAGACATTAGAGCAAAAGCTGGTCGAGGTAAAGAAGCTCGGCGTTCGGATCGACGCGTCTCTTGCCGAAACGAATGTAGCCGGAACGCGCTTTCGGTTGACGCTTCTCCGAGATGCTCACGTCACGACGAGCACGAGATGTTGCAGATTTTGCTCCTACTGATGCTGATGCTGCTGAAATAACACGTTTTCAGATGATTATTTCTTCAAGTATGTCAATCTTTGATTCGAAACTAACTTTCGAAGGAAAATGTTTTGGATAACCGAATAAGCAAAAATTGAATTACAAACTTTCGTACATTCTTAGTTTCTCTCGAGTTACTCTGTAAATCTTCAAGAGATTCAAATCACAATATTAAGGACTTCGAAACATGTGGACACTTAAGAGTTCTTTCGATTTTTTCCTACAAAAAAAAAACAGCAATTTGTTATCTTATTGAGTAGCAGATGTTCGGATTGACTAAACGAAACCTTAAAGCGTCTGTTTCGAGCGAAAATACTAATGAATACGGTTATTCGCATAGGCAATTTAATAGAAATCTTCTCATCTGGAAGAAAAAAAATGACATCAAATTGAAGGGTCCCTCGGAATGAAAAAATGAAGGTTTCATTCAAATTGTTTCAAGTTTTCGAAATATTCAACTCACGTTTTTCGAGCGGCACCGCGAAAGCAGCAATGAGACAGACGAATAGGATCGCAAGGAAAGCCGAGAGTTGCATGATGATTACCTGAAACGAGATATTCGAATTGGCGGTGTCGGTCAGAACATGATCGAATAAGAAGAAGAAGAAGGCGAAGAGCGAACGAGGTCGTGTGAAATGAAACGGCCATCACCTTATATGGTTATAATGTTTTAATGCCTTCCGGAGGCCCCGCCCACTTTTGGCAGCCAAATTGTAGGAGACGAGATGACGTGCGAAGTTTCCGGCAAAGGATTATTTATTTTATTGTTTCTCTTTCTTTTTTCGGCTTGAAGTTGGATGCGAATTGAAACAATTTTCGAATGGATAATTATCCAATTTGGTAAATTAGAAGCAGAAAGAGCCAAAGAATAGATTCGAGAGCACTTAATTAAACGGCTGGCGAATGCAGACCGGTGATGATCATTGAGACTTGTGCAATAATAACGTCAAATTTTCGCTGCGGCAAAATTAGGGATCCGAGTGGATCATGAGTTCTAAAACACACTCGACTAGATTTACCAGGTTTCCAAAAAAAAAACTCGTGCTCACACACACACGCTACCAAGAAGAGAAGAGTTTGTTGCAAAACTCGAGTTTAGACGTGGGAAAAGTCGAATGAAAGCCGGCGTCATGTTTGACAAGGTCGACATCTCGCCTCGTCTCGATAATAGAATGGTTATGACCGAAATTGGTGTGAAATTGGACATTCGAATGGGTTGTGCAATGGCCGGGCCAATCGAAGACACAAAACGACAGCGACAATGAGATGGCGCCTAATTTCGGTCGACCTTTTTGTTTTGTATATTCGACAACACCGTTTTGTTAAGATGGTCGCCAAAAAACGGCCATGGCGCCACAAAACATGCACAATTTGAGCCATTTAGTTGAACATTTCACAGCTTGAAATTTTTTGTATTTGTAGTCGAATTCGATCCAATTTTCTTGGATGCAACATTTTCTATAAAATAGATTTGAAGAGGAGAAATCTCACAAAAAAAGAACGAAATGCAAAGAATTGTGTGATTTAGCTTGATTCGAAAAAATATGGACTGTATGTGTAATCAAACCAAGGTTTGAGGTCAACTAAATCCCGTACACTTTACACTTATCCAGCCATAGGAAGTTACACCCAAACGGTTTTTCAACGAATCAACACACATTCCAACATTCCAATTGCCATCTACATATATGAAGTTCGAAATTCCACTTCAGTAAAGAGTTTCACAATGAAATTTTGATATTATCATTTTATGATTCTATCCTAGGAAAACAATAGTTTTTTTTTCTTTTTTCGAGGCAAATTCTGAGTTTGCAAAATTGCTTTAAATTATTTTGATTTTTAAATTACTTTTTTTAAAGAAGAAACGTTTTCTTTTAAACACTCTAACTTTAATAAGCCGTTGGATTGATTGAGAACCTCTCATCACAAATATATTTTACAAAACTAATCGGACCAAGAAAAAAAAAGCGCTGGCAATAGGAATGATCTTTTGAAAGGTTCCGAGACAATATGACGCAATGAGTTTCTAGTTATTCGGAATAACTCAAATTTCAAACATTCACACGGGCAACTGAGATTAACAAGAGTCACGATAGGATTCTCGGTGCGAGCAAATATCGAGAATGAGAATATTGCAACATTGATGAATTATAGATACACAAAACAAATGAAATATATTATTTTCAGTGATTCTTTTTTTTTTGATAATACAATAAATGCCAACACGATATGGCGTGGCCTAGTTTTGTTGGAAATTTCCAATAATTTTCCTTAATTATTTTGTTTGACTTATTTTTATTCTCGAAATTGTTTAAACTGAAGCTGAAGTTTTAGGGAATTTAATAGAAAGTGACTGTTGACCAACGAAAAAAAAAAACTATCATTTCGGACAAACCAATTATGGGATCCGATTTCACACAAAATCTCTTCTTTTGGAATGCGTGTCTAAAACTCAAAATGAACACTGATATTGAACTTCTTTCTGTTGACCAGAAGTTAATTATCTACTCCATAAAAAGTGATAATTAGTCTCGTCGACTGGTTCATCTGATGCGGTCTTAAAAGGATATAATAGGCGAATTCTGTTATGACGATTTTTGATCTATTTGCGAATATAATATTTTGGCAAAAATCAGTTGAGATTACCACTATACTTATGTCGCTATTTCGATTATTTTGATGATTGCGATCAACTTTTTCAAATGGGGTTCGGATAAGGGAAAGCGCGATGTCGAGAAGCTAGAAAGTAAAATTCGGTGTAACAATAGCGAAATTGGTTTGGTGTCCTCCGAGTAAAAGAGGTGTTTTTCTCGGAATGTGCCTTGAAATGGATCTACTAGTACAAACAAAAAGGCATGCGAGGTCATTTTCTCATTCCACATTCATTGATGGATTTTGTGACTAGAATAGCGACTATTTCTGCAAGCAATCATCATTTTCAAATTCAAATATTCTGTTGCAAAAGAGAACTAACAATCAGAGCTGTGGAATCTCAAAGTTGGAAAGTAAAAGCTTGAAAACGCATAGGAAAGGACGGTGATGTGATAGCGAACATTCCAAGTTTGTGGTTCGAGTTTATGAACACGACCCGTCGAAGGTTGTTGTTGTTCGAATCAAATGAGCTGTGTCTAACTGGCTGGTGTCGTCGATGATCGAGACATCTAGCGAACATCTGTGTTCAGCAAAAACCCAAGGAGGTGAAAAAAAAACTGAAGCGGCCCAACGACCCGACGACACAGTTGCATAATTCAGATGATGTCAAGGACGGGTCGGCTCTTCGCAACATTTTCCAATTAAAATCCATAATCAAACAAGTGAAAACGACGAACACCACCCATCCTCGTTCATACACCTCGATTTCGTTGGTCATCTATAGAGACCATCAATCAGATTAGATCTGTCAGAAAAAAAATGAAATGAGAAAAAATATAGAAATCATACGATAGGTCATGTGAAGAAAAAAATATGATTACACAAAACCGTGGTGGTCGCGTGTTCAACAAACAACAAAATTGAAACAAAAGATGGGAAGTTTCGATAAGTTTCACACCGATTTCAGGACGCTCAAAACATTCATGTCAGCCGAAAATTTTCAGCGTTTAACACTTGGATATTGTTGTTTTTTCGGGAATCTCTTATTCAAAAAGCATCCTTCTTAAAAAGACTGACGTCGGATTCGAATTGGCATTATTCTCATCTTTGTGTATCGGCTCGTATACTTCACTCAAAAGCGCTCTGACCCCCCTAAAAATGATCATCAATTGTGAGAGTCTGGCGGCCATATTACGTTGGGTCATTTTGAATAAATACGCAGAACGACTACGGTATTCAAACATATTAGCAAAGGCCTCTTCAATATATGAATTCTTTGAACATTGAAATTTGAGATCAGTTTTCCTGTTTCGGATCTCATATTTGGCGGATCGAATTTTGTTCCTGGAATGCGATGATCTCCGCAAATCGAATGCAACAAGAATCGAAAAGTTTACAAATTGCGCAGCAAGAATGAAACAAAAGCGAACCTATTGGGCGCATGAAAAAAAATCGAAAGTACGATATTGCCGACTGACAACGTTCGGTTTTGTTCCGCACGTTAAAATAAAAACCATGACCACCACTGGCAGCAAGAAGGAAGCAAAAACATTGAGATAGGAGCGGGGGGGGGGTTGGCGGAGGCGGGGTTGAAATTGAGAATAAGAAGGAGAAGGAGAAAATGAAAATGTTGACGAAGAATGAAGAATGAAGGGCCGACATATAGGAGATTCCAAAATTGATGAAAATTGGCTACAGGCCAACGGACAAGAAGTTGAGCACGACGGGCGAAACGAGATGCAGACATGGCACGACCGTGTCCAGATGTGTGCCATAAACTGGTGTACAACGAGGGCAACCAAACCGAATGACGGCGAGAAAAAATGGAGACAACATTCCTCTTCTTATTAGCACTTTATGACAATTCGGAATGCATCATCTGGAAGTGAATGATGTCACTGGTATCGGTGGTGCTTTTTTAGACGAGTTACCACAACGCGCGTCTTATTATTCGAAGCTGCCGCCAATGAATGTGCAAAGAAGCTATGAGTCAGAAAGACGGCAAATTGAAGGGAAATGAGTCATTGATTTGGATTTTTTGCAACATTTGTCACTTTGATACTTGATGGAAAAAACCCGAAAATTTTAAAAAATGCGGTTTTGATTGGGGAATAATTTCTTTTTCCTTCTAAAAATACTATAATAAATGCAATAAATTTGGTGCCCATTTCTCAATGCAAAGCTGATCAGCTGATCAGTGCTATGAAAAGAATTGACCGATTTCAATTTTTTTTGAAAAACGTACTACTCACGTTAAATTTATTGGATAGCTGAATTTCCAGATGACATTGTCCGCAGATTAAACAAAAATTGAAAATTCTATTTTCGGATTTTGTTCCGTTTTCGAAGAAAAATCTCAACAACAACGAAAAATATATACAAATTTCACGAATGGGAAAACACGTGGCATTGCTTTGCTACAAACCCAAAAAAATTAAATTAAGTACCCGGAAATAGAGGGTGTTTCAAAATTCTCGGAAACTTCCAGCGGCCGCCGTCTCGGATGGAATTATAAACTATGAGCCGCCCACTATTGCAAGTGCGAGCAATTCTTCGAAAATGGTCCAAACGAATCAAACATGACGACGAATAGCGCGGCCCATTTCGCACACAAAGATGAACCATAAACCAAAACGAACGCGATGGCGGCGACGACGAGCATCGAGCCCCGCCCATCGACCGATGAAACACATCGGAATACACTGCGTACACACACACACACACACACACACACACACACACACACACCAGACATGTGCACGCAACCGTCAGTGGTCGAATCAATCGGCGAGAATTCAATCGAAAGCGGAGGTGGGGTGTGGGTGGATGGTTCACAGCATAAACTATATTTTGCACCAGCGACAAGCAGCCAGCGCGGCACAATGACAACGACTGCAGCAGCAGAAGCAGCAGAAAAAGCAGAAGCAGCAACAAAACAATTTTTGTTTAGATTTGCCCTTGGTACGCACTTTCGATAAACATATTCGAAAGCATCGTCCACCTTGATGCCGAGATTTTGTAATCATCGAATTTCATTGAAAACATGCCGCGCCGGCGTCTGCATACGTAACGCGGTGCGCTTAAATCGAATCAGCGGATTATTCGATGGAAGCTGATGAGGATGATGATGACGATAAGGAGGAGGAGAAGGCGGACGATGAGATACGATGAGGATGAGTAGGAGGGGTGCATTTTTGACACGAACTGAAGTTTCTCAGCTCTGGAAATTTCAACTTGTAAAAGCATCTGAAAGAAGGATCATTGGACGAGGTCGCTATTTGATATGAACTGCATCATCAATATTTTGGTCGTCTTAAATCCGTCTCAACTACAATTTTTGCTAACACTTGGAATTGTTGAAAGAAACACCTTCATCTCGAATTACCACTTTCCAGACGTTTCATATGAATCATGGTGTGCCGACAAATTTCTCGATTGCATTTATTTACGAGTCATTCAAAATTATACTATTTTAAGACAATATTATAAAAATATAATCGCATCCAAACATTAAGCGCATCTTAGATGAAGATTATCCCCCGGAAATTAAGGATCTGTGGGTCAGAATATGCACGAAGCAAAATTGTTTTTATCACGAATTTTGATCAAAAGTTCATAATTGAATATCCGGAAAAATCTAGAAAACCCAGTATAATATTAGAAAAATTACTATTGTTTTCGAGAAACATGGACGAGTTTAAAGAGCTTATGATTCGAATTTTATATGTTTTTTTTTCCATTTTATTTGTTCGTAATACATTTAAAGTTACAGTAGGCATTAAAGGCGCATGCAAAAATATGCTCAGTTCGAGCGAGGATCAAAAATGGTAAACGTGATTGATCGAAATTAGTCAAATTGGTCCGTCTTGCACAGTTTTATTGTGGGATAATTATTACGCGGTTCGGTTACCAAAAATACAATAGTTTATGACAAACAATGGTTGTTATTCATATTTTCCTAAGTTTTACGATCCACTTTTTTAAAATAAATAATTTATATTAGCTCTATCGAATTTCGAAAGCGAAATTTGAGACGGTTGTTATGTTTCATCCGTTGAGTTTTTGTATATTTTATCAATTCGAAAAAAAAAACGATTGAAAATTGAAACTGTGATTATTCGAATAAACATTTGGAAATGAAACGAAATGAACGTTGAAACGGAGAATTTCAAGGAAAGAAGAACACGTTCCTTGCTGAAATCCAATGATAATCAATGTTATTATCAAACATCGTACTCATTGAAATGCTAATATATGCGCAGCATACTTATGCCAATACATTTATGTATGTATGCAATTTACGATGGGTTCAACAAGCACTAGCAAATCAGACAACCCAATAAACGTCTTGTATCGAACGTTGTTCAATTTAATAATGAAACCTTCGAGAACAATACTAAATTTGGAAAACTCGTTGGAACTTGTCGCATCAGTTTTGTATTTCATCAAAGCGATTCTCGTTCAATTACAGATTGACATTTAAGATCAATCTTTCGAAATTTTGCAAAAAATCTACTCAAAATTTGTGTATTGGAATTTATTTTAGAAGTCATCACAATTTGCCAAACGATATTTTTTAAATGCCGAATCACACCACCCCCCACAACTATCAACATTTTCGATGTTTTTCAAATTCCATTTTGAAACTAACGTACCAATAGTACATTAAATCATTCAGCAATTTTAGAGATTCAGCGCCATTATTATCTCAATTTGATGCAATTAGATTGCTGAGAAAATTTTATTTAAAAAATCATTTTAATTGTTCCGTCGAACATATTTGAAATCACAAATTGGATTTACCCCTCCCACGCAATAATTCTCTGAATCAATCTGTTGGACAAATTGGTCCAGAAGGATTCAATCAAATATCAAAAATGAGATATTGCTACAATTTCCGGCTTACGGAATCAAAGATAATTGAATGATGGGTTCAAAAAATCATGATCTACCAATGAGTAGATACACACACACATATATATATTATTATATATATAGATAAATATGGAATATATGATGGAATGCAGAAATGATGTTTGCCTATTTATCGCTGGAAGGCAGCATCAACCGAAATGAATTGGAGGGCGCTAATAAAATGCGCGGTATGCGGTCAGTTTAACAGCACCGCTTTCAACATATATAAACTATGTACGGAAAGAATTCGAAGTGGTGAGACTAACACAGTGACGAGACTATCGCCGACAATAATAATAATAAGAATAAGAATACCAAGCCGTTTCCAATTCCGAGTTTGTTTGTTAGTCATCGAAATATTTTTTATGGCCCTGCGCGCTAAACAAATTAAAGTTGTTTTTTGCCACGCTTAGATCAATTGAGTTTATTCAATTGAATCGTTTGTAGTCGCCGTTGGAGCCATCAGGAGCATTTCAATTTCCATCAGGAGCATTTCAATTTTGAACTCACGAGTTCGCAAAGAATAAACAATTATATTGCTTGTAGCTCGAGATCTCAAAATTTCAGCAATTCACGTGGTCTTCTGGTCTTCTTTTCTTTTATGTCTCAATTTCACTTCGGAATTCTGCATTCCCTAATAGGGGTCCAAAAAATCATTTCTCTTTAAGAAGTTTTTTGAGTGAAACGTGAACCGTCATTTTATAAATGATCCTTCGAAATAAAATGAGCTCATAGTGCGTCATTGACAAATTTGCCAACAAACCAATTTTTAAAAAATTATAAAATTTCTAAAAATTCTAATAATTTTATAATCTCGTTTTAATCTGACATTCTCATCAGGAATACGATAGAAAAATAGTTAGCCAAAAATCGGCTGTCAGAAATTTTCGCTAGACTTTGTTCAGCCGCATTGCAGTTTTTATATATGTAAAGAACTTCGAAACGTAAACGTACGCAATGCGTCTGGAGACATAAAAATTATCGTAGCATCATTTTTGCGAAACAGAGTAATCCCTAATAGTGTGGTATTTGAGAAAATTGAACGTTTGACAGCGGTTTTTTACACAAGAAAGATAATCTACAAATTTGGCAATTTCTCAATTTAAATTTGGAAAACAGGGTCTTGTTTTTTTTTAAGAAGTTTGAACCAATTAGGCACTTGGTCCCATCTAGACAGGTTCCAGGTTGGTATATGGTCACATACTATTTAATTCAAATAACAATAATTTTTTATATTATTAATAATCATCGCAAAAAGACATCCAGAATGTTTTAGGACGACCTTCGTACTTTTTTGTGTTTCCATTCAAATTCCAATTTAATCTGTATAATAGGGATGATCAAGTTAAGGGATTTTTACAAATTACAGTATCTAAAATACCTAGATGCCACAAATCGAATGCACGTGGATGTGATCTGATTGTCGGATGATCAGAACGGAATTCCATAACGATTTCTTAACAAATGATTATGAATATATTGTTGAATCGAGTGTTGTAACTTACTATTCTAATTATAGAAAAATAATCATACCTCATCGGCCAGAGAAATTCGGATATTTGGATAGTCCACGAAGAATAGTATGCTGCCCTTGTTGTTAAAAAATGTGAAATATGCCACTTTTGTTAACAACCACTTGAAATTCACTAAAAATTATTATCTTTTATATTACGGCCATAAGAAACAACAAAACCTGTTTTAAAGTTTTTTTCCCATGTGATAATACAAAGATTCGAAAAAATATTGCCTCGAATTTGTCCGTCTAAAATACTATTTTAAATGTTAATCATGCGAGAGAAAACCAGCGGGCGCTTTTCTCTGTTAACTCAAAACCAATCGGGTCCGACAAAATTCGGCTCCGGAATCAACCTTTTCCGATTGGAAATTCTACGGATATGATTGTAAAATTGTTGAATCCGATTTGTTTTCGGATTTGTATGTAAAGAGGCTTCATTCCAAGAGAAGGTTGGAATGAATTTTGGTCCCATCTCCGGCCAGGTGCGTCGTCAGTGAGCGCAGCCTATCGGTCCGCATGTAAAAACCCGCACAGATGCCTTAGAGCGGCAAAATATGCATATATTATTAATAGAACTATGTCAGAACAAGCTGAATTTCTTTGAACAACCAAATATGACGAAATCAATCTGAAAATAGCTTTACCCACGGCTTATTAAAAGTAAATAAAATTTAAAAAACATTTATGGAAAAGACGAGAAAAAAAACAATTACGATAAAACAAACAGAAATAAACAATGGTAACATACACGTAAAACCTGAGAGAAAACAGTATTTCGTCAGTGGTTAAATTTCATACATAAATATTTAAATCAGGTGGAAGAGGTGGTATTGAGGGATGAGGCAGCCAGAGATTGAAATTGGTACTTTATGACAGTCTCCTGAAGATCCTTCAAAAAGTGGCATGCAAGTATTGGATCATGCTGTTCGATTTCGCGAGCTGTTGCTGTCACGAATTTTCCTGAAATATTTGGAATTTTAGAACCAAAGACCGAAATGTGTTAATGGTGTGTTTTCTTATCTAAAAATTGTCGTAAAAATCGGTTTTACAACCCGAAAATTTTTTAGACTACGAAAACCGATAAAAACGTTTTTTTGGCAAATTCTAATCAGTGTAACAATCTTACTGAAAATATCAGTTGTGAAATTCGTTGACTATAATACAGGGACTTTAATGAATCCCTAAAATGTATTTCTTGTGAAAAAACGGGTTTTGAAAGAGCCAAGATCTTACCAAGATATCCCCATTTATCATTTTCATTATCTTTCGTCATCAACATGTGGTCTCCATTCATTCCAATATGATTTGTCGATTGTGACGACGGCGGCGGAGATTTATTCTTGAAAAGAGCCTGCGATATAGCCGGATTCTGACGCGCCACCGAGTTGAGGATTGTACTCCGTCCATTATTTAAGCCAGCAGCAAGAGTTTGCTGCAGTTGCAAGTTGTTCTAAACATTTACAATTCAGATTTGAACTACTATAATAACGATCAACCTTTCTCAGCTGTTTGTCAACAGAAGCATTCGTGCGTATCACAGCAGTTGCACCGGGAATAACTCCGGATTGCGAGCGTTTGGGTGTCGGCTCATCCTTTGACTTCGACACTGTGTTGTTTGCCATCGTGGTGACGGAATCCTCCTTTGGCGGAACCCATGTTGATATCGTCTGAAACTCGTTTCGTGATTCTCAGGTTTCTCAAAAAAGAGCATACAGCTGGCGTGTTTTTGCGTGCGTCATTCACCACAACCATTGTCGCTGTTCCATTCGATAGCGGGCTTTCCGTTCGTGATTTTTTCGCAGGTGGCCCAACATTTCCATTCACTCTGAAAACACGAATTAGAAACAAAAGTCGTTGAATTATTTGCATCGCTTACAGCTGCGTCGCATTCGCCGTGAGAATTTTTTGCAATTCGGTTAGCGTCGCCTGTGACATTTGAACGCCTTCAACTGCTGTGTTATCATCACGAGAAGTAGAAGGCTGTGACGTCGCCATCATTTGCTTGTTCTGTGCAGCCACAAGATGATCGAGCACCGATTGTATCGTCTTCGAATTTGCTGTTGTGAACATTGCCGGCGATGAGGAGGCGATTCGTGTAGATGCCGCGCTGTCGCTGTTCACAGATCCAGACGGCGATGGCGATGAGTTATGCGCTGATTGTTCTGAAGAAATATCTTCAATTCTCGGCACCTGCCCAATTCTCTCTTTTTTGGTTGAAACACAAAACAATAGAGCGAGAATGCGCAAGAGAACAAAGGGGGCAAAGAAAGATTTGGGATGTGACTCAGAAATCATCATTGTTTCAAAACTTGAACACAAAGTTATTAATGAGAAGTAGCCTTTTTTGGAAAGAAGACGTACGATAAATAATTAGCTATAGAAACATGTTCTCGGCTGAACGCTGAACCGATATTTGGCGGCGAAACGTAATATTTTTCGATTTCCGATGGATAAACGAAAGATTGACAATTCCTAGGCGTTTTTCATCTCAAACATTGCAAAAAACGTACGACGAAGAAGAAAAAAATAGTTTCCGCTATGATAAAAAGATAATCATCTAACAACGAAAACAATACTAACATAAAATAAGATTTAATTCAAAAGATTTAAATGAATTTGATTTGCCTATTCATCACCGTAAATTCTCACACCGCCTGTTGCACACACACACACACGCTTGACACATGGTTACCACAGACAATGGAAAACCCGACGAGTGGAGCCTGGAATGTCGTCTTTTTTCACTTTTTTCCTTCGTCTTCGCGCCCCATACTCACCAATATTGTGGGAATTCGCCGGAAATACCGCATCTGAAGCACGAGACGCAGCGACAATGTTGTGGGAAAAATTTCGAATCGAAAAGACGAGGCACACAAAAAACTAGGCAGAAATTCCACGGTAACTACTCAGGATACAAATTTTATTATTTTCTCGTCATGTCGCTTTCTTTTATTTAGTCGAGTTTCCCAAGCAGCTAATCTCGCGATGAGAACATTCCAAAAAATAGTTTTCGAGCCAAAGAATCAAGCAAAAACCAAACGACGGGGTGTGAATAAGGAAGGAAAATTTGCGAACCGGTGGGTATTACGTGGAAAACAAAACAAATACATGCATGAATGTATTCAACCAAATATCAACGAGGCGACGGACGCTCCTCGATATTTTATGTTCGTGTGAGTTTTCGAGGGGGACAAATGATGAGTTTAGAGCACTTTTATAACCCTGAAATGCCATAAACCTCATCAAGTTATGCATATATAGCTGATGTGATGAAACTGTAAGAGACTGTAGAACGAAGAGACATCTTAATTAGAAGACCGCGAGCGCAAAAGTGTACTGTATGTATTAATTGATAATAAAAACTGAGAACCAACATTCCTGCGCAGAGCCAATCGCCTAATTTCTACAGAATTCTTTGACAACGAAAAATATTGGATATTTCAATCGAAAAAAATATCATTTTTGTATGATAAAAAAGAAACTATCGATTTCGCCAAGAATACACGGAAATTTTATGACGAGAAAATAAATAAAAATTTGAATGCGGTTTTGTTGTGAATTCGAGAAAAAAACTGTTATTTGACTACTCGCACATAAAACAGCCTACGCCTACTTAATTAATTGAAAAACAAAAAACCCATCTCAATTTTTATCAATTAGTTAGTAATCATTATTCAGTTTCATTAGAAGATTCTAAAAAATTTATTATAATTACGGAATTCGAAGTAGATTTCAAAAAATTGCTTTGCTATTTTTTTACTAAACAATGATCAGTAGAGAAGGACGCTGAAATAATTTATAGCTGAACAGAAATGTGCAAACATATAAATTTTGAATTCTGAAATTATAGGTACGAAATGAAAATGATCACCGTCCAAAAAGCTCAAGCCAAAAATGAGAACGAGCAACGCACAATTTGGAGCGAGTGGTGGGAAGGCGAAGGCGAGTGGGGATGATGTTTAAAGTGTGCGACCGGCTCGCTGCCAAGCCGCGCCACGTTTTGTTCCCACGCACATTCCCACGCTTAAATTGATGGAAAGCAGAAGGGGGGGGGGGCGACACTGCGCGGTCGATGGAAGAAACCATCGCAAAAAAGAATGAAGATAATGATAATGATGATGATAATAGCGATGACGGCAAAACGAGCTCTTCATAAACATACACGCATCACTTCGTTCGTACGCCTATATTTGTGTTCGAATTTCAAGTAAAAATAATAACAATAAATAAGTAATAATGAAAATAATAATAATAATGAAAAAAATATTTCAGGTTAGTGAAGAGAGGCTATGCAAGAAGTTAATGAAGAAAATAAATTTCTGAATTTATCGAAAACAAAAATATTGACTTACTGTCTTTGAGAAAGACTTGATCGAAAAGCAATGCTGGCATTACTCGCATAGACAAGAATTGTAGATTCTGAAATCAGTAAGGAATTAAAGATAACGATAACTCCAATTTTTATTCGTTTATACATATTTTAACATTTTCTATGTTATTCTATAAGTTATTATTTATAAATTAAAGTGTGTTATGAAAGCGACCAAATCGAATGCGACACATCTCGTCAGAATGAAACAAAATTCATAATCGCTAGTGATTTGAGGTCGTACATACTATATATTGAATGAATTGGGTCGGGTCGACGAATGACCCGGTTGCTCTGAATTCGGAACGCAGGGTCGCGCAATCGGAGAATGCAGACGCGCATACACTCTATATTTGGCCTATTTCACGTAATAACGTTCTCATTCAAATCCGGCAGATGTAGTTTCCGAATGTTGCAAATTTTGAAGCTTCATCACAACATTAAACTCACATCGGGTAAACTTATAGGACAAAAAAGCGAACACGTGGTAAATTTGTCGGAAACGTCTTCTACCATGAACACACTGATATAATGTGCGCACTAACATAATGTGTCAATGCGCAAAAAGTTGAAGAAGGCAATAAAAGGTTTGAATGAGTTCTTGACCTCTTATGGAAAAAAGCCGAAGTTTGCAGAAACACAAACAGAACTTAGAAAATATGTATATAAACTATAAGTTTATAGTAGCCGCAATTATTCATTTATGCGCTTATGTAGGGACACTTTTTTTAAAGTAAATTATTAGCAAAACTTCAATCTCGTCGTTATTTCTGCACAGTACATCTATGTTGAAAAATTGTTTCATTGATCTTATAAGTGTAGTAGACGGCGACTAATGTATGGAAGTAGATTTACGGTCATGCGACTTTCGCTATAGTCTTGTGCGGATTAAATGTTTATTTCTATTGCTTTTCAAAAATTTCATTATTTAGAAACTTCAGAAATTCAGGAAATTGCAAACTCAACATCAAATAATGTAAAAAAAATTCTTTTTTGCAATTTCTTATAGACTCCTGTTAAAAAATTGCCCAAGGTTTACTAAGAAGTTGACAAAGATTGGCAAAGAAAATGCAACCATATGCCGGGTCCCTCCCTCACCTCCCGTTTTTTGTTTCCGATTGACTGTTAAAGTCTTACCGTTACAAATTTCCACGACGAATTCGGTTTACCTTCTTCCGAATGAAATCGATCTTTCAACGCAGCCCAAGCCAGTTTTACAGTTTTTCCTAAAATAATGCGTTTCGAAAACCAAAAAAAACAATACAATCAAAGTAGTACCATCGATTGCACAAAGATTCGAATTTTTCATATTTTCACTAAATTTCTGCTGAATTTCAGAAGCGATATTATCGAAAATCTGATCGTGTAATTCGGTGTTATTTCGCTGCGGATGTCGATAATGCCAAAGTTCGCATTTCTCTCGAACCGAATCGATAAGGAATGTGTACATTGCATTGTTGAAGCTGAACGAACAAAACATTAAGCAAATAGAGAACATCTCTAAAGCAAACCCAAATTTGTCAAATGCGTTATCGTCCAAATCTTTATCCTCATGTGATTCGTATGTTACGTCATGGTGCTGAAAAAGAGAACCAATAATATTGTTTAGATAATAAATGAAATCAATAAATGTCATTCTTTAAGTATTCTAGAAACTATTTTAAAGATCAGATCGAAGGAACATCGTCGACAAGTGACATCTGATATATCAAGAGACGTTTTGAAGGGATCAAATGTTCCAGTCATTCCAACAAATCAACTCGTTCTCATTCAAAATGCATGTTTCTTGCAATTTATATGTTACACTTTCTCATTACCATTTCATTACAAAATAAGTGTTTGTATTTTTTTGGTAAGAAATATGACTGAAATTGTTTCTACAATGTTGGTGCCTTTAGCGATGGCATTAAAAAACCATACCTTTTCATCATCTGCCTTATCTCCTGACATTTTCTTTACATTGCGAGCTTTTTGAACATTACGACGACATGCAAGTCTCCTTTTCGCCACAAACCCCATTTGTCATCGATTTTTATTTTATTCAACACAAGATTTCACGCAAATAAACTAAACGATAAAACGTGCGAAAATTTGTGGCGACAGTCCCGAGAAATTCGTCAAAAAACAATAAAGTTTCGAGAGAACAAAAAATTACAAAATAATAAACGCGAAAAGAAGCAAAAAGAAAAACTCTAATACGAAAAGGAAGTTATACGAACAACCATTTTTGTCTGGTTCTCACGTTCGAATGTTCTCACCACAATTTTATCAATTCTTTTTTTCTATTCAAAACGAAACAAAAAAATATATTTTTTAGTAATTTGCTGGGTATGAGAAAGTTCACATAGCCTTGGGAAACTTTTCCGAATATTAACAAATATTTCCACAGATGGGTGGCCAAATTCAAATTTTGGTCGTTGTGTTATAATGATATTTCGTAATCAGTAACATCTTCCCGAAAAAATGCAATCGATGCCACCTTTTTTGGTAATTCTAGAAGTTATACATTTTTGCAGAAATATATGGAAAAACTAAGGAAGCGATTTTAGTTTTGTTTGTCATATTTTGAATTGATTGGAAAAAATCGCTCTGTTCACGAATTTTCGCATATAAACAACCTCGAAACGATCATTTTTCATAAACATACAAATTTTGGATTTTTATTCAAACGTCTGGGTTCAATAATTTAAACAAACGTTTTTTCCTTCGTTTTCTCAATAAACATCCCCAATAATTAATTTTTGAAACACTGAGTCATAGGTTTTTTTTATTAATCTATTCTCAGAATATCTAAATTGTTTGAAATACTCGAAATCTTGTTTTGAATTTTGCACATTGGAAGCATTTTATGCAGAAACGCATATCTTAATGGAAGAAGCTCATCGGTCGGCCCATTTCTTTTATGGATAAATATGAATATTTATCCCCCCATCTCAGCTGCAATACTTATATGAAAAGCGTGTTGGCAAAACAAGGATTTTCGGAGAATATATTTGAAAATTTACTACTAAATTTATTCTAATTATACGGATATTCTAATTTTTTTCATCGTTTAGTCGTAAAAAAACTTACATTTTGATTTTCTTCCAAATACTTTGGTGGTCTTCCGCGTCTTCTGTGTCCATTTTCTCTGGCTTTACTAATTACATCAGGAATTGCGAGCGTATCAGTTTCGCTAGCGAAAAATGCCATTTCAGCACGGAACAATCCCACATCCGACTGTTTTCCTTCCTTCTTGGCAGCGATTTTCAACTAAAAACTCACTAGTTGATATAAATCGAGCAAAAAATGAACATGCCTTGCAAATCTCCAAACAATTCCCCGCGGATTCGTAACGTGTCGAGAGCTCGATAAGCCGATTCTCCGAAATACTTCTGCAGAAAATTGAAATTTTCGCTTAAAATAAATATAGCAAACCCCAGGTACGGGTAAGATGGTGTGACGAATTCACTCAAAAAATGCAAACTGTTGCGATATCTCCATTCGATGTCGAATGTTGTCGAACGCGTATACAACTCGACCATCCAGCACCATTTTTCAATTAGCGCCCAGACTAAAACGAACAAAAAATGTGATTAATTCGAAAAAATCACCTATAATTCCATCGGCTGACCTTCAGAATATGAATTTTAAAAACGGCAAGTTATTGAAAATTAAAGTAAAAACAATTTGCATTGCTGTCTTTTAGATTTATTATAAATTTTTTTTGTATATAATTGCTGGCATTTAAAAGAAAGTTCACAAAATCAGATTTTAAGACACAAAAGTTATCGAAATTGATTGATTTTATCGATAATAAAATATTACACATTTAATCATTTTCAAAACCATTTTTTCGTAGCCATATCCATTACGATGATTAAATGCTATTTTTTCAGCGCTTTCTTTTAATTCAAAAACTTACCATTGAATCGGTTATCCTTGTTCGATAGAATATTGGAAATTTGCTGAAAGCTCGAGAGAACGTCATCCTGGAAAACAGAAAAAGATGAGATACACTAAGAGCCACTAATTCGATTATTTTGTGTTTTCGCCGAAGAAAAGCGCGCTTCTCAGAGAAAAAAAAAGTTCAACTAAAAATAAAAAAGTTAATAAAATTTAAAACTACAAAGGATTACTGAAATTTCTTATGACAACGGTATTTATCACGAATGTGACCCAATTTTGTTTTCAAATTTGTATTCAACGCAACACGTTTTTTTCCTGACTCGCCTGCTAAATGGCGGGCAGAACGACACGACGCTGCACGGGACCAACGCGCGTCTGTTTTTGGTTTCGTTTTTATATGACGCGAAATCTCAATTCAACCACAATTTGGCATAATTAGTAGCTTCTCATTTTTCACGAAGACTAATAAATATTCATTGGAATTGAACGGAAACTCGCACTTCTTCATCTTCATCAATTTGTTTCGTTTGAAAAAAAATGAAGATATTTTTGTTGTTCGTCCGTCGGTGGGGACGACAGGCATCAGTCGGTCGAGGTTGGTTTGATAAAGGACATACTACTAACAAAACGGCAAAATCACCTTTAGTAGTTTTGCTCGATCATTCCAAATTGTCGGTCGCTCTTCGATTAAAGCCACAAGAATTCCACGAGTGCAGTCGTCCCATTCCGGAGCCTCCTGAATCAGAATGCATTTCCGGATCCCATTTCTACAGTTCACTTACACATCCGCGTACTGTGCGTAAATTGTGCAAAAAATTTTCCATGACAATAGCACTCATCCATGACATCGAATCGAAATTAACGTTGAGTAGGGAACGATTCAAAAAAGGGACGAAATTTCTGGAAAATAAAGACGACCAAAATGGGCGGTGCCTTGAGAGCAGGGGCCAATTGTGTGTGTATGTGTGTGTGTTGTTCCCAGTCACACCCTCCCCCGTCCTCGATCAATTCTCTCGCTTTGAAACCGAAAGTGGGCGTGGTTTTGCTGCAGACTCCGCCCATTCGAATGCGGCGTCTCTCAGCGCGTCCCCGATTTTCGCGTTCTTTGCTTCGAAATCAGCCGGCAGTCTCCACGTACCGCCCACTATTTCGGCGTCCATTCGAGTGTCGCACCGGCCCGTCGACCGACCGCCCGCCCGCTTGCCTGCACTCGACAGCGACGGACCGAAAAAACGAAAGGGAATGAGAGCAAAAAATGCACAAATTGTTGGCGGGAAGGGACCCGTCGCGTTGCGAGACGTCCAACGGTATATAAATCACCCAAAATATTGATCGGTTGCTGAGAAAAACGCGCGCGCGCTGACAATCGCGTCAAACGTTTTAAATTTTGGTGTGAAAATTCGAATGTCTTTTGAAAATAAATTATTTTCATATCGATTTCATTCATTTACATTAAAAAAAAACATTCATTCATTCATTCGCTCGCTCATTCTTTTTCCCCTAGAATTTTTTTTGCGAATTCAAACAAACGCGATGGATGGCAAAAAAAAAACCAAGAGAGGAGAAAACGGATTGCTGCAAGACGCCTGACTTTTCTACGGCGTTCTGCTCTCGATTATCCCATCGAGCCAACTTGCGAACGAATATTCTATTGGGTGAAAGTGTGATGAATTATTGAGATTGTCGAAAAAAATCTCGTTCAATATGGATGGCCAATACAATTTTAATATCATCTATGATTTTTGGTGTAAATACTATCAATTTTCATCATTGCGGAGATATTGGGCACATTCGATCTAATAAATTTTTATGGGCGCCCTTTAAACCGTTTAATATTTATGCGAGCGTAGTGAAATAATAAAAAAATGGTTTCATGGAGCCATTTTTGTCTTATTCGATTATTTTTTCTATAAAAGTTTCGGTAATATATTATTCTGATTTATTTTCTTTGATTGTAGTCCTATCATTGTCCTTTATATTTAAGTGATAACGACAGGTGATTGAAAATATAGAGGCGGAGCTAGCATACTGAAAAATATTTGTCATCAATAAAAGCAAGCTATGCATTTTTTCTAGAACCGAATATCCGGTATTCATTTTGAAAACCCTTGAGATTTACAAGTAAATAAATAAAAAAATATCTTACGTGATATTAATTAACAGCGACAAAAATAGAAGAATTCGATACGCATCAAAAAAACCAGATAATGTCAGATGTTTCATAAAATTGGAAATATTTTTTCGTAAAAAACGCGCATCTCCAGTGAAGTCCGTAAGCACAAAAGAAAATAGTGCACAAGTCTCTGAATGCTACAGTACATTAATAAATAAATGCTGCCAGCGCGCATTTTTTTGTTTGTTTTAAAACAATATTGTTTGAAAACAGATGCGATTTTGTTGCTAAAACCAACGTATTGCAATGTTTTGAATGCGAATTCTGAAATCATCAGTTTTGATTTATTGTACAATTGTTAATGACTCATAATAAAATGAATCACATGCGATCAATGTTTACACTCGACGTAAGATGCTTTCTTCTGGTTTTCAAAATTTTTGGAATTCTATTATAATCCACTGTTTAATGAATTATTGAGTTTCAGCGAAAAGAAAAATGCCAACCATTATGCAAAATTGGCGGGTTTCCTAAAAAAAAAACTGACGTTTCGCATTTTCCGTTTCAATTCTCTCCAGGGTCGCCCACTTTTTTTTTCAATAAATGGTTTTTTATTTATCGCCTATTTCACTCAAAACGAAATTCTAATTTCTTCCCAAAATTACTTTGAAAATACAACCAATGTTTTATTCATAATAATTATAATTATTTCAACGTTACTTTACTTTCTGAAATTACTAGGAATCTGAACATTTATAATTATTTTCCCGCGTATTGTATAAATATTTAAAAAAAATATGTCGTGTTGCTTTTTTTTTTGCTGAACATCTGATTTGTAGTGTTTTTTTCCTTTTCCCGAACAAATTTTCCCATAAAAATTAAATGCCATGAGAAAGACAATAATTTGGAATGGGAAAGTTTAAGTATCAACCAAATATGTTTCGATGAGAAAATGTCGAATTCATAATACAAGTAGAGTAAGTTAAAGAATATAAGTGTGCTTTCTTTTTATCCAACGTTATTCGCAATGGTCTCACCGCATTTGAACGTTTTTTTAAAATTAATTTTCACGTTAAATTTTTAATTTTTCTTGTTGAATTTGATTTTTTTTAATTTTAAAGGTGATTGAATCATAATTTGTAAAAAAATGACCCATAGAAAGCAAAATATCCAGTTAGTCGGTGCGAGACCAAAGCAAAAGGCGCATGACCGTAAATCTACCCCTATCAATTAGTCGCCAGACTGAATAAATATAGTAATTTATCGAATTTCTCAAATTTTGAAACGTATATTGAAAACTTAAGAAAATTCAACGCATTTCGTCGTTTGCAGCTGCAAATGCTCTTTTTTCATGTGAGCTTTTCGAAATTATTATCACTGATCAACCATTTCCTATCAATTTAAATATATAAACGACCTCAAATCATGATTTGCATGTTAAAAAATAGTGATTGGAAAATGATATTTCTGAATATAATTTTCAACCAAAATTCACCGCTAATTCAACAATAATCCTGTCAATAAATTCGTCGTTGCGAAAAATATTCTATATTTATAAAAATGTACTTTAAGTGACCCAAAAACGCGAAAATCCAACACAATACGAAAAATGTGTCGTCATTTTTTTTCTCATTTATTTCATTTTAATTTTATTCGAGTTATATGTATTTGCATTCCTTAATTACTACTGATGCTTCATCTCAGGCTGAGTTCATTCCGTGAGCTAATCGTTCAAAACTAATTGACTGCTTCCCGTAAACATTTCTAATTTTGTAATCTTATAGTGGCGATGCGTTTATGATAACAGCCTACACCCATGCCTGCATACAGCTGTAATAAATTTAAGAAACCATTACTGAAAATATGAATTATCATTGCACAAAAACTGGTGGCTTTCTGAAGTGAAATTTGCCGAAAATAAATAAACTCTGCCGTGATTTTCGTGGTTTCAATCACAAAAAAGTAAACACTCTCATTACTCCAATTAATATAAATCTTTGTGAGTTGGTCAGTAATACTTTATGCGATTACGATCGCAAAAACGAGGAGCGCCTTGAATAATTTTGGACCATTCCACTTTTTCGAGGCGTTAATCAAAATTTTAATTTAAACAGTGGGAATTCGGATACCGTACTACCCATAACCTGCGAAGCTAATTCACCGTCGGCGCAGAATTCTCATATTTTTTGCAAAGGTTTAGTGCGGGAATTGCGTGACCTCGGCCGAGTGGTCAGGGTTCCCGGCTCCATTCCTTGTTCATGGCTTGTGTTAGAAGCAAACAATAAACAACTAGGAGTTTATTTATGAACAAGAATGAGCAAAATAACATAGTGGATATCGTAGAGTGTCTCCCGGCTTCCACCCTCCTCGTCTGCCTCCCGAGCATCGCTTAAATAGGGGGTGAGCTGGTGACATTGATAAAAGCCTTGGATTATTGCTTCCGGTCGGAGGGTTGATTAAATATATATATGAACCTCCTTCCGGTCTCTGGTCGACCTGATTTTGCCCCTATGACTCACTTACAGTATTGTCGAAGTCGCCCGACTACGGATGGCGCGGTTTACTGTAGAATTTGGCCTCGTGCCAATTTACGTTTTTATTTTTGAGTTCCGATTTACGCGCTCAGAGAATTACGCCACGTTGTCAAGTGATGTTCGTGTGGAATACACAAGGCACTCTGATCGTCTCGAGACCATTTCCGGTATTTAACCAATTTGTCGCATTTCGACAATAATAATCCGCAGTGTTCTGTAGATGTAAACTTGAATTCAGAAACATTCGATGGTCCGTAAACACCCAGGAGTTTGTTTTTCGCGATGGTATTTAATAAATTATTTGAAGAAATGGGTAAGTTTGTGGTAGTGTGTTTTTTTTGTCCTACTTCAAGAAAAAATCGCTCAATGTCCATGATTACTAGATTAATTGTTTCCTTCGTGAAACATTCAAAGAATTGAGTATGTCGATAAATGAAAATTTTCCGAAAATAATCAAATATGTGCACTTTTGCGTGTGCGTCGATATGCGTTGTGTTCATAGTTGCAAACTCGGCACAGAGTTTTAAAATTTTTCTTCATTAATCTTCAGCTATTTGTTTTTGAAGCAAACCTTATTTTACTAAAACTATGTGATGCATTTTTCTCCGCAAGAAATTCGCTTCGTCAGATTTTTAATTAAAAAAAGCCAAAGCTTTTTAAATTTCAGTTTTATGAATATTTTCTTTTGTACAGTGTTCCGAAATGTTCGCAATTTGTTGCGTGTATGTTTGAAAACAAATCGCTGCCTAACAAGCCGGTCAAGAAGCGACAAAACGGACCTCCGAAATGCTTTTTTTTATGGTATTATTTCGTATCGTTTTGCAGACTGTTTCATTTGTTAAAAATTCAAAAATTGCACAAATCAAAACCTTTTCAAAATTCAATACGGAAATTTCTCAAAAATCGAAATATTGCAGATTTTTCGTTTTTTTAACACACTCAAGAAATTGCGGTTTTATTTACTTTTTGTTCCATTACTTCCTTATTTTTTTCGAAATAATTCTGAACTCTTGGTCTTCTCTACTTAAATTGCAGCTTTTATCACGCGCATCACAGCTCATTTAAGCTTGTTCAAACTCATATTTGAGATTGATTTTTCGAAGGTTTGAGCCCGGTTCGCGTAATATGAAACAAACCTTTGAAAACGCGCAAACTTCGAAAATTCTGAATTTATATGGTGCTAGACAAATCTTGGATTCTCGTCAAGTACGCATATAAATTCAGGGCTTCCAAGAGTTCGCTGATCGACTTTCGTTCGACGAAATATTCCATTTCTCGAATACAGCGAGAAGCTTCATAAAAAATGAAAAGAGGACGGAATATGAATACGAATAATAATAGGGGAAGGCGACGGAGGAAGAGGAAGAGGAATAGGGTGGGGGTTGAAGGAACAACGTCGGCGATGGTCGCATCGGCGCAATTTTATTGTTGTGCTTTATTATAATATCATTGCGTTGACGTGTCGTCTTTTCAATTTTTGGTATGCTGGTGGGAACGTCGTGCACATTTACTGCTCACTTTGCAAAATCATTGTCGCTGCTGCATCCGTCGTCGTCGTTTTACGATTCGGTTGCGAAAATGGGCGAGCGCCTCGGCGGCGAGTCGAACGTTGCCGTGGTGATTGTGAGAGGTGGGGCACTCAAATAGGCGGAGTCTGAGCCTTGGTGCGTGACGGCGCTAATTATGGCGTCGGAGTTCGACTTCACACCTGTCCCGCGCATTAGAGAATCCGACGAAATAGGTGGCGCAACGAGTTCATTCGGAAGTAAACAGAGAGATATAAAAAGTCGATGAATATATACTTAGAGATTACGGTGAAGCAGGTGCAAATCTTCCTTGAATAATTCAAACTTTTACTTCAAATGAATTAGCACAATGGGAATATCAAATGAGAATTATATTTCATTTATTAAAGAAGAAATGAGTCGTGGGGGGAGGGGGGAAATATGCCGTTTTCAGTTTGATATCAATTCTCTGTGTTCTCAAACTTTACGATGTTTCATGTCAACAAAATGTTTAAATAAAAGAATAAAACCCACCAGCAATTCGATGACGTTGATTTTTGGCATATTTGATAACGAGTACATATTTGAACAAATAAAGGGTTGCATTGATATGAGTGAACCAATTTCCAATTCCGAAAAAAATATATATTTCAATGCCCGGCTCATTAATAAACATTGAGGCAGGCACAATTCGTGCGCAATTCGCATTTTGTCGAGAAACCCGACAAGATTGTGCCTGCAGCGTTGCCAATGACAACCTTCGCTCATAATCGGCTCAGTCTTGTATTGATCGCGGCGAATACGGGCGGAATGAAAAAAATGAAAATTAAAAAAATGAATCGATTGGAACCAATTAATTCAATATTTAAACAGACCAATTAAACAAGTTTCTGAAAACAAATATTCGTATTCTGAGAATTAGAGTGATTCTCTCTTTCTCTGTTTTTCTCTGGAATTTCTAAAAATAACTTTATTTTCAAGATCTCAAATTTAGGATTATTCAAATGATTTAAAAAAAAAGAAATTATGCCAAAAACGAGAGCGAGACTGTCATGTTTGAAATAGGAGCCAATTTGGATATCACTCTATAATAAGACGACAATTGGAAAGGGTAATATGAGCCTCTCTTTCAACAGGTTGGAATTGAAAATTTAGTACACCTGCTGCGGCGGGCAGCAATTTAGAGATTAGTTGACACGGGGCGCAACAACGAAAATAGAGGAGGCCGCCAAAAACGGCTACTAACGAGATGCATCATAATAATTTGAGAAGGTTGGTTGTCCAGGTGTCGGCCGACAGATAAGCTGACACCTGCTTCATCGTTGAACGGACCAGCTCACTCGATGAATAGTGTGCATTGCAAATTTCGTGTGTAGGTGTCTCCGTATGAGTGCGTGTGTTGTGTGCGCACGCCTCGCTAATCATTGCGATATAGCCGGAAAATCGCGCGAAAATCGCCTCGCAAAAACCATATAAACTGTATTTTTCGACCGTCTCGCTGCGTTTCGCACATTTGCGCTCCAGCTCGCCTCAATCGTCTCACTGTCAAAACCATGGCGCCAGCGCCACATTCAAACAAATATTTGCGCAACGCCTTTTTGGCCGCCGGACCGACGATCGTTTTGCCGGCTAATGATGAACCTATTTGCAACGTAATCATGTGAATCCTACTCCTATAAAAGGATTAGCCGCAAAATCAATTTATAATGATACGAATGTAGTAAAATATATTTATATGCCGAAATGGGACCAGACACTCATAACTCGATGATTTCGTATAATTCCTTTATAGGATTTCGAGATGTTGTTGAGAAAGAATTGAGCGAAACGGATTGCAAATCAAGTAAATCTTCAAAGAAATGTTTTTGGATACCACGACTGAACCTTTTTGGCATCTCTGAAATTGATTTTTTGAAACTGAAACATTTGAACGTTCATTTATTTCGTGTTCGCCTTCTAATTTGCATCACAAAAAGAAAAGAAAAGCAAATGAGCTCCGATATTCCTAATCTGCATTGTAATTTGATGTTTATCGAGAGTTTCCACAAAAATGACTTTAATCGTTTAACCGAACAATTGGAAATGTTTTTTCGAAATTCGAATTGGAAATTCGTAAATTTCGAATCACTCATGAAGATCAAAACCTTGATAGTTGAATTTCCTATTGATACTTTATGAGTAATTTGTGCTTAAACGCTAATAAACGCTAATAGATAGCCATTTATTTTATAATTATAAACTAATTGCGATCTAATTGAACTTTTAGCAAGCCATGTCTCGATAAACACGAGGCATTTTTTATTGCTTTTCGGATATAATCGGATATATAATAATTAGAATTTGAAATTAAAGAATTCAGAAGAATTGAAACTCTGCTTTCTGAACATTTGATTAAAGAAAATAATATGTTGACATGTAATTTGAGATGACATAAATTCGACATGTCTATATTCGGTTTATTGGTTCAGCCCAAAAAAGTTTTAAAAAAATTTCCGTGTCTCGTTGGAAAAGGTTCAGACACACGCACGCAAAGTTGCACTCATTTAAAAATTTATTTGCTTCTTTTAATACACCTTTTCAAATTTTAATGTTAATAATCTGCACTTTACACACGTAAACTGGAAGGTCTTCTGAGTGCGTCCACAAATTTCACGAATTCTGGAACGGAAGGTAAAATGACATCCGTTATAAAATTCTAGCTGAAATTCGATGAATTTCAAAATCCAGTTAATATATTCAAATTATATTCCAGTTATGTTTAGACTTTCTGAATTGTGTCTGAAAGCAAATATGGTTTGTCAATGTTTATTTTTTTTGCGAAGTGACTTTTCAAAATTTAAATCAACCAATTCATGAGAACTTTTTTTCCTGAATTTTTCATTGTTCTCTTTTCTTTTCTCGTTATATTTTAATACTGTAATCAATAAGTATGGACACATCATCAGTGTCCACTATCCGCACTTAATCTCGATCATCAGCAGTACTTTAGTAGTCGGATCAATATGGCGAAATAGTGGGTCGAGCGAGGATTGTAGAGACACGAATACGGTCAGTTCGGCGACGATTTGTGTCGCGCACGAGCGCGCACTGACATGTCTTCGCATTGCAAAGTTTTCAAGATTTTACCACGTTGGCCGGATTTGTAGTCCTCTGTTTCCAGTTATTGATTGTTGTAATTGGTGATTTGAAATCGAACTGTCGTAGAGCTCTTACCGATTTTGGAAAATTGAACAGCATTTATAGTCTCGTAGTCTCGTCTAGTCAGTTCCTCGCAGATCATCAAATCCGGGTTCAGAAATAAAAAAAAATCAATATTTCCAAAATTACAACTTCAATGCTTATGCACAAGCGACATTTTATATTTGTCGCCGTTTGTTGTACATTCTATTATGGAATTTTCATGCGGAAAAGAAACGACGTTTCTTCCATTGATTTAATCGATTTTTGACTGCCCGCCGAACATTTTATATTCGATACAACCTTGTTTCAAAGAATATCTAAAACGAATATTGCATATACATACGGTTGGTATTTTTTATTTAAGTTGGCAAAACAAATATTTAAGTATTTTAAATGTCTCGTTTGTTTTTACATTTCTTGATTAATTTTCGGTCAAATCTGAAAACATCAACTCTTTCGGTGACGGCGAATGATTATTTGGAAAACTGCGATCAATATTGCTACATTCATCTGTAAAATATCAGTCTTGTGGTTTAATAAAAATTTTCTCAATGTTTAGTCAAAATAATCAATAAATCAGTAGCCACAGAAAATCATGATCTCTGGATTTTCAATATATACTATAAACTAAACTCTTAAAATGTATGAAGATATCTATTTTTTTTTTCAATAAAAATTTGTCCAAATTGAGTGCAAAAGCTTTCGTTTATTTCCAGTTCAAATTTGGATTATATTCCCATCAAGAAATAATGTTTGTGATTTTTCCAACTTTTCCTTTCGCCTTCTCTTTTTTTCCTATCAAACTGTGTCACCGCGTTCGCTTTTTATCTGCTTCCAAATTGGGTCAAATGATTTGACGGCGAATGTTTGGGGAATATACAATTATAGACATAAATTAGCCCACAATCGTCATTCATAAGTTTCTTTTTTCCGTACCTCGAATCGATTGCTTCTAGAATTCTCCTTGGAAAGTCGACCGGTTTGCCAATCGTTCTTTTTCCCGTGATTCGGTCGCCTCAAAATTCGATTACTGTGAAAATTTCCTTCTACGTCGTTTTTTAAACGATATATGTAGTTCTGCAAACTGTTGTTCACACGACCGGTTGGGCGTGCCGTACTTTGTCTATAAAAATGATTCCGCGTACTTTTAAATGTAAACAATAAATATAAAAAAGTTCCCAATTTTATAATGAATATTTTGGCATAAGTTGTTTTAACTTAGTAGAAATGTTCGATGGATTTTCGAAATAAAATAATTTGTGTTAAAATCCTACTGTTATAATTTTGATTAAATCTCAGCCTTCATTCAGGCAATCAATCCCAGTATGGAATTACATCCTTTCGATGCATTTCAATAGAATTTGTTTCGTTCAAACTTTGCGTTTTTCAGATAATGAACCTACACGACGCCATTCATCTGCTTTTCGTACCATTCTTAATTGCCACCATCTCAACGGCGACTGGCCAACAATACAAAGAGGCCATCGAATTGTCAATGGCCAACCACGACCAGGTGCTGGCGAGTGCCCAAGTAGTGTTTGTTGCGTTCTGCGCCGACTGGTGTCCATTTTCTCGACGCCTTAAGCCAATTTTCGAGGAATCGGCGCGAGTGTTCCATAAAGAGAATCCGAATGCGCCCGTCATCTGGGCCATTGTTGACAGTCAGAGACAGGTGAATTCTACTCGCATTGAATAAAAAAGAGACACAGAAACAAAATTTCAGGCGGATGTTGGTGACAAATACTTTGTTAACAAATACCCAACGATGAAAGTTTTTGTGAATGGAGAACTTATTCAAAAGGAGTACAGGTAGGCATTGACACATGAAATTATCTGAATTTTTATTAAATCAGTACTTTTTTTCATGAATCCCCAGAAATGTCGAATTGCCCATCAGAAAATTCATGTTTTCTTCCAGATCCTCCCGCTCCGTCGAAGCCCTCACTAACTTCGTCAAATATCAGCTTTCAACCGCCATTAATGAATTTGCTTCTCAAGATCAACTCGATGCAACTCTTGATACTTCAAAGAGGAACATTATTGCATGGTTGAGAAAAGATGGTCCAGAATATGCGAACCTCAAAGTAAATCTTACTTGAACCAAAAAAAGAACAAATGCAACTGCAAAATTTTTATAGAAAATCGCTTCCCTGTTGCGTGAAGACTGCACATTCTGGGTGCCAACAGATGAACTCGCGGGTAAAAACACGGAAAATAAACTGTCTTTCAAGGACCCTGACAATGAAGGCGAAGTAAAGTTCACAGGAAATTTCCATGATTACGAGTATTTGAAACAATGGGTGACCGACAAGTGTATCCCATTAGTCAAGTGGGATTCACAACCGATAACATTCAAAAAAGCATTTTAGGGAAGTCACATTCGAGAATGTCGAAGAACTCACCGAAGAAGGGATGCCATTCCTCATATTTTTCCGCGATCCCGCTAATCGCGAAGGTGACAAGGTGTTCGCAGAAGCAGTCGCTCGCGAACTGCACGATCAGCGATCGGCTGTGAATCCTCTTCTCGCCGATGGTCACAAATTCGCCCATCCTCTCAAACATCTCGGAAAAACCAAAGAGGACTTGCCAGTGCTGGCTATCGATTCTTTCCAACACATGTACCTTTTCCCGGATATGTCGCAGCTCAATGTGCCTGGCAAATTGAGACAAGTAGGCCGAAGAAATGAGCGATGAATTAGGTTGAATTTCAGTTCATCATGGATTTGCATTCTGGAAAATTGCACAAAGAATTCCATGAGAACCTCGACCAACGAATGATCGAGTTGGCCAAAGCTAAAGCTGAGCGCGGAATCACCGATGAACATGAGAACGAGCCGCCAGCGGCTCGTCCAGTTGACACAACTCCACCCCCATCAGTTTTCAAAGAGCTTAAACCATCTGATAAGCGCTACTCTATTCTTCAGAAGACTGAACTTTAGTCATCTTCAAAATGCCTACTAATATTAATAATAATAATAATAATAATACGGTCCGCATAATTTTAATGTTATTATTTTTGTCTTCAATTTTCGGGTGTTTTACATACAATTGTGATTATTTCATTGTTTACTTTGTGATAAAATATTTACAAAATTCATGAAAGCAGTGACCTTTTTGGGCAATGTTTGAATCAAAAATTATGAAAGAATCGCGCGCTCTGTGGCGAAATTATAATCGAATTCGTCAGAAGTAATACGCGAAATGTCGACGTAGTTTGAAAGATCAGGAAGCTCGTTGGACTGAAAAAATATTTAAAAAAAAAATAATTATGCCCGATTTTGGGATTTTCTAAAATTTACCTTCGTCTCAGAATTTACAAATCGAGGATTGACTTTGAATTCAATGCCATCTATAGCCTTTATCCTCGGCATACCCGAATTCTGAAAAACTAATATAAACGTTGAAAATACTAACAAACAATACCCTCATTGTAAAAGCATTATTAGAAGTGTTTCCAGTTCCATCAAGATTTGGAGTAGACTGTGGTTGAGGCGAAAGACCAGGATAAAGACCAGTTTTCGGGGTTTCCAAATTACTCGAACTATTTGATCTTGGAATTCCATACGTCTGCGGAATGGTAATTACTCGAAAGCATATTAAAAGTTGATCAACTTCTCTGGAAATTTAAATATAAGAAAACCCTGAAACAAATCGTAATAATACCCAGCAGAAGTGTAATTTCTCGGCACTTTTTTGTTTTTAGCAAAAATCACAATTTCACCAATAGCGTCAACTACACGGTCTCTTGGTTCAGTTCGAATGCAAATATATTTTTTACGAAGAGATTTTTCGCCTGAAATAATATTTATATTTCATCATTTAAAAAATCATTACGGCTATCCGCGGTGTAATCAATTGCAACATATCCATGAGGAATAGGATCATTTTCTCGAACAATAATCATGTTGGTAACAACATGAATTGGAGCCTAAACTGGACGCGTTAATTGCGAAATGATATGAAAAATCCCAACCTTAATTGTGGATTCTGGTATTTCTGTACTGACGCAAATATATCTCACTTGACGGCTCATGGTGAAAAAGCTGTCCCTCCATAAATCAGCTTCCGATTGATCGTCTCTACATTTTACAATCTGAAAATAATTAAAGTAGATAAACGCTGATTGGAAATATATACCGGCACAAATCCTTTGGGAGCCTTATTTTTATCCGCAACAATGCATACACTCGTGATAGGAAGTGCGGGCGTTGATGCGTTATCATCTATGAATTCGAAATCTGCCATTTCTGAAATTAATAGCTAAAATAAGAATTTAACAGAAAAAGTAACTTGAAAACGATCAATTTAACTAATAAAAACCTTGCACGGAGTTTGGGTCAAAGTGAACAACATTGACGCAAACATAGACTCTGACGCTTTTGCGGAATGTTTAATTTTGAGGTCATTACATAATGCTTACATTTGAAACATTGATGGTTGATTTATAAAAAAAAAGAAATGCGCACGAAGCTAAAAGAAAAATATTTTTAAAAAAGGAAAACATTGATAATCGCAGGTTAATTAACTTTTCAATTAATTTTAATGCTATGGACTAGGTTTTTGAATATAATGATTAGGCCATGGATATTTAAATGCAATGTTTTGCTTAAAAAAATCTTCTCAAAAGTTCCAAATATTCATATTGGAATTCTAGTTTCCATATATTTATAGCGCAAATTTATTCATATACAATCTAAAATGCATCGATCGGAAAATTACTTGATCTCTTTCTAAAAATGTGCATCGAGGATAGCAAAAAATAAAGAAAATTTTCAAAAATTTCAATTGAATTTGCGTGGCCGATTTCCACGTAAAAAAATAAATATGATTTTTATTTTATTTTCTTGGCTTAAACTATTCAGTTTACATTATGCAAATCAGGTAGTAGTACGTTAATATTTTATTTTTTTTTTCAAAAATTTCAGGCTATCGATAATAGTTTTTGCGTTATACATTGTCTCCGTTAATTCAGAATTCAAATCGATAACATTCTCTAATTATGATGAAGTGTTAAAATTTAGTAAAGTATAAAAATTAAAATAATATAGTCGCCGAATTACTAATTAAGCTGGAATTTGTGTCGTTCACGGCTGATTGGTGTCCATTTTCGCGAGAACTTCTGAAATCTTTCCGAAAAGCAGCAGCAGAATATCCAAACCAATATCCATGCAGCAGTGTTATGTGGGCAAACATTGACTGTGTTCGGCAGGTTTCGAGTATTTTCAGTAACATCGAAATTTTTTTTTAATTTAGGATGATATTTGTGAGAAACATAATATTAGAAAATTTCCCACAATGAAAGTATTATTTTATGGTTATACAATTGCGGAATACAGGTATATTTTTCTGAAATTATGAAGAAAACATCTGAAAATTGGTGTTATTAACATCTCAGAATAGCTTAAATCTTTTAGAGGAAGTCGTTTTTTTGATGATCTGATGAGATACATTCATAAATTTGACGATTTGCAAACCCTTCTTGATATGGTATTCAGAAAATGTTTCAACATATTTTATAAATAATCGTTGTTTCCACAGCAAGAGATCGAATCTATTACTTTATGGCAAGATTATGCTAAACCCATGAAAGGAAATGTAATAGTCTGGTTCCCTCAAAATTCTGCACCTTTCGAGTTAATCTTGGTAATTTAATAATTTAAATTTTTACTATTTTTCCGATTTTCAGCGAGCTGCTGCACTTGAACATGATAAAGTGGTTGTAATAGGACCAAAAAAGACATTGGATTTGCAGTCCGAAGAGCACATGCTCTTATTTTCGAGCGATGGATCTCATTTTAAACGAGTTCGTCGGTACAAGATTTCAAACAGACTTCCGCGTTTTTTTTTCAGTACAATGGTTCGATTTCGAGTTTTGATGATATTTCGAAATGGTTGACTCAAAATTCTCATGGAATTGTTCGCGAATTGACATTCGACAATTCGGAAGCTCTCGTCGACGAAGGGAAACCATTTTTGGTTTTATTCCGAGATAACTCGACAGACTTGGACCAGAAATTTCGAGAAGCTGTATTATTTAATTTCCGAAAGAAATTAGATGAATCGAATGTTCAGATTAGTCGCGAATTAAACTCCGAGATGTTTCAAACATTAAATCCACTAATTATCAACGGAATAGTTATCAGTTACCCACTCTACGCTTTGGGTGTCAAACTGCCACAACTTCCCGTTTTAGTAATCGATGAATTTGTTCATATGTACAATTCAGGATTGAGTAAGGATGAGATCTTTGCTGAAGGGAATATTAGAAAGGTATGTTTTTCAAAAAATTAATGCTCCCTTATTTTTTTTTAGTTTGTCGAAGATTTCTTGAGCGGAACATTGCACCGTCGATTTCATGCTTGGGAGATCGAGGAAGTTGATAAACCATTAAAATCTAAAACACCTGCACAAAATAAAACAATAAATCTTCAACAACCCGTAATATCTAAAAAAAAAACAATTAACAGCTTTCAAATTTATTTTTTCCAGAAAAACACCGAAGATCTTGAAAAAATTGTTCGAGTTGAAAGCGCTTTTAAGAAAATGGAACCAAGCAAAAAGCGATATTCATTCAAGCAAGAATTGTGATGTGTTAAAAAGAAGAATTTTATCACCAATAATTTAATTAATAAAATAAAAGTGCAATAAATTATACATTTCACAAGAAAATTCACTATTAAAGGAACAAAAACATTTTTTAAATTATTCACGAAATGCCGTAAATGAAGAAGTTTTCTTTTATAATCCAAACACTTCAAACCTTGAATTATGAAAGAAATATTTAACGCTTCTTCATGTTTACAAACATAATGCGAATAAGGTTATGAAAAACCACCATTAGTCCAACGAAAATAGAATAAAAACCTAACGTCTTGGCTTTGGAAAAATTTATATACCGGCAATTAGAACAAGAAGAAGAAACAGGCTCCCAGTTGTACGCATTTACTTAATTTCCAGTTGGTGGTGGCGGCGGTGGTGGATAAGCGGAGTACTGTTGCTGCGGTGGTTGCTGATATTGCGATTGTTGAGGGTTCGATGATGGTGGTGGGCTTTGATAGTTGGCGATAGTCGACGGCGGTGGAGCAGCGAGCTGCGAGATTCCGAGTGAGCTCAACGAAGGCATTGGGAAATTGATCGGTGCCGGTGGTGGAACTGAAATATTAAAAAAATCCAAGACATCACAATCAAATATGAAAGTATGAAGTTACCATATGATGTTGGTGGAGATGGAATAGACGTATTTGAAAACATTGGAGGAACAGCTGATGGAATGTCCGGCTTGTAAGCTGGAAATGAGTTTATTGGATTAGAAATCAAAACGAATTTCTTACGGGCAAAAGACGGTGGTGGCGCATATTGTTGTTGTTGTTGTTGTTGGGGCACAGATTGTTGATTGTAATATTGATTAGTGTAATTATTTTGTGGCGCTGGTGGTTGATAATATTGGTTCGGAGAACTGATTGGTGGAGTTTGATATGTCGTTGGCGTCGAATATGAAGCTGATGGATAACTTATTGGAGGAGCCGAAGATTTTGAATAGTAATTGACTGGATTATCCGTGTATGTTTGTTGGAGCTGTTGAGGTGGTTGAGTGGTGACTGGGTCAATTGGTTGCTGCTGCACAATTGGCGTAGGAGTAGATTCGTACGACTGACCGTGGCTTCCATTTTCATGCGAATGATCATGATCTCCACCTTCATGAGAATGTCCATGTCCACTTTCTATTTAAAAAAATATTTCCTCAACGTTTAATATATATGAGCATTACCGTGAGAATGGCCGTGACCATTCTGTTCGTGTGAATGACCATGCCCACCATTCTGTTCAGAGAGCGGTGGAGGTTGCGCAAGAACCGTGGGCTGGGGCGGCGGAGGTGGAGTATACCCAGTTTGCGCGAATTGCTGGATTGGAGCAGGAGGAAGCGGCATTTGGGACGTAAACTGTGACGGGTCTGGGAAATTTGAAGCCGCTGGAGGCTTCGCAGTATTGACTTTGTCAATCAAGACGTTATTGACTGGTGGCGGCACAGAAGCAACAGTTGGTTTGGATCTATCAACAGAAACCGGGATTCTGTGAAGATATCCATATCCAATGTCACAGCCAAGACATCCCTCGCCTCCCCAAGCAGAATTCGGTGTAAGAGACACCTCGCGAACAACATCACTGTCAACGTTATAAACATATAATTTCAAAGGCTTTCCTTCATTTGCTTGAACCAAAGCAATCAAATCATCGGCTTGATGAAGTACGCTTTCAGCGCCGAGTATGTAGTCCGTTTGCGCAATAAGGCCAGCAAGACTAGCAGGCGAATTTGGCTTAAATAATTATTATTTAAAAAATCTCCAATTATCTTAATTACCTGAACAGAAATAACATGCCAAACATGCTGACTAGCGCCATCAAACGAACAAAAACGAATTGATACTCCCAAAAGCCCTTGTCCTCCCCAGTTTTGGGATGGAACAATAGTAGTCTGGCGAACAGATTGAGTTTTGCTAAAATGAAAAATAATAATTCATATTTTTCTTTTGAGAAATACCTGTTGTACACTGTAATTTCTAACGGCTTGTCTATATGCTGCTTGAGGATATCTTTCATGGTTTCATTGTCCGTGTCCTTTAGAAGAAATAAACTAATTTAAATATAGAACTATTATCTTACCAATCTGGTATTTCCGATGCAAACGATAAAATCAAAAAACGGTTCAAGTCCAGCTTGTGCTCCTGGCGAGTTTTCTTGAACCTAAATTTTTGGTCTCAATTTTCTATGATTTCAAATATTATTAATCTTACCCGTAGAACATGATAGCCTTCGGTGCCTCCACCAGGAATTGGTACACTTTCGCTGCTTCCCATTTTGAGAAAACTGGAATCAAATATTCGTATAACACTGTGTAACAAGATTGGACGTGTGCGAGAATCAACGGAGAATCTCTTTCGCCACGCGTACTCGGTGTATTGGCCGCAAACACCGAGGAATATAAATACACAAAAAATACTGCCCAAATTATTTGTTTTTATTTTTCAAATTAATGGAAAAAAATGTTAGGGAAGACTGCGAGAGCTGCAGCGGTGAATGTTTATTTAAAAATTAACAATTTTTAACTGACTATTTTTTTGCTTAAAATTTAAAAATTTTATTTATGACTAATTTTTGAAAGCGAGATGAAGCCACTAATAATTTGTTGTTTACAAAGAAAACTTCAATACTATTTTAACCTAAAATAGACTTGTAATTTCTTTAAACGTTTTAAACGTGTAACGCGAATCAAATTGCAAGATCATGGCAGAAATTTTGCTCTGCCGAATTCGACCTATTTTTATTAACTTTATCGTACATTTATGGTTACATTTTTTATTTCACGGTTTTTCAAAATGTTCTGCTTCTTTATCATCAAATTTAATCAAATTTAGTCTTGAAATTACCACAGTTTGATCGAATATTCAAAAACATTCCTCATTTTACAATATCATTCGCATCTCTTTTACTACCGTAATCCGAACTCTTCACTCCCGAAATCTTTTTTCTAATAACGGCTAAAAGTAGCTAATTAGCTAAAAAAGCATAACTATCTTTACAATGTGCACCATGCACCCTTAATCCACCCAAATCGATCAATACAACAGGCAGCTGGGAGGCCACAGCAGCGGCAGCAGCATGGCCGTCCTCGTATCGGCGCAGAGAGAGACTGCCTCACATACGCACGCTCACTCGTACACTCAGACACACAAAACAGCACGCCGAGGCCCCGACCAACACCAATACATTCGCTTCGCCTCGTTCGATATATATATTTTTCCCGTCCTCGATTCGATTCGTCTTTGCCCACAAAACGATTGATTATTCAGCAGAATTCGGTTCATTCTATCCATAAAAACACTCCATGCTCTAGCATAGTTGTCGAGAAAATTTAAATTCTGGCATCTGCGTTCGCTGGAGCACATTTGTGACACCAAATGACGCGTCGAATTAGTAGTAGCAGTAGGTGTTGTCGGAACGATGATATGATGGAAACGGTTTCAGAAATGATTAAACGACGGCACTCACGTCGTTGCTCGCCGTCGCCGAAACGGAAGCGAATTGGTAAGTATTTTGATTTAAAATTCATTAAAATATTGCGTCCAAATATAATAATTCTCAACGAAATTTCTAATATCGAAATCAATATAATCTCTTGTGAACGAAAATATGTTCCAGCCATCAGATATTGTAAATATATTTTGCTAATAAATGATAGTAAATCTGTTTTAACTGCGATACGCATTAAAAAATTACAGAATACTGTTTAATAGTGAAAATTACGTTTAATTGTGAATGAAGTGTTCAGAATCGTCTCCGAACCGCAGAAAATCATCATCGGATGTTGTTCGACCTCCACCTGAGTTTCCTACATTTGATTATGAGGCACGTTGTCCCACATTCACAAAATTTGTCGAGCTTGATCCCGAAGATGTCACCTTCAGTAACAGTACTTTGGTAAAAATCTAATTAATCATTATTTATTTATTTACTCTCGCCTTTGATTAGATAACTCTGCAACACGAGCTTGAAGATATGTTGGCTCAATGTGCAATGAACATGCGGCGTACAAAAGGCGAATTGCAGTTTCTCAACCATGGAGATTATCCCAAAGAAGATTTGAAAAAGAGGCAATTTTTGTATATTATTTTAATAATTGAACAACAGATTTAGAATTATGCCAAAATTTGACCTGAGAGTGTTAGCAGAAGCGACGTCTCCAACTGCCATTCTCGAAAAAGAAGGGTGTGTTATTTTTATTAAGCGATGAGTCATATTGAAAAATCTCTTTTTGTTATTCGTCCTATATTATTAATCAAGTTATATTGAACTTCACACTTTAAATTTTCTTTTCAAAATTTATCAACTCGTTTACTATGATTTTTTTCGTAGCGATAGGTAACTGTTTTTCACAGAAATGAATGTCAAATTTGAAGTTTTTGTATTAAAACAGTATTAATTTATTAAATGTTCTTGTGTTAAAATTATATTAATTCAATATTTTTATTATTATCAACTAATGGGCTTTTTCAGAATTTGCGGGTTACCTGAAGAAGACGAAGAAGATGACTTCAATCAGTTTCCTCCTTATCATATTCCCACGAGATTTTGGACTTGGTGCAAGGTTTTTTTTTAAATTATTATTCATGAGTAATTTAATGAATATTGTTTAGAAGGACTTTTTAAAAAATGTCGATGGAGAATATCTACGAAGTTTCAAAGAAATGATTGTCGATAAGTATACTTCCAAAGGAATTGAGCAATATTTGGTGAATGGTTTGAAACTTATTTTGTTTCGTGTTCAATAATAATTTATCTAGAGCCTTGGAAATATCGAAAAAGGGCTGCCTCAAAGGGGAGTCGTAGCGCCAATAAAACGCCAAAACGTGTGTCTATTTCAAATGAGGTTTCATGCAGTAATGGAACAACACCGAAATCAAACGGCCGGAGAATGTAAGAATCAATTTAATGAAACTCTAAAGAAACGGGTCGTTTATTTTCAGTTCGATTACACGCTCGCAGAGCTCAAAAGATTCCGTAAATAATAATAAAATTACTCCTGTTATTGATTCGATGGTGATGTCGGCATGTAAAGAATACAAGGATACACCGTGTCGACGAGGTTCTCGTATTCGTAAACCGAGCCGTGATGAGTCAAGGGAAAGACGATGTGAGTTCTACATTTTTTCTAATGTTTAAAATTTATTATACAAATAACTCAATCTATATATATATATATATATATATATATATATATATATATATATATATATATATATATATATATATATATATATATATATATATATATATATATATATATATATATATATATATATATATATCGTAATTCACGTTTGCGTGGTAACATTGATTTTTTATTATTTCAATTTCAGCTTCAACCAAAGCCGAAATTGAAGTGAAAATTGAAAATGAGGAAGAAGATGACGAGCCCGAAATCAGTTTCAATCAGAAATTGAGTCCAAATGGTGAGATTGTTACAATTTTTCCTTTAAAAACATATTTTTGACATAGGAATCTCGCCGAAATCAATAAAAAAAGAACGGGATGGTGAGATAATTCTAAATGGGAATTCGAACGGATTTCATTCGCCTGGAAGCGATTCTCGAGAGAATGGGTTTATTCCAAATGGTGTCACACCATTTAGAAATTGTTTGACCAATGGGAAATTAAACGGCGAAAAAACAGGACCGAAACGGAAAAATGGAGAAAAATCGCCGGATTTGTCGATGAATGATTGCGAGGATATGCCGCCACCATTGGCGCTCGAAGATTTCGACGCAAAGGCGATTGGATCGAAAATAGTCGCAAAATTAATCGAAGGTGGTATTCTGCCGGAATCTAGTGCTCTGGTTTTTGAACAAATGTCAACGGTATTTTTTAATAAATAAATAATTTTAAAACCAGAATTGATCGATTATTTAAGAGTGCCAACGAGCGAAATTGTTTCGAGCTTTCGAAATTAAGTCTAAACGAAGATGGGCGAGAAGAAGCTGATGATCCATCCGTCGATGAGCTGTCGGCTGAATTGAAACGGTGCCAATTAGAACTGCTCGAACTTCAACCACAACTCAATGCTGCCGTTAGCATGGCTTGGCGTAGAGCCAAATCTCAATACGCATTCTGGCACACGTATGAGCAGTACAAGGCGGCTGACTATGATGTATGTGAGGGGTGCCGATGAAACCTAATTGATGAGTTTTCAGTTATTCCGTCTTGGTGTCAACATGTATCGGGAGCTGCCCCGCAAATTGCCAGCATTGCTCGAACAACCGATACTGAAGGTGAGAAGGAGTTGATACAAAGAAAAACATTAAATTCAAACCGACTTAATCAATTATTTTAAATTTTATTTAGGAAGCGATGAAACGTCGAAACCGTGAAGCGCGCTTCCACTACGGTTGTACTTATCGTCGTCATCCGAAATATCGTTGGAAATCTCGATTTTTGCCATCTACAAGCCGAAAACGAGCATCGAATTCGCCATAAAATTTGTTTTGATGCTTAAAATACCGGTTCATTCCAGTCACAATATGTACACATTTACTTAATTTATTTATTTGTTCAAAGCCGAAAATTGTTGCTCAAGAATTTTCAAAACCATCTCTTTATACCGATTTTAATTGAAAACGTGTCGTCATTATGATCGTTCAAAAATGGTTTGTTTGTCTTTGATCTCGATAGCACGAAGAAATCTATTATTGTCGGGTTCCACCACGATAATCTGTTTCTTTTTTATTTGTATTCTAAATTTTTTTCCAAACGTATGTATTTCGTTTTCCATCATTTTATAGAGCTTTTCCTAAAATTTATGTATTATGACATATCTCATGTAATATAAATTATTTCTATGTTTCTTTTTATTGTTTTGGCTAAAAAGTACATTTGTGAAGATCAATTTGAATTGTGCTCGAAATTCTGAACTGAAGAATCGTTCAACCATTGCAAAATTTTAGATTTTAAGCGGAACATGGATTAGGCCGAACAAAATGGAAAACACGGTTCAACAGGTGAAAATTTGAAACTCATCAAGAAAATAAAAATTTCACAATGGAAAATTTATTTGCTTCTCTTTTCGGAGAAATTCAATTACTGAAGGGGTTAGACGAAAATCCTAGGAACGAGGGGATAAAAACGCAAATTCGCGCTTTTTACAACAATCGACCGATGCGAAGTCACGGGAGAGGAATCAAGAAGCGAGAACCGGGATGATTTTTAATGTGCAGTGCCCTTGAGTTTTAGCCAAAAGCTTGCTATCGATAAATCAGACATATCCCTTTGAGTGACTTAAAAATTCATTAGTTGAGAAAAAATAGTTGAAAATTTTAAGTTTCGGACCCACAATAATAGGAATATTTAAAATTTTTGCTGAAAACGACATAGTATACTCGCGAGTATATCGCGATAGAGAAATTCGTGAACTATATATATGTATAATAATCGCAAAAAACGAGCGCCTCGCATAATTATGGACCATCGCACATTTTCGAGGTAGCAATTCAAATTCGAATTTAAACAATGGAAAATTGGACACCATGTTACGGATAACCTAAAAAAACCCCACGGGCAGAAGTACCTCCCTTTTTTTCCTCGAAACTGCGACGTGAATAAAGGCGCACGATCGTGACTCAAAACCAATCTGATCCGACAAAATTCGGCCCCGGAATCAACCTTATCCGATTGGTAATTCTACGAATAAGATTGGAAAATTGTCGTATCCGATTGGTTTTTTGGGAACTTTGGGATCCGATTGGTAATTTGTCGTATCCGATTAGATTTTCTTCGAATCCGATTGGTAATCATTTGAATCCGTTTTGTTTTAATATTTCAATTCGAATCGGATTCGACAAATATCCAATCTTATCCGTAGAATTATCAATTGGATCTGACAAATTACCAATCGGATCCGAAAAAACCCAAAAAACCAATCGGATACGACAATTTTCCAATCTTATTCGTAGAATTACCAATCGGATAAGGTTGATTCCGGGGCCGAATTTTGTTGGATCAGATTGGTTTTGAGTTACCAGAGGAGATTGCGTCTATCATGACGCGAAGAGGCATTTTACGTATACACTCTGTATTTTTGTTGTGTCTTGCTAGTATATCAACCCTGGAAATTTTCTTAATATAAGGGGGGGGGGCTACGTCTCTCGCCATGGGAAATTCACATTGTGAATGTTTATTTTGTTATTTTGAAATTTTTATTTTCTTGATGAAATTTTTATTTTTTTATGATTTTCACATTTCCATGAGTTTCTAACGTCTTTAAAGTGAAACGTATTTAAAATTGTCTCTAGAATAAAAAATAACCGGTTAGCCTTTGCGTTGCCATCATAGTGAATGACGCATCCCCGTAAATCTATCCACGTACTATTTTAGGGATTCATTTGTCCATTTTGTCTATTGGACTGCGGAAACGTCACAAGTTTGATTCAACATGTTGACGAGGACCATCAGGAAGAAGAGGATAGCCGAGATTTCACCGATAGCGTTCGCCAGAATTTTAAAGGTTGGAATTTCAATTTATATCATTTAATGGTAAGTATTATTTAGGGCTTGTTGACAAAGCAAAACGTGGAATAAAAAAATTGGATGCGAAAATGAGCCTGACCGACATTGCTAGTGTTAGTTAACTAATACAAATATCACGTTCAAAAAATTCTATTTCAGCTAAATTTGTCATCGAGTGTTTCTTCAGATCTCGTTAATTTAAAATTTGTGGCTAGTGAGAAAATAGCTGAACATGCACCGAAAATAATCCCAAAACAGCCGATACCACTTCCGCCAGATGTTATTCCATTAGGTATGAAATAGATACTCTTTGCAAAATCTTTCTGAAAGCATTGTTCTCGGTAGAAAAATTCGGGAAACTTGGGGAAGTTTGTATTCATTTGGTTTTGGAATTATTAAACTGAACCATATTCTTACGTCTTCCTTTAAACATAAAGTAATCTATGCTTGAAAAACTTGTAGGGCGATTTTCGAGAAATGTGACATATAAAGATCACTTGTATTGTCGAAGTCAAACGACTTGAGGAAATTTAAAAATATGATTGGCTATGTGCCAATGCGTGTAGCGAGAAGTACGCGAGACTGCGTACATTGCATTATAGTGCACGCGCATAAAATATTCAGTCAGCGAAAAATTTAAATCTACACTTATTTCGCGAATTTGGAGGCTCCGCCTTCCTTCAATCATTTGACGCTGACATTATGACATTCATTTTTGTCTGATTTTAGTTTTATCTCGTAACTGTTTATATTTTGTTTTGGTGGAATGTAGACAAAATATTATTTATTTATATATCAAAATTAATATTATCATTGACAGGAATCCGGAGATCATATACCGATGAATTCCGAAAGTATCGTGAAGAATCTATTAACGAAATTGCGAATCGAACTAATATGCTGATTATACGATTGGATCGTTTAATACATCACTCTCCGAAAGACCCCAATAAACGGCGGGGTTTCTAATTTTTTAAATATTTTATTCAATTGCAATATAGCGTTTTAGAATTTGAGCGTGAAATTGTTCCATGGTTAGACGACTACGATGTTGTATGTTGTCCATTATGTGCGACGAAATTCGGACTCACTCGGAGGCGTCATCACTGTCGATTATGTGGACGGGTACTTTGCCATAATTGTAGTCAATTTTTATCGTTTCTCTCTGCTAGTTTGTTATCTTCAGTTATAAAATACATAATTTCAAATTTAAGGAAAACTAACTAATCCGGCTCTCGCACATGAAATGCTTGAAGCTGCTGCTGCAACAGCAAATTCGCTTAGCAGTTTTAGCGAGAACGAGCCAATTTCAACAAGTGGAAAACGAAAGCTATTCGCTTTGACCCAGAATTCGATGGATCGAATGAAAAGTTTGATTGGTGGCGCTGTGAGCAAAGTGCAAACAGTTGCTGTTAATGCAGCTGGCGACGAAGGAAGTGTCAGCTCGTTGCTTCTTCAGGTAATCATTAGAATTGTTTTATAATAATTTGAAATATTTCTTTTTTTTTCTAGGAAATTTAAATCTTTAAACTAAGAAATAAGTGCATCGGTTGAGATATAATCGAATTGTTTAGGTGCCCAAATTTCAGGATGAAAAGGAGTGTTTGCGCGTCTGCGGTTCTTGTCTCAATGATCTCAAACGTCGAGAATCGATGATGGAACAAGGAAAAGCGCCGGCTATTGTCGAGCAATACAAGCGACTCCGTGCCCTCATGGAAGAAATCCAGAATCTTGTACCTACATATGTCAGAATTGCCAATAGTGTATAGTGAGGGCGTGAATTGTATCAAAAATATCAAAAATGCTGCATTCAGTAATGGCGAAACGATGTATTCGCTGAAATCGGCAGAAGACATGCGGCAAAAATGTCTGGAAAAGCAAAGAGATGTCGATTTACTGAGGTTCGATTCCTTTTTGCTATCCTTGATTTTATATTTTTTGCAGCAAGAAAATAGCAGAAGAATATGATGAGGAAAGAATTGGTCTCAGAGAGCAGCAAATGAGAAAAAACATTCGATCGACAACACTGCACGTTTTACAGGTTTCTTTGTTTCGTTTTACTAAACTATCACACACTATGTAGCGTAATCTGTGTAAAATCATATAATGCTTTTTATGAGATACTATTTTCTAGAATTATATTATCAAATGTTGGATTTTAATGACAAAAATAAAGCAGCAAATTCTTTAAATTTGCAATGTTCCACCAAATTCAATATGGTAAAGTAGATCAAAACATTATAAAATCCTCTGGCATAGTGTTTAGTTTTATTACGAGTATTGTCGAGGACGGCCGAATTTAGGAGGGGCTTTGCTTATTATTCAAATTTTGGCTGATTTTGCGCTAATATAAAAAATGTCGTTTGATCATTCAAATTTTTCAAATTCGTCCGTCTTCGACAAAATTACAATCCAATTGTCTAAATATAAATTAAAACGCTCTCTCCTGTTAATACGTTGTGCAACCAGAAAAAATATTATCTTGAAATTCTCTGCGTATGTTGAATTCATACGCAGATTAAATTTTTTCTGACGCAAGAAAAATATTTTTGTTCATTTCTAGCATACATTTACATTAAATGCATAAATATATAAATATTTTCAGATCATTTCTTTTTTTACATTACATAAGTTCGCTACTGTAATTTTTTAAATTTATATTTTAGTGCAAATCTTTCTCCCATTACATGAATAAATTTGGATGCCTCAAGTTGTCAGCTCGTTTTCTTCTACTCTCACTATGATAACTTTCCTCATCTAACTTGTGTAATAGTATTAATAGCTCTAATTTTACATTTCTCATTTGCATTATTTTCCATGTCGTTTTAGAATCTTGTCGGACAAACTACATCCCTTCCCAGTGCAGAGGAATACAATGTTCTCGTAGAACATCATAAGAAAGATGTTGCTCGACAAGTTGCTCGTGAGCGTGAACGAGCTCTTCTTACTGATCGATCATTAAAGGTACAAGACGAAACTATGACGGCATAGTTTACAGTAATCTGAAATTATTAAAGGTGTCGACCTCAATGCCACAAATGACAACGAATAACGACGAACAAAGAGCAGATGATGGATGGGTGCCAAAACAGATCTCGTAAGAACAACACGGAAAGATAGTAAAAAAAAAGTATAATATTTTAAGAGGAATTAATCCATTTTTGGATGAGGATGATCCTCATCCATTGTATGTTCAAAGAGACGCCGTCAAAGGGTATTTATTCGAATGATTTTAAATTTTAGGATAAAAGATTCAGATATTTGTTTGAAGCTGCAAATGCTGGAAAACTTGATGAAGTTGAAATGTTGGAAAGAAGTTTGCGCGAAATTGAGGATGAATTGGTGGCTTTGGGCCTCGAAACACCACGCTAATTGAAAATTCCCAAATTTAACAGTTATATGTATTTTTTTAAATTTTAGTAACACATATCCCCTCTCGTTTATGTTCTGTGATTTCGTATCCACCCGAATGAAATATTAGTTTTATAAATACCAGTTATTAAATATTGAGATCATGAAGAATGAAAGACATTGGGATAATTGAAGATGATTAGTTTCCGAATCGGCGGTTTAATATGCTGCTGAGAGATGGTCTTGCGCGGACTGGAATCGCAACTCCGTCCTCGTCTACGCTGATCGCGTCGATCTTTTCGCCATATGTCCAACGACGTGGAATTATCTAGAACGTTCTTTATAAATCGATGTTTGATTTGTGTTCCCCTACTTGTCTTCCTGCTACTGTTCCAACTGATCTAACATATGTTTTATCTACCATTAATGGAGTATCGGAGGCGATGTTACGCTCAAGTGCTTTTTCAATAATCGCGTCTTGCTCTCTTTGGCGGTCTTTGAGTCTTCCAAAGAGGTCGCTCACCGTTAGAGTGTTGCATTCTACAAAAATAACCGGTTGGTTTACCGTAAGAATTCAGTGTGACTGTTGATAATAAACAGATTTGATCGTTGAAAGTTTAAAATGAAATGTTGACCCGTGACCATGATCGTTGGTTTGGTTGCGTTGCGTTTCGAAAACGGATATCAAAAAATCGCCCATCATCATTTTTTCTTTTCAAAACAGTATATCGAGAGTTATTGTCTGTATAATTCCAGTGGGACCGGCTCTTCAATTTATTGCCTGAAACAATTAAACCAACCTTGCACAATAAGAACGAATGCAACGAATGTGACAACGTGTTTGAACTGCATTATTCCAACCAAATTGATGATGTTGACACCACGTTTTTTACGCCTTATAAGCAATTATCAAAAGACGATGTAGGCGGAGTCGGGAAACACTAGGAGAATGAAGTACAGCGCAGGGATGATGACGTCTGACACACGCGTTCTATATGATGTGTCGCAGCTACCGGCGTGCAGCAATGAAGTTGAAAGATCGAAAGACGGAACGTCATCGAGTCCGAGTTCTTTAAAATTTCAAAAAAAAAAAGATTTTCAGTTAGAAAAGGAAAAAGAGAATTAAGTGAGAAATTGAATGAGAGCTGAGGATTTTTTAAATAAAGAAAAAGTTTGTTGTCTGTAAATTTGTCTTCTTGTTTGCCTCTGAAAAACATTTTCTTTTTCTTGTACTTATGCTTTCTTGCCGTTCGAAAATTTCAAATTAAACCTATTTTTCTTTTCATGTACATTTAGCTCGAGATGTGCGGAATTATTCTTTGATCTATTATATGTTTTGATGTACTTATTAATAGTTTTACCTATTTTAGTACTTCGTTTAAAAAACACGATGATGATGATATTAGTAATGACAAAATTTAAAAGTACAATTGAAACTTTGATATTAAAACAAAGAACATCATTTGAAGTCTTAAATATTTGCAAGTTAAATTTCAAAAATCGACCTTGATTCCATCTATTTGAATTAAGTACTCTGGTAAATGATTCCGAGTCGTATACGAAGAAAGCTCAATCGTATACGCTGATATCGCTCTTCAAACGCGGCCAAATACGATTGGGATTTCTTAATATACGATTGGCATTTCTTCGTATACGATTATAATTCTTCGTATATGATTGTGATTTCTTCGTATACGACTACAATTCTTCATATACGGTAACGATTTCTTCGTATTCGATTGGGATTTTTTCGTATTCGATTGGGATTTTTTCGTATTCGATTGAGATTTTTTCGTATTCGATTGAGATTTTTTTCGTATACCATTTCACTTTACACTACTCGTTTGGCATTTTAACGCTTTTAAATATATGATGTAAAGATTTCTATACCTGTTTATTTAAAAAAAAATATGAAAGACAAAAAAATGAAAAAGAAAAAGGAATAAATTAATTAATTTTGGTTGGCGCATCAACCATTTTTTTCCACTGCTCGCGCTTTCGATCGTGAATTGTTTCTGAATTAAGTTCATTTGAATGATTAATCATGAGGCAGTCTTCGGCATGTGCAGATTTTGGAGAAAAACGCGAAAAATCTGATTAAGACTAGTTTAGCCGAATCTTTATAATGTTGTCGAGTTTCTTTAAAAGGTTTTTACTGCGTTTCTTTTCAAAATCTGCATAGGCCCACTAAAAAAGTGAAAACTCACAGGAGATAGGTCATATGACCGTGTACCAAATAGGAGATTGTAGAATTCGCCGTTTCGTCAGCCATTCCAGCGATGGTAACCGTCTTTTGTAAAATAGCTGAAATTAATTTAAACATATTTTAAACATTTTTCGCGCTATTTGAGCATACCAATCGCTGTGTTGACAAACCGAACTGGAAGCGTTGCGTGCGGCGGAGTTGGCATAAACGATGTTGAATAATTCACACGATCGTTATTGGGAATTGTCTGAAGATATTTTTTGCAACTTTAAATAATTGTAAGATACCTTATCGACAAATCTGTTGACTGTAGTATTTATCACATGCTTCAGAGCTGCCTTCATGAACGGAATTTCCAAAAATATTTGGGCGACGTTGATGTCTCCTGTTAAAAGATTTAATACAAATTCAAAGCTTTCGAAACACAAAAAACCCACTATTTCCATCCAGTGATGGAATAATTATTTCTGCGTCTTTAAGAGCTTCAGGGTTGTATACGGCGATCACGTCGATCTAAATTTAGAGAATAGCAAAATTTAAAAAAATACTCACATTGTTTTTGTTTGGCTTTGCCGCGAATTTTTGGGATAAAGTTTCTATCTGGAAGTATAGGGTTTCTATAGTTTCTATTGTGGTACTATGCAGATTTCGCCAAAAACTCAAACAGCGGTAACCATAATTATAATGGTTTTTGCCGGTTTTGACGAGTTCTGATATTTTTTTACGGCTTTTGATGATTTTAATGCTTTTTTTCGCGGAATCTGGTACCATTACATTTGGAATGATTGAACAATAAATAAAACATACCGTGAACATGATTCCTTTCATTTAGAATGTATGGTTGTAGAATAACCCGGTCACCGAACTTCTCATTGAGGAGAAATCCCAATACATCGCCATATTGCAGTGAATTTCGCCAACGAAACATCACGACGCTATTATCCGAAGCAATATTTCTTTGTATTGAGTAGTGTGAGCCTTGATAGCTGTATTTCTCAGTAAACAAATCGCCTTTTTGAGCCAGCATTGAGTACTTCAGTGGTACATCTGTCGTTTTTTCGATATCATCATTCTCCGAATATCGAAATAGCAGTTTTCTCAGTTTCACGATAGACACATCATGTTGTTTTCTCGTTGGGTCCGAATCAAGTCTTGCACGAACTTCGGTCGTCAAATCTTGCAAAATTGCAGCACTAAAATTTTTCTACGGTGTACAATTTTATAATAAAGCATACTTCCGCAACATTCTTTGCCCAATTCCTTTGTGATTTCTGACGATAATAGTCGTTTCAAACTGTGAAAATAAAATCTCGCGAAGATAATGCTTCCCATTGGCCTAAAGCGAAATAATTTCAAAAATATGCAAAAACGGTAACAACCTCTCGACGTAATGACTCTTTGCAAGTTGTCACAGCTCGACATTGACACAAAATCTTCTTCCGCGCAAGTGAGCTCATCTTCAGACGATTCTATAGAATCTATAGAAATTAAATCTTTCTCTGTTTTTACTTTTAGTTATACCTGATGTTAAGTTTCTCTATTTTCTGAAAATAGTTATTTTCTTCATTTTTTCTGTTGTTATCACCTGTTTCTGTCTCGTTCCGATATTCCCTATATATTTTTTTCCATGATTTCTCGTGTGGTGTAACGATATCGCTTTCGATATGCAAATAGTTTTGAATTTTGCGACATATCTGCAAAGAAAATATAGATTTCTTAGAGCGGAGCCAGTAAAATGCACGATTTTTTTGGAAAGTATATATATTAAAACGCAATATACGCATAATAATCGAATATGAAAAAATTCGAAAATTTTCGAAAATTGTTTTTCGAATTTAGACGTCAATTTTAATGCATGTCCGCAGTGTATAATTGTGGTGGTTACACTACTGTGATAAAATCCAAATCGTATACGATCCTTGCAATAACGTATACGACGAGGAAATGCGGATGTTTCGTATACGATTACAAACCATTCATCAGAATCGTATACGATCCTATACGATTCACATTAACTAATACGATTACCATTAACGTATACGATTTTAATTTTATCTTATACGATGAAGAAATTCGCTTTTTTCGTATACGACTAGGAATCATTTACCAGAGTTTACTTGGAAAATTGCCTCCAATTCAATCAAATTCATTGACGGAAGAGATGATTTAAATGGGCGTTTATTTCTTATCTAGTTTCCTTGATATCATGGTAATTTTAAAGAATAATGATTATTTCCCTTTAATGATTAAAAAAATATTTTTAGAAAAGATATATTACATTCGTAAAAAAAACGAGCGCCCTGCCCCGATTTAGCTTCGCAGGTTATCCATAGTACGGTATCCCCCATTGTTTAATTTCGAATTTGAATTTCCGCCTCGAAAAAGTGCGATTCGTTGTTTTTTTTTATGCGATGGTAATGTATATATTCTAACAAGGGAGGTGTTTTTACTTAGTGGTTTGGAATTTTTTCTAATTTTGCACACAAACAGATCAAGAAATTCCCTATCGAGTGTGCTATGTCGTTTTCTGCAAAAGTTCCAAAAAGTCCCAAAACTTTGGGTCCGAAGTTTCAAATTTTGATTCATTGTTTTTATACACTGTTTCATAATTTTTGCCATACTTCCTCACCACGCACAAATACCACATTTCGATGGATATGCGGCAAGCAGCGATGGTTCGAACCAACAGTGTATAAAAACAATGGATCAAAAATTGAAACTTCGGACCCAAAGTTTTGGGACTTTTTGGAACTTTTGCAGAAAACGACATAGCACACTCGATAGGGAATTTCTTGATCTGTTTGTGTGCAAAATTAGAAAAAATTCCAAACCACTAAGTAAAAACACCTCCCTTGTAAGAAAACATGCTCAATAAATTCAACCAAATCAATGTTTTCGCGTGTTTTTTAACCGTCGGCGACTTATTTCAAATTAAGAGAAATGCATTTCATAAAATGCTCAATAACTCTTTTGGTAATCTCAATGGTACAATAACTACTTTATTGTTTGGTGTCTGACATTCACTGATTGAAGATTGCTGCGAATCCTGTAACTAACAAATATGGAATAAACACGCCTTATAAGGTGATCCATTTTCTTGACGAATCATTGGTTGATTTTGATCATGTCGCAAAATTGTACGTTTTAATCAATCAAACTATTCTTTTTAACTTTTATTTTCTTTATTTTTCAGCCAATTGAGTGAGTTTTATCGAAATATTTATGAATTTCCTAAAATTACAGCCGTTTATTTTTTTTCTGAAAAAATCAGCCAGAGTCGTCCGCTGAAGTCATTCAGTACCACAGAAAAAGATACGAAATTATTAATTTTCTCGAGGTGGTCCGATCGAGGTGAAATTTTTAGCATTTTTTTTAAATAGATTTAAGTGTTTAAATGCAAGTACATATAATGGAAATTAATTTTTTTTAAAAGTATATAGCGTTTTTTTTAAGTATATAGCGAAAAAAAAAAAACAAAAAAACGAAATTTCAAGAAATCATAAAAATCGGCTTACAAATTCAAATGGCTGTAAAAAATTAGATCGTCAAACACCAATCAACTTTGTTCTCGGCAGTGAGTACCAAGCTTGCGTTAATGCGAGAAATTTTCAGTGCCATTTCAAGCAGTTTTTCCATTTAAACAACTTTCGAACCCTTCTCAACGGTGTTCGACAGTATTTGTGTCGGGAGATTGGCTCGGCAAGGTTATAGAGTTCACCCGAAGCTGCGCGATCCAATCTCTGACCAAGTGTGATATACGGCTTGGATCGTTGTCCTGTGGAAAAATCCAACTTGGCTTTACAGTTGGAACTTGGTACTTTCGATGAAATCGCTTTCCTATTCGATGTTGTACATGGGTTTTACCACCATTTCCAACCATCATATACTTCGATTCGTCACTTCATAGGATGTTGGACCACTGTTACATTGTCCAGCTGATATGATCCTTTACCCATCGCAATCGTGCCTTCTTATTTTTGCCGAGATCATAGGTTTTTTCACCGGACGACGACCAAACAATCCAGCATGGCGGATACGACTTTTAAGAGTCTCATCGCAAACCTATATCCATTAAATCATTAGAATTACCAAAAAAAGTGGCCTCAACTCCATAATGCTGTATAAGTCATCTGGTGATGTCGGTACTTGCCAGCCTCGGATTTTTTCTGCTCATCCTAATAATGACACAACCAATTGCTGGAGATGTTTTGGTGGTCTTCCTTTTGGTTTTGATTGGTTTTGAGTTATTTGAAGCCAAGATAGTCGAAATACTCGTGGGGAACTGTTTGGCCAGACCGAAAATCGACATCCCACATTCTCGGCCTCTATTAATCTCAATGCGACCAGCTTTAGATAATGTCTTAGACCCTTTTGGTAGACTCATCGTTAAAATAATGAATGTGATCACAAAGTATCGAAAAATACTGAACATATTGAAAAGAAATATTGTCAGCGTCCAACGACTGAAGAGAGGCGGGGCCTTGTCAAAGCGAAATCATTGTAGATTCAAACTTATCGTTGACTGAATATTAAATGCGCGTGCACTATAATGCAATGTACGCAGTATCGCGTACTTCTCGCTACACGCATTGGCACATAGCCAACAATCGTTTTTTTAATTTCGTCAAGTCGTTTTTTAAAAATTTCATCATTTCGCAATACTAGAATAACTAAAATTTATCGATTTTCCATTTTTACAGATTTCAAAAAATTCCCCGCTAGCACGTATTTCTGCGAACTAGTGTAATTCAATTCAAACATTGTTTATAAATTGTCTTTTTTACTTTCGTTAAAAATTTCACTTCGATTGGACCACAAGTCCAAGTTATGACAAAAAATAATTATTTTATATCTTTATCTGCGATGCTGTATGTCGTCTTTTGAAAACTTTGGAAATTCAGAACTAATGTTTCCTATTTTGATGTAGACGTGTCTCACGATGATAATGGGACAACAAGCTATCGGATGATAATGGACTCTTGATTTCAATGAAAATGCTTTTTTTTCGAATAAAAATGTGTTTGATATTTTCGATTTTAATTGTAACAAATTATTTCAGGTTAAATTTTTTTTTAAGATAATAACAGCAAGTTATTGTTTTTCTGCGATTGTGTGTAATGTTTGTCGAATACAGTATTTTGTAACTCGATTGTTGGCCAACCCATTCGCAATCGTCACAAATCGAATAAATCACAAAAAGCTGGCTGATCAAATAATGGAGTCATACACACGACCGCAATTTCCCTGGAAAAAAAACGAACATTATAATGGGAAACGCATACATCTCGTCTGATCTGCCAATTATTCGTCATCATACCCATATTTAGTTATGCGCAAACTCGTATCCTTTGCTATTATTTCTGTCCTTCTCGTCTTTGGTCTTGAGACAAACTACAGTAATACGCTGATCACACGAGGGAAGCGACAACTTTACCTTTGTGGAGTTTCTCCGTTTCAATTCTATTCACCGCAACGTAAGACTTCTCGAGAATCCATCTGAATGTGTTATCCATAAGTATTTGAAATCCCGTCTTATAAATTTAGGATGGAAAAATTGTTCGGAGTTTGTTTTTTTATACCATCACGACAATACAATACATTCGATTTGTTCGTCTAATTTTCTGTGGCTTCGTGCCAGAAAAAGCAAATAAGAAACTCAACAAGTTTTTAAAATATCAGTTCATGAGATAATTATGTAATACATTTATTTAAATTAGAATGTATAAATATGCTTGGGATCCTAATTTTTGCACGGCCCATCGCAAATTTTTTTCGTCAGTTCAATATCATGAATTTCCATCAAACAAAACGATACTATTATGAAAAGTTCATATTCGCTTTATTAAAAAAATCTACGTTTTTTTATTATTTTTTAATTTTTGTCATTGTGATGTGTGTGTAATTTAGTCATTGCAACACTATTCTTGTACATATAAGTAAATTGGATCAACAATATTTCTTTTCAACAGTTTTGTCGTTTTCTTGGCCGCGCTATGGTCGACAACGATTCGGCTCGGCGTCAATACAACATTCCTGTTTGCTAAATTCAAATTAAGGAATGTTCGATCGATAAAAATTTCACTTCTTAACTGATCAATAATCCTGATATGCTTAATACTTAAAAGTGTGTGGGCTTGCGTGTCTATTTCTAAAATTATCTGGCGAATGTTAAGAATATAATCAATTGTAAGGAAAAAATGCTGCCACGGAATTAAAATGAGCGATTTGAGCTTTTTTTTATTAATAGAAATAATTCAGCCTGTCCGTCAGCTCAAACATGTCCAAATGGTGGGATTTTGATGAACGTTGCATGCCAGGCTGCTTATCAATGTACTCCTTATTACAGGTATCGTTGGACAATAATTTTTTTTAATTAAATTTTAAACGACAAACGAAAACTAGGATATATTTTATATCCACTTATCGTTGATTTCATCTAAAATATTCAGTGGCACATCGACATGTTTAAACGGAAATTGCTGTACAGTACCCTCTTCCGGACAACCAATTCCAGTGCCAGTTCCGAATAATGACAACATAAATAATAATAATGCCAACTTTGGAACTTGTCCATCTGGCCAATTGTCCGAAGTGAGATGCAGTGGGCGGAGCCAATGTGCATCCGGACAGACTTGCATCGGCGGATTATGCTGCACGATAACAGGAAACGAATGGAACGGTGATCGAAGTGCACAACGAGTAGACGAGTGATCAATTGATTTCAGTGGCTTGTGGGGGTGCGACGGCACTAGCTGCGTGCGGTACTGGAGGATTCTGCGCTGTCGGAAGCGTGTGCACGTCGAGCAATTATTGTTGCGAATGTCCTGTTGGACAGTCTTACGGAACATGTGCCAATGTAAATATTCATATCTTCAAAATTATCATAGAAAATTGAAATGAAATATACAGGGTGTGTGCCCTACCGGCTACACTTGTTCAGCGAATCGCCAGTGTTGCCCGTCATGCCCGAATAATGTGATGCCGTTCGGATTCTGCTCGAACGGCCGATGTGGTGGAGGTAAACAGTGCTACCCTGGCAATATCTGCTGTTAACAAATTCTGTATAAAAATAAAACTGCTATTTGTGCAAACCTTCTAAAATAATTAATAAATATAAATTTTTTATATATTTGTAAATTTTAAAAAATTTCAAACTTCTACATTTAATCGGTGTTCAGAGGCTGCTCTTCGTTGGTATGTTCAGGGGAAAAGAAAATAGTAATAATTTTTTTTACATTTTTTTTTTTGTGAAAATTACATTCCATGAATAATTTTCATGAATCAATATGAATCAATTCGTGCGATGAAAAATTAGTAAAAGATTACAGATTTTTTCACTGGCGCAAAAAAAGCGTGCAAAGGGAATTCAAATGAAAAAAAAAAAGTTTTTTAAAATTTTTTCATTGCACGAATAGGTCCATTACAAAAAAAAGACGCACGGCAGCAAATTGCTTCATGGGTCCCGCAGGTTTCTTCATTATCTAATTACAGTACCCATTGCATTTTTTCGCATCGCTTTATTGGAAAAATGTGTAATTTTTAAACAATTTTTTTGTATGAATGGTCTAATGAAAATTGTGAGAAAATGCAAAAAATGCCCTTCATCCGCAAGCATAGCTGTTTTGGTGGCAATTCAGAAATCTAAATTCAAAAAAACCAAGATTTTCGAGTTTAGGTGATATTCTTTAGATTCGATTTCGACAATCATATAAATGTACGAAGCCAGTGTAATTCAGTTGTGTTTGAATACTTTTGATTTTTGAGTATATCATCATATATATTGTCAAAGTCAAACGACTTGACGATAATTAAAAAAAATGATTGGCAATGTGCCAATGCGTCTCAAGGCAGCGAGAAGTACGCGAGACTACGTACCAGGGCTGTGCGGCAATGGAATTGCCGATTTTTCAAATTGCCTAATTGCCGAAGAGAACGTTCGATCGGCAAATTGCCGATGTCAAAAAATATCGGCGAAACAAAAAACAATGTCCATAGAGTAATTTGGGATACCGTGAAAATTCGGTATTTAAATATTTCGAATTATCGTTGAACAAATTTAATAGCCGAAATTTTTATTTTCGGCAACTTGCCGAATTGCCGAAATTTCCGATTGCCACACAGCCCTGCTGCGTAAATTGCATTATAGTAGTGTACGCGCATTTAATATTCAGTCAAAAAAAGTTAGGGTTCAAAAATTCTTTCTTCTTGATTATCAAGAAATGTCATCGTCCCCTCTTTTCCGTCGTGTCATTCTTGCCATTCTTTTCAAATTCTATACCACCCAGACAAACCGTTTTTATCTTCAGTACAAGGCGTCTACGTCGATTGAGAGAAAAACGACCTTGATGTGTAGTAATGTGATAGAATCAAAGGCCTTCAGAATACGGTGACGACGGACTTGTTAACATCAAGCTTGGATTATTTCGCGCTTATTTTGTGAAAGATTTTATCGGTTGCAAAGAGAAAATGTTGAAAAAATAAACGAAAACACATTAAGATTGCAAAATTCAATGGAACCACTTTCTATAAACATATTCAACATAAGGAAAACAAATTTTTTATTATGAAAAAAACAAAAAATACATAGTCTGTTTCTGTAGGAAAACTAAAACCAGAAGCGGATGAGGCGATATGACAGCGAGTGAATATTAAATGCGCGTACGCTAAATTGTCGAGTACGCAAACACGCAACATTTTTTTTTGCCTCGAGACATCATGGCCCACAATGCGGGGAATATGGCGTTTTGGAGAAACTACGGTGATTTGTGAGGCAATGTGTAATATTAGGAGTGTCTAGAATTAAAATTTAAAAAACGGTATTCTAAACTACCCTCCTAATTGGTGTAAATTTCACAATATTTTGAACACGTTTGATGACCACTATGCTCATAAACGTACACAGAAACAATTTGAAAATCGTAAAATTCCTAGGTGATTGTGAATTATTATGATTCCACAGTGGGACAATCTAAGTCCCATATAAGCGCTATATAATTCCTCAGCGTCGTGGTTTCGCATTCATAAATGTTTGTGGTCCCACGATGGGATATTTCGTCTGTACGATATTATATCGAAACTATGATGATATTTTCTGATTTATTGTTTAATGATATTAACTCCTCTATTGCCTCCTAAATTGAAGCATATATTGTCTGCGTCCGTCGACTGCTGTTCAGGGGTAGATTTATTTGCTTGCGCCATCACTATGGTCTTGCAAAAAAAATCAAAATCATCAAGACAAAAAACAATTCAAAAAATAGTGAAATAATGATTCAGACGTGGCGAGACCATTTCGAAAAACGGCCGCGTAAATCTACCCGCGTATAGCAGCCGTCGGACGCCGACTATACGATTCCTGTGGAAACCATGTGCGTCCGGCGTCAGTGTACGTGTTAGTTATGCAATATTCCCACATTTTCGGCTAAAAATAAGTATTTATATTACCATCACAAAATAAGCGAAACCCGCTCAATTTCAGTGAGATTGATTCGATAGTTATCTGTAGTATTAATTAAAAGTGTCCCAATCGAAATTCGAAGTACTGCTTCAAAAGCCTTTCAAGCAACGTCGAATTCATGAATTTTCGGATGCCAATAATTTAAACGGCTTGAAAATAGTACAAAAATCAAAGTTTATATCTTACAATATTTCATATCCCTCTTTATAACTTAATAATTATTTGAATATGTTCACAATTTCATGTTTTATTCGTTTTCTTCTCTATCGTACACACACACAAACGTATCCGTTGCCCTTCTCTTTTACAAATTTCAATTCGCGACGTCCTTGAGCTCGAATAGTAAACAGGTAGATACGATAAAATCACAAAACAATGCATCTAACAGCTAATGAGTGAAAAACGGAGAGGGAAGTCGATTTTTGAAGGCCGAACAGATATGACCTTGCAAAGCCAGGCGGCTGTTTAAGCGACGAGGAGGTTGGACTTGCTAGCGGCGTATAAAAGCGCGGCAGGTGGCGCAATTCGACAGTTCCCATCTCGCCATGGATCTCGAACACCGCATCAAAGCCTATCGCTTCGTCGCTTATTCGGCCGTCACCTTCTCGGTTGTCGCCGTCCTCTCGGTTTGCGTCACCTTGCCAATGGTGTACAACTACGTGCACCATGTCAAGCGCACCATGCACTCCGAGATCAACTTCTGCAAGGGATCCGCCAAGGATATCTGGAGCGAGGTCAACCACTTGAAGAACCTTCCATCTGGAAACCGTACCGCCCGTCAAGCTGGATATGGAGGAGACGCCGGAGTTAACGGTGGATCGGCCAGCGCCGGAGGATGTGACGCTTGCTGCTTGCCAGGAGCCGCTGGACCAGCCGGAACCCCAGGAAAGCCAGGACGCCCAGGAAAGCCAGGAGCTCCAGGACTCCCAGGAAACCCAGGACGCCCACCACAGCAGCCATGCGAGCCAATCACCCCACCACCATGCAAGCCATGCCCGGCTGGACCACCAGGACCACCAGGACCACCAGGACCAGCCGGAGACGCCGGAGCCAACGGAAACCCAGGAGCCCCAGGACAAGACGGAGCCCCAGGACAGCCAGGAAACAAGGGACCATCTGGACCAAACGGAAACCCAGGAGCCCCAGGAGCCCCAGGACAGCCAGGACAAGATGCTCCATCTGAGCCAATCGTTCCAGGACCACCAGGACCACAGGGACCAGCTGGACCACAAGGACCACCAGGACAGCCAGGAGCCCCAGGACAGGACGGACAGCCAGGAGCCCCAGGACCAAAGGGACCAAACGGAAACCCAGGACAGCCAGGAGCCGACGGAAACCCAGGAGCCCCAGGACAGGCCGGACAGCCAGGAAGCGCCGGAGAGAAGGGAATCTGCCCCAAGTATGTTTCGAATTCAAGTTTCAATGAAATAATTTGCCATCTTCAGGTACTGCGCCATCGACGGAGGAGTCTTCTTCGAGGACGGAACCCGCCGTTAAATTTCATTTCTTCATTATCTGCAATGAAGCATTTAAGCATTCAAATCCTGTTTTATTCAATTTTTACACATAAGTAGACGCACAAAAACTGCTTGCGCAACATTGAGAAGAAAAAACTTGCGAAAACGGGTTGCTACATTTTTAGCGTCTGCCATATCGGATTCGAATTAATCAAGAAACGGCGTTGCCAATCATGCACTTCCAAAAAAGATATCTACAATACATTCTTTCATCAAATTACAATACATTAAAAATATCAACTGTAAAATGTGAACTGAATACGTCGGAATTGGATTTTTCAAATTATCATATATCAATAATGATAGTGTTATCTATTACCATCGTTAAAAAAAAGAAAATTCGCTATGGAAAACGTTATTGTCGACGTCGCGCAACTGCGGAAATCTGGATAAATACCAAACAAATTTAAAGAGAGGTCTCGATACGCGGTCTGCTCCTTTAATCTATTCTATACTTGGGTCCGTAAATCTACACTTAGTTTTGCGCCCCGCAGCGAGACGCCGACAATATACAATTTCATGCGGGTTCTTGAGAAGAAATATTATTTCAAAGAGTCCATCGTTGGCTTTATTTTGATTAAAACTCGAAGTTTTACTTAAGACGAATCGGAACAAATCTGTGGGATTAAAACTTGCATATCTTGCAATTCAAAAATACATATTAAACACTCATTTAGAAATTAGATATTTACGCAAATCAAATTGAAATTTTTGTAGAATTGGGTTTCAACGAAACAACTTTTCGATGTTTTTTTTCTTACAATCATGCAACTTCAATCAAATATTGATTTATTTTGATTCAATAAAATAAAACATAAAAAATATATCGACTTTCGACATTTATTGATTTACATCTGATAATGCACAAAACATTGGGGCGAATGTTTTTTTTAGATGGGTACAAAACGTCTCGAATAGCTCCACTCAATTCCAAAAACTACAGAAAAAAGAACAACCGATTATAGTTTACATCGAAACGAATATATACACAGCTAGAAATTTTGGGGAGAAAGAGAGGGTCTATTCGTACCTATACAATCAAAAGTTGGGCGGCTTTCTATGAGAAATATTGCGAGACCATTATTTTGCTTATTTTCAACGCAACCGTCAAAAACAATCAAAAGAAAAATTGAAGAAATGAATGAACGCCGAACAAAATGCGCACCGGAATTAAATAAAACGGCAATTTGTTCTTGATGTACAAAGTTATTGTACCGATCATTTTACCAGGGAAACAAGAAAGGAGTGGTTTTGTTCAATAGAATATCGGAAAATTAAAGGAAAGAAGCATTAACACGCTTATTATGCAGTCGATCCGCTAGCCGATGGAGCTTCTTCCGTTGGCTCGGTGATCACTGCCGGCATATCAGCGGCCGCTTCGTCCTTTAACTCGCAGTCTCCTTCGTTCTCGCCAAAGTTTAGCCACGACTGAAAATCGAGATCAGTGAAATAAGAGTAGATTTACGAAACATTGACTGAATATTAAATTCACGTTAATAATTGTCGAAATCGCAAGACTGCGGAAACAACGGAAGTGCTCTTCGCGCAAAACCAAAAATGTATTTTTACGGGCCTGTGTATAAAGATAGATTAAATGCGCACGATCGCACGACCCATCCTTTAATTTTTTGGCATTTAGCCAATTTTCCGCAGTCGCGCGACATAGACAATATGTTGTTATGGCAAACATTTATAGCTAAGATGTCATCCAAATAATACGAAAACATTTCAAGCTTTGATCAGTGAGAAAATTCGAAATTGATCTACTGAACACATCGTCGAGAACCGGTAAAAGTTCAAAAGCAATTTGGGAACAAACACTAATTGTTGTTTGCGGATTATCCGGTCTATGACATAAAGCTATCGAAAATGTTTGCCGAAAATAGGAAATGCGGGGGATTTCCAGGAATAGCGATTTTTCTCCTAATACCATAAATTCGTGGATATTGGATTGAGTACATTTTGAATGACTAACCTGTTCAACAATCTGTTGAACTCTTTTTTCATATTCTCGACGGTTCTCCTGATAGAGCTGAGCTGCGAGTGAATTGGCTGGCGAATTTGGATTCGGCTCGTCAAGCAATGATTGAATTGACGTCAAAATTGCGGCTACATCGTAGGTCGGGGACCAACGATTCTAAATGAATGAGATTTTTTATGCTACAAATGATTCAAACCTGCAAAATATCAAGGCAAATTGACCCGTCGGCATAGACGTTTGGGTGGAACATTTTCGATATAAATTTGACTGTTGGTGGCTTATTTGGATATTCTTCTGTGAACTCCAAAGAGAGCTGAAAGTTATTCATTCTTAATCAGAAAATATCGATATATGTAAATTAATATATAAAAAAAATAATTAAAAAAAAAACCTTAAAGGTACCATCCTCAAATGGTGTTTCTTGGGGTCCGAAAATAATAGCCTCCCAGGCTAAAATGTTGTCTTCCGTCGGAGCACCGGAAACTCCAGCTGGTGGATCCTCCTAAAAATTCAATGTGCCATTCAATCGGAAATAATGGACAAACTTGGAGTTTCTTAAAATCTCTCATCAATCGACGACGGCTTGGAGTTGTCATGATTAAAGCAAAAGTACTAAAATGGCTGAATAAACGAATGGATATAATTGAAAAATAAACAATTATAATAAATACTAATATATGTATAATCAACGATACAAACGTTGTAAAAAACAAGGAAAAAAGTTTTAAAAAATATTTTATGAGTACATATTGAAGGCATCATTAAGTATGGCTGAGAGCCGAGTAAGTTCCTTCATTTCTTCTCCATACTGAATTTTTTTCTCCTTATTAAGAGATCGGTTCATGTGATGAACCCGCATTTGAAGCATTCTTAATCGTTCCGCATTTTCCTTTTTAAGGCTATCTGTTTTTTGAATAATTTCTCGCATTTCGTCAGTTAATTCCTCATTTCTTTCGGAAATCCTAAAAAATGTTTTAAATTGGTTGCAATAGGATATTCTCATTCATTACATCAAAGTATTCTTATCATTCGGAATTGCTTCTTCGCCAACTTCAATTTCACCAGAATTCGACGTCGACGGATCCATCTGAAATTCAAAATTCGTCATTTCATTCCGCTCGGCCAATCTTAATCAATTTTGGGAAGAAACATAAAATTCTCGTCGCGTGACACTCGGCACAAAAAACCGCCGCATAATAAATTAGAAGAAAAAAGAGGAAGAAGCTCGAAATTCAAACAAAAAATTATTGGAAATGTCACGAATTTCAAAAATAATGCGAATTTTTTGTGAACAAAAAAGTTCTAAAATGTCTCTGTGTTCTTGATTGCCACTTTTGATTTCGAGTCTCCATGAAATCTTATGAATTAAACAACAAAGTTCATATTAACCAGATTGTTGGTCTTTAGAAAAATTCGACTTACATAAAATGGGACCGGCGGCATTTGACGCCACGAATATGAAACGATAGCGATGTTGACGTTGACGAGAGAATCGACAACATGTTGCGGACAAGACGGCTGAATGCGCAACACGAAAATCTTGCGCAAAAGCCCGAAGGACTCGTCGCGACCAGCGTATACTCGACAAATCACCTAAAAACCTCATGACCATCAGCTGCTCCTTGGCGCTTTTCTAGCACCGAGACCCACAACAGTTGTTGGCATCGGGCAACGAATCGGACAACACAAAACCAAATGAAAAATACCTGCACATCGAAATCAGCGGTTTGTGTTCGTTCGAATCGCCACGAATCCTCATCACCATTGACATCGTAGATCACGCGATATTGACGACTTTTACCCGATGGTTTTGACCATTTATTTCCGTCTGCATGAATCGCCGTTTCACCGCCACATTGCGTTACGTCAAGAGCAAATGTGACGCATTCATGCACTTCCATCGGTACCGATTTGCCATAACTGCAATTAAAGAGAACATTTATGAATATATTTGATGCGAAAAATGAAACGCAAAAAAGCGAAGTGAGATAATCGGATTGGCCTAGTTGAATATGTAGCAAGTTAGTCAAATAAAAAATAACAACAAGACAATTTCATAAATTTCCATTTCTATTCACTCATTTTTCCATGTTTACGAATATTTCTCACTGGAAATGAAATGTATATGAAAATTTCGAAAGGGACAGTGTGCAAAACAAGATTGATGCGAAATTGTGAAGAAAAAATCCCGGAAAATGAATTTATAAAGCAAATTCGAAAGCCTTTTAAATATAAATAAATAGGTCTGTCTAGACGAATAGAAGCAGTCCCGAGTTTCGCAATTTCATCGAAAATTGGAATTTCGATTAAAGTGAAGCATATAAAGACAGTAATTCTGAATAGAAGAGTCAAATAGTCTCTTTAAAAATACGAAATATAAATACTATGTATAATTCTACGGAATCATTCGGTCGAAAAAAAACGCCTTTTCTTAATGATTTAATATGAAAGAACATACTTATTAAATAAATTTTAATTTCATTGGTAGAAAAAAAACAGTGTCAAATGACGAAGTATGAGGTAATTTATAAGAAGACAATTAAATTTCCGCCAAAACATTTTAAATTTTCAAATTCATCCGCCCATTATAGAAATCTTCGCACTTTTTTCGATTTCATCTAAAAACGTAGTTTTTCTCATACATTCAATGTTTTTAAAAGAAATCGGCGAAATATCTCTTAAAAAATCAAAAAAAATTTCGATAATAAATTTTAAAAAAGTTCTAATAGGCGGACGTGAAATGTGCCATGGCCGAATAATTCGCGGCCGTCCGAATGGAAGACTAAATAACTGAATCGATTTAAAATACCAAAAAATGTCTAAAAAAATAATTTTAGTTATTAAAAAAAAGTAAATGAACTACGTTGGTTTAGTTTTGCCAAAATACGGAATCTCCGAAAATTCGCTTTTGAGAAGTATGAACGAAAACTTTTCAATTTGTGCAAACAACCAATGGTTTGACAAAGCTTATTAGATGCCCAGCTATTGCGCGCCGAATTAGTTAAATTTCCCAAGATGATGTAGGACGAAAAACCGAGAAGCGCGAATTTGTTGATAGTCTTCGACAACAACAAACAACAACGACTAATCGTATAATATATGTAATCTATGACGGCTCGCGATTAGTGTTTTTCACAATTGTTGCTCAGAAGCGACATGAGAAAACGAGACCTTGAAAACAGGAACTTCTTATCAAAAATCGCGCCCAAGTTTGTTTTGTGCTCGTTTCGTAGCTAAAAAGCACAAAAACAATTGAATTGACTCGACGGCGAAATCATGAAAAACTCCTATGTATTTTTATATTTATCACTAAAAAATAATGAAATTCGGGTGAAACCAACGTGTAGAAAATAAAAGAAATTGTATTATAACATCCGCAAAAAAAAACGAGGCTCCCTACGCCGATTTACTATGAGATATCTTCGCAGGTTATCCAGCTGTTTAAAATCCAATTTGAATTATTGCCTCGAAAAAGTACGATGGTCTACAATGTGTCAAGGCGTCCTTCTTTTTATGGTAGTAATAATCCAATTCCGAAAAATTAAAATTATATAAACCAAAGGAAACGGTTAAGCAGGAAATCAATTTTGACTACTATCGGTGAAAAAAAACAGAGAAGAAGAAGAAAGGCGGCGAAAATGAACGGCGAATTTTTTGAGGTCGCAATGTGAAGAGATTGTTTGCCAACAAGAAGAATCATAAATAAAAAAAATAGACGGCTGACTCAACAATTCAAAGGTGTACTCAAAAACGTGAAAATTATCTAAAAAATTGTGTAGTATTTCGAAATTTCGAGCGAAAAAAAACGTCAGAAAATTGTTTCAAAACTGACTGACTGACAGCACAATCAGTGTAAAAACAAAAAACCATCTAAATAGTTACAATTTATCTCATATAGTAAATAAACTGTCTGGAATATTGGCAAAAAAACCGAATATTGCGAATCTAGTAAATAGAAATTCGCATTCTAATACTCTTTCGTGATCTTCAGCACACTTTTTGTTATTTTACTCGCGTTCGAACACATCAAACCTGATCTCTTGGTGTTGAAAGTGCTAGTGAACCCACTTTTCTCAACAAAAACTTGTATGGCTTTAGATTATCAAAGATATTAAAATGTATAAGCATTAAAATATTCAAATTTAATCTTTTCATACTTGAAATCGATTTCGAACATAATGGAAAATTGAATTAATTTGAAGACGACATCACAAGAAAAGAGGCATGATAATTGACGTCATAAGGGCTCACAAGGAAAAAAAAACAAGTCGCAAATGCATGTGCGGACACATAGACACACATACACACATGAAAACAGCATATCGTCACGGCGCCACGTCCTCACATCCAGAGCTACTGCTCCTCCTCTCCTGTTCCTCCAGCTTCTGCTTCTGTTGCTGCTCAAGCTCGTTCGCTCTCGACACCAACTTTTTCATTTTTTATTCGTCATGTGAAACGCATGCCTAACCAGAAGCAAAGTCCACATACACCTAGTTTGAATTCGATAAAAAAACGAAAGAGAAAGAAGAAAAACAAACGAGTGTGTTCGTGATATCTGCCAACAATAAAATGAATGAAGTTTAGACCAAAAAATGAATAATCGAATATAAATGTATATAGGTGTGTATGTGATTCACACGTGGTCAGAAGAACACAACCGAATCGTAATAGAGGGTTTTCTACGAAATTTCTCGCTATCATAATGTGATAAGAAGCTGCTTTACTATTATCGTCGCATAAACGCTTTTCGATCAAAATCTGAGATGAACATCAAGCTTCAATAATTGATCATTGCGAAATTCCTACTTTGCATAATTAACTGAAATGGAAAAGAGAGCAATTTTCTCATAAAGACCTCAATTGTCCATATTGCTGACATTTGATGAATTTCATCGCCGACCGAGTTTAAAAATTCGCATGGAAACTGTTGCTGTGCAGTCCAAAAATGCACGAATTTCGGCATTTTGAAGACATTTCTACCAAAGTTGAAACATATAATATTATCTATCTTGTGGAACGATAAAAATCAAAAATCTCGCCTTTGGATGGCCTCGAAACGCATAAAAGTGCGATAGAAAGTAGACAATCGACTAATCCATTTTGAAACGCCTAACGTTTCTCTCCAGAATTTTTTCTCATTTTTTCTACAAATATGAAAAATTGAAAATTTGAAAACGAATTTAGAATTTAATGAGGAAGCGACGATTTTTCAGAAAATGTTTGGTTTCCGCCTGAAATAATGCATTTGTTATTAGAAAATTGAATTATTTCGTAACAATGATGAAATATGGAATTTTCTTTACTACTATTCAACAATTCATTTCTCAGCGCACTTTTCAACAACGAATGAGCTTTTTCACTAATGGGATCGAGACATAAAAAAACGAAATGAAAAAACCAAGCCATCACAAAAATATATAGACCCGCCGACGAGTAATGGGCGACACGGTGGAGTGCGCCGACATGCAGAACACAGCGAGAAGCATCGAAATAAGAGAACGACGCAGGCGGAAAATCGCCACGAAATGCCGTTGGGCTGCCGGCGGATCGATGAGGGGACACTGGAAACGGGCTAAAGACGCAGACGCAGGTAAATATAAGAGGGAGACCCGAGTGCGCGCTCAAAATCGAAACCATCGAATATCATATGATTCAAACACGTTGAGAGAACGCGCGCGTACAAAAATACACGATGAAGAGGCACTTGTCTACATCGTGTTTTTCAAATGTGATGTCACCAAACACCAAAAATAGTAAACTCTAATTTTTAAACTTTGGAGTGTTTTCTGAACATTCTAGAATGTGATAAATGAAATCAATAAGAATTTCGAAACAAAATCACACATATTAGTCATTTATGGCCGGCGTCCGGCCCTTGTTCTTCGATGGCAAATTTTCGGGAGCTCAAAATGGTCTTGTTACACGTGAATGCAAATTTTGTTATTTACTTGTGAGTTATTAATTTTTTATAGGCATTATAATTTCTTTGAACTTTTAACGTTCCTTAAATTATTATATATATTCATTATAAATAAGCCTAAAAATTCGGAAAAAAATAAACAGTTAGTTTGACCATAGCGAAAGACGCGTACCCGTAAATCTACCAACGAAAAATGATCAGTTATAACACATTATAGCTTGAGCAAAATAAATCTAGAATGTAATGCCTTATCCGTTTATACGTAAAATATGAATACTAACAATATTGTCAAAGCCGCGTGACTGCGGAAAATAGGCTAATAGGGGGCCCAAAAAACTAAAGGAGAGATCGTGCGGTCATCGAATTTAACCTATCTTACAATGATCTTGGCGCAAAACTAAAAGTATTCATTTACGAACCTAAGCATAAGAGTAGATCAAAGGAACACACATCGCGCCTAGACATTGACCTCTTTTTTTTTTATTTTGCTAATTTTCCGAAGTCACTCGACGAGTAAAAGTAAAATAGGCTGAAAAGTCTTAGCGCGATGTGTGGGGCCTTAAACAAATCCTGGCCGTAAAATAAAACAAAACAAAAATTAAACGTTATTTGGTTGCGGAGAAAAACACCCCCCCCTTAAAAGAACCCCCAAATTTTAGCACATCTTAATCATTGAAATTTCCGACGTCGGACAGTTTTCAACAATAATGGACCTATTCATGCAATGAAAAAAAAATTTAAAAAAATCAATTTTTTTCATTTGAATTCCCTATGCACGCACGTCGAAAATTACAAACAATTGACGCGATATATCGTAATTCTCCGCTATTTATTTTCAAAAGCGCACGTGAAAAGTTGCGCAGGTCACGACGCGAAGTCGGTACTGTAATTTTTTTTAATGGCTGTTTTTTCGAATTTTTTATTTTGTGAGCGTTTAAAACTTTTTTTTAATCTGTAGAAGTATTTTGTTTAATGAACGCTGAAAGTTCATCAGAAGCGTCATCGAGCGAAGTCTGCATCAAATTAACACAAATATCACAATTTTTTTTATAATAATTGGCATCTAAATGACGAAAAATAGACTTATATTGTCGAATTAGGAGTAATTACACCAACAATAATTGTTTCTACTCGTTCTTAAATCCGTTAGTCATTTTCTATTCGAAGTTTTTGAAAAATACGAAAAATTAGCACAAAGAATGAAAAATAAAAAAATACAGTACCGACTTCGTGACGTAACCCGCGCAACTTTTCGCATGCGCCTTTAAAAATAAATAGCGGAGAATTACGATATATCGCGTCAATTTTTTGTAATTTTCGACGTGCGTGCATAGGGAATTCAAATGAAAAAAATTGATTTTTTTTTTAATTTTTTTCATTATATGAATAGGTCCATAACCAACTAAAAGCTAGAGACATTTTTAAAAAATTAAGCTTCGAATTTCTCAAATTTACTATATAGAACAGAACAGTGAAGATACACACACTGATTCATACTGATTCATATCGAATAACAAAAAAAAAACACTATGGAAAAAATATGACGAATTTCGGAACAATTTCATCAATTTTCCGGAAATTGAATAATGAAAAACCCACTTTTCGAATTTGTCACAAGAGAGAAGAATTGATATTGCTGTGTTATAGTTACATGCAGTTTTTAGAAGAATCGGAACATGAATTTCTTCATTTGCACATTTCTGCAAAAAAAATATTTTATTCAGAAGCTCTGTTTTGTATACCTTCCACGTTGCTGGCTCGCTCTTTTCAGTTTCTTCCTCGTTACAGCATACTGTGAGAGGATGAGGTTCTCCCATCCATTGGTAGCTGATTATCACATAAGGAATCATGTGCTCATCTTTGTCGAATCCCGTGTAAATTCGACGAAAAAAGTCACCACGAGAATCCGTTCCTGGATGAACGAATTGCTCGCAAACAATCTGAAGTCATAACATTATCGACGTCGCGCGACTGCGGAAAATTGAATGAATGCAAAAAAAAGCAATTTCAGCGGTCTTGACACAAAACTAAAAGAGTAGATTTATGAGCCTAACAAGTATAAGAATAGGTTGAAGGCGCACACCGCATACCAAGTCCTCTCCTTTCTTTGGCATTTAGCCAATTTTCCACGACTTTGACAATCTTTTATTTCCTTTGCGACTTCAAACAATTGGCAAAATGTCAAAAAAATAATTTAGCGATCTATGCGCGTCTTTATCTTAACCATATCTTTAACCCGTAAATCAACTGTTTTATTTTTGTGTTTCCATAATTTGCTTTACATGTTGGTCGACAATATGAATATATTGTCGTTTAAAAGCGACAAAAAAACTAAAAATTGTCTAAAGTCAAAACTAGATTTTCGAAAAAGAAATAATATCCATTGAATTTCGATCTTCAAAAATGTTTTTCTTTGTGAATTATGCCTTACCTTCAAATTGTGATCATTTCTCTCTGTTACCAAAGGTCTTCTTGAGCTCTTTTGCACCACATATTTTCTGACGAACATCGATGCGGGTTGCCAAACTCCCAGACCATCATTGCACAGCTAAAACACAATCTAATAATAAAAAAAAAATGAATGGCCTCTCCTAACCTCCTCTTTACTCAAAAATTCTTCCAAATGTACAACGAACGTTCCAGTATTCGTATATTCTTGTGGGATAGTTGTACAAATTTGATCCTCTGGTACTACTGAAGCGTTCGATGAGATAATCGTTACAACGTTTGTTATTGTCACGACCGATTCAGAATATATTGGCCAGTCAAAATGCATTCCTGAGCCGTCAGTTCGCACAAATAATCGCCACGTCTTATTATTATAAAATTCTTCTTCTTCGTCGCCCTCGTCAACTTCGATTTCAATTCCCATTTCTTCGTCTCCGTCAAAGTTTGCAAATTCCTGATACGATTTTATACGACATTCTCGTGGAGGCTGCTTTCTTGGAACTTTGATTATTCTGAAATACATTTTTGTATGAATATATTATAACAAGTATGAACTTTTAGCAATTTATAACGAAACTTACGTTCCCTGTAACTTTCTTCCCGGGCGTTTCCCTTTTCGTTGCTTTTTCGGATTCGCTTTTTCGTCGCTTTCTGGCCAAATTCCTATTTCACTTTCGGCAACCTCCTCAGGATCTGAACATCCGGCATCGCCAATTTCAAAATGATCCAATTCCTCTAAAAGTGTTTTAAAATAAAAATAAAATTATTACCTTCTTACCAATATTTTCTATATCATAAACTGTTTCTCTATTTTCAAAAAAGTCTCGGCTCGCATCATTTTGCATCGCAAACCGTGGAATTTGTATTCGCGAACACGGCGAAAACTCACGGACTAAAGTCACCAACCATTCGACGGCCCTCAAATTTCTACGGCCACGGCCATGTTTTAAATATTTCATTTTTCCTTTCATTGCATTTCACGAGAAACTCAATTTTTGCTTCACTTATTGCTTTATCTGATAGGCAAAACGCGTTTTGGGGTTAGCTAACGATAAAATGAATAATTTCCAACAAATAATCGTTTTGAAAATTTAGTAGCGCGACCGATTCCGGTGTTTGTAGATAATCGAGAAAGGCGCCGGATTTCCATCTGCCGATCGCTTTCAATTCCAATTCCGATTGCCCTTCCTTCATCAACGTCGTCGCTCCGCCCGCCCTGAAACTGTGTGAAGTGATTCCGATCGTCTCCTTTCCCGCTTTTGCCAGATGTTTCCTTAAGCCTGTCCGATACGTCGACAACGTGATTGGTTTCCTTGTTGACCTGCTCTCGAACAGCCATGACTGCCCTTTCCTTGTGATACTCTGCCAAAATCCTTGAAATATTCCAGTTTCCAAAGCTTGTGGCTGCAACGCCACCCGGAGTTCCGCTCCCTTTCCCAGCTGGTCTGTCTTCGAGCGCCTTATTCGAAGTGTTGCCGCTTCATCCTTCCATTCCAGATCTCCCGTTTTCAAGCCCAGCACCTCCGAGGCTCTCAGCAACGCTCCGAACGAGTGGATTGTCGCGACCTCCTCCACTGAGCTCACTGCCTCCGCCAGCTCCCTGATCAGCTTCGGGCGCCATGCTGTCCTTTCCCACTTTTTCCGCCATAAAGGCCAATCTCTTGAAATCTGCCTGTTCTTCCTGCGCCCATTCGTTCTCATCGAGCCATTTCCAAAATCGTTTGATGACGCCATCGTACGATCTCCTCGTCCCTGCGGCTCTGTCGTTCATTATCGCCGTCCGCACGCGTCCCGCCATATCCGGTCTGATCTTCCTCAAGACCTCTTCCATCTGTTGGGCCCTTTCCAATCTCTTATCTGAAATACCTTCTGTACTCGCTTTTCCCGGGTGGGTGAGTGGGGCTAGCTAAAACTGCACGTGTAATGACGATTTTCCCTATTTATCTCGCCCGCCTGTGCACTGTACTTTCTCGCGTTGTGGAGACACCCCGCTTATGACACTGCGCCTTTAGACCGCGGTACTGTAATTAATTGTTTTTTGCAATCCGTTCCGCTAAAATTTTCTATTTAATTAAATTATTTCCTCGATTATTTCCTCGATTTCTGTTTTCGAAATGCTGAACGATCTTGTTCAGTTTTTAATTAAATAATTCGCGTTTCTTATAATTTAATGACATCATTTTTTCATAAAACGTTCACCGCTTCAATTGTCATGGTTTTCTTATCAGTTCAATTTAAAAGTCAAGCAAAAAGTGCCCATTCGTTGTCAATGTCGGCAATTTGCACTTTTTATTTCAAATCGTATCTATTCTTATCATATATGCTCACTTATTTGGTCAGCACATAAAGGAGTGACTTAGCAAATTTCGTCAACACAAAATATTAGGGCACGAGCCGAAAGGAATCGTTCGTTCAAGTGAAAAACATATTTTTTGTACTCGATTGAGCTTTTTAGAATTTTAAATATAGTTTGCCGATATAAGAATTCTGCAAAACATTAAACGTGATAATAATCACTCCTGTGTTGTTTATTGGGCATGGGGTCGCTTTCAACTGACCCGAAACCGGTCCGCAAACATTCACCACCATTTTCTATTTTCATTCTCCGCATTCTTTTTATTTTCGCTCTACCTTTCCATTCTTCTATGTTTCTTTCATTCTTTAAAAATCCGGCGGAATGGTCTCAGATGATGCAATTTTTGTCATTGTTTATGTATTGGTTGATATGTTTAAATCATCCAACCTATCTGATTTCACTTTTCACTCAGAAATGAGTGTTTTCTATTTAATTTTGTTCATTGAACACGCTCGATATAAATACATTTCTTCTTGAAAAAAAAAACATTTAGTCACAATTTGATTTCACATTCCTAATAATAATTTTTTACATTCTGGTAATTTAAATTAGAGTCCATTCCAAATGCTATAACTGCAAAACAGATTTTGTTTACAGTGCACCCAGTGTTCCCTTCAAAAATATATCTGTCACTATTATATGGAATATGTAATAGAATTATTAAATATGATACTTTTACATTCTAAGTAAATGTTGAGGTAGTTCGCCCGTGGGTTATGGGCGAGCTGCAGGCGGTCTCCGATACACCCCGAATTGCCCAAAATTCGTTGAGTATTAAATATCGCAATTTTTATCTACTCGCGAAATATTTTGTAGGAAATCATGGCTCAGCTTTTCGCAGGAACGACATTGATTCGCCAGAATGGAGATAAAGTTGATGGAGGCGAGGCTTTGAAGGGAAAGGTTTGTAAATTGGGCGTTGTAGAAATAATTGTTTCGGGGTTTTAGAAGGTTGTCGCTCTTTACTTCTCCGCTATGTGGTGTGGATCCTGCCGTCAATTTGCCCCAAAACTGAAGGTTAGTTGTTAACATTTTTTTAATATTAAAAAAATTGCAGAGATTCTACGAGGCTATGAAGTCTTCTGGTAAGGATTTCGAAATTGTTTGGGTTTCACGTGATCGCGCTGAAGAAGATCTTATGGAATATTTTGAGCAAGCCGGTGACTGGTTGGCAATTCCATTTGGAGATGAGAGAATCCAGTAAGAATTAGTTATTTTAAAAAATTTAATCGAAAATTTCAATTTTCAGGGAGTATTTGAAAAAGTACGAAGTTCCAACTATCCCAGCACTGAAAATTATTGGCCCAGATGGCGAACTTGTGGATGCTGATGCACGCAATCAAGTTCAAGAAAAAGGAAAGGAGGAGCCAGAAGCTCTATATAATGAATGGGTGGCTAAGATCGACGCATTGTAATTTAAAAAATATATACATTTATTTTGGCATGCTTTTGATTATGATTATTGCATCAATGAACCAACGAGCTCACATTTCTCTCTCGGTCTCAATTTCTCGTGCTTAGCAACGAACAGGGCAGGGGCTTCGAGTAATCGCCGCAACTTATCTTCATTATTTGATTATTGCTTTATTCAAAAACTATGTATAGACAATATAATCTTGACATTGATGATGTTGCACCAAAAGAGGAGAAAAGGTTCGTCTGGATTTTATTTGAAAAAAATATCCTTTAAAAGAAGCCCGAAACTTATTGATACTTTTTGACACATTGACGAAAGAAGATTAGAAATTTTGTTAGACAAAAGTATTCTATATTTTTTTAGTAATGACGACTATTGAATGGATCTTCACATTTTTTGTTTTCAAAATAGTTCCAATCTCTAAAATGAGAATTTTTGGTTTTTTTCAACCAGCTTTTTTCTGCAACTTCAGGATCTTCATATTTTTTTTTTAAAATTTAGATGAAACTATAATTTTTCTCCACTTTCAAATTTAAAACAGTTTGACAATTAATATATATATATATTTTTTTTACTTTTCTCGTGTTCATAGTTCTAAACATCCGGCGTTAAAAATATTTTGAGAATGTTCATATGCGCAATTAGGCAAAAAATATTCTGTGAGAAAATTTATTGACGTAAATAATTGTTTGTTATATTCAAAGCCATTGCAGAGAAGAAAATGATGAATAACAGCATTATTCTATGTAATTACAATGATTTTTTCATTTTCAAAACGCTTATTGGAAAACGGAAAGTTGTTTGCTGAGACCCGAAAACTAAGAAAACAATCAGGCAATTGCCAATTAGAAGTTTTTAAATGAGATTGTTGTTGTTCAGAATTAATGGTAAATTTGAACACTCAGAAAAACAGACCTTGGATGTGCAATTTTCAAGTTTTAAATAGTCATAACTCACTTAATTCATTCGTCACAAATCTATATTATCCGTCCTAAATTGACTACGTTCAAAGCAAAAAATTTGTTTTCCAAATTCCGATGTGCGTCAGCAATCTCCGGTCTTACGATTAGTCTAAATCCTACTGAACTATATATAATGCGATTTCAAACGTTTTCAGCATTATTTTCATATTCGCCTGAATCGTTTTAAAGGCTGCTTTCCATTTATTTTCCATATTTTCTTGAAAATTACAGAAAAATGCTCTCAACTGTTTCTAATGGTTTGCTTGGAAGCGATTTTACATGGGAAGACGTCAACAAAATAATCGAACAAAAATTTGGGGGCGCCAAATTGGGCGATGATACAACGATCGAACCGCTCGCAGTTGGAGTGGTATAATTCGCAAATAATCGAATCGCTAAAATATTTATCTAGGGTCTTCAATCTTTGATCGGAGTCGTTTCGACAACTTGGACTGACGAAAATTGTCCACTTCCTAACAAATTTGTCCTCAAAATTGGATCACCACTGGCATTGATAAGTATGTTTTCAGTAACCTGGATGGAGAAATCTATTTGCTTTCAGAAGCACTTAAAGCGCAATCTGGGAAAATCAATATGGAGAGGTCGGAAGAATTGGTCCGCGGTTTTCTCATTTTCCTGCCTCTTTGTCATAATTCTGAAATTTTTTTCTACGAGAACTATGAAACTCTTAAGAAAAGCGGAATTACTGAGATACCCGAGTTTTATTTTGGATCGAAGATTGAGAAAATCGCTGGAGGTGTATCGAAAGGATGTATTGGAATGGAATTCATTGAGGATGTGCAAAGTCTTTCACCCGCCCAAGACTTTAGCGAAGAACAGCTCAAACAGGTCCTCCGTGTAATTGCCAGACTTGAAGCAGCTTTTCTTCCCCTTTCAACCAAAATTGACGCAAAAACTCCTCATCATGGTCTCGCTGGCCTCTATCAGACATTTCCAGATTGGGTAAGTAAATAAATAAATAAATAATATATACAGTGCTGGCCATAAAGAAATCAAAAAGTGGTTTTTTGAGCATAACTTTTCTAAAAGTAGTCCAATCACTCTGAAATTTTTGGAGTGTGTACGCAGCATCATTACGCACAAATCCAGACAACAAATTGCATCATGCTTGAAAAAAAAAATTTTTTTTGGGTATTTTTTTTAATTTTTTGATTTTTTGATTTTTTCACACTTTTCAAATCACCAGCCATAGTTTTTTTATTGTGCTGTATATTTAATAAATCAAGTTGGGAATATGTTTCCAGATATGGGTAGACGTCAAGGAGCAAAAACAACATCTGTAGAGATTCAGAAAGCCATCGTCAACGGCTTCAAACAAGGGACATCCGCGAAAATGCTTGCTCAGCAATTCGCCCTATCCATTTCAACTATTTCGCGAATACTAAAACGATTTGATGAACAGGAAGCATTTTTAAAACATATTTGAACAATTTTAAATGTCTAGAACAAATGTATTGTTCGAAAGTCTCCTGGAAGACCGCGTGAAACAACTCGAACCATGGATCGCAACATTGGTCGGGCCGCTGTAGAAGATCCTAAGAGGAACGCAACGATGATCCAGATGATTGTGAACTCTCCAAACGATCCAGCGCCATCTAGAGAACCATTCGTAGACGTTTGCAAGAGATGAGGCTTCATGGGCGAAGGCCAGTGAAAAAACCATTCATTAATCTTAAAAATCGAAAACATCGAGTTGAGTGGTGTAAGGCTCATCTTCACTGGGGACCACAAGAATGGGCAAAGCACATTTGAAGCGACGAATCTAAACTTAATTTGTTTGGGAGTGATGGTCTTACATGGATTCGCAGCCCTATTGGCACCAGGTATCAGCCGAAGTACCAACTTCCAACGGTCAAACATAGGGGTGGTTCAGTAATGGTATGGGGATGTTTCTCCGCGAGTGGTATGGGGCCATTGAGACGAATCAATGGAACGATGGATCGTTTCAAATATGAGGACGTGCTGGAAAATACAATGCGACCATGGGCGCTTCGGTTCGTGGGTCGTGCATATGTTTTCCAGCAGATAACGATCCAAAACATACTTCACTTCATGTGCGCAATTGGTTTCAACGGCGCCGTGTGGATGTTCTTGAGTGGCCAAGCCAATCCCCGGACCTAAATCCGATTGAGCACATGTGGGTGGAGCTCCAGAGACGTCTTAATTGGGTCAGAGCCCACAATGCGGATCAAAAATTCGCTCAACTCGAAGCTGCGTGGAAAGCCATCCCACAGTCCGTCATTACCACACTTCTGGAGTCAATGCCGAGAAGATGTCAGGCTGTCATCGATGCTAAAGGCGTTGCCACGAAGTATTAAGCCTGCGTACATCATTTCATTACCTGCTTGCAACTTTAAGATCACTTTAGATCTTGTTTAAAACGGGTCACTATTTACCGGTTTCTGTTGATTTTTAATAAATTGATCTTTTCGTTTTAATTTTTCGAAAAAATTAATAATTTATGTGTAGAATTTATCGCTTTTATTGTTTTATTTGTTGTCTAAAAATTTCAGAGTGATTGGACTACTTTCAGAAAAGTTATGCTCAAAAAACCATTTTTTGATTTCTTTATGGCCAGCACTGTATATTTCAATTTGTCACATAAGCAAATATATTAGCTTTCAAATATTTTTGCTCATGATTCAAGATTTCAGTTTGTTCTGCTCAACAACAAATTAATGGAGCAAATACCACATCCGAAGATGAAACATCTTACTGCTGAATTTGCGACGACGCTTCCTGAGATTATCAAGATGCAGGAAATTGATCGACTTGAAGGGAAATTGGGAATGCAGAAGGTTCTGGTACATGGCGACCTTTGGAGCCCGAATATTCTGTGGAAAGGAGAACATTTGGAGAAGATTGTGGATTTCCAGGTAGATATCGGATAATAGTTGATGAACTATTACATAATTTTTTTTCTCAAAGATGATCCACTTTGGAATGGCGGTGACAGATCTGTCAAGAATTTTCAACACCGCTTTAAGCCCGAGACAAAGAAGAACAAAATGGAGAGAATATCTGAAGGTATTTCCGAATTCGAATATTTTTCAAGCCCATCCTTTTAGTACTTTCATGATGTTTTGACCGACGAAGTTGGAGGTGAACGCAATCTTCCATATTCCTACAAACAACTCGAGCTTACCTACTTGCTCGTCTACCCAAGATCTTCTGCTATGCTTCTACCAACGCTTACAACTGTATTAGATGTAGGATTGTATTGAATAACTACGATTAAAAATTGAAAAATCACAGAAAGTTAACACGATGCCAGACAATCAAGAAAAACATGATCTTTCGATGAACTTGATTTCGAAGATAATCGCAATCTACGAGGACGTTATCGATTTTCATAGAAATCGTCCAAATTACTCATAATTTGATATGATTGGAATCTTTCAATAAAATTATCCAATTGTGAATGTTATTGAATAAAAATATTGCCCAAGCGCGCAGGTTTTTTTTTGAATAAATAATCTCGGCAAATTAATCGACCAAAACGGGGATTTCTCGGTTTTGACAAAATACGCAGGAAGTTTTGAAACTTATCTGATGTGAGCAAAAAATTTTTAAAGAAAACATTACATTAAATTTGCATTTTTACAACAGTGCATTGAAAAAAGTGTAATTTTTAACTTTTGTAATGCATGAAGAGCTCTATTTGCTGATCTATAACTTTATCAACCGGATTCGATTTTTCTGCAGCACGACGGCAGCGGTGTTTGCAGACACACACCGCACTTGCCGTCACAACTACACGTGTTTAAATCGAGCTGCATTTCTCCATCCTTTCTCGGTGTTGAATTCTCTATTTCATAAAAGATGATTGAGCTTTTCTCGATTTTCAGTAAAGGAGGAATTGTTTTATGGAGCTATCAGGTAAGTTTTTGCAATAATTCTTGACTATACTATTTTTAAGGCTGGAGACCATAACTTTACGGAAACAATTAATAATTTCATCCGTGAAGTACTAATGCAGGTATTTTTTTATAATATTCAAAAATTTTAAATGATTTTTTATTTAGGAGCGTGGAAATACCTTACAATTCAAAGATAATAACTACACAATGAAATTTCACTTAGATAATGAACTGGATATTATTTATTTGGTTTGAAACAAAAAAAAATTCAATAAAATTACTTTTTTTTTAGGTTGTCTATCAAACTATTGTACAGCTCTCATACACCGATAAATTGCTAACTCTTGTCACAGAATCATTCCGCAGTGATTTTTACAAGGAATTGCAGGACAAATCAGTAATTTTATCTCAAAAATATTCAAAAGAAGACAATAAGATATTTAGGCTTTGTATACAAACACCGATGAACTTTTTAGTTCATATGACAAAACATTCCAAAAGTTAGTAAAACTTGAAATTAAAAAAAAATATCTTAACCAAAATTATAGTGTGCTTGCGGACTCTGCGAAGCTTGCAAGAGCTCATGAAAATGTCGCGAAAAAGCCAAAAACGTTCCAGGTAGGATCAAACTAACTATATCTTTGCATTTATTTCTTTAAGGAAAGTGCGAAATCTCAAAAAACCATTGATTCATTGATTATTAGCAAACCCGGACAAAAGAAAAACGATGAGAAATTAAAATCAACAAAGGAAAAGTAAATAAAACGAATATCATAGGTCCCTTGCAACAGTTGATTTTTAGAAAAGAGGAAACGCCGGGATCCCCGGGCGGAGCATCCAGCGATGGTTATTGCTCTTCATCCCCACCTGGCTCTCCAGACGATGAAGTAAAACGAAGGAGAGAAGCATTATTTGCTAAAAAGGCCGGTAAAGGTCAGGTGCCGAGGTAGATTTTAGGCGCCAGATGTTTTATACAGGGTGTCATTTAAGTTCCCGCACAACTTTGTAGACGTACATTTCTGAAACTAAAAGTCCAAATCAAACGAGACTCGAAATATTTTTTATCTATAGTATAACAAATATTTATCTATTAACTCTTTTTGATTCGGCCTCTTTTCGCAGCTATGACTTCACGGAGACGCTTCGGGTAGAATTCGACTGTGGTACGCAGGTATTCGATGGAAAGATTGTCCCATTCCGCCAGTAATGTCTTCTTCAGAGCCTCTACACTTGAGTTGGGTTTTGCGTTGACCTTCTCCTGCAAGACCCCATCACGGAAAAGTCAAGCGGGTTCAGGTCTGGGGAGCAATCAGGCCATTCGGATGACTTGATAAAGTCGGGAAAATGGGTCTGGCACCACTCCTGAGTAGTTTTGGCAGTGTATGCGGGTGCTCCGTCCTGTTGAAAGACCCATTTCTGCCCACCGAAATGCGTTTGGGTCCAGGGCATCACATGCTTCTCCAAAATGTCCCGAACGTAGACTTCTTTGTTCATTTTCACCATCTGATCCACGAAAACCAGGTAGCACTTCCCGGTTGAGCAGATGGCACCAAAAGCCATCACACTGGCAGGATGTGAGGCTGGATGATATGTTCTTCCTTTCTCAGAAGCTTGCTGGGATGTTTGGCCAAGTACTCAATGGTTTTGTGAGTTGAATGCCGCCTCCACACTGAACAGCTTCTCGTCGGAGAAGACAGTGACGAGGTGTTCTCCAGACCGCGTGCGAGCAAGAAGTCGTTTTGCTTTTTCGAAGCGTCTCTGCTTGTTGACGGCCGATAGAATTGCCGCTTTTTGGACACGATATGGGGTCAGTACAAGCTTTGTTTTGACGATTTGTTCCATAGCAAAGATGCTCATTCCCATGTCTGACGCCATCTTTCTCAGCTCCTGTGTGGGTTTCGCCTGATCCTCGATTTAACGGCGTTGATCTTCTGAGGAGTGGTTACTGAGACGAGTCTTCCTTGTCTGGGACGGACACTGGTCGTATTTAGCTACTTGAATCGTTTGATGGTGTCGCAAACCGTTCTACGAAGCACACCGACCCGTTGAATGATGTCTCTCGGGCTCACATTTTGCTTATGAAGTTCGATAATGGAAGCGCGATGGATGTTAGCCTTCGCCATTTCTCGGAAACACATCCGAATGAGGTGAAACTTGGGAAATAAGTAAAATACACCTTATTTAACAAAAATAAATTGTATTGGTGCACAAAAAGTGCGACAGTCAATCTCTTCATGGCGTCAAACTTTTGTGCGGGAACTTAAATGACACCCTGTATATGCTAAAATAATTAGCAGATCTCCACCGGAAGAAGCCCCAAAGAAAAAAGGAAAACAGGCTAGAGTATGGGCATTAAGCGGAAAAGCCAGTGATGCTGCTGTCCTTGATAGATCAAATCCGGCCGAAGTATCAATTCAAAATAAATATTTGTTAAAATCGATATTGTTCTAGTCAAGCGAAAATGCAGGAAACGAAGAAGACAACAGATTCGTTGAAAGCATGCGCGACCAGATTGGTACTCTTCGTGGAGATTTGAAATCGCTTCAAGAATCCGATGACGAAGATGACGATGAGCTTGAGGATCAAAAGTAAGTTAAAACATTTTTTCAAATTCTCATGAAATATTCAGGGTTGTTAAATCGTCCGGTGGGTGGTTCGGAATGATCAAGGGTCTTGTTGGAGATAGAAAACTAACTCTTGAAGATTTGACACCACTAGTGGAAAAAATGAGGGACAACCTCATCAGTACGCCAGACATTTCGTTTATTTCTTTTTAAATGATGTAATTTAAGTGAAAAATGTTGCTGCTGAACCGGCGGAAAAGATTTGTCAATCTGTTATCAGCAAACTCGAAGGAAAGGTCGTCAATAACTTCTCCCGGGTTGCTCAAGAAGTCAAAACCGCTGTTAGAGAAGCCCTTGTGCAGGTTATTCATTTAATTTGATTATTTTTTAGACATGCGTTTTTTCATTTCAGCTTCTAACTCCGAAACATCGCGTCGACATTCTTCGTGACGTTCTTGAAGCGAAAAGAGAAGGTCGTCCTTACGTAATTGTATTTTGCGGTGTCAACGGCGTTGGCAAAAGTACGAACCTTGCGAAGATTACTTTTTGGCTCACCGAAAACAAGCATCGCGTGCTCATCGCTGCCGGAGACACATTCCGTGCTGGTGCCGTCGAACAACTTAGAACCCACACCCGCCATTTGAATGCCCTTCACCCAAATTCAGTGCAGCTTTATGAGCAAGGATACGGAAAAGATTCGGCTGGACTGGCGGCTGCGGCAATCAAAATTGCATCCGAGCGTGGAATCGATGTTGTTCTCATTGACACCGCCGGACGTATGCAAGATAACGAGCCGCTAATGAGAGAATTGGCGAAAGTGAGAAAGAATGAATTCAACCGCAACAATAGGAGTAATTTAATTTTCAGCTTATTCGCATCAACGAACCCGATCTTGTATTATTCGTAGGAGAAGCCTTAGTCGGAAATGAAGCAGTTGACCAGCTTGTCAAATTCAATGAAGCTTTGGCAAATCACGCAGCTCCCGGCCAGAAACCCCGATTGATTGATGGAATTGTATTAACAAAGTTTGACACAATCGACGATAAAGTTGGAGCCGCGGTTTCCATGACATACATCACCGGTCAACCAATCGTTTTTGTCGGATGCGGTCAAACATATTCTGATCTTCGTAATCTAAATGTTGGCGCTGTGGTACATTCCCTTCTAAACTAGTCGTTCCTTTTTAGGTATAGCTATCTATTGCATAACATATCTTCAGTTGTTTTCATTTTCTGTAAATAAAGATGATTAAGTTTAAACTATTATCATCATAACATAAATTAAAACACCAGGATCAAATAAAGGATCGGGTCATGTCTAGAAGTGAGCTTCAATTCAGGACAAGAGGAATGAGATGGCTTTTTGAATAATAAGTGAGAAATATGAAAGGTTGAGGATATGAAAAGTGAAAGAATTTAATAGTTACGCCCAAATTCCGTCATTATCATCGTTATCAACTTGTTGTGGTGGTGGTTGCGGCGGTGGGATTCCAATGGTCCCCGGAATGACAGGAGCTGGCAGTGGAGCGCCGGGAATTACACTGGCAGCGTTGATTGGTGGTCCTGCGTCAGTATGGACAACCATAGCTCGTCTTAATTTAATAATATTAAAATCCGTACAAAAAAAAGAAGAATATTGATATATACCTTTCATTTTCCTGCTTTAATTTCCTAATAAGCGCATCTTTATGTCTTCTTATTGTTTCAATTTCATCACGTGGTCCCCTTGATTTCTCCAATAAGGCTAAATGCGTGTCTTTTTCCGAAATAGCCGCCAGGAGGGCTTCCTGCTTCAACTGGAATAATTGCTCAAGATGCTGTCGTCGTTCGAGTTCAATGGCTCGAATGATTTGATCGCGATCAGTTCCTTCACCGGTCATCGCCTTCTGCTTTCGCAATTCTTCCATCTCTTTTCTAGCTTCTGCTAACTGCGACGTGACCTGTTGTAGGTGATGTTTCTGCTGTGATAGATGCACTTCTCTCTCTGCAGTTATTGAAACAGATTCTCTTAGTGCCTCCTCGAGCTCTTCAATTCTTTTGTGCAAATTTGATTGTGAGTTTTTCGATATCGACGAAACACTATGACTGTTTGGCATACGATCATTTTTGCCCGATTCGCTGTCTCTTCTATCGGCCGTCAGCTGTTTCACTTGAGCAGTAAGGGTTAGATTCTCCTTTTCAAGTTGATGAACCATTTTGAGAAGTTTATCAATTTCATTTCTAGCAGATTCAACCTAAAATGTAGAATATTGTAAAAGAAATCATGGAAAATCCTTACATCTTTTCGTAATTCATCAGTTCCTTTATCAACCATTGCATTATCTAATCGCTTTTTTGCATTGGCAAGCTCTCGATTCATGTCTCCAATTTTTTCATTCTGTGATTCCAGCAAAATATCACGATCTGACAATTCCTTTTGAAGGTTCTCAATGTTTGATTTCAAGCTCTCCACCTAAAAATGCATATCATAAATGGTTATCAAATGATTGACTTTTACCTCATTCTGGTATGTCTTTTTTTGCTCTAACTGCTCCTTTTCCGCATTTCGCCGAAGTTGATCGATGTGCTCCTGAAGACGTAATCGCTCTCGTTCACCTTGCTCGATCTTTTCAGTCATTTCTTTCTCTTTTACAACATCTGGATGGCTAAGCAAGCGAATTTTAGCGCGATCCAGTTCCTGTTCCTTTTCTCGAACGGTCGTTTCAAGCGCATCAACTCGTCCAACCAATTGAGTACATTTTATCTCAGTTTGTCGGATCAATTCTGTTTTGTCCGCAACATCAGCTTTCATCGATGATAAATCGCGTTCCAAACTGGCAATTCGTTCGTCTTTCTGCTCAAGTTGCTTGTTTTTACTATCAAGCTTTTGGCGAAGAGCATCAACCTAATTAATACATATATAAAAATATCGCATTCAGGATAACTCACATCTCCCTGTAACAATGTGTTGTGCTGCTCTCGATTTGTTAATTGATCTTTGAGCAACTGTAAATGAGATCGCATCTCGTTCGCGGTTTCTTCAGCAGTTTGCATCCGCGTTTGGCAGTTCATAAGCTCAGCTTTTCTCTCAGCGAGTTCAACTTCACTTCGCTCCATTTTCATTCGTAATGTTGCCTAAAACCAAAACAGTGAAAAATTTCTTTTCTTTTCCCAAAAATCGAACCATTTCATGGCCAGAAAGATTCTTATCTGTGAAGTCTCTCGGTTGATTCGATCTCATCATTCTTTGCCGCATAAGTTCTTCTTCGAGCTCCACAATTCTTGCTTGTTTCTCATCAATTCTTCGAAGAGCATTTTCCAATGCATATCGGCCACTTGGATCCTGAAATATCAAGAAATAAACAAAGAAAACATGAAAATTAAATACAGATGATGCCATCATCGATTGGGATTCTTTCGTAGCTAATAGATCTTGAAGTCTCATAATAGTCTCTTCAAGCTCTCGAACTCTCGAATCTACTCCTCCAGAGGATTCCAGAGCAGCGGAGAGTTGCCTTATTCTTTCATCGCGTTCTTTCAATTCCATTCGAAGTTGCATAGCTGAACAGAATAAATTATTTTGATTTCACACGAATATGAGTGAAAATCATTGAAAACATTTATTGAAAAATTCAAGGTGTTAAAGCTATTTTATATGTTGAGTATAAATTTGGTGGAACTGGAGGACCTCCTGAGTGGTGAGTCTATGGGTGAAACCTCCAACGCTGGAGTCTGATTAGTCAGTCAGTGCACTCTGGTAACACAAAAATTCTCGAATCCGACCAAATTCTGAAATCGCCCCGATCCGACGAGATATTCTGCGGATAACATAGTAAAACTCTCGTATTCAATTGGGTTTTTTATCCCCAGATCGGGTCGCACACTCGCAAAAAATGGGATTTTCAAACAATTGGATTTAAGTTACCAGTTGATGGTTAAGGTTTTGAAAAAAATTTCTTTCAAATATTGACGAATTTTGAATAACCAAAATTACCTTCGTTTGACGCACTCAAGTCACCTCCATTTGATTGGATCATTCGTTCAAGATGCATGATCCGATTAGCTTCTTCTCGTCGCATTTGGCGTTCTCTCTGAAGCAGTAATGAATGCAACTAGATATTCGATTTTGAATAATTAATACTTTGAGTTCGGGACTCCAGAATGTCTTGATGCTATTCATTGTTTGATTGAGTTTTTCAATAGCAGCCGCATAATCAACCTGCAAATGGCTTATTTTCAAATGATAAAGAATACTATGCACATATATCGTTAATAAATTCACAATTCGTCGAAATATATTATAGATTTTCATGAATTCTATAAAATATTGCTTACTTTTAATTGCTCATATTCATTCGAGATCGACATTCCAGCAGGGAGTCTGGCCATTCCAGCTGACTGTTGATGTTGTTGCGGCATCATACCATATGGATTCTCTTCGCCGCTACAAAATCCCATTTTAGGAAACGTTTATCAAATGCCAAAGTGCGGCGGGCAGTAGGAAAAAAGGAAAAGAAACGAAAAACAAACAAAACGCCGTCGTGCGCCTTCCGAGTCCAAACGCAAAATTAAATTAGTGCCGAGGTTTGTTGTCTCATAGAGGTTTTTGGCAGAAAAATTGAATTACCTGTTATGGTACCAGAACGCATTCTGACTTGGTATCGGATTCGACAATGTCAACGGATTCCGATAATTCGACGGCATTTGATGATGATTAGTACTGATTTCCAATGGCATAAATGTTGGTTTTTGCTCACTGCTGTAATCCAACGAATCCTTATAATTATCCAAGACACCAAGACCATCCATTGAGCGATGTTGTCTGAAAAAAACACAATATTTGCAGAAAAAAAAACTTTACTCCAATTTTATTTCAAGTGTTGTATTTGTTCCATGTATACATACATAAATATTCTGCATCTAATATTTAAAAAAAAACACTACATAATATTTTTCGTGATAATTGTTGGTTGTAGTGTGCTCTCGTAAAAAATGCCACTTTTATAACATGAACGCACCATTTTTCAAAATTCTCTTAATTTATTATATATATATATATACTTGACGACTACCGAACCGTTACAAAAACTAACGAATATATTTTGCTTTTTGCTTGATAAAACTGTTACCTTTGAAGAGGTCTCCGAGATGCTGCCGATATCGATGTATTCATTGGTACTGACACATAACCCATTGGATTTCTAGCAGTGCTCGAATTCATGCCTGTACTTCGATTACTATATGGCGCAGGCGCAGGAGCCGAATGATCTGGATAATTTGATGGTCCGGGAACTTGTGCCGAATCGTCGTAGACGTCGTAAGCAAAGCGCGCAGCGCCGCCGTTAGCGCGTTCACCGCCGCCCGACGAATACCACCCGTTGCGGTCCAGTTTGAATTCGACTAAATTGGTTATTATCGCATATTTCATAAATCACCAAATGCCCACAGAAAAAAAATTAAAGGCAAAACGATTATGTGGTCAATGTTAGGATGAACTGAGGATGAGATCAATTCCTCGTATTTCTTACTTTATCTATAAAGTAATTTTCAAAATGTTAAATAAAGCTTTTTGCCATAGACCTACGAATAATAACAAATTTATTTAATAAAATGGCAAGAATAAATGTGGCGCGAGACAAACAACGAAAGCAAGAATTTGGGGTCCATTACAAAATAAGAATGGCCATACATCTCTTATTTTAGCCAAAAACAACAATCTTGCCCAGAGCTGCGAGAGAAATCGAGATGGAGAAAAAGAAAAAGGAATCCTCGTCGCTTTTCTTTTTCTTCTGTTGAATGAATAAATCACATTTTCGATTCCGGTTTGAATCATTTATTGCAAGACAACGACCCGAAATAAAAAATGAAGATGTCCGTACCGAAACAATTGCCAAGTGCCACACCCTGCCCAAATATGTAGAGGAGTGTGACCGGTTTCATGATACCAAAAACCACGATCGTCGGCAAATTCAGAACACAAAATTGAGAAATCGACAAATTTTTCCGTAAAAATGTGTTGTTTTGATAGGCATTTTAGTTTTCGCAAATAAAAAATTAACAATATTACGCTTCGAAAAAATACACGACCAAATAAATAAAGAAATGCGAAAATTTGTATGCCTAGTAATAACATGAGCTTCGAATAGCGAAATGGCATTGCTAAAATAAAATTGCTCTGTTAATCTCGCACAATTGTGGCCACTTGTGTGCTTTTCCGTATTATAAGACTTTTTATTGGCAATTTTCTGAAAAATTCAAAAAATGTTTGCCATACGTAATATGCAAAACGCAAGTTGCAAAATATGTCAATTTTTCCTAAGAATGCAAAATTTTGAAACATTCGTTTTTTTTATTCCCAGAGCAGAAGAATCGAATTCGGCAGAAAAAAGAAGGGTGTGGTCGAACATCAGGGTCCTTCGAGGTCAATTTTTATGTTGATTCTTATGATTCATAAAACTAGAATATAATGAAGATGTCGTTCTCATGTATTTGAAACATACTTCATTACAAAGTCGGTAAAAGAAAATTAAAAAAAACTTGGGCTTCGATTACGAATGAACTAGCATAGAAGAACAAAATTGAATAATTAATTGAAGACACGAGACGAGACTAATTTATTTGAGCAAAACACATGACAAAAGCTTATTTAAAGAAAGAAAATTTCAAAACATAACAATTTAAAAACCTGTTCGACAACAACTGTAATGCAGATTTACGGAGGAAATTCAAACTTCGAGAAATATGTAAATTTGCTTTTTTCCAGGATTGACAAATCATGACATTGGTATTTTCAAAATACTTGGAAACAAAATAATATAGAAGCTGTTTGCTTTTCTCATCTTTCTCAAAAATTTATTGCCGACCACCCTCAATTTTCCCATTGAAATTTCGTAGAAGCTACGAATTTGTGATTCTTTATTCATTTCATAAAGACAACATTATTCAAACGAATTTTAAATCGAATCGAATATAATTCGATAAATAAAATTTACAAGCGCAACATTCAAAATTTTGAGAAAAAATTATATGAATCCTAGAGTATCGAAAGTGTTTGTTGAAACAAAAGGAAAACAAAAACTGAAAAAAAATAGTACAATTCGCGCACAAACACATAATGAGTGTGTGTCCGGCGACTGAGGAGAATGAGGAAGACGAGGAGAGGGGTGAGGAGGTCGACTTTTTTTCCACGCTCACCACTCTTCAACGGTTTGCTCAGGCAACCGCGCGCGCACTCCTCTTACGTGTAGTATATATACATATACACATATATCTACTACCCATCGAGACTCAGACTAGGCAACGCTTGAGAGCACCATAGTCGCCGCCGCCGCCGCACCATGCCGCCAACCACCAACTACGCCAGCCGAGGCGACGAATATGGCGGACGGCGGTGTAGACTTGACACAAGAAAAGCGCAAAAAAAAGAATGCAGAAAAGGAAAACCGCAGCGCAACGCTTCTTAACCGCGCACTCGGCCTTATTGATCTTTTGGCTGCGTGCCAGCGAACATTTTCTGCTCTGGTCATTCTCTGCAAATTTTTTTTATTGTTTGCTCTAGAGTTTGACGACAATTTTAAAAACAAAATCTCGAATAGGTTTTTTTTTAGAAAATGGAACATATTAAACATCATTTTATTGGATGATTTGAAATGAAAAGTTTTATATAACAATTTCCGTTAATTATATACTATTTATAATCATCATTGCAAATTGTTGGTTATCTTCGATTCTTATAATTTTATTTTAAAAAACCAATGATTTTGGTAAAATTAGAGATACTACATGTTACAAGAGATATTTAAATTGATTGAACACCACAATTTTCAATAATTGCGGGCATGTCTGAAAATAAATAAAATTATTATGGCAGGTGAACTTCGATAATTTTCAATCAGAAGATCAGAAGACAGGAGAACGAGTTTTTTGACGATAAATTCTGACAACTGCACACCCAAATTATAATTTATGATTATAGAAATTAATTTCGTTATGAAAAACACTTAAATGTTTTTTTATTATTTGAGGAACTTCTCATTAACATTCAAAGAAAAGTTAAAACCGGTTAAAAATGTTGGTAATTGGAATGATAGGTTAAAAAAAAAGCTCGACAACAAAAATAGTGCCATTAAATTTCCGTATTAAAAAAAAAAAAAACAACACGTATAATTTAAAGTCCCGTGTTAAACTCATTATTTCCCCGACAAAAATTGATATTCATATAACTTTACCTTTTTTAGATTTGGTTTAAAGACGTAAATTTAGGAATTGATATATCAAAATATCCCCTCAACGTTTTCCAAAATGCTTCTAAATAATACCGTTATTGAATAAGGTAAATTAGCACAATGATCGATGAAATTTTGAAAATACATGCGGAAAGCAAATTTGTTTTGAGCTAAAATGATTTTACGATTTTCAGAGTTTTCCAGTATTTTCTTTAAAAATGTGCATTTTGTGTCGTTTTCATACGACAAACATAAACATTTCTCGCTTCACATATTTTGGCACTCATTTTGACGTAAACATTGCGCTACGAAGGCAATAATGACTCCCGTTTTCTCATTTTCTTGGAAAAAACAACAAGGACAATTCAAATAAAAATTGGAAAATGGGCGAGGCAAGATATTGACTTGTGACGAGACCAACTCCAATTTCGGTTTTACGACTACGGGCACTCATTCAATCGTCCGATTAAACATAAATAGACACAAAAAATGAACGGATAACTTTAACGGTTGACTTTCCAGTAACCGTCGGAACAACATTGCGGCTAACATTTAGGCCACTAATCCAATTCGACCCCGCTCGTTCTTAATTGCCCGAATACTCTTGTGTACACAATTAAGCTGTGTTTTGATTGATTATAATCCGATTCCGGCGATATTTGTACACATTGTTGTTCGCAATCGTAAATCAACATAATGTGAACGCTAAATTAGATATCCCTGCATATGCTTTATTGCGAGTTTCCACATAAGGATGAAACTTTTAGCTTTTTGATTGAAGTTTAACTTTGGGGCGAATGGATAACTTTGATAATGCACCTACCAGTAATTTATGTTTGAAAAGTATTGAAAATTGTCGTGAAAATAACCGTATTGTTTTATTCGAATCAAGTTTTTATTACCATTCCAAAACACTGAAAACCTAGTGGAATGGAGGACCTTTTCGGGGAACTAAATCAATTCGGGTACTGTATAGTCTGATTCCCAAAAAAGCAGCTCCCGTAATTTTTCAGGCGCATTGCGGTTCGTGTGCGGTTCATGCGAGATTGAAATTTTAGAGCCATCGCCTTGTAATTAGTTTTCAATTTGATCGATTATGAAACGTATTAAAAACTTTCCAAAACAAAATATCCTCATTTCAGTTTTTGAGTAAAAATTTTTGATTTTGTAAATATTTAGATATGGATTTCTTTCTCAATTAATTTTTAATTGTAAAATAAATGGTTTCATTATTATTTTTCACCACTCTTTGTTATGGAGGAGGGGGGCGTTGTATTACAGTTGAAATCACAGGTTTTACAGGTTTTACGGTGCTACATATTTTGAGGGTTGTTTCCAGAGAAAATATTCCCGAAAATCTCAATCTGGATACCAAAAAAAAACGAAAAAGATCATTTTGAAAAGCCAGTTTAAAAAGGTAACGAGATCAAATTACAAAAACAATCTCCTAAAAAAGTTAGAAGGCAACTTCTGGGAAAATTTGAATTTGGGGTCAGGCACGAAGGCCTTGTTGAGCTTCCGACTAAAATGCATATAAAAACGTTGTTGATCTTCGAAAAACATTTCAAATTGCTCACTATTCACATCTCATATTAGGTAAAAATGTACAGAAAGTATTTCCGAAAAGAATGGTCGAATATCGGCAATTAAACGAAAGCCAATAAATTAATAGTAAAGCCAAAACAGCCTCGGTTAAATTTTATCAAACAATTTCTGAAATTTTCATTTTTTTTTAGTCCTCTTACAAGAAGATATTTCACACCTCCCCCCCCCATCTCGTCTGAAGCATTCCAGTATTATAGAAAAATCGAAAATTTGAAATCTCAATAAGGGTATTTTTTTTAATTAATGTAATATAAACGTTATTCCACATCCGATTAGCGATATATATGTAGTTGTTTTGTTTGTTTTTCCTTATTACCGTATCCGATATATTAATTGAATTCCATATGCCATTGAATATGGACTTTTGTTTGTTTAAACTGTCAAAAAGGTGTAAGTTATCTAATTGTGTGGTGCCAAAATCCCTGACTTCCCCAAATGACTACACTCTTCGAACATACGCACACGACACTCAAAAATTTCAAACAATCGGCGGGTTTATAAATAATCGAGGCAAATTGTGTTGAAGGTTCGATAAGAATCTCGAACGGTAATTTAATAGCGAAATAGTGTGGAATTGTAGCAAGAACGCAGGGGAATG